ATCTTCGGTCGATGCCAGCCGATGACTTTTTGCTTTTTTCTTTCTTTTCATTTTTGCGGGACTTCAAATTTAATGCTTGGCTCTAGCACTTATCTTGGACATTTCATCATTTTTTTAACATAATTAGTGTTGCTTCGAGGAGCTTTGTTTGAGAAGATTATCCCGTATGTTGACCCCTGTCCGGATGTGATTGCTTTCCTCCTCACTCCGCTGGGTATGTACTCGGTATGTAGTCACTTTCACTTGCGGGTGAGCATGTGATTTTAGAAAAAGGCTACTAGAGGGATATCCAGTAACCTTATATTCTTAGCACACTTTGGAAGAAACTAAAGAGGCAAGCGGATGGATGCATCGGCATCAGATACCAAAGTTGAATTATCAGACACGTTTCTGAAACCTAGCAGAAATTATGCCCTTTCCCCTTTCCTCTCTGTACCGATACATCTATAGATCGGGAAAATCTCCCTGGATCATTGCCCGTGTCACAGTTTAGAACTCTCACCGATACTCTGCTTCCAACCAGGCGGCTTCGGCTTGAGGATCGATAAAAGAGGTTGATATGTCACCCCGGATATTTTATACTCAAGGGATTCTTTTTCTAGTCTTTACTTAGCTAATTCGGATCTTCACTCCCATGTCAGACAATATCATCTCCAATAATACAAAAAGCACATCACATCCAACCTTGGAAGTATCTCGGGTTCTTCATCCATATCGGGAAAGGAAATGCGGTCAAGATCACACTAGCACAGACCTCTGGAATTGTATCAGCTGATGCAAAAGACGAAGTCAAAATCCCCCGACATCACAATTCAGTAGTTCTTAGCTTGCCTTGGCCAGTAGAATAACCCAGACAGCCATGCAGGACTAAAGACGGGGAGATACCTAACATAGGTCTCTGTCATACATCGGCTTGAATCAACACTGGAATGAGGTAAGTCTCGGAAAGTAGTGCCGTCAACCGTTACACACGAGAATAGATAACACACAACATGTCTTATAGTTGAGAATCACTACTTGAAATACTGTGTACTACGATCCACAAAACAACTGCAAAACATTCAGACGAACCCTTAACGGGCTTCAGTCCCAGAAAAATACAATTCGCAATCTAAGAAATGCAAAACCAGCAAAAGCGCAAAGAACTGAAAGACCCCCAGAATGATGAGAGGAAAAGAAAAGATCTAAACCCCCCGTTCCTGACACCACCGTTCAACCTCCTTAGCCAACTTCTCCCGCTGATCCCGAACAAGCTCCATCATAGGCTCAACCTGCTTCCGATGTGAAGCAATCAAATCCTGTCCACCATTCGCAACTACAGTGACACCCTCCTTAGGCGCGAGATGGGTGTCGTAGATCTTAACCATGAGATCCATCACAGCCGAGAGTTGGTTTGGAAGCCACTGTTACAGATGAATTAGCCTGGAGTTCACAAACAAAGATATAATACAAAGGTATTGCAACGTGCTCTTGCATTTCCTTCCATTGGGTGTGGTGGTATACTCACAGTAACAATAGGACTGCCACCGGTAGCAGTAGGATGCGGCGTGCGACGAATGATGTACTCACGCGCAAAGAGCCAATGTCTCCAGCGGAAACTGCGGACATGGTTCAGCGTGCGAAGAAATAGCACGGCTGTCTCGGAATCCTGCACTGCATAATCCTGGACACCGATTTCTTCGGATTTCTCACGGATGTAGGTGAGGAATTCGCGGTGGGGAAGGGGGCGGTAGGCGCGGAATTCGTGGAGGATTTTTGTTAGAGGGGTTTGGGGCATGGGGATTTGGCAGAGGTGGTCCAGTAGGGGGATCTATAGGTTTGTTGATGTTAGTTGAAGACATTGGATTGGGGTTTGGGGGAGGTGAAGTACTTACGATGCTGTCGTTGGCGCCGCTTTCACCACGGAAGAAGAGGGGCTTGTTGTCTTCACAGCCTTCGTAGATCACACCGTTGGGGAACATTGATTGATTGGTGATTCCGAAGATGAAGACGCGGAAGGAGAGGTACTCAGATGGTTTGGAGTTTCCCCACATGTCTATTTTATGTGAGTTTTTTTTATTTTGTGGAGAAGGGGGATTGATGAAATACCTTCCATGGAAGTTTCGATCTTCTCCATTGACTTCAGGATCTCTCGGAATCCGTCGTTGATCTCCTGGCGAGAGCCGTGCTGCTCAAGGGTGTCGACGACCTTGAGAGCTCCGGCAATTAGGGGACCGGTCTCCTTGACCATATCCACGTGAGTGAGGATGAAGCCTGCCTCGGAGCTCTTGGGGTCAAGACCTCTCTCGAAAGAGCGGATGAGACGGAGGTTGGAGTACTCGCTCAGGCCCTTGGCAGGGTCGGCGACGGTGTAGTTGAATAGAGCATAAGAGGCGGCATAGGACATGAAAGGTGGCAGGTCCAGACTGGGATATGATTAGACATTGTCATAATATAATGGAAGTATGTGAATGGACCGAGAGGATAGGAAGGTAATATGAAATGAACTTACAGCTCAGCGCAGCGATACATGGGACGAGCAACGGCCATAGGCAAAACATCACGGCCAAGACCGTAACCACCCTCGGGGTCCTTGTTCCAGTGCTCCCAGCAAGGCTCAAGGAGGTAAGACGAGGCCAGGAAGGTATAGTCACGGAAGACAGCAGCAACAGTGAAACGATCTGGCGAGCCATCAGGGAGGACAAGCTTCTCAACCTCATCAGTCAGGTCAGTGAGCTCGGCCTTGACAGCAGGGCCAAGCTCGTAGGTAGCCAGCAGACCGGGCTTGCCATCAAGTCTGACGACAGGGAGACGGTTGACTAGGGACAGCAAGGCGCTAAATGCCTCTGGAAGCTCTGTAGGGGCAGTCTCATAGGGCAAGAAGCCTGTCTTGGTGGTGATGGTGAAGGGGTCCAAGGAATGGGAGATGCTTGAAGGGTCATCATGGATGTGAGGGAACCGCTTCAGGGTAGCCGGGGAGGGGTAGGGCACTTGAGTACGGGTCATAATGGGAGAAGAACAATAGTCAAGGTAAGAGACAAGGTGTCTATGGGTGATTGGTGATGGACAGTGAGGTAGTGTAGATGTGTGAGGGTTGATGTAGGTCAAAGACCAAGTCAGGAACCAGGGAAGTAATAAAAATGAGAAAAAAAGGAGGAAAGAGAAGTCAGAAGACCTTTGAGGATGATGAAGAGAACAGAAACTCAAGGATTTGGGCGGGTGAGGAGCAGATTCTTATAATACTTTGAGGCCGGTATCAATTCCGGCCTCAAGTCCACCATTACGAAAGAGATTAAGAATAGCGTGGGACTGATGACATCTCCTGCTACATGATGCAAATGGCTTCCATCTATTATGAAGGATACTCGAGGCACTTTATATGGACATTTTTGTCCAAAACAAGACATTTCGACTTTCTTCTGTCTATACAAATGAACTATACAACTGCCCAGTAAGAGAGGGCTGGGGATGGTCACGGGGATGCGCTAGGCCCGATATAGTAGAAGCTGTCAAAGGCAGTTTGTCTGCCTCATCTTGGGGTTGGCTGGATATTATGATAGCGAATGTCCAGTAAGATGTTTAAAATTGCTTATAATGTAGAATTGACCACTTATTGGGGACTTATTACGGATAATTGTCTGATGAACGCTCTACAAGTCATGATGTATGCTCTATATGTCATGCCGTGCCAAGGCCCGACCGTAAAATCCTATTTTCTGATTGGACGATAATGCAAGATTAGACTTCCCTAGCGTCCGGAGGCCGGAATGGTACCGGCCTCCGATTATAGCCGGCCTCGTTTTAGTCCCGTCGCTTTATACAGGCGGTCAACCCTTTAAACAGGATATGAACCAACGAACAGACTTGGACAGCTCATTGCTTCCCACCGGGTCTATGGTCAATCGCTTTATTACACTCGTGTCCATACTCGCAATAAAACATAACAAAAGATAATAACCGAGAGAAACAAAAAGCAAAAACCAAAAAAAAAAAGAAATGTGCATCATCCGTGAATCGAACACGGGCCTCGTCGATGGCAACGACGAATTCTACCACTAGACCAATGATGCTACTTGATGTAGGGAGAGCCCACTATTGACAAAATGAACCAAAGTCGCTTCAAATTGTTCTTTTTTAACATTATCGTATTTCAAAAGTTCAAATGCTATAACAGATCTAAAACATTCCATTTAAATGCTAAGTCGCATCAGGTGACTTACGAGCTTGCTTTCTATTTACATGTGACGCTGGTTATAATTGGTGGGGACATCTTGGACTTCATGCCTGGTATTGTATATTTTAGCATGTCGTTAGGGTAGGCTATGGGCAATGTGAACATTCGCCGCAACCTCATATCCAGGGTTACGTACTAAAAGAAGCATGCGCCCATTTATCTCGCGCCACGCTTGAAGAACATGTTTGGACCTTTCCAAAGAGTGGGGTCATTTTGCTGCCGCTGAAGGTAAGGTCAGCGCAGTCAGTGTGTCCACAGTAGCAAACCAGAAGTCCGTTCACACCCAGACCTTTATACAATCTACATGATGCATCTGAGGCACTCGAAAACGAGCAAAAAAGATGTGAAAAAAGAGACGGCAAAGTAGGGCGAAAACAATGCACGAAAAGTTATACTCTCTTCGATTTTTTCGCGTAAAGACTGTTCAATACTTCACGACAGGGTATACAAATTTATGACCCCTGTTGTATATGCAGCTTATTGCGATATGGTACTAGGGGAAAGGATTTGAACAAGCGACTACAGTGGCTGATTTAGGGTTCGCCAACACCAACAGTCAACGCCGAGGCCATGGACACCTGCCTATAGATAACATTCATGATCTGACATAACTTTGGACGTTTTGATCCTTGAGCTTCGGCCAGGACTAACCCTGTCGGCCAAGCCATACTAGACGCACAGGGATCTCACGGCCCAATAGATCTTCAGCTACCCCTCAATAGCATAGTTATCTATCACCTCCAACTCCAGCCTTTGCTCTATCTTATATTCTTCTATTCAAATAGTCATGGCGACTCAAACATTCGACTATATTATCGTGGGCGGGGGAACAGCAGGTTGCGTAGTAGCTTCCCGCCTTAAAGAAAAGAATCCCACGCTCTCCATCGTGATCGTCGAAGCTGGCCCCGATGTTAGCAAGCACCCCCTAGTACCAGATGCAGCGGACTACCCTCAGCTCCTCGGCTCTGAGCTCGATTGGAACTATACCACAGTACCGCAGAAACATTTGGATGGGCGCTCTGTCTCCAACCATGCTGGGAGGGCACTTGGAGGTAGTAGTGTGACTAACGCCGGTGAGTTTTGGAAAGTTGTTCTATGCAAAAGACCTGTCACCTGATATGAGATATTTAATGACTAGGGGGTTGGTTCCGAGGCGAGAAAGCAAACTATGATCTCTGGGGAGAGACGGTCGGCGACTTGCGTTGGAGCTATAGTGGCTTCTTGCCCTATTTCCGCAAGGTTGAGTCGCATTTTGATCCAAATGGCGATAAGCTACAGCATGGCTTTAATGGCCCTATGAAAGCGGAGTCTGTTACATTTACGGGTCGCAATTATCCTCTGCGTCAGTTGGTGAAGGATGCATGGGCTGCTGTTGGTGTGCCTTTAGTCCCGGACTTGAATTCTGGTAATCCCATCGGATTGGCGGAGGTCGTTGAGAACAAAGTCAAGGGTATGCGGCAAACTGCTTCCTCTGTATACCCACTCAATGTCTCTATCTTGACGGATACTATGGTTAAAAGAGTGGTTTTCGAAGAGCGCAATGGGAGAAAGAGAGCTATTGGCGTGGAAGTTGTGGGCGAGGAAACCCGTGTGATTTCTGCAAAGCGCGAAGTCATCATCTCGACTGGTACATACCGGACACCCCAAGTCCTGAAGCTTTCAGGCATCGGGCCAGCCGAGGAACTGCAACGCCATGGCGTGGACTTGGTACTTGACTCACCTGACGTCGGCCGCCATTTCCAAGACCACCCCGGTGTATTCCAGTGGTGGAAGCTAAAACACCCCGAACAAGGACTCGCAGTTGGATCACCGGCATTCAGTGATCCTCTGTTTTTCAGAGGTCAACCAATCGACTTTGCAGCAACACAGCCCGTTCCTCTAGACGGATTACGCGCTGCATTAATTCGAGATAATCCCAATTGCAACCCGGATGAACATCCACTTATCTCGCAGAAAGGGCATCTCGAGATGCTAGTATTCTATGCAGGAGGAAATCCCGCTAACCCAACCATCGAAATGGACGGGACTCACATCGCCACGATCGTGGTTGGTATGCTTCCAACTTCGCGCGGGAGCATTACCCTCCAGGATAACAATCCAAACTCTATGCCGCTTATCGACCCTAACTACCTTGCCACCGAGGCTGATCGGTATATGATGCGTGCGGGTATTCGGAAGATCCGCGAAATGGTCCGTGATACACCAGCCGGGCGGGCAATGATTGACGATGAAACGGTCGAAGACGGGGCCACGCCCGTTCAAGTGGATACCAGTGATGCAGAGATCGACAGTCTGGTCCGACGTCGAGCTATGTGAGTATATGAAGATATATGGCCATTGACTGCATGCTGATATCTCCTTCTAGGACTATGTTCCACCCCGCAGGAAGTGCCTCTATGGGCAAGGTGGTTGACAATCAGCTCCGAGTTCGAGGTGTGGATGGTTTGCGCATTGTCGATGCAAGTGTTATTCCTGTGCCACTGACTGCACACATCCAGATGTGTGTTTATGCTCTAGCAGAGCAAGCTGCAGATATCATCAGTGATAGTGTGAGATCTGCGCATAAGCTATGACGATAGACACGCCAAGTAAATATGAATTGACTCTTTTGAGATATTCGGGAGCTGCACTGCACAGGTATTAAACAAAGAGAGGCAAGTAGCAAGTAACAATTAACAGGTGACAAACAGAAAACAGAGAACGACAAAGGTAGAAGGCGAACTATACACAATGCAAACAACACAAACACCCATCAGTATCGCCGTTTTCCCCGCGCTACTGCGCATCAAAGAAGAAAAAGAACAGAAAACATTTATACCAGGCCATTCTTCCCTGTATAATTGCTCAGCCAGTACTACAAGCTATTGTGGTCTTTACCCTCTTGTCGATTTATCCTAGACAGACGTGGAACACAGGTTAACCAGCAAAATGGGCAACGACGAATCTGCGCTGCCCGCCGGCATCGTGACCCTGCTGGACACCGACCTGTACAAGCTGACGATGCAATGTGCTGTTCTCAAGTACTTCCCAGATGTTTGTAAGCACTCCCGCCTCGAGCTAGGCGGTATACAAACTAACAGACTCGCAGCGGTGACCTACGGCTACACAAATCGGACCCCGCACATGAAACTGCGCCGTGGGGCATACAAATGGCTCTTGGAGCAAATGGACAGTAAGCAATACTTACCACCAGTCTCAACCAGCTACTCACACCTACGCGCTCAGAACTGGCCAATGTCCGCGTGACCGCCGAAGAACGCGAATTCCTCCGCCAAAAGTGCCCTTACCTAAACGACGCGTACATCACCTTCCTCGAAACCTTCCACCTCAAACCCGCCGAACAAATCGATATCAAGTTCACCCCGACGCAAGATACAGGCAGCGATGACGACGAGGGCAATGTCGAGTACATTATCAAGGGATTGTGGCTGGATACGATCCTGTACGAGATCCCGCTGCTTGCGCTGACCAGCCAGGCCTACTTCATGTTCAGTGATAAGGACTGGAGTTACGAGAATCAAGAAGAGAAGGCATACCGTAAGGGCTGCACGCTGCTGGAGAATGGCTGCGTATTCTCTGAGTTCGGGTCTCGCCGTCGACGCGATTATCATACCCAGGACCTTGTTATGAAGGGTCTTACGCGTGCTGCGGAAGAGGGCAAGCGGCAGGGTTGGGCTGGTGCTTTGTCTGGAACGAGCAATGTTCATTTTGCTATGAAATATGGTGTTCCTGCTGTTGGGACGGTGGCGCATGAATGGTACATGACCATTGCAGCTATTACGGATGACTATGAGAATGCCAATGAGTTGGCATTGAAGTACTGGCTCGGTTGTTTTGGAGAGGGCGTATGTATTCTTGCTGTCTCAATGTCTAATGTGTTATATACTAACTGGAACACTAGGTACTTGGTATCGCCCTTACCGATACATTCGGTACACCGGCTTTCTTGGATGCTTTCAAAAAGCCAATCTCATTACCGGATCAGCAGCCGGATCCATCTGCTAAGACTTATGCTCAAGTTTACACTGGCGTCCGCCAGGACTCCGGTGACCCGACATACTTTGTCAAGATGGCCCGGGACTTCTATGATGAGCAGGGTATCACTGATACAAAGATTGTCGTGTTCTCAGATTCTTTGGATATCGAGCACTGCCTTGAGTACAAGACCATCGCCGAAGAGGCAGGCTTCAAGCCTACATTCGGTGTTGGAACATTCTTCACCAGTGAGTCTGATTTCCACAGGTTCATTGAACAATGCTGACCCATACAGATGATTACATCAATAAATCAACTGGCGAAAAGTCCAAACCCTCAACATTGTTATCAAAATCGCAACTGCGAATGGAAGCCCGGCCGTCAAGCTCAGTGACAATATGGGTAAGAATACGGGCGACCAGGACAAGGTCCAGGAAGTCAAGAAGAAGCTGGGCTACGTCGAGCACTCCTGGGAAGAAGGCGATGAAAGCAACCGCTGGAAGAAACAGGCATGAGCAATCCAGTCCGACTACACAAATCTCATAGAATGGGCAGGTTTACTAGAGCTCATTTCCGCTCAGCATCATGCGATACTCCATAGAATAAGAATACATGGTATTCTCGACGAATTCTAATACAAACACCAAACCCCTTTTGCTCATAGTGCACATAACAATACAAACAATCCACACACATCCAAGAGCGTCAAAGGAAAAATCCATCTTCCAGTTTCTGGGCCACATCACCAGCCCACGAAGCAGACTGCATCTGAAAAATATCCTCGCCAACCTCATCAACAGAGCTATAAAGACCTCTCCAGCATTTCTCGATTATAATGCTACAAACATAGTCATCTCTCGGAAACTGAGCATTGCGAAACCGGTGTTGGACCTCCACTTCATGTTGATGAGAATCCAACTCCGGAAACACCTCAGCTCCCGTAATGATATGATACATCGCCGTGCCAACAGCGAAGATGTCAGTCCGTTCCTCTGCATGATTGGGGTATGGTCGGGGCATGCTGATTTCGAGCCTTCACGGCTTAGACCGTCCAGCATGTATTCCCCAACGTTGTTTTTTAGGACTCCCTGAAAATCGGAAAGGATGACGTTGAGGTTGATATCCAGCAGTATATTCGAGACGTCGATATTGCAGTGGATGACGTTCTTGGAGTGGACGAATGATACTGCTGCGACGAGTTGCTGGCACCAGTCTAGCCGGATCTCGAGGCTGATGTCTGGATAGCGGATGAGGTATTCGCTCATGTTGCCGTTGGGATAGTATTTCAGTATCAGACCATCTTCGTTCAGACCTTCTGATTGGATGATGGAGGGATGGGGGCCCAGTTTCTGGAGGATGTCGAGGATTCGGGCTTCCACTTTGATGCTTGTTTGGTAGTCCCTGTCATTGGTATCATTGGCGTATTTGAGGACTTTTGTGCAGGGGGATGGTGGGTTATTTGGATCCCTGAGGAGGGATGTTTCGCCGTAGAGTCCCACGATGCATCCGCGGGATGAGATTATTTGTCTCACACCTGGAGGACGTCGACCTGTAAGTTGTGGAAGGCTGCTGGAAGATCCAAGCTTTGGAATGGAGGGCATGTTGGGCTAGTGTGGTATTTGAATGGCCCGGAGGGATTGAAGGGAAAGACCCCAGGGTGTCGTCAAGTCAAAACATATAGGATGGGAAGGAAACATAAGACGAGCTAAAGAGAGTATTGGATGGAGAATGAAGTGAAGTGAGAACAAAGTCACGCAAAGAAGCAGCGTACCCGGTATATCCCCCAAACTGAATGATGTGCAAACTACCCAAATGGTTTGAGATTACATTGAATCTTGAGGTGTACGCCTTATGGCCTCGTCAGTTGCAATGGCGAAGTCTCAACTGGTAAGGCTGATATCACATCTCACCGGGAAGAAAAAGCCAAAAGAACGCCAGAGTTTATGGAATTTCACCTACCAAGGGATGGAGCAAAAGTGTAGAAAATTTCATTTTAAAGCATATATTTCGTGAAAGTAAAATATGCATATAGTACAATACGGCAGCCTGGAGACAAAAGGGCCGCGAACAACAACCGATACTCGTCCCTCGGACTAAAACATATCATCCCCAGACTGGAACCCTAGATCCCGATCTAGGTCACCCGTAATACCAGGCCTAGCATCACTCATAGATTGATGGCGCGAGTGTGTGCCGGGGAGGTCGTTATCCATTTCCTTCAACCCAAACGAGAAAAGATCCTGCTCTTGTTCATGCTGGGGCGCTTTTTGCGACTCGAAGGACTGCGTCTTGCCAAATTGACCCAAGTCAGTGTCTCGGAATAGGTCTCTTGTCCAGTCTAGGTTGTCATCTTGTGCGGTGGTTGGTGATATATTGTTTCCATCCGTGTTGGGATTTGCGGTAGGGGTGGGTATATCCGGGAATGAATCGATGTCGATTGAGAAGTAGTTGAAGGGGTTGTTATCGACGGTGTTGGGGTCGACAAATTGGTCAAAGTCGTTGGAGAAGAGAGGCAGAGAAGAATCCTGAGTGGTCTCTGTGGTAGAGTTCCTCGGGGTTGGGAGACCACCTTGGGTGGGTGTAGCTTGCGCTCGTGGGACTGGGGTATCGGCCTTGGGGGTAGGCGGATCGGTGAGAAGTGGATGATATTGCGGTATGGGTATGGGGTCGGGGTTGCTTGGCTTTCTTGTTGTCAAGGATATGGCTGGGGCGTCTAGGTTGTATTGCATGACCTGGAAGAAGGTACTGGAGGCACCAGACTGCATTTTGATGGCGGCTTCGATATTGGCGTACTCCTGGTCTGCGGCTGGATAGATATCTTTTAGACAATGCAGTACTTGTATACAACGGTGAAAGTTATATACGCTGCTTTCGCGGACAGCCGGGTTGTCGGACATGGTGTTAGACAGATGTGCCACGGCAGCAGGTAGAATCACAGTGACCCCGGACTGTGGCAGGAACCGCGTCAGATTGAGTTGATTCAACCCCTGTATAATATGTGTAATTCCGCTGGCAGCATCGTGCATTTTTATGCGGGCAGTATTGCACAACTCAGTGCGTGACTTGGACTGGTCCTTTGAAGCAGCTGCCCAAGGACGATGAAGTGCGCTACTGGTAGCATGGTAAAGCATACGCAACATTGCGCCATGGAGCAACAAAACATCCTCACCATCACGAAAGTTGTTTTTCGTTTTGGGTATGAATTGTGCATCTTTGGGAAGTGTACTGAGCCATGAGTCGAGCTTTTGACCGCACCGAGCAAACTCGGACTCTGAAGCTTGACGGGGGACAAGTGTGACTGTAGTCCGGTTTGTGGTCCCAAATTGACGCTGTGAAGGTGTGTATTGGGCAAATAATACCCTACCAATACACTGACAAAGCTTCATCTTTTCAATAAACATGATGGAGAGACGTTTCTGATGTGACACGTCTTCCAATTGGCGACAGCGGTAGTTGGCAATCACAGATGGAGCGAAAGGTTCAAAATCAAAGTCATCTAGCCTGAGCATAGGCACATTGCTTGTTCCATCATTGACTTGAAGTGGGCGACGCATGCCCATGGCGATGAGCCGATCTCGGGAGTACAGACACCACCAGAGCCGAGCGCGGAGTCGTCGAGTTCTTACATCCATATCGCCCGAGGCAGGATCTTGATTTAACCCGATCGATTGTGATTGAGTGTTGCATACTCCAATCCAATCCCAGATATCTCGCTGTGGGCTGTTCTCAGGATCAGACCAGTAGGTCATCAGTAGTAATGTTTGTAGAATTACAATGCGGTCCTCTTCGCAGTCAAGAGAGTAGAGTAGCTATAGATGTGTTAGTTGGGCTCAAATTTTCAATTTCCGGTACACAAACCCTTAAGCGGGTAAAGAACGCATTCCGCGCGCTCTTCCGAGTCGAGTATCCTGCATCCTGCAGATGCTTAAGATCAACAAATGCCGTGCCGACGAACATCACTGCCTGAAAAAGCAAGATGCTAACATTCCCCTCTGGATCATTTTCTGCCACACACCGCAAGAACTCCTGTAAGTTCAAGACTGGCATAAAACTATGCACCCATTGAATATAACAGCGAAGCAGCTCATCCCGCAGACCGCTCTCCGGCAGCGAGAGCGCGCCACGGAATCGCAGGAACTCCAAGTCCTCCGGCGCGATGCGAGCTGGTAGTGGCTTTAAAAACCGAGGCTCCTCGTCCAACATCGCCGTCAGCGGATCGAAGTCCGGGTCAATCAGGTCCTGCACGGCAGACACCATATTCGCCAGCGGCAGTGAATGTTGCACATTGGGATTCCCGTGTGTGCGCCATCCTCCAGCAGGCTTGCCCTCATACAGCCACGGGGCTTGCGGATCATATCCAGAAAGACTGTGGCGCTTGGCTGTCGACTCAAGACCAGACTCTGCACTCGGCGACTTGCGCTTCAGAGCCTGCGCCCGGCTATCGGGGGTTGAAGCCATTCCCTCTCATGTAGGAGATATTCCTATTACTCAAGTTGGATAGACGACGAAATAGTTCCGGGGAGACCGAATCAGATATGAGAGATGACCAAAAGTTCAGGCGGTAGGCGGGCGGAGGGGAAATGTGGGGAGCCCGTTTTGCGGAGACCAACCTTGGCGCCCGGGGAAATCGCCACGTTTGATCGGCATTGGTTGATGGCAATTGGCTTTCTGTGCGGGTAGTAATCGTTTATCCACTGCCATATGTAGACATGAGTAACAAAGTGGTAGCAAAGCCATTTGCTTGGCACAAGGGTACATATATAGTACAATTTGCATAAGACGTGAAAACAAAGAACAAGAAAGGCTGTGCTGTTTTTCTAGGGGTTATACCTATGGTGGACTGAAAGTGGCATAGTAATTCAGTCCTCCTTTTAGACATAAATATGCTACCACTTTGTTATATCAATAGCTTCATGTAAATACTATAGGCAACCACTTTCGCTGCCATCCCCGCGATTCTAATAATGAGTATTGGCCCTCCACGGTCAGCTTGGGAGTCTAGATTGCTACTTTGTTGATGAAGTGTCAACTAAATATACCACTGAGATACAAACCAACAATGTTCCGACGAATCCTTAACTTAGTCATTGGGACTCTCAACATGATCACGGTCTCATGCTACACCAAAACTGATCTCTGAATGGCCTCATTGAAGATCATTGCTGTTGTTGGCTTAATTCTCTTGGGCGTTGTACTGCTCTTCAGCGGAAGACGAAACTACGAGCGATTCGGGCTTGCATATTGAAGACATCATCATGCCTTTGCAGAGCCTCGTATTGCGATGCGAGATGAAAGCAGAAACTCAGTATCTCTCTATATGTTTGAAAAACCTAGTAAAAGTCAACTTGAAAGTGACGAAGACGTATGAAAGGACCAGGACATGTGCAGACGAGCCTAGTGCCGGATGTATATGTCGAAAGTTGAATTGCATAGTTGCTGACTATCGAAGAGTCTGAATATGGGCCATAGGACTATCTCTTCAGATGCACATCTATATATATATTGAGCGGCATTTTGTGAAGGCGGGAGGTTAGGAAGGACAACACTCTATTCGAGCTGAACGGTCGTTTAAGATTCTCCGCCAGATATGAAATGAATGATTTCAAGTCCACTTTCTTATCACTGCAACTCAGCTTGTCCTACGCATTCATTCTGCATCATATGTTGTCGCATATTCAAGCCCATGTTCTCCATGACCCGGGTGGTACCTGCCCTCGTCTTGTACTACATGACGCTATGAAAGTCGAGTAGCGTTGTACGGCAGGGTATTGATGGAATCTTACACAGTCCAAGTGTTCCGACACAAGTAACTTGTCATGGAGCAGTACATGTATGAAGCCCCAGTAAATGGATTGAACCACAATACTGAACACCCAATAAATGGCAAATTCCTCGTATTCATGAAACAGGGACAAAGCATGCGAGATGATGCATGCCCTTCCAATAAACTATTGTACAAATTATCCAATCGAAAACCACCGAGCGAAATGTCTATTCATGTGTTTCCATTGACCGACGCCGTATGCTTCCACAGGATTGAAAAGGGAGGTCCGAGTCGTATCACCGGAGGTATAAAAGGTGTAAAAGATTTTACATGCTGCGTCGAGTCAGAGGCTGTTCATCGGGAAACGGACTGAGATGGATGCAACTTACGGAGGGAGGAGGAACTCTCCGAGGCTGCTGTGGAGGAATGCAACACCGGCCTGAAATTAACATGTTAGCTTTTCTGATGGCCTGATGCAATGCCGATGGAGTCGAAACGTACACCGAAGATCAGGAGGCTGCGGACAATGGTCTTGTTCTCGGGGTTGGTGGCCTCATCGTAGATGGTGCTGACGAAGCCCTTCTGGGCGCGGCCAGAGCCGGAGGGAACGATGCGCTGGTTGGGGGCCATTTTGTGTCTGATGGAGATTCGAGGATAGAGACCGTGGGTTGATGTTGTTGTAGAAGGTGATGATCGGACGTCGAGAAATCTGCGGACTCGGAACGGGCTTGGCATCACTGCGTCTTTAGCTCCCGCGCGCAACCGTATATCTTTGCCCGCGTGAATGCGACAGCGTCTGCAGTGACTGACCTTTACGTGAATTCGTTTTATTTCAACTGTTGTTGCGCGTCTATTCTTTGCCCTCGTCTCATTTTCTTCGCGTAAAAGATTGGTGGCCAGAGCTTTGTCTCGCGAGCAGGCGTCCTTCAGCAACCATGAACGTCGACGAGCTCTTCAAAGTGAGTCTGAGAGTATCTACCGGGATACTTACATATCTAACAGAATAGAAACCGTCCTCCACAGGCAATGCCAAGCGCAAATTCGAGCCCGTCCAAGATCCAAGTACGTCGCTCCCCGTAAACACCCTGGTCGCAACCTTCTAACATTCGCAAAAGATGAAGTCTACAAGTCCGCGAAGCTAGACTCGAACGGCGATGCACGGTCTAAAGGGAAGGCATCTATGGTCGAAGATGAAGCCGAGGACGGCGAAGCTGGGCCCGAGCTCCCTCCGGACTTTGACGAGGAGGATGTTCCAGACGACGAAGAGGGACGGTTCTTCGGAGGTGGAATGGACCGAAAGACAACACAGGCAATGGAGTACATTGACCAGCAAGAGGACGATGAGACTGCGGTACGGGGTATATGCTCCATGATCACTGGCCAGGTGCTGACAGCTTTCATCTAGCCCGAGAAGTTCGATTCCGCATGGGTGCGACGCTTTGCATTGAACTTCGAGCGGAAGATCTCGAAGAATGCTGAATTGCGGGCAAAATTTGAAAGCGATCCTCAAAAGTACGTGGAACTGTGGGAGATATTTGTACTGGTGCTGATTGAGTTAGGTTCATGGTCTCCGAGGCCGATCTCGATACTGAAATCAAGGGCTTATCAATCCTATCTGAGCATCCTGAGCTTTACGAAGAGTTTGCGAAGATGGGATGCGTTGGGTCTCTGATTTCTCTCTTGTCGCACGAGAATGCAGACATTGCGATCGATGTCATTCAGATCATCAGTGAATTAACGGATGAGGATGTGGAAGCCGAGCAAGAACAATGGGATGCTTTGGTAAATGCAATGGTATGTTGAACTCACAATGACATGGGGCAAGTACTTACATGGCATAGATGGAAGCCGATCTCATTGAATTATTGGCACAAAATCTCTCACGACTTGATGAAGGATCGGAGACAGACAGAGCCGGAGTATATTACGTGCTAGGTGGGTATTGAAGGTTTAGATATCGAACAATTGCTGATTAAAACAGGTGTACTGGAAAACCTGGCTTCCCAGACTTCCCACGCCGAGACAATTGGACAGGATGGTTCAATCTTGCCATGGATTCTCTCCCGCATCCAGAAGAAAGAAGCTGTTGTTAGTCAGAACAAGCAATATGCTGCTGAAATATTGGCGATTCTTCTCCAGTCATCACCAAAGAACCGCTCGAAGTTTATCGAGATGGATGGCATCGATGTCCTTCTCCAATTGCTCAGCGCTTACAGGAAACGTGACCCAGTGAAAGATTCTGACGAAGAAGAATACGTGGAGAATTTGTTTGATTCTCTTATCTGCCTCGTCGAAGAAGACGCGGGCAAGCAGAAGTTCGTGGAGAACGAGGGAATTGAACTAGCATTGATCATGCTCAGAGAGGGCAAGTTCAGCAAGTCTCGCTCGTTGAGAGTACTTGATCACGCTTTGGGTGGAGTTGGAGGTGCCCCGGCATGCGAGAGATTGGTGGAGGCGGCTGGCCTGAAGACCATTTTCGGGATGTTCATGAAGAAGGTAAGTACCTCTATGCCTGTGGCATTGGTTGAAACTAACATCCACTCAGCAAGAGGGACAAAATATCGAGCATTTCTTGGGAATCTTTGCTTCCCTTCTGCGTCTCCTGCCTGGTGGCTCTGCGCCACGTATCCGGGCACTAGCAAAGTTCATGGAAAAGGACTACGGAAAGATAGAAAAGCTGGTCAAGCTGAGGCGCGAATACGCATCGCGCGTGTCACCTGTTGAACAGGCCATCGCGAAAGAGCGCAGAACCTTTGACAAGGAAGAGCAAGAACTCATGGCTGGTGAATGGCTGTCGAGGCGGTTCGATGCCGGTCTGTTCTCATTACAGGTGTGTCCTTTTTCATATTCATATCATTCTTTGCTAACCATCTAGACTATCGATGTCATCTTGGCATGGCTTATTGCCGAGGATGATGGAGCCAAGCAGAAGATCCTCGCACTTCTTGCGGACCGCGATGAAGACTTGTCTCTGATCCGTAGTACGCTACAGGGTAAGCAATACATGCACTTTTCTTTGAGCAAAACTAACTGTTGCAGAACAACTCGAAGGACTTGGAGAGGAGGAACCAGGTCAGAAAGACTTCAAGGATATGCTGAGCACACTTCTTCAGTTTGTTTAAGCGCTGATCTCTCATGCATTAAATGTAATATACAGTCAAAGAATCTAAGAATCCATAACTTGGCGCGTAAATGAATACATGTACAATAAATGCGACTGAACAATATTCCGTGAAGGGATTTATACTCGGAGGCGGTGAGAACTGGATCACATGATCACTACCCAAATAGGACTAGCGTCTTGCCTAGCGGGCGAAGAAGCATCAAGAGTCTGGAGATCAGTCCCTTCATCCCATCATTGCCGGGGAGTTTCTTTTCCATCCCTTTCAGGTTGTCAGGCTCCACCACGCATCTGCCTCCGACTTTCTAACCCCTGCCGATACCACCTTCTATCACCGACAGGCGGGCTTGCAGCGCGTTGGGTGATTCTTCGGATCGTGCACCCAGGCCGACGCGCCTCCGTTCGCTTTTCAGATACAACACCTTCTCCAATCCGCCTCCGCCCTGACCAGGTCTCCTTTTGATCGCCACCATGGCGGATTACGATGAAGCTTATGAGGAGGAGTTTTACGACGATGCGGACGAGGGCATCACCTCCGAAGATTGCTGGACCGTGATCTCTTCGTTCTTTGACTCGAAGGGTCTTGTGTCTCAGCAGCTGGACTCATTCGACGAGTTCATTTCTTCGACGATGCAAGAACTTGTGGAGGAACAAGGACAGGTTGTTCTCGATCAAACTCTCCCCCTCCGAAGATGAAGTCGACCCTGTCGTTGTGCGCCGATATGAGCTCAAATTTGGCACCGTCATGCTTTCGCGACCATCGGTCACAGAAGGCGATGGTGCGACTACCATCATGTTGCCACAAGAAGCGCGTCTCCGAAACCTCACCTACGCCTCCCCCTCTACCTCGAGGTGACAAAGAAGATCATGGAAGGTCGCGAGCGATCATCCAATCCCGATGATGACGATGCGAACGAAGGCGATGGTGATCAAAAGAACCGCGGCACATACCTCCAGTGGGAGCAGAAGCACCTTCCTGGAGACACGGGCAAGGAAGAGACAGTTTTCATCGGAAAGATGCCCATTATGCTCAAGTCCAAGTACTGTATCTTGAAGGACCTAAGCGAAGCGTCTCTTTACAACTGGAATGAATGCCCTTACGACTCCGGTGGTTACTTCGTTATTAACGGCAGTGAGAAGGTTTTGATCGCACAGGAACGCAGTGCTGGAAACATTGTCCAGGTCTTCAAGAAGGCTCCTCCCAGTCCCACGCCGTACGTCGCCGAAATTCGAAGTGCTGTGGAAAAGGGCTCGCGACTTCTCTCTCAGCTTTCTTTGAAGCTCTTCGCCAAGGGAGACAGTGCCAAGGGTGGATTTGGCCCGACGATTCGCTCGACCCTCCCATATGTTCGTGCTGATATCCCGATTGTCGTCGTTTTCCGTGCGCTGGGCGTCGTATCCGACGAAGATATTCTGAACCACATTTGTTACGATCGCAATGATACTCAGATGCTAGAGATGCTCAAGCCTTGTATCGAGGAAGGTTTCGTTATTCAGGACCGTGAAGTGGCCCTTGACTTTATCGCCAAGCGTGGCTCCTCACAGTCGAATCTGAACCACGACCGACGTGTGCGGTATGCCCGTGATATTATGCAGAAGGAATTGCTGCCTCACATTTCGCAAAGCGAGGGCAGTGAAACCCGTAAGGCATTTTTCTTGGGATACATGGTGCACAGACTTCTTCAGTGTGCCCTGGGTCGTACCGACGTGGATGATCGTGATCACTTCGGAAAGAAGCGTCTTGACTTGGCTGGTCCCCTTCTGGCCAACCTTTTCCGTGTTCTTTTCACGCGAGTGACCCGTGACCTTCAGCGTTACGTGCAGCGCAGTGTCGAGACCAACCGTGAGATCTACCTCAACATTGGTATCAAGGCGGCCACCCTCACAGGAGGTCTGAAGTATGCTCTTGCTACCGGTAACTGGGGCGAGCAGAAGAAGGCCGCCAGCGCCAAGGCTGGTGTGTCCCAGGTGCTGAGTCGTTACACTTTCGCATCTTCATTGTCCCATTTGCGACGTACCAACACACCCATTGGCAGAGATGGAAAGATTGCCAAACCACGTCAACTACACAACACCCATTGGGGTTTGGTCTGTCCAGCTGAGACACCTGAAGGTCAAGCTTGTGGTCTAGTCAAGAACTTGGCCCTCATGTGCTACATCACTGTTGGTACGCCGAGTGAGCCCATCATTGATTTCATGATTCAGCGAAATATGGAAGTTCTTGAGGAGTTCGAACCTCAGGTCACGCCAAATGCAACTAAGGTGTTTGTCAACGGTGTCTGGGTTGGTATTCACAGAGACCCTTCGCATCTTGTCGCTACAATGCAGAACCTTCGTCGACGAAACATGATCTCGCACGAGGTCAGTTTGATTCGTGACATCCGTGAGCGTGAATTCAAGATTTTCACCGACACCGGTCGTGTGTGCCGTCCCCTGTTCGTTATCGACAATGACCCCAAGAGTGAGAACTCTGGTGGGTTGATCCTCAACAAGGAGCATATTCGCAAGCTTGAGCAAGATAAGGACCTACCCGCCGATATGGATCCAGAGGAACGTCGCGAGCAGTACTTCGGATGGGATGGTCTAGTTCGCTCTGGTGCAGTTGAATATGTGGATGCTGAAGAAGAGGAGACTATCATGATTGTCATGACGCCCGAAGATCTTGAGATCTCCCGACAACTCCAGGCTGGTTACGCTCTGCCCGAGGACGAGACCAACGATCCCAACAAGCGCGTTCGCTCGATTCTCAGCCAGCGTGCCCACACTTGGACACATTGTGAGATTCACCCGAGTATGATCCTGGGAGTTTGCGCCAGTATCATTCCTTTCCCCGATCACAACCAGTCGCCACGTAACACATACCAATCTGCCATGGGTAAGCAAGCCATGGGTGTTTTCTTGACGAACTTTGCACAGCGCATGGAGACCATGGCGAACATTCTTTACTACCCTCAGAAGCCTCTGGCCACTACTCGCTCAATGGAGTTCCTGCGTTTCCGTGAATTGCCTGCCGGTCAGAACGCCATTGTCGCTATCGCTACATACTCCGGATACAACCAGGAAGATTCCGTCATCATGAACCAGAGCAGTATCGATCGTGGTTTGTTCCGCAGTTTGTTCTACCGAACCTACACGGATACCGAGAAGATGGTCGGCCTTTCAGTGGTTGAGCGCTTCGAGAAGCCTATGCGCACTGACACCATTGGCATGCGCAAGGGTACCTACGACAAGTTGGATGACGATGGAATTGTTGCACCCGGTGTGCGTGTTTCTGGAGAAGATATCATTATTGGAAAGACTGCTCCCTTGGCCCCTGATGCTGAAGAGCTCGGCCAGCGTACCAAGGCGCACACCAAGATTGACGTTTCGACACCACTCCGAAGCACTGAGAATGGTATTGTTGACCAGGTGTTGATCTCGACGGGTAACGACGATCTCAAGTTCGTCAAGGTCCGCATGCGTACCACCAAGATTCCCCAGATCGGTGACAAGTTCGCCTCTCGTCACGGTCAGAAGGGTACCATTGGTATTACTTATCGTCAGGAGGACATGCCCTTCACTCGTGAAGGTGTGGTGCCCGACCTGATTATCAATCCCCACGCTATTCCTTCTCGAATGACCATTGCCCATTTGATCGAGTGTCAATTGTCCAAGGTCTCAGCTCTGCGTGGTTTCGAGGGTGATGCTACTCCTTTCACCGATGTCACTGTCGACTCAGTTTCCCGTTTGCTGCGTGAACACGGCTACCAGTCTCGTGGATTCGAGGTCATGTACAACGGACACACTGGTCGCAAGATGGTTGCCCAGGTCTTCCTAGGACCCACCTACTACCAGCGTCTGCGCCATATGGTCGACGACAAGATCCACGCCCGTGCCCGTGGTCCTACCCAGATTCTGACCCGCCAGCCTGTCGAGGGTCGTGCTCGTGATGGTGGTCTCCGTTTCGGAGAGATGGAGCGCGATTGTATGATCGCCCACGGTGCCAGTGCATTCTTGAAGGAGCGTCTGTTCGATGTCTCGGATCCGTTCCGTGTGCACATTTGCGACGACTGCGGTTTGATGACTCCTGTTGCGTAAGTTTATCTAGCCCTTTCTATCCGTTTATACATTACTAACATCTTTTAGTAAACTGAAAAAGGGTCTATTCGAGTGTCGACTGTGCAATAATAAGCACCGCATCTCGCAAGTGCACATTCCCTACGCCGCCAAGCTTCTGTTCCAAGAGCTGGCCTCCATGAACATTGCCGCCCGGATGTTTACCAATCGGTCCGGGGTGTCAGTGCGGTGATTCTTGGGTTTCTTATTTGTATTTTAATGATCTGCAAAAAATGCGCATATTCTGGCCTGTTTCTGCGGCGTCTGGGAGGGTTCGCATTTGAAACTTAGTTCTGCCATACATAGTTGGATCACATTTCGTGCACATCTTGAGGTAGTTGCCAATGTATCTTCAATTTGATAATCTATAGACTCCAGCCCGTGTCCGTTTTGTCCATTCTGTGTACCTATACCCTGATATCAGACCCGAACTATACCAGCATCACCTCCCAACCTCCTCACTCTTAATAAAGACATCATCCTCCTCCTTAACCGGAATCCCTCCCATCTCCTTATCAGTCGGCTTCCTAGCCCAAACCCTCCTCCTACCAAAAGGTCAGCCCATCGCACCATCACCAATATCAAAGAAACCAAAAACTCACGTATTTTGAAACATATGCAAATGAGGATCCTTCAACTCCCCCCTCACCTTAGCAACAAGAACCTGCACCTCCTCTTTAGTCCAGGGCTTCGGCGACCCCCATTTAGTAAGCATAAACATAGCCCAGCCCTCCATCCCCGTAGCCCAATGATGATAATGCAACCGCCCAGCCTCTTTTAGCGTCGCATCACGCGCCCACGGGCCTATCGGACATCGATAGCGCTTTTCGTGGATATCCACGAACCCGGCCTTTTCAAGACTCTGTCGCATTGTGCGCACTGTGTCGAGGGGGTGGTTCCAGTTCTCGGCCGCGTCGAGGACGCGTTCGCTGAAGTTGGGCGTGTAGGCATCTTTCGGGAGGCTGTTGTCGCTGCAGCTTATTCGCGGGTCCATTTCTAGGTGTTCGATCCACGAGCCGGCTTTTAGGTTGCTTTTTCGGTTTTGTTCCGTTGGTGAATTGTTCTAATGGGAGAAGGGAAACGGGGGGATGGATGGTTACTTACTCGTAGCAATGCTTGTATACGATATCCCATTCCTCGGGTGTGAATGAGCCTAGCATGTGTCGCAGGTGGATAAGGTCGAATGGATCGCGCCACGTCCATTCTTGGAGGATGTCGTCTACTTCCATTATGCAGTTTGGGGGAGCCACTCTCCTGGTGGGGGGAAGAGGTCTACGCCTCGGACGATTGCTGTGCATGTTAGCTTAGGGTCATTTTGGAGGGTTGAGTACTTACTTTCTGGGAACAGATCTGCCGTATCACTTTGTGCTTGTTAGTTTGATATCATGGAGTGACGGGGTGGATGCATACACAGCCCAACTCCCTCGGCCGGTTCCAATGTCTAGAATATGCTGAATTGGTGAGCGGGTTGTTTGTCTGATCATAGTCGATAGATAGATACCTTGGGGTTTTCAATAGGTGCATAAAATAGTGGATTTTCCCTGTCCGAGTCTAGGATTATAGCGATCAGATGTCTGTCGGGGTCAGCTTTGGGTTCCAGTATGGGGAAATAAACAGACCCTGCTTCTAGACTCTCCCACTGCTGTTCATCTGATGGACACCTATATAAAATAAGTTAAAATTCGTTCAGTCGCATTGATTCCAATGGTATATACCAGGATCTGCCCTCCTTGACGACTTGGTAGCTATGCGTAGTTAGCGGGTGCCCCTGGATTGATATCAGGGCACATACCGTCTCCCATTTTCGAATACCCCGCGATAGATGGTGGATGCGAGGGAAGTCGTTTCTCTGGAATGGATCAGATTTATTGTTTCGATTGGAGGATATATATTCTCACGATTCAAAATCCCCCGGTTTATAAGGCCGAGCGTCATAGCAGTCAGGATCCTGGCAGTGTTAGCCGGAAGGCGCACGCGGCCTTTGCGGCTTACTTACGACTTCGAGTATGTCGGACATGCTTGGATTCGTGGAAGATGAATGTATATTAAAGTGCGAAAGATAGGCACACTCTTGTTGGCGGATCCCCTGAAATGTTTGAAATGGTTGACATCCGATCAAGAGATTTTCTTTGTTTGGGCAATCCACCGTCTCCTTAACAACATTGCCATGTCCACTAGACATGGGACTTTGTTTGCCCTATCCGTATGCATCCATCATACGAGTCAATCGTTTAGCCGAACTATCCCCCGGTCAAGTATGGGTTGTTTACAGTACTGCCGGTCATCCTTACGGTGGTGTACCTCCGTCCGCTTCCCTACATAAAGTACCCAGGGTAAGACGGGTGGTTTAATTTACATGATCTGTGCGATGTCATATGTACTTGTACTTGTGCTTGTGCTTGTGCTTGTACTTGTGCTATGACATGCCCCTCCATGTCGAGGCTTCTAAGACCTGCATGCGTCACTCCGTCAGCCAGCCCACTTGCGACTTCTGACTGGCTTGTCGTCTTCCCGTCTTTGGTCTCGGCACCTTTTCACCGGCCTGCTGAGAATTTGAGGGAAACTCGACTGTCTCGAGACTATCAAGTGTGGATGTCGAGTGTCTCTCTGTCCAGGTGGTCTGCCTGTCTGCCTTTGAGCGGTGACTGCGCAACCAACAACCAACAACAACATCGCAATCCACCTGCACACACACTGCGCACTGCGCACTTCGAGTCTCGACCTCTTATTTAGTCTGATGAGGCTGACTTTATTCACAAAACTCTCCCCTCACCCGGTCCGAGCCCCAGCGCGAATTGATGGGCGATCATTGGCCACCGCCATGAGGGCATCCCATCACTGCGCACAACCGCGTCGGGCCAACCAACATCGCTCAATAACCGCCCAGTGAGGTCTGCACGACAATTCGGATTCTACAGTGCTGATCAAATCGAATCCCATAAAAGATGCCATAGCCACCCTAGGCGGATTTCTTTTTCTTCTTTTCTTCAGCGAGCGTTTGTTGTGTTAGTGCTGCATATTCGATCGATCCTGGCACTGGTTGCCCGATCTTTTTTCTTTCTATCTATACTATCTTAATTCTTCCTTTCAACTTTACTCCTCAAACGAGCTGTGCTCTTTGGGATTCTGCCTTGCTTCGGATCTTTCGACTTGACTTATACACAGGATTACAGCTTGTCGCCGGTCGACTTGTTCCTTCAGTTTCTATCGCAACAAACACACCTAATTTAATCTCGCTCGATTATTTTTCATTTCGTGGACCGGTTCCCGAAAGAGTCACTATTAACACAACTGAACTCTGGTAGTTTCTGTTGTTCCAACTATACGATACTCTTTCACCCTCTACGACCTTATTTTTATCTTATTCTATCTTACTTGTTCATCATGGCCGCCGTTCAACTCAAGTTCTCCCTCAGGACCTCGTCCAACGTCAAGACCGTTCACCTGGTCGGCTCCTGGGATAACTACCAGCGCCAGATCCCACTCTCCGCAGAGGACAAGCCCGGCGCCTGGGTCGGCAAGTTCCGCTTCCAGACCTCAATGCTGCAACTCGGAGGCCGCTACTGGTACTACTACATCATGGACGGCTACCACGTCTCGCACGACCCCGCCGTGGAGTACACCGTCGAGCCCACCACCGGCCGCAAGCTCAACATCCTCGATGTCCCCGGCGGCAAGTCCTCCAGCACCAGCACCCGCAAGTCCCGCAGCGCCAACATCGCCACCGGTCGCGCCCTGTCCCCCTCGCGCATCCAACACCCCAAGCCCTCAAAGCCCTACGCTTCCCGCCAGCTTCGCGAGGCCGACTTCGCCCCCACCGTCGACGACTTGACCCGCCGCTTCGCCGGCTCCCGTCTGTCCGACGAGTACTCCTACTCCAACTCGCCTCCCAGCTCTGCCGGCTCCAGTCTGTCTTCTCGCTCGTCGGGTTCTACTTCGCCCTCGTCGCTCTCGTCTATGAGTGACCCGCCCGTCCAGTGCCGCTGTGAGCGCTATGGTATTACCCGCAAGGGTGACCGTGTCAAGCTTGACTGTGGTGGTTCCCGCTGTGGTTATCTGACCGAGTCTTCTGATGATAGCTGCTCTGAGTCTGAGTATGAGAGTGATGAGGAGTACTGCCGTGCTCGCAATGCTGCTCGTCGCCAGGGTATTGTTGTTCGCCGGTAGATGGTTACTCCGGTGTCTGGGTTTCGACCTGGAACTTGTGTTGATCTATCTTGCGCTTGACGTCTCTTGACTTCACTGCGTTTTTGTTTTTGGATAAACGAAAAGGAAAAAAAAGCCCTGAGCCGCGGGTGAACCGGTTTCACGCCGCGGTTGGGCGGGGATGATAATCGTGAGATGAGAGAAGGAGAGAAGGAGGGAAGAAGAGGAAGAGAAGAAGAAGATATCGAAGTACTCGTACGTCGACATCGATCCAACACCGACAACTCCACCTGGAAAATCCAGCACAGTGGACGCCGACAAACTTATCTTGAACCGGTCAAGATCCGCAACCCCGGCACAAGCTATAAGAACCGACAATATTCGCAAGGACATTCCATTCATGTCCATCCAGCGAAGTATGACTCGGCATCTCATCAACATCAACCAAGGCAAATCACCGACGTGATGCGCCTGTTTCGCGGCGCTCGCTTTGGTTTAGGTCTTACTCTGAGATGCCATGAATAACGAGATATGACCTGCATTACTTTCTATCAGTAGATTTAAATTCGAGTACAGTTCTGTAAGCTGTAAGCTGTAAATTTAAAATGTAGCATTGCTGTTCTGTGTAGAAATTATGGATATCTTTAATTAAACGAAGAAACAGTACACGGAGCAGGAGAATAGGTTTTTGGGTCGCTCCAAAAGCTACTCAGCCTGCCTCGATACCGCGAATCCGGACATGGATCCTGGCATCAGCAAAGCTCGACACACCAACTCTCCCATGGAGCCCGCGCGCCCGCGGACATCCACCCGTGCCCTCGTGGTTGTCATCCTCCTCGTTCGATACGGTGGCATATTCGTCTCAATTGACGACATCGGATCACCCCCGTACGTTAGAATTCCTTGCCGCCAGCTCGACTATAGCGCTGCTGGATGACATTGCAGAATCGTTATCCTTTTGCTCTTCACCGGCCCCCAAACCCTTCGGCAACACGCTAGAAAAGCTGCATGATAGCGAAATGGTTATACTTACCAAAGCTAAATCTAAATGTGTGGTTGCTCGTGATGGGTTTCCCTGGCCTCCATAATATCGAGAAGAATCTCTATGAGCCAAAACGTTCTTACGGCCGGATGGTTGAAGATGATACGGGATGGGATCAACATATCGACAAATTAGACTTCCTCGAAGCCATTATACCCGTCCGCACGAATTGAGGCTTTTAGACTGGAGACTATTCAGATAGCTTCGGTGTAGGTGCTTTCAATACTTGATATCTATCTTCGAACCCCAACGCCGGGGTAGCGAATCAAGCTGGAATTTCACACTAATAACGCCTCTCTACCGAGAAACAACTACGTCGACAAACTTCGTCAATTAAAGCTGTTATTTGTACGATATCTCGACTACGTAAATCTGGTATCAACAAATATCAGCAAACAGCTAACAGCAGCGGGTCAGGAAAACCCCGAAAATGGACTAGTTTGCTTGGTATGCAAATTCGACGAAGCAGAGAGTACGCGGTAATGAGAGCGAATTTTAAGATAGACTTACAATTTGATAAGATGAACGCCCACGTATCCAAGTTCAAAGTGAAAGTATAAAACCAAATTTCCGAAATTGCACGCAAATAGATTGTCGTTGATACTTGGGGTTTAGCGCTGAAAGAGCTGTCCACCGTTACTGAGTAGTATACGACCGAGTGGCTGTTCCCGGCCGTTTTGCTTCAAACCTTGGAGAAGCCGATTCTCTGGAGCACCGACAAACAGTTGTCCGACGACCCAAAATTTTCTTTGTAAAAAACCGCAGCTAATATTCACATGATCACCGTAAAGAAGTCTCAACGTACCACCTTTTGTGGGAGGTCACACGACAGACTATTCAATTGTCCAACATGGCCGCATGCAGCATGATCCACACAACTCAATCTTAATTAGGGTTCTAGCAGCTACCGGCTCATTCAAACCTTAATTTATCCCCTCGTATATGTTCGTAATCACCAATACTTATTATCTTTGCCCAACTATTTCCGGGCATAGGCTTAAGAGATGGTTTCAGGCCCATCGAGCCCCTTCAAACTATGGTTAGTACGCTAACGTTACCCTTCTATATTCCACTAAAGCATAATCCAGCGCTCTCGTATAGTGAATGAGCGTTCTAGTCTGTTCTATATATGCTATAATGGCTAAATCTGTAAACTAGAGGCCGCCGGTGCTGGATAGCCTCCTTGCCATCCCAGCTGCAGAAGGCATACTAAACGACATGTAAAATTAAAATTATACATGCGCCAGTTCGTGAATACACTAAATGGGATGCTTGTTCCGGAGCTAAGAGGGAAGTGGCTGAACTGCTAGGGATATTGCGTTGCTGCTCATAGAACATAGAACAGTCTAGCCAAAAAGCAGCGACGCAGTGGAACCCTCTCCAAGAGGGACTAAGTTATCTAGATCGTCTGACATGAAATGACTTGGCAATGACGCAAGGAAAAGGGTCAGATGGTCATGCTAGGTGTCTAAGAAATATGTGCGTCCTCGTATATTTAAGGGATGGTATTCTTGAGTAGAGGAGAATTCTGGACATCTCGTCTATCATCATTTCAAGAAGTGACCACCCAAACTTTACTATTCTGGTTCTTTATCCTTCAAACCGAACAAAGGGTATCTACCGATAAACTTTACCGGGCCGTGAACATGGCTCCTCTATGTGCCATTGTACCACAATATGTCCTAGAAGGCATCATTGAAAAAGGATTGGCGCCACAGCCTATTATTCATCGGTGCCAATCCACTATTGAAAAAACAAAGCAGCTTCAGGATGCTCGTGAAGCTCAGGGGCAGAGTATCGCAGCGGTGCAGCAGCAACAGCCCTCCCAAGGTATTATTCCACCTTATATTCTTGAATCAATTGCCCGCAATGCTGTGACAGAACAACAACGCGAGGCAGCTCGCCACACACTCGCACATCGTACTGAACATCGAATAGCGGCAGGGCGTGTACGTCGTTTAAACCGTACAGTATACGATGCGCAGAATTCAAAAGATAATCCTCCTCCCCGTGATAGCATCCTGCTTAAGGAAGGTGATAAACTTCTCTCTGCGGCGAAGGATCCAACCAACAATGCAAATGAGTGTTATATTGGTCTTGGGAAGACTTATGACTTCTACTTCGATTTCTTCCAGCATAATTCATTTGATAATAAGGGGATAAGCCTCGATGGCTTCATACATGCTGGGGACCTTCTTAACGCCTACTTTGACGGCGAGCAGTTAGTCTTTGGTGACGGAGACGGCGTTATCTTCAATGGCTTCACAGATGAGCTCGATGTCATCGGTCATGAGTTTACCCATGGAGTGGTGCAGTATACAAGTCCACTTCCATACCGATACCAGACTGGTGCTCTCAATGAGTCTCTTTCGGATGCCTTTGGTGCTATGATTAAACAATGGGGTGAAAGCAACCCACAGACTGCTGACCAAGCCAACTGGCTTATTGGAGAGGGAATCTGGGCTGCAGGTGTCAATGGCAAAGCTCTCCGCGACATGAAGAATCCTGGAACAGCTTATAACGATGCCCAAGTGGGGAAAGATCCTCAGCCCGCGCACTGGAACGATTTCAAGAAACTCCCTTACAGTAACGACCAGGGCGGTGTTCATATCAACTCCGGCATCCCAAATCGCGCTTTCTATCTTGCTGCTACTATGATTGGAGGATATGCTTGGGAAGGTGCTGGTCCTATCTGGTACCGCGCTCTGAGCAGCGGTAAGCTTCGGCAAGATGCCACATTCAAGGGCTTCGCCGACCTCACAATTGAGAATGCTGGTCAGCATGTGGATAAAGTCAGGGAAGCTTGGACACTTGTTGGATATCCATTTTCTGAGAAGAGGGATGAGCTGTAATGATTATTCGGAATGGACCGGGTTAATGAGCCGGATTATCGTGTTTAGGAGTTTGAATTCTGTTTGTGCAAAAGTCTGGTATATTAAGTGTGCTGATATTTCTTCATAACGAAGCTATTTTCCCACAGACATCCCGCTTGATGTATGCCTTCAGTTTAGAGGTAACTTTTAAACAACGATGTATCGTATACGAGCGGGTTCAATGTTTCCCATCAAGCAAGCTCCTTCGCAGTAGCTCTAGGTCTGTAAATGTTTGTTTTATCTGATCGAGAGACGGATCAAGATAAGATTAAGGTAATCCCATATATCATAATTCGGGTTCTTGCTAGCCAGAATGATCTGACCCACGAGACGCTAGGACAATTACCAGTTATAAGTTATACTGTTCCGGAAGCCTCCAAGTCGTACAAATCCTCAGGCAATGTCAGTTTGTGGCGCCCTGCTTGCTGTCTTAGAGAATATTAAAGTATTACGTAGGCGTTAGGCACAGTAGTTACAGTAAGGAAGAGCTATACAATGTCATCCCTGCTCGGTTGGGTGAAAACAATCCGCCAGCCATAGGAGAATATTGAGATTTATTTGCTTGGGCAGCGTGTGAATCTGATTCAAGCTTGTGCTTCTGCGTCTGTGTAGTACTTAGGCCCCCGACATGTCATATTTATTTGTATAGTTCGCAGTAGACTGCAGGAGCATGTAGCACGAAAACGAAAATACCATTGGTGGGCTTATCTGGCTTTAGATGCAGCAATAACTATAATCCAGGTGATATCTTTAACAAGCTGCATAGAAGCCTGTAAAGTAAAGGTAAAGTAAAGAAAATATCTAGTTGAGGGCTGTTTGAGGCCCTTTTCCAATAATTCCCTCCAAGAAATCAAATCCCTCCCTTTGCAACCACCAAGTCCTCGACCCAACCTTCATAAGCATCATAAAAGTATGTTCCTCCCCTGGAACCTCAGTCATCCCACACTGCACCCCAGCCTCCCTCAACCGTCCATACAATTCGCGACTAAGCCCGATAGGAACCATTGTATCCTCGAGTCCATGCACAATCCACGTAGGCGGGAACTCGGCGCTAACGTTCTTCACCGGATCAATCCGCTCCATATCGGGATCTGTAGTTTTACCGTCTGGGTAGATAGCGTCCATAACGGTTCCATTGGCAATCTGCGTGAAAGCGAAAGCGTCGCGCGGTCGAGAGAAATCAGGGCCTTTGCTTCCTCTGGCTTCAGATTGGCCTTCTAGGGAAACAGAGCTATCTGTTGGGATTGGGATTTCCTGGTATATTTGGGAGAGGAAGGCTGGGTCCAGGTTTGAAGGGAGTTTTGAGGCGACATGGGAGAGAGGTGTTTTCCAGAATGGGTCTGTGAAGTGGACTGCGCCATAGAGGGACAGGATTGCTTTTACTGGTCTGGGGATGTTAAAGCCCTGTATTTTTGTTAGCTTTGTTGTTTCTTTTAGTGGGATGTACGGAAGTATAAAGTAACATACCAGACCCAAAGCAAGAGTCCCGCCAGACGATGTCCCGAAGGCAGCGATATTGTCAATATCAGCGCTGTATGTCTCATGACCGCAGAGCACTTTGTTCAAATGCCCGTCATGGATCCAGGTCAACAAATCGCGTATATCCTGCATTGGTCCCTCGAGGATATTCACTCCCGGACATAGCCGGTGGTTTGGAACTAGCACGATCCAGCCACGATCGAGACAGTCTTTCACCTGGGGGAGGGAGACCATGCGTGAATGACCGAGCATGAAGGCGCCGCCATGAATGTCAATTACTACTTTTGTTTTAGTGGGAGTCCTTATGTTGGTGTTGGTGTACATGGTACTCACCCACTGGGTATTTCTGTGGTGATGCGGAAGATGTGGACGGGAGATATATATCTGTTGTGATTTTGCTACCATTGACCTCTTTGTAGAGGACTGTCAGGGGGTCATCGAGAGACATGATGCTTGAGTGAAGAATTAAGGTCAGACGCGCGTTTCTTATGTTTCTGCAGTGCGGGGACGGAATTCCCCGAACTGGGGATCTCGGCTTTTCCGGATCGCCTCGGATAGCTCGTCGCTTATACACGCTCTTCTGCTGATTATATAGATATTAATTCTACGGCGTTAGCTTTCGAATTTGCTTTTGAATCCACTTTTGAGACCAGTTTTGGAGCTATCCGAAATATAGAAATATGCACTAACTCCGAAGCACGCCCGCTATAAGCGACCCGTCTATTGTATTGGAATTAAGAATAGATCAAAATTACATTATACGAACATCCCCTAGTATCTTCACAAATCTTTCCAAAAGTACGAAGAAAATAAGGGCCAAGTTAGAAAAGTTTGCGGTCATAGGGTAATTCCACCGTAAACTAAAACATGAGCTACAGTGAGTCAATATTAAGAGCAAGATAGCTTCAAAACAGCCTCAACCACCATTTAACAGTAACTATTGAGCAGTGGCTTGTGGTAACATCGAAAGGACCTTAAAAAGTATGATTGAAAGCGGACCTGATTATCAGTTTTGAGGCTAGCAATGACCTCGCCGTTATTCAAGCTTATACTTTCCTAGCGCGGGGGTAGGCGAAAGTGATAAAAGAAGAAAGTGTATGACCAGGGTAATTGTCTAGTAGATAATATACATAGACTTGGCAGCTTAGTAGAATGTAAAAACGATAAAAATTGGAGAACGAGGGCCAACGGATTGAGACTTTAGAGCAACACACGATATTTGTTCAATGCTAGATAGTTTTAACCATATTTCCAAGAAACCGGGCATCATACGTATCTTGTGTACAAGGAACGGGTAGAGGACAACTCCGGGCTTAGCTAGCTCAAAACCCCCGTTAAGTGTCACTTTATACTACCGCAGACGCAAAAAGAACAATAGCTATAGCACGGAAGACGTGACAGGCAATTCAGAACTGCCTAGCCATGGCTCCCAAGTCCAATCGTTGCCTAAATCTCATTCATCTCTTTATTGACTCTATTCTCTCTTAAGGTTTGCCAAGACTTTAAGCCGCACCCTGTTTCTACAGATACTAGTCAAATGTTCCTTCCCACTCCGCCCCACTATATTGGCCCAACAACCAACCCAAGTTTTTTTTTCACTCCTACACCTCCCCTATTGCTCCGATTGTAATGAAATTAGGACCAAAAAGTAGCAAAACGGCGCAGCTATCTACGTCCCAAAGGTCAGCTATTATCTATGCTCACGAGAATGGCGCTACGCAAGTGCAATTAGCTAATGACTTTGGCTGCTCTCGGCGTACAATCTACAATACGCTAAAACGCTATTCAGAAGGCGAAAAGCTAGAGAATCGCGAAAAAAGCGGCCGTCCCGCTATTATTAGTGAGCGCGCTTGCTCTCATCTCTATTTACAGGCACGTCGGCATCCGTTTTAGACCTATAAACAGCTAAGTGCTGCTACAGCTCAGCATCCGTCACCCTCCACTATACGTCGAATTTTGAAGCGATTCGGACTCGGAAAACGGCGATCGAAACAGAAAATACCAATTAAGCCTCCTCTTGCAAGGAAGAGGCTAAAATTTGCGCGAAAATGGCGACGCGAAAGCTTCCAATCGTGGATCTTCTCGGACGAGTGTTCGGTGCAACGAACCTCGAACTTTGGACCACAATGGTGCTTTCGTACAACCTCGGAGGGCCTTCGTAAGGACCTTGTGAATGCTAAGGCTCACGTTAAAGATATTTCACAAATGGTTTGGGCCGGAATCTGGCTAGGAGGTCGAACAGAATTAATAATTATGGAACGGGACAAAGAATCGCGGTCGGGGAGGGGTTATACTGCGAAGTCGTATATTTCGACGCTCGAAAAAGGTCTGATGCCAATCTACACCCCTAATTTAGTATTTCAGCAAGATAACGCGAGGATTCATCTAGCGAAGGACACGCAAGAGTGGTTTGAAACTCACGGAGTATACGTCGAAGACTGGCCCGCGCACTCACCCGATTTGAACCCAATTGAACCGGTATGGCGCTGGTTAAAAGTGAAGCTTTTTGCATTATTTCCGGAGCTTATTGGCATGGGAAGGTCGGAGGCAGACTGGCATTATTTTAAAAAATGCCTAGTGGAAGCTTGGAAGGCATTAGATCAGGCAAAGATAGATACGCTAATATTGAGCATGGGAAGACGTTTGAAGGCAGTGCGGAAGGCTAAGGGGTATTACACAAAATATTAAGCGAATTTTTGAAAGTGCTATTATTAAGCAACCCTGAAATTTAATTATATTATTATAGACCATAAAATGGTGGTGCTATATACTGTGTAACTGATATATATAGGGGATTGGTACTACCACCCCCCTTTGCCTGCTACCACCCCCCCGGCCTGAATTCCCAGGCCAATATTCTTTCTGCCGGACATATTTCTGCCACCACCGACCATGCATGAGGTACTTACATTTACTATGCAACCCCCTAATTAAATGAAGTCACTTTCGTACTCTACCACTATCATGCCAATTGCACGGCACTAGTCCTAAATAGGAAATAGATGCTGTTTTCAAAAACTCTGCAGAAATGAAGGAATTGGCCCATGCAGCGGCCGGTCACCATTTTACGTTGAATTCTTTAAAAAGTTGCATGAGAATAGTGAAGAAATTGAGTAATTTGCATTGGATTAGCCATTTATGGAGCTCCCCGACGCTTCCTGAGGCGATCAGACCAGGAATCCTCGTCCTGAGATGCCCATGAAGCTATTCCCGACCCCTGAGATGTAGCCATGCTCGGCGGCGATGCTTGCTGGGTCCCTCCACGGCCACGGCCACCTTCTAGAGAAGCTTGTTGAGCTTCCTGGGCAATAGATGAAGCTATTCCCACCCCGTTATCTCCCTGTGATGCCTGTTGTGTCCCTCCACGTCCTCTGCCACGTCCTCTGCCACGTCCTCTGCCACGTCCTCGGCCGCGTCCACGGCCACGGCCACCTTCCTGAGATAGCATGAGCTCGAAGCCGGAGGGGTCTCGCTGGGTGGAGGTGTCTTGGGTGCTTGCTTGGGTGCTTTCGCCGCCGCCGATGAAGTTCCTAGCGCCTTGGGGGCGCCCTCGCCGGCGCACTTGGAGAGGATCCTGGAGTAGGAGTAGCGGGTTAATAGGAGGTGCAAATACACTGTACAAATGCCAGTGTTGATGAAATAACTCAGGCTCAAAGCTCTTCTCCTCTTCTTCGTACTGTATGATGAGATGAATGCATGGAAACCCTGCCGTATTCTTCGAATTACAGCGGCAAATTGGAGGGACCGGCGGCTTATCCTCGGCTTCTGGTAGGTAGCGGTTGTAGACGTCCTTTGTAAGCTCGATTGCTTTCAATGAAACCCGTCTATCTACCAATTTGAAGAGACGCCAGAGGTTAGTGGACCTTCTCACCTTCTCATTCTCGATCTTAGCGGCAACCTTATTAAATTGAAGCTTCACAGCATTCTCAAAGGTGCGAAGAACAACCAGTAGATCATTAGTTGAGACTTGAAGGTCCTGCTTAAGCAGCCAGTGAGCCCCCTCGGTCCGAGAGGTCGAAATTTCATTGAGATGAAGGTATTGGGCCGTATATTCATGAAGGAAATACTCGGGACAGTCGTCTAGCCATTCAGTCTGTAGATACTCGAGTAAAGGCATGAAAATCGGCTCTTTGTAGACGTCTTTGAACTGCCTCCATCTCTCCTGTCTATCCTCGGATGTAATAGCGTAGACGATGCGAATCCACCGCTGTAGCATCTTCTTCCATGCTTCACTAACCATTTCTCGAAGCTCTCGGTCTGCTTTCGTCCGTGAGGAAGCTAAGGAAGCATTTGCTAATACTTCAGTCTCTTGCCGAGCTTTTGCGAGCTGCTCAGCGAGTAGCGGACGCGCTTTCTTCAAGATATTCATGTTGATATGCCATAGACAGATCATATGCTTTGTAGAAGGAAAGACCACCTTAATGGCATTCATTAGCGCTTGCTCCTTATCAGTGAGAATCGTCCGGGGTAGCTCAAGGCTAAGGGATTCGAATGCTTCAGCAAGACAGCTTAGGATAACTTGATAGCTATCCTCCTTCTCATCCTTCATGAAGGCGAAGCCGACGTAAAAGCTTGATCCAGTAGCGGCAAAGCCGACGATATTGAGCAATGGAAGGCCGTATCGGTTGGTTTTATACGTACAATCCATTGAAATAACCCATGAATTTGTCCTAAGCATCGCGATACTCGATTTATGCATACAGAACAAGGCGGTTACATGGTTCTCATCGTCTACCTCATGCTTAAAGATCCATTCGCCATCCTTTGGAAGCTCTATCAATAGAGCTTGAAGAGGCGTACGGCCGGCAAGGAACTCCGTATGAAGCCTCTTCCGTAGGTTATAGACGTCTTGGGCGGTGATAGATGAGTCTAGATCCTCCTTTCGAAGCGCGGTAAGGATATGGCGAGTTGAAAGACCCTGATCAAACTGCTTCCGAATGTCCTCCGCTTTGTTAGATACCTCCGCGACGCGATGGGCCACGTGGGTTGATGCCGGCGAGGCTTCATGGTTGTGGGTAGAGTTCTCTACTGTAAGACGCCAGGTATTGCTCTCTTGTAGCCGTAGGGAGATCGAGAATTGGCACCCAATCGCGAGCGTATTTGACTGCCGCTGGCGCTCATTACCGGCGGTCCGATCTCGATACGCCCGTCCTCGATCACAGCATAGCCGGACTGTCTTCATGACCCCCTTTTTTGTACGCTTCGACCGAAGAATTGAGATTGCGTACCCATGAGGACGGGCGAAAGCATTGATCGTAGTGATTCCTTGCTCTGGAGTATCGTACTGCTGATCTAGAAGGGGTAGCGGGAAGGTATGGAGGCTTGGCGGCGCGTTAGGAAGGCTTGGCGGCGCGTCATGAAGGCTTGGCAGCGTCGGTGGGGACTCGGGAATAGCTTCAGGCTCAGAATCGGACCGCGAATCAGGCTGCGAGGAAGCCATCGTAAAGGAGAGTGAAATGCGAGAGAAATGGGTGAAAACGCGAGAGAAATGGGTAGTGCAATGGCAGGTTTGAAGGCGTAAACAACCATTATTTTGGATTCCTTATTGGGTACTATAGTGGAACAGCAGTGACTTGATTTTACTAGCAATTTACATAGTAATTGGAGGTATCTAAGGTGTGATATACATGTAGGGTAGTAGGTAGCAATAAATAAAAGTTCGAGGATGAAAGCGGTGAGAAAGGCGGTCAGTGGGGGCCTAGGAATTCAGGCAGGGGGGTGGTAGCAGGCAAAGGGGGGTGGTAGTACCAATCCCCTATATATATTTTGAGAGGGGACCCGAAAAAGTGGAGTGGGAAGGAACATTTGGTAGGGGATGTACGCTTAAGCTTCACTCTATTCCACTAATAGGCACCCATTCGGCCCATTCCCCTTTCCGCATATGCATCTCGGCATGATTGACGCCAAAGGCCTTGATCCGAATCACCACCTCTCCTTGCTTCGGCTCAAGGGTTGGCACATCCTTAATGACTAGGAACTCGGGCCCTCCAAACTTTTCGATGACGATTGCTTTCATGGTGGATAGCTCTGGGTCCCGCAGCTTTATATCGGATAACAGAAAACGAATTGATAAAAACTCTGCTCAGGTTGGCCATAGCCTACGATTATATAGGCACAACCCTTATTTTCTCACGTACCAATTCGTGACATCCGGAGCTGCGATGGTTGTTTGGTTTGTTTTGTTTGATTAACGCCACGATGTCTAACTCCGGAAAGTATTGTGTTTAACGATTGGAAGGCACAGCTGAAGTGGGGAATGGGAACACGTCAATTTGGAACATCGCCTTCCTGATCTAGCCTCATCCATCGCTTCGTAATCTGAAAGTTGCCGTATGGGACATGTGTTTAGGTTGACATAGGCGCCACATTCTTCGGTGTTCCGGGGTTCAGTAGCATCTAGACAATGCGGGATTTCTAATAAAGCTAAAGTTATCTAAAGTTATCTGCGGAAGCTAACAATCCTCGCATGGCGCAAATTGGGACAAGACTTTTTAAATAGAATGCAATTCGCCGGAATTGAATTGCTTTGATTGGCTGCGAAGGCTGCTGTCGGTATATTGGCGTCTTCCATCACTTCGAATTCCTGTAAGACCATTATAAGAGCGGTTACCATTGTTGGTAACTTGCCCGGAACAGTATTTAAGGATCGTACCTCGTCTCTTACCTTTCTTACTTCGAACCGATAGAATCAAAGCTAGTGCCTACTTTCGATTTCCTCACCACCTAAATTTCCAACCCCTCGATCCAGCCCTTGCACATATCGACCTTATGGGCTTTCCACAGACTAAAAGGATCCGCCTCCCCTCTGGGGTCAATATGTTTTACCGCGAGCAGACAACAACAGAAGGCGCACCAGTTGTGCTGCTCCTTCATGGGTTTTCGTCATCGTCACATCAGTTTCGGAATTTGATCCCCCTTCTAGCCGTCAAGTACCGTGTGATCGCCCCTGATCTGCCAGGGTTTGGCTTCACCGAGGCGCCATCTACCTTCGCTTACACTTTCGACAACTTGGCAGCTGCAGTCGCAGCAATCCTGGATGAGCTTTGCATTTCCAAATTTACCATGTACATTTTCGATTATGGTGCACCGACGGGTCTCAAACTTGCCCTCCAATGACCAGGTGCCGTTCAAGCCATCATTACACAGAACGGCAATGCCTACGTGGAAGGCTTCGGCGATGTCTGGGGTCCAATCCAAGAGCTATGGGCTAGCAAGAACACCTCAGAAGACAGACTGAAAGTCGAGAAGGCGATGCTGACATTTGAAACCACCAAATTCCAGTATGAGAATGGTACACCAGATGTAAACCGGATTGCACCGGAATCATACTATCTCGACTTTGCGCTCTTGGAGCGCCCCGGAAATAAAGAGATCCAGTTGGATCTCTTCATGGACTACCGACATAATATTTCTCAGTATGACGACTTTCATCAATATTTCCGAGTATCTCAGGTCCCACTTCTCGCAGCCTGGGGCAAGAACGATGTCTTTTATTCCCTCCCGGCGCAGAGGCGTACAAGATTGACCTACCAAAGGCTGAAATAAAGTTGATTGATGCAGGCCACTTTGCCGTGGAGAGTGATACTGAACTCATCGCTCGGGATATTCTGGCTTTCTTGAACAAAATTGAGTATTGAATAACACTCCCACCGCTTACAGTGTATATCTACCTATAGATTGGAGGGAAATTATGGTTCCCGTCTGGACATTGGTTATGCTATTGACGTTGAAATCTTTTCAACAGTCCCAATTAGTGAAGTTGCGCTTCGCATGCTTCCGCGCCTTCGTAGCCTTCTGCTTCAACCTCTACCCTCTTTTTAAAATTCATGACTTGTTGATCACTTCGTGAATGCATCTTGACATTGCCATCTTTACTTGTATAGTTTTCTTTGGTCCTACGAAACTCAGACTGACGTAGGTCAGAATCTTAATCCAATTGAAAGCTTTCGTTCAGGCTATCCAAGTCGTTGACGATAGTAAATTCGGTAGGCCCTAAAATATTAGCGATGAATCAGATAGCATCGGTGCCATGTCATTAATGGCACATTAGGTTCAAGAGTATCTATGGGAGTAGCTTGTGAATCACATGGTTGCCGTCTGATCGGTATGGTGCGATTATTGGACCGCTAAAAGTGGCTCCGTCGATCCGTTGGAGTCCTCACGTGACTATGCTGACAAGTCAAGTTGTTCTTGTGGATGAGTAAGTAATGAGTCAGCGAGAATCGACTTCGGCCAATTTGTCCCCCGGCGATGGACGTTATCAACGCGACCGAACCCCAAGCATCCATTTGTTCATCAAATATCCGGCGGATCAAGACTCGTACCGAAGCTAGGGCTGATTTGGGACATCGTTGACCACCGCCCGACGTCTCCAGCGCCCAGACACCAGCCAACCCCAACCCGCCCTGCGACCGCATAAAAAATGGCACACGGCGCGGAGGACTGCGCAACCGTGCTGGAGCAGTTCGTTCACGATGTGGCGAATCTTCCAGCCGAGATCAACCATTTGATGGAGGAGATTCAGGCCAAGGATAAGGCCATGCAGGAATGTCGGGCCATTATCAACTCGCGCGACGGAAGCATCCAGAAATTCATCAAGATGAACGGCAGTCTAGCGGCAAATCCAAAGGAAGAGCAATACGGCAAGACTATCCTGGAGAATATGGACCAATCCTTCGAACTGCAGACCGAGAAGATCCAGCTCAGCGAGAAAGCATGCGTTCTCCTCGATCGCCAGATCAAACGGCTGGACGTGCGCATTCGCGACCTGGTCAATGAAGGCCTCCTCATCAACGACCCTCCTCTTCCATCTCTTTTCGATTCGAAGAACAAATACCGCAACCCGCCCAAGGTCTTCTTCCCTGACTCTACTCCATCCGAAACCCCCGCCTACTCCGCACCTCTCAACCCGACCTCTGGGAATGCGAATCCTATTCTAGCAGCTGCCCAGCGCCTCAGCCAATCCACAGCACCCCGTACTCCCGGATCTATCACCGTACCAGGTCAAACCGCGGCGCGCAGCTCGGCACCAGCTACACCAGCCCCCGCAGTCGTCCATCTCCAGCAACGACAGCGCGAGTCCTCCGCCGGAGCAGTGGACAGTAAGCGCCGCAGACTAAACCCATCCCTCAACACCCTCCCAACTGCCTCATCAAACCTCCGCCAATCATCTCTTGGCCCTGGCACACCGAAGCCCGGCACGCCTGCAGGTAGCCGTGCAGGCAGTGCCGGCCCACGCTCCAGCGCCGGCGTCAAGAAGGCACTGACGAAAAAGGTCGCGCCACATCACCAAGTCAAGAAACTCAAATCTCACCACGGCAAGCCGCTCAAGCGCTCTTCTAGCGCAAGTGGGCGCATCAAAGCGTCGAAGAAGTCTCCTAATGGCGAGGGCGAGGAGGATGACGATTCTATGCTTAGCAGTGCGGATACCTCCGACTCTGATAAGAGCGATGGCGGTGCAGTCGATGACGATATGGAGGATGATGATGAGGATGAGGGAAATGAGGATTCGAAGGTCTACTGTACCTGCCGTACGGTTAGCCATGGGGACATGGTCGCTTGTGACAATGATGAATGTCCCTACGAGTGGTTCCATTGGAAGTGTGTTGGGCTTACTCGTGAGCCCGTTGGGACGTGGTACTGTGATGAGTGCAGGCGCACTCTGGGCAAGTAATTTGTTCTATTCGTACTTTTGCTTTTTTCTATGATTTGCATGACGGTTGATATACCCACGGCGTTTGAGGGAATTTCATGGTGTTAGGCTAGGCCGGGAGTCAACTGCTTCGGAATCTATACCTGCTATTTTTGTGCCACTTTACTGTCCTACTTTTACTATTTTATGATCTGTTAAACAGAACCAAATTCGTATTGTCTAATATGGACAAATCTGGCTGTAATCCTGTAACCCCATCCCATCCCCAAGGGATGGGACCAAGAAGGAGAAATCCTTCGCAAGATCCCTCCCGTACGTCCAAGCAATGTGCAACAAGCCCCCAATCTAGGGAAAGCCAGTGCCTAACCAAATCAAGTCGAAAACGCCAGCGCTATGCACACCTATCCCCGTTTTTTTCTTACATGCAAACGTGTTGGCACACAGGAACATTCAGTGCGCCGAAATCAGATATTCGTGGAAAATGGCCACTCAGAAGCCGAGCCCGTTGCTCAGCCAGGGGTCGAAGTACTCGCAGGTCTCTGGGCTGACTGCGCCGCCGGGCGAGCAGAGTCGGAAGACTGGGCACTGGCCGCATGGTGCTTCGGTCATACCGTTCTTTACCAGATGCTTGTTGGCAATAGCGAGGTCGTCGCCTTCGGTGGGTGGTTTGCGTTTTTGGTTGGCCTGTACGACGTTGGGGCTGTGGAGGGATCGGTAAAATTCGCCGCCTCCTAGGGAGACGAGCTTGTTGTCGTAACAGAGCATCTCCATCAATTGGACGACGCTCTCATCTCCCAGGCGCACAGGAGTGATGCCACTGCTGTTCACAGCGGCGGTGATCGTCTGCACGTTTGGGTATCCCCTGTAGCCGTGCGGGTAGGGGAGGTAAGTTTTTTCTTCGGATTTGACGTCGGCCTTTCCAGAGGCGGTTTTGATGCGCTTGTTCCGGCCGCTGTCCGAGGCAGGCACTTCGTACCAACTCAATTTGCTGACTGTGAATTCGATGAAGCCGGCGACAGTGTTGATGAAGTTGGCATCTAGCACACCGTCTGTAAACCACGCTCCGCCTGTAACCTCCTCGCTTGGGGCGAGGCCGGCCAGCATGTACATCTTCCGGCTGGGGTATTTGACATTGTGTAGAGATTTGATGTAGTTTTTGCCCTCGAGGGATTTGAGACAGCGGTCGAGGATTGACTTGTGCAAGTTCGTGCGGCTTCCGATGTGTCGCACCCAAATGCCTGTCCGTCCTGTCGAGTGAATGACATTGTAGACCATGGCCTCGTCGGGAGAGAGGTTGCGGAGTCTGGAAGGGAGATTGGGTTAGCCGAAGTCGATGGGCCAGGGTAATACCATGTAATGCCTACTTCTCAGCGTCCTCGCGGTCAATCAGCCTCCAGGTCAATTTTCCATCTTTCTGGAGGAGTCGGAAGAGATTTTGATCGACCAAGCTCTGGGTGCATTGCAACAGCAATGCTACGTCATTCTTCGGAATCACTTTGAGATTGAGGAAATCGTTCTGGTAGAAGAGGTGGTCCGGGTCGAACTCGCTCACGCATGCATCGTAGAGCTTGGAGGCAAGCTCGGCCACTTGGGACCCCGCGGAAGCCATTGTTGAAGATGCGGAGAGATCAAGGAAAGTCGAAGTTCATGCGAGAGGGCTGAGATCTCATGTTCAAGGGCGCATGGTTGGTTAGAGCAGCATGGTCGAACTTGAGTCACGAATGAATCACAAACGATGTTTTTTGGACTTTTTCGCAGCGGGGAATGACTTTGCCCCGAAAGGGTTTAGCCCAGATAGCTTCAGTGTCAGCGTGGTGGCCTGAATGGTGAGGCTGCAACTACCTTGGAAATTTCGAGAAGCTGCGGGCGACAAAGCTCAACTTCAGTTCTGGTCTTGCTCCTTTGACCATATCACTTCATTTTCATATACCATACTTTCATCATGGCTGACGCTTTGAAGGCAGAGGGCAACAAGGCCTTCTCTGCTAAGGACTATCCTACTGCTATGTACGCGCTATACCCCACCTTTCACATTTGACGCCGTGGACCAAGACTGATAGATACATCGCAGCGAGAAATTCACTGAGGCTCTTGCTATCGAACCCCAGAACCATATTCTCTTCTCCAACCGCTCCGCTGTCTACTCCGCTCAGAACGAATACCAGAAGGCTTTGGAGGATGCCGAGAAGGCCATCGAGATCAAGCCAGACTGGTCCAAGGGTCACGCCCGTAAGGGAGCTGCCTACCGTGGTCTCGGAGATCTCTGTACGTTATTTCGAACAATATGCACAGTGATGTTGCTAACAGACGGTAGTGGCTGCATACGATGCTTACAGTGAGGCTTTGAAGATCGAGCCTGGTAACGCCCAGGCCAAGTCTGGTCTCGATGCGACTCAGCGTGCTATCAACGCGGAGGCTACCGCAGACGGTGTTACTGGTGACCCAACCGGTGGTCTCGGTGGAATGTTCAACGACCCCCAGCTGTTCCAGAAGCTCGCCAATAACCCCAAGACCGCCTCCCTGCTCGGTGACGCCGAGTTCATGGCCAAGTTGCAAAAGATCCAGAAGGACCCCAACAGTGTTGGGGAGGAGATTCGCGACCCTCGCTTCCTCCAGGTTATGAGCGTGCTTCTCGGTATTGACATGAACTTCGGTGCTCCTCCCGAGGGAGCCGACTCTCCCATGCCTGATGCTAAGCCCAGCACCTCCCAGCCCAAGAAGGAGCCTACACCCGAGCCCGAGCCCCAGGATGAGGAGACTATTGCCAAGAAGAAGGCCCAGGAGGCCGGTGATGCCGAGAAGAAGATCGGTAACGACTTCTACAAGAAGAAGCAGTTCGATGAGGCCATTGAGCACTACACCAAGGCCTGGGAGCTGAACAAGGATATCACCTACCTGAACAACATTGGTGCCGCCAAGTTCGAGAAGGGTGACTACCAGGGCACAATTGAGACCTGCCAAAAGGCTATTGAGGAGGGCCGCGAGCTCCGCGCTGACTTCAAGCTGATGGCCAAGGCTTACACCCGCATTGGTACAGCCTACGAGAAGATGGATGACCTCACCCAGGCCATCGAGTTCTACAACAAGTCCCTCATGGAGCACCGCACACCCGATGCCCTGACCAAGCTCCGCAACGCCGAGAAGGCCAAGGCCACTGCCGAGAAGAACGCCTACATCGACCCCGCCGAGGCCGAAAAGGCCCGCGAGCTCGGCCAGCAGAAGTTCTCCGAGGGTGACTGGCCCGGTGCCGTCGAAGCCTTCACCGAGATGGCCAAGCGTGCTCCCTCCGACCCCCGTGCCTACTCCAACCGTGCCGCCGCCCTCATCAAGCTCATGGCTTTCCCCGGTGCCGTGCAGGACTGTGACGAGGCTATCAGCCGTGACCCCAAGTTCATCAAGGCCTACATGCGCAAGGGTACTGCTCTCATTGCCATGAAGGAGTACAACCGGGCTTTGGACACTTTCGCCGAAGCCGCTGAGAAGGATGATGGCACCCACGCCCGCGAGATCGAGCAACAGCAGCAAAAGTGCCTGGACGCTCAGTTCAGTGCTCGCGCTGGTGAGACTGAAGAGCAGACCATGGCTCGTATCCAGAATGACCCCGAGGTAAGTTCCCACTGTTTTGACATCTTTCGTCCGATACTAATACCCCTTCTAGATTATGTCCATCCTCCAGGACCCCGTTATGCAGAGCATTCTCCAGCAGGCCAAGAGCGACCCTGCCGCACTCCAGGAGCACATGAAGAACTCCCAGGTGCGGATGGGTATCCAGAAGCTGATGGCTGCTGGCGTTATCCGCATGGGACGGTAAATCCGGCCTGAGGATTGAAAGTTTTGGAAACGATCGACACGAGACATTTGCCATCATAGTTTATTCCATGTTGCTAAAATTCGATAACATACTTTGCATGCTATATTTTAACACCATGCCCTGGCTTTAGTGATCTATAAATTGGAGCAATAAGTGACCTACTCGTAGTATCTCAGCGGCAGGCGGTGTCAATATTGAGCATTGAACATTGACCTGTCTGCAATGGCCGAATATGACTATTAGTGCAGAGGTCCGTACATTGTATAACAAATATCAAACACAGTACCGCCCCTTGCCCGTGTACAAGTTGGAATTGAGTCCAGGCAGATGCTTAAAATATACCTCTGCAACCCCGACAACAAACAAGCCAATTCTCACATGGGATCTTCATGCTGTATACTTTAGCAGATCTCAGATAGTCGCCGATCCAACCCAAAGAAGACGAGAGAGAAAAAACGCGAAGAAAAAGCGCCACATATAAGTGGGCGAGTGGGGTACACGAAGAATCAGATCCCACCGAACATCTTATCCAACCAATCGCAACCAGAGACATACAATTCCCAGGCACAGACTGAATCTACAGAGCCACAGAGCGTACAGACTAACAAATAATCGAAGGGAAAAAGGAAGAAAAAGAGGGCAAAAAAGTAAAAGTATGTGGCACGACAACTCTTGCAGTGGGAATAACCTCTGCATCAAGATCCCCGTAGCAAAAAGAAGCCCAGGTCCCAACTCGAACAAGAACAAGTCTCGGCGCGGAATGGGGTGGGAGGGGATATGACAGATCAGATCTTGCCGCATGCAATGCGGGTAGTACACAGTATGTTAGCAGAGCACAACTGCAGGGTTGGTTTTTTCGTCAACACCGCCGGTATGGTATATGCTGTACAGTACTAGCACTGCATTTTAAGCAAGTTGTCTGTTGTATCCTGTTGAGGTAGTTTAGACCGAGAGGATGTGTTTTCCGTACAGCATCACAAACATGCCACCGGGGTGGATCACCGCCGAATCGGGTATAGATCGGAGTATAGCCAGTGATGTGCGGTCGATAGTCGGTGATTTTGGGGGGTTATATTGATTTCTCTCCTGGATGCTGGATGCATGCCACGTGTACTCCATTCTGTGTGTGTAAGACGTGCAATTGGCACTTGAAATAGGACTGGGAGGGTCTCATGTTGAATCCCGGTATTCTCCATCCGGCATTAGTGAGGATTGTCGCTGCCTGGAGCTGTAGCATGGAGCTGTAGGGCTTGGGGGGGGTTTCTGGCGTTGTCTGTTAGCCTCGGAAATAGCGATCCCCACTTTACTCTCTTGGGGATTGGTCTTGTGGTGGGTTCTGTGGGCTTTTTTGAGGCATCCACGCAATTGTGAAGGGGGATTGACCCTGTGGCGGTGCTGCTGTCCCACAGCTCGGGTCCAATGCAATAGTCGCTGTTAGTGGCTGGAGCCCCTGATCAGAAGGTCAGGGGAATGGTGTATTTGTTTGAAGTGCGTATACTGAGTACAGTAAAAGGAATTGGATGATATGAAGAGTGAACTGTGACTTGGTGAAGTAGAGAGAGAGAGAAGAGTGTTAAGTTACCCGATCGAGGTACGTCACTGATCTCCGATCGACCTCGGAGCTCGCGATCTTCCTCTTTGCAACTCCAATGGGAACTTTCTGCTGATTTTTTTCACTCTGTGATTTGCTTGTAATATGTAATATATAGTACTATATGCTCGGTAATATATCATATCATATCAATATCTAGTCCACGTAATTACCAGCCACAGTTCTCCTTGACGCAAGCGGCTGGGCAACCTGGGCAGCCCCAACTGGTCTCTCCACCTCTTTCTCTTCTTCTCTTCCCTCTCCTCTCTACAGGTGCATACACCCTACAGGTTACTATCTCTACTAACCCTTCAGGTCCAGGTAAGCATGTCAGCATTCTTCCCTCCCTCTCACCAATTCCAGCCACGCTCACCTATTGGAGCTATCTTCATCTAACACTCTCCAGCCTAATCGAACCTCACCTGGCGACCACACCCCGATCCCCCGAGGGCCGTATTCGACACCAACCGGCGACATGGCGTCCGCCGACGCGGAGAAGACGGAGATGAAGATCGAGGGCACGGTCGAGGCCGCCCAGGAACTGTACAACGACCCGGAATCCCATGTGAACCCAGAGAAGATCGAGGAGAAGGTCGTCGAGGATGCGCAACAAGCGGGCGTGCCGGCATACCAGTTCAACCCCGATGCTTCACCAGAAGATAAGGCCAATGCTGCGAAAGGGGTGCGTGAGCGCAATTGTTCGAGTTACGTCTGGCGCATCCACCTTGCTGACATGTTTCTAGCGCCTGCCGCCGGATTTCCATCACCCCAAGAAGCCTGCGGGCGTTTCAGTAATCACGGATAAGGTGAGAGTGCTGTATCCCCTGCGCGTTCCATTACATGCTAATTCGGTCTAGGTCGATGGAAAATCAGATTATGATCTGCCTCCCCCGCAATCCGCGACCGCCATTATGGCTGAGGATGCGACATTGGCTGCGGAAGGGGAGAAGCCTGACGATGACGATCTACGATGGGCGCGCAATCGAACAGGGTGGGCTCCGAAATTCGTTACGGAGAAGCTGGCCAGTCTCGACGAGGAAGGCACTTTGCTTGATCACCAAGATTTCCTGGAGGGTAGACTCCCTGATAAGTTCTTCGGGGACTGGTATCACAATGCCGCAATCATCGTGTTCGCCTGTCTGTCCTCGTGGATGGTCGCTGTTCTGGGAGGTGGTATCGGGTGGGTGTTGATGGTCATGGCAGCATGCAGCACCTACTACCGTACATCCATTCGCCGAGTGCGCCGGAACTTCCGTGACGATATCAGCCGTGAAATGTCCAAACAGCGCCTGGAGACCGACACTGAGAGTCTCGAGTGGATTAACAGCTTCTTGGTCAAGTTCTGGCCTATCTACGCTCCGGTGCTCTGCGACACTATCATCAACTCCGTCGATCAGGTCCTCAGTACCTCTACCCCGGCCTTCCTGGATAGCTTGCGCCTGAAGACATTCATTCTTGGTACCAAGCCTCCCCGTCTGGAGCACGTCAAGACCTACCCGAAGACCGAGCCCGACACTGTTATTATGGACTGGAAGTTCAGCTTCACGCCCAACGACACCATGGATCTGACTGCCCGCCAGATGAAAGACAAGATCAACCCCAAGGTTGTATTGGAGGTCCGTCTCGGCAAGGGTGTTGTTAGCAAGGGCCTCGACGTGATTGTGGAGGATATGGCTTGCTCCGGTTTGATGCGCGTCAAGGTCAAGCTCCAGATTCCATTCCCACACATCGAGCGTGTGGACGTTTGCTTCTTGGATAAGCCCGAGCTTGACTACGTCTGCAAGCCCCTTGGCGGTGACACCCTCGGATTCGACATTAACTTCATTCCGGGTCTGGAGCACTTCATCAAGGACCAGATTCACGCCAACCTGCAGCCCATGATGTACGATCCTAACGTCTTCCCTATTGAGATTGCCAAGATGCTTGCTGGAAACCCCGTCGACCAGGCTATTGGTGTTGTGGCCATTACTCTGCATGGTGCGCACCAGCTCAAGAACCCCGACAAGTTCTCCGGTACTCCCGACCCGTACGCCGTGGTATCTCTGAACAACCGCGCTGAGCTGGGCCGTACCAAGATCATGCACGATACGGATAGCCCCCGTTGGAACGAAACCATCTACGTTATTATCACCTCTTTCTCTGATACCCTGTCTATCGCTGCTTACGATTGGAACGAATACCGCAAGGACAAGGAAATGGGTACTGCTAGTTTCGCATTGGACAAGCTTGAACAGGAGCCTTCGCACGAAGGGATTTACTTGGAAGTGCAAGCTAGTGGCCGTCACCGCGGTGCCATTCAAGCCGATATCCGATTCTTCCCCGTTCTCGAAGGCCGCAAGTCGGAGAGCGGCGAGGCGGAGCCCGCCCCTGAACTCAACACCGGTATCGCTCAGTTCACTGTGGAACAGGCCAAGGATCTGGATGGAAGCAAGAGTCTGGTTGGCAAGCTGAACCCCTACGGTGTTCTGCTTCTGAACGGCAAGGAGATCCACATCACGAACAAGCTGAAGCGCACCAACAATCCTATCTTCCAGAATGCCTCCAAGGAGTTCCTCGTCACGGATCGCAAGAATGCCCGTCTGGGCCTGATCATCAAGGATGACCGTGATCTTATGGCCGACCCCATTATTGGCCGCTACCAGATTAAGATGAACGATATGATTAAGATGATGGACCGTGGCCAGCAGTGGTTCCATCTCCACGGTGCCAGGAATGGTCGCGCCAAGATGATGTTGCAGTGGAAGCCTGTTGCCCTGGGAGGCATCGGTAGTGCCGGATACATCGACCCCATCGGTGTCATGCGTTTCCATTTCAAGAGTGCTTCGAACCTACGCAACCTGGAGGCAATGGGCAAATCTGATCCCTACGCTCGTGTGCTGCTTTCTGGTATAACTCGCGGCCGTACTGTTACTTTCCGCAACAACCTTAATCCCGATTGGGATGAGGTCGTCTACGTGCCTATTCGCAGCGCTCGCGAGAAGCTGACTGTGGAGGTCATGGACGAGGAGACTATCAACAAGGACCGAACTCTTGGTTGGTGCGATCTCAATGCCTCTGACTTTGTCCGTGAGACCGAGACCGGCGAGTATGAAATAGATGATGAGAAGCAGCCTATCAGCAGCCCTCTCAAGATCAGCGGTGGTTCCCCCAAGGGTATACTCCACTACACTGTTGCTTTTTACCCCACTGTTCCTGTCGTCAACCCCGAGGACGAGGAAGAGGAGGAGGAGGAAGAGTCCGATGCCCTTGGTGCTTCTGGCCCTGACGATACTCGGAAGAGCACCGACTCCAAGGTTAGGAGCAAGCACGCTAAGTCTGCTAGCATTGACTCCAAGGCTTCCAAGGCCTCGAAGGCTCTGTCCAATGGCACCGCTCCTAACGGCACTACCAATGGCGACCATAGCGCTAGCCGTAACAGTCTGGAAACGAATGGATCGCGGCCTGCTACCGGGCCCATGTCTGAGACCGCATCTGTGCGGTCGATCAAGTCCATTCCCCGGACTTTCGTCAGTGCGGAGGATCTGGAGAAATACGGTATGTCTTATATGATTGGCTTTTGTATTTCCACAGCTAACTTCTATAGAATCCGGTTTCATCGTGTTCAAGTTCCACGAGGGCCAGCTGGCTCATGCTAATGTCCAGCTGGAGGTCTTGATGGATGACTACATGTTCCCCGCATATGTCTCATCGAAGATTCACACCACCACTGCCAAGTTCACTGATGTCGGCGAGGCTTTCGTCCGTGAGCTCGAGTTCTCCAAGATCACCCTGCGTCTCGTCCACAAAGATGACCCCAAGGATTCCAGTGAGGAACACACTGTCGCTAAGCTCACCGGCGACACCCTTCCCACCCTCATGCGCATGCTGTACACTCCCACTGAGCTTGTCCTCCGCTCCAACTCCGGTGAGGTGAGCAAGGTCACTGTTAGTGCCCGCTACATCCCCACCCAGATGAAGCTCGACCCAATCGAGAGTATCAACAACATGGGTACCCTGCGCGTTGACATCCTCGATGCCGCCGAGCTCCCCGCCGCCGACCGCAACGGCTTCAGTGACCCTTACTGCAAGTTCCGCCTAGGCGACGAAAGCATCTTCAAGACAAAGGTGCAAAAGAAGACCCTCCACCCAGCCTGGAACGAGTTCTTCGAAACCCCAATCAAGTCTCGCATTGGCGCCAACTTGCACCTCGATGTCTACGACTGGGACTTTGGTGACAAGTCTGACTGGCTCGGCGCTAGTCCAATTGATCTCGAAATGCTTGAGCCCTTCCAAGCACAGGAAGTTACCCTGCCCCTGGACGGCAAATCCGGCGTTATCCGCCTGAAGCTCCTCTTCAAGCCCAGCTACGTTATACGCTCCCGCCAGGGCTCCTCCACCTTCTCGGGTACCTTTGCCGTCCCCGGCAAGATTGTCGGCGCCCCCGTCAAGGGTGTCGGCTTTGTTGGCGGCAACGTTGTCCGCGGCGCCTCCTTCCTGAAGCACGGCCTCATGTCCCGTCTTCACAAGGACAAGGGCGAAGACGCCGCTTCAATCATGAACAGCATCGAAGAGCCCGAAGCCAAAGGCGACCGCCTAACTCCCGCTGCCTCCATCGCCGAAGCCCCCACCCCCAACGCCAACGGCGCCTCCTCCCCAAGCAGTCCGAAACGGGAACACAGCCGCAACCGCAGCACGGCCTCCCAGTTTGGCGACCGACTCAGCGTCTTCGGTGGCAACAGTAGCCGTGCCGACGCAGGAACGGCGAACATCACCGTCGTCTCGGCATCCGGATACCCCACGTCGGCCAATGTGCGCGTTATCGTCAGCCGCCCAACCTCACGGGGCACAAAGGAACTCCACAAGACAAAAGCCCACAAGAACTCCTCCGGCAGTGTAACCTACGACGACTCTTTCCGCGTTCCCAACATCACCGCCGACAAGCAATACTCCATCAAGGTTGTCGACCACGCCACCTTCGGCTCGGACGATGTTCTCGGCGAGGGAGTCTTCTTTGTTGACGATCAGGGTTCAGTCGCCGGCCAAGATAAGACCATTTCCGCTGGCGAGGGCGAGGTTGTTATTCGCTCTAGCTTCGTGCAGTCCGAGTCCACTGTCAGACCGACTACCTCGCATTCGACTGCCGGCGCTGGTGATATCTCCGAGGGCGCCGAGAGTCCTGATTCTCGGAAGATGCCTCGCAGGAGTTTTTTGAGTAAGAGGGGTGGCGAGAGGAGTGTTAGTGGGGCGTAAGCCTCAAATGACTTGGGATGAGATGAGATGAGGAAGTCTCTGTTGGTGGAGAGTACATGAAAACATGATTTTCTTTTCGTCACATTGTTTATGTCTTTGCTTGTTGTTTTTGTTTGTATGCTGCTCTGGTGATATCCTTATTTGTCTTGTTCCTTTTGGCTGGGTTCTTACTCTTACCCCCCTTTCGCTCTGCTACTGTGTTGAGCTAGATTATAATCTAGAAAGTGAAATGGAATGGCATAAGAACCTTTACGAGTGTGGCTTGAGATCGGATATGGAATAAAGTAGATAGAGGGGAGTATAGTCCTATTTTAAGAAACTAATACGGCGTTCAGCCCCAAAAATAAAACCTATTGACTATTGAGGCTCTAGAGCATTATGTCTCATCCTCCCTAATCGGCAATCCACGATGCTATACAAAAATAGTCGGGTCTTACCCCTAAGGCTGAAAAAGCCAAGACCTACAAGAAAATGATAAATTAACACCCAGTGCTTCAACGCTATGTCTCAGACATTCCACACACTAACACGGAACCCATCGTCCGCGAGGCTAATGTCAACTAGCTTGTTCTATTTGACACTGCATATTACTGTATACCACTAATAGTAACTTATATAATAATAGTACATGTATGCATGTAATTTGGTACATCACCACACGTATAGATGTACAGTGATGTTTCATAAGTATTTGACCTCCGATACTTCGGGCCCCTGACCGCCAGCATAGACCGCCTACTATTTTAGACCATGATATCTCGCGTTCCTCAACACGCTAGTATACACGCTATATAGCAACGCGTTTTAATACAATTCTCGCAATTCCCTTGCAATTTTCTCACCTAATTATGCCTCCTATACGTAGGAAAAGGGGCCCAGAGCTCGACTGCCTTACGAGGGCTAAAATTTGCGAATTACATGCCACTAATGGCTGGGGTGCAACCACTATCAAAAAACGGCGATTTCCAGACATTCCACGCTCAACTATTCAATATACCTTAACCCAAGAATCGAAGCGTATAAAGCAGGAGTCTTTAACACGTACCGGCCGCCCTACAAACCTTACCGACGAAGATCGTGATCACATATACGATACTATTCAGCAAAAACCGTCAATTTTGGTCGAAGACCTACTTACGGAGGTCGATTATAAGGTTAAACGCACTTCAATTTGGCGCCTTACCCACGAAATGGGCCTTCGAAAATGGCGGAAAATGGAGCGGCCCGCACTTACGCCTTTACATGCCGAAAAACGCCTAAATTGGGCCCGAAGATATCAGCATTTTACCGCTACGGATTGGGCCCGTGTCTATTGGTCTGATGAATGTACGGTTGAACGTGGTATCGGCCAGCGTCAAGAATGGACCTTTACACGTCCGAAAGACCAGCTTTTTCAGCATCACGAAGAAGGACATCAAATACAAATGGCTCCGACGCGTGGGAAGCAACTTAAGCAGATGTTTTGGGCTGCTTTTTGTGGTTTACCGCGTCGTTCTGGCCTAATTCCACTATTCGGAGATCCGCAGTCTCGTCGTGGAGGCGTGTCTTCGCGTACAATTGAAGAGCTTTATCGGCGTGTCCTACCTACGTTGCTTACTAGTATTGATCAAAATGCTATTTTTCAGCAAGATAACGCGCCCGTTCACACTGCCTATATTGTACAAGACGCCCTTAATGATATTGAATGCGAAATTATGGAATGGCCACCCTATTCACCTGATTTAAATCCTATTGAGAACCTATGGGCGCTGCTAAAAGCCGAGATATTGAAGCGTCATCCTGAGCTATTGCACCTACCAAATAACGGAGATACGCTAGAATTACTACTTAATGCTGCGCAAGAAGCATGGGAAACGCTAGACATTGAGGTCTTTGAGCATCTCTCCGAGACTATGCCACATAGGGTAGCTGATGTTATTAAATATGAAGGCTGGCATACTAGCTATTAAATTGAATTGAATTCCTAAGGTTTCTGCCAGGCAGTATTAAGAAGTGGGTCTCGGGGCGAAGTATCGGAGGTCAAATACTTATGAAACACCACTGTAAAGTACATACTGAAAATGAAGATATTGACTGTTGACAGCTTGGACCCCAGCGTGAACCCTTTCCCGAAAGTTTCCTGCATAGCCCAGAGATGATCTTTGATCTGCGGGGGTACGTGTTCTCTACAGTATGTGTATGTAGGTGTGTAATTGAGCTGAGCAGAGGATACGAGTATAGATACGAGGATATGTACGGGTGGCTATATGTACAGTACATGTACATTAAAGTCAAAATAAATTGAAAGAATTCTGACATGAGACATATTCCAGAATGAAAAATAAAAAGAAATCAAGTATTTTTAGTATTGGAACCTTGGAAGTGTTGGTACATGGTGGGGGTGTAATTTTGTTAGTCCCACACTTTTAGTCTAGACTACAGTGAATAGTGACAGTCAAGGGTTAAGGGTTAAGTTACATTTAATAGGGGTCTACAGATACAGTGAGTAGACAGTAGAATCATTCTATTTTCCATTCTGCTGGTTTTATTCGTAGATATTTTATTATCTACACTTACGTTCACCGGTACTAAGTTACCTATGTACCTGTGCACATGTACCAGCTGCATTCGGAAGTGTGTATGTAAATAGTTCACCCCTTTCAACGGTCCAACATTCCACGATATAATTAGCCCAAACGTGGCGAATCGGCAGGTGGTGAACCGAATGCCATTGAAGCCGAAACATTCGAGTCTGAAACTGCTCCAGTGCTAAGGGAATTAACCGGAGCTTGCATGGTGGGGCGAGAGGTTGAAAAGGGGGTCTGGACTGGTGTCCTCCGGTTAACAGTTGAGGCTGCAATGGCAATAAGCTGTATGAGCTGCAATGAGCTGCAATGAAGCTGTGTAGCTGTATCTAGTTTTAGCTGTAAGTAAGTATGTAGCTGTAGCTGTATCTGTGGCGGTCTGAATACAGTGTGCACTGTGCTGTAGTAGCTGAAAACAGGGGAATGAAGGCCAGAGATTAAATACCTTGACATATCACGGGATCCCCCACCTCTCCTTTATTATCTACATCTTCTCTCCCTCCTCCTCTTTCTCTCCATCCTGCACTTCATATTCTGGTGAGTTCTGTTTGGTCGCACCGTCCCTTGCTTTGCCAATGACGGCAGCTTGACATCTTGCTTTTCCGAGATCGACAGTGGCAATTCCCCCTCCTCCTTTCTCTCAAGAGCCACGTTCCCTCCTACAGTTTCACTGATTCCAGTTCAGCAGAATCTTCCTTCTATAATCCATAATGGCCTCCAAGGCGATTCCTACTCATCTCCGCGCCCCTGTCGACGGTACCGATTTTGGTGGAAAGCACCACGGCAAGTCTCAGTCGCACATGGTAAGTGCCAAATCGTGGTTTCCATGGGGTTGACTGGACTGTGGAGCTGTCAGCTTCACATTCCTTGCCTTCTATCGCATTTCTTTCTATCGCATTTCTTTCTATCGCGTACATATACCTCGTTATGGCTTTATCCAACCCACTGACTCGTGTTCACTCTCACCAGGCTTTCGAGAATGCCTCCACTAGCGTTGCTGCGTCACAGATGCGTAATGCCCTCAATGCCCTGGGCGACAGCGTGACCGACCCCAACGAGAAGAAGCGCTTCGAGGCTGAGATGGACAACTTCTTCGCTCTCTTCCGCCGTTTCCTCAATGACAAGGCCAAGGGTAACGCTGTCAACTGGGACAAGATTGCCCCTCCCCAGCCTTCCCAGGTTATCGACTACGGTGACCTCGGTGCTGATGCCTCCGTTGAGTTCCTCAACAAGCTGGCTGTTGTCAAGCTGAACGGTGGCCTCGGTACCTCCATGGGTTGCGTCGGTCCCAAGTCCGTCATTGAGGTCCGTGAGGGCATGTCCTTCCTCGACCTGTCTGTCCGCCAGATCGAGCACCTCAACCGCACCTTCAACGTCAACGTTCCTTTCGTTCTCATGAACTCCTTCAACACCGACCAGGACACCCAGTCCATCATCAAGAAGTACGAGGGCCACAACGTCGACATCATCACCTTCAACCAGTCCCGCTACCCCCGTATCATCAAGGACTCCCTCCTTCCCGCCCCCAAGAGCTTCGACGCCCCCCTCCAGGACTGGTACCCTCCCGGTCACGGTGACGTTTTCGAGTCCCTGTACAACTCCGGTACCCTCGACCAGCTGATCGAGCGTGGCATCGAGTACATCTTCCTCTCCAATGCTGACAACCTCGGCGCTGTTGTGGATCTCCGCATCCTCCAGCACATGGTTGACTCCCAGGCCGAGTACGTCATGGAGTTGACTGACAAGACCAAGGCCGATGTCAAGGGTGGTACCATCATCGACTCCGATGGCAAGGTCCGCCTGCTTGAGATCGCTCAGGTCCCCAAGGAGCACGTCAACGAGTTCAAGTCCATCAAGAAGTTCAAGTACTTCAACACCAACAACATCTGGATGAACGTCAAGGCCATCAAGCGTGTTGTTGAGGAGAACGAGCTCGAGATGGAGATCATTGCCAACGAGAAGTCCATCCCCGCTGATAAGAAGGGCGAGGCGGACCAGGCCATCTACCAGCTCGAGACCGCTGTCGGTGCTGCCATTCGTCACTTCAAGAACGCCCACGGTGTCAACGTTCCCCGTCGTCGTTTCTTGCCCGTCAAGACCTGCTCCGACCTGATGGTCGTCAAGTCTGACCTCTACCGTCTCGAGCACGGCCAGCTCGTCATGGACCCCAACCGCTTCGGTGGTGTCCCCGTTATTAAGCTGGGCTCCGACTTCAAGAAGGTCTCTGACTTCCAGAAGCGCATTGCCAGCATTCCCCGCATCGTCGAGCTGGACCACCTCACTGTTACCGGTCCTGTAAACCTCGGCCGCAACGTCACCCTCAAGGGCACCGTCATCATTGTTGCCACGGAGGGCAGCACCATTGACATTCCCCCAGGATCCGTTCTGGAGAACTGCGTTGTCCAGGGTAGCCTGAGAATCCTTGAGCATTAGATTTGATAGACCGTTTTGGCTGGTATTTGCCAGGTCTCTGTTTGATTGACTTGCTCTGGTGCATCGAGGCTATGGATTCAGGGTGCAAAAGAAGTACTTGTATTACTTTACAATAATCCAGCGTCTTTTTCTTTCTTATTTGATTGTTTTGGGTCTTGGGTATTGGACTCCTTTCTTTGATTTCCCCAAGTACTGTCACGGTCCTGGTCTATCCTCAATGCATCTCAGTTTATTCATTCGTTTCATTTGTATATTGTAGTATTCCGTATGTGGACCGGCTTTTTTTTCCCGGCCAAATATAATGTAGAACCAGAAATCTGGTTATATGGGTAGAGCTCGTGATAGTCTCACTCACAGCGGCAACCATACGAAACAACTCATCAATTCCAGTTCTCATCTTTCCATCATCAATTTCCATCCAGAACACATGTAGCCACCATAATTAGACAAGGTGATAGGCGGGTAAAAATTCCTAATGATCTCAATCAACGTCATGTTCAGGCAATACGAGCCACCGGATTTGCACTAAACAACAGGAAAGAAGAGCCAGTCCCGAGTAACCTGTCAACCACCAGTTCATATACTTCGTTTCATATCTGATACTTGATACTCGAACTTGATACTTCCAGTCGATATGAAGTCCTGATCTTGTACAGCTACCTTCTTCATTCTTTACTCTTTATTTTCATTCTTTGCTCTTGTTTCTTTTCCTTTTTCTTCCCTTTTCTTCCCTTTTCCTCTTTTTTTTTTTTTTTGTGTGTGTATATCTGCATGCTCGGAGTACATATCTCATTTTCACATATTTTCTTTTCGATCATACATATTTCATTATTTTTTTTGTTTTATACTCATATACAGTTTTCATATTCACATATATACATCCAACGCATCGGTGCAATGACCGAGTCATATCGTCCGCTTGTACCAGGTCATTCGCCTACTACCGATGATCATGACCACGACCACGATGACGACCATGGAAGTCCCGCCCCAGATGAGGGGAAGGGATCAAGTGGGACATGGAAGAAGAGGGTTTCAACGGCTTGTTTGGCCTGCAAGAAGTCTAAACGAAAGGTTGGTCTATTTACCATTAACATCGATCTATACATGCATCCATATCAACCCACCTACCTATCCCACCCCAACCAACCAACCAAATACTAACTCGAATATACCATCAATACAGTGCTCCGGCACAGCCCCCTGCACAAACTGCCTAACATTCAAAAGAACCTGCATATTCGACGAAAGCCTCGATCAACGTCGCCGCGTCGCCGCAAAACGCACAGCCGACGAACTAAGTTACCACCGCGACCTCCTGCAAGATCTGTTCAAGTTAATCCGCGAAGCCAATGAATCACATGCTCTACAGTTGTTAGATATCATCCGGAATAACGCGCCGTCGCATCAGATTCGGGCGTTTATTGAGGAGACGCTTTCTGGGCTTTCGAAGAATCATGTCAATCCGGCATTGACATCGGGATCAGTTCCAGCATTGACGTCGATATCGACAAAAACCGAAACCGAAAAAGAAACAATTTCCAAACTGGAAGATATGCGCAATCTGATCAACGTTGAAGGGTCAAGTCCGACTATCAGACGGAAGGTTATGGATATTCATTACCTCTGCGACGATGCGCCGTGTTCTGTTCCGGCGAAGCCATGGACGAATGTCACGCAAGATGCGGATCTGGTGTCTCATCTTGTGTCGTTGTATTTTGCTTGGGATTGGCCGCTTAATGCGTTTTTGGATCAGGGGGTCTTTTTGAGACATATGGCTTGTGGTGATTTGAGGTCTGAGTTTTGTTCGCCGTTTTTGGTTAATGCTGTGCTCAGTAATGCTTGTGTGAGTTCTTTCTTGCTTTTAGTGTTTGGTGTGGTTGGCGGGGGATGTGGTTGCGTTTGTGGGTGTGTTGCTGATTTGCTTATGGTTCTTGCTATAGTATTTCTCTGAGTTCTCTGAGGCTTATGTTGTTCCTGGGGATATCTCTTCCAAGGGGAGTGATTTTCTTGCTGAGGCTGAGAGGTTGCGGAGTGAAGAGCCGGGGCAGCCTAGTTTGGCGGGATTGCAGGGGACGTTGTTGATGTATGAGAGGTACGTATTGACCTGATATTTACTGTTCTCTTTTCACTGTTCACTGTTCATCGCTGATGGTGGAAGGTATGCCATGTCTCGCGAAGATGACCTCGGATATATCATGCTTCACCAGGCCATTCGAATGGGCGAGTCACTCGGACTGGTGGGCAGTAAGGGTCCCAGGTTGGGGTTCAGTGAATTATCCCAGGACATGGAGATATCGTGCAAAAGAACAGCCTGGGGATTATTCAACGTCGATACGTAAGTGGTACTATACTATCCCTCACATCGAATGGTACTCATCGCCACGCAGGATGGTTCACACAGGCTTCCTCCGTCCCAGTCTGATAGATCATGTCAATATGATCCGCATCGACCGCAATGTCACCGAAGACCAAGTTCGATGGCAACCTTATCCAACCCATCGCGAGCCTCGCCCGTCGTTGTTTAGCCAGTATTTCGATGAAGCGTGCAATTTGTCCACGATCGCACGCGATATCTCGCGCAGTATGTTCGCAGACTATCGGACAAATAATACCATTGGATCCATTCAACTCCAAAGTCGAGAGGAGCTATATGACCGTATTCGTCGGTGGCATGATCTCCTTCCGGTCGACTTTGACGAGAAGTCTCGCCCAGCTCCGCATATCATCTTGCTGAAGTATGTGAATATCACCTCCTTTAGAACCTTACCTTTACCCTAGCTAACCGTATAGAATGCGCTACCATGCCTTGATAATCAACCTTTTCAGCTGCATTTCCGATAACGAAGTCCCCCTCTCAGCCTTCGAGCCCAAAACCCCAGAAAGCCCACCCCGACACACCCCCGAGCCAAAATACAACGCCGGCGAAGTAACCCAAACAGCAGCCCGTGGCATCGCAGCCTTAACCCGCCTGCACCGCCGCGAGTTCGGTGTCAGTCGTGCCCACCATTTCGCCATGTATGCGATGAACCTGGCGTTGTTCACGATGCTGGAACAAAGCACCTTCGACGTCCTTGACGAGGACTTCCTCTCGCTTGCGAGTGCATTCTCCGTGGTCGCGAGTCGCTCCGCTTTAGGTCGGAATCTGTTTCATATTTTCCGACAGTCGGTTCGGGCGAAGGCGCAGGGTCACCGGATTCGAGAGGCTGTTGCTGTTCCCGATGAACTGAAGGATTTGTTTGATGAGGATTCTTCTGGGAAGGGTCATAGTCGTTTTGATGATTATGCCGAAGGGTTGGAGAAACTTAATCGCGATGCCAAGTATCATGGGATTGGGGGTGAGGGTGTGCTTGGACTGCAGGAATATCCTGGGCTTGGACTCTCGGACATGCTGGATCGCTATGAGAGTTTGAGCTTGGGTAAGGATGATGTGTTGGCCGAAAGGTGTCGACCTGCTGGGTGTTGAGATATACCTGTTATACCGGGTATGTATAGATCCAAGTGGCGATATGGTTCTGATCTCATACTTTGTATAGATCGGCTGCCAGGATTGACCAGCAATGACCTGTTGAAATTATTAAAATTACCCAGGTCGATCGGAACACGTTAACCCCAACTTGTTCCACGGCAAACCCAAGTTACCAACTCACCGATTCATCTGGCGTGAAGCCGGTTGGTCGAAATATGCCGTCTGACGTCAAAATTGGGCCACCCTTCAACGACCCACCGGTGGCAATCCCTGACCTCCACGACTACTTCACACTTCACGCTTAAATCAGGATTCGATTAGTTAAGCGTTCTGGCCTCGCTGAATGTCGTGAAGCTTTTGACAACTACTCGCATTCATGCTGGACTTCCTTCACCATGAACAATCGCGACGAAGATCAAAGTCCGCCTGATCCATCGAGCTTCGGCTCGTGGAGTTGGATGGCACCTATGAGTCCAGGTTCAACGGACGCCCAACAACCATACCCAACACCGAATTCATTTCAGACCCCTAATACCTTCTCATCGTACTCACAGCCGTACCCGTCGGCTGCATCATCTTCATCCTCAGCGCCGGGGTCGGCCTTCAGATCCGCACCTAAGGTGGCCATTCCGCGCTTGGCGGGCTCGGAAACGGGTTTTGGCGGGCGCCGCCGCTCCGCTCGAGCTTGCGAGCCTTGTCGCCAACGAAAGATCAAATGCGACGGGCTGAGGCCGTCCTGTGGGCAATGTATCTATCACAACCACCGGTGTTCCTACGAGGACGTCAAACGCGTCCGTGACCAGAAACGACTCGGCACGTTGGCGAAACGCGTCGAGGCCTACGAAGCCCTTTTACGAGAATTAGAGGGAGACGTCGATTTGCCCACGGCGCGACAGATCAGGAAAGTATTGCAGGTAAGTCCGTCTGAGACCGCAGCCTCTGAGACTGCCTCTAAGACTCCTCCATCTGAGACTCAGGTCTCAAGCTCAGAGTCCTAAGTACAGGCTTTTGACTATTTGGCAAAGGCCAAGCATGTAAGCTCCTCGGAAAAGAACGACGATGCCTCCGATGATTCCTCGACCTCCATGGGTTCGCTCGACGCGATCGACCAGGTCGATGAAGACCTGAATCGGAACGAGAATAGCCGTGCGTCGGGCTTTTTGGCAAGAATTCGGAGGTCAGTTGGATTCGCAAGTTGGAGAGCGGAGTGAGGACGACCAGCCCGCCAGGTAGATCCGGGAGTTCACTGAATCCATTTCATCCGGACGGTCTGGAAGCGTCTCAGCAACAGGGTCTCGAAAGGGTTCTTCCTACCTCCATAATGGATTATCACCTCGACAATTTGGAAATTCCTTTCATTGAGTCGTGCGATCCTTACGCCTTGCCATCGCGAGAACTGGCAGATCGATATTTCAACGCATACCTGACATATGTTCATCCGACCTTTGGTGTTATTCGAAAGTCCAATTTCCTTTCTCAGTACCAGAAGTTCTTTGAGAATACATCCACAACGCCGCGGCCGCGGAAGTGGCTCGCCATTTTGAACATGATATTCGCTATTGGCTGTCGACACTGTCGACTTATGGAAAATATCTACAGCATGAGCGAAGAGGACCTAGTTTTCCTGAGTCGAGCGCGGCTCCTGGGCTTCGATTTCGGCGTGCTGTTCGAGCACAGCGATCTTCAACAGATCCAGCTAGAATCCTTGATGGCAATATACCTCCTCTGCCTAGGACAGGTCAACAGGTAGGTCTCATGTGCTCCACATATCACGTTCTGTCACTAATCCTCTAGGGCATCCAAATTCTCCGGCATGGCTCTCCGCTCAGCGTTATCCCTCGGTATCAATCTCCGTCTCACAGACACCCAGACCCCAGAAGCCGCAAAAGAAGCCCGCGGCCGCCTCTGGTGGTCCATCTACTCGCTCGAACACCTCCTCACATCAGTGACCGGCCGCGCCTCCAGTGTATCGGAAAGCATCTGCTCCGTACCATCCCCATTCCCCTGCGAAGAAGAAACCTTTGAACACCCCGAAGCAAAGCGTCTCTTCCAGGACCCAACCCTCCGCGAAACACATCTCCGCCCAACTCTCTTTGAAGCCTCCAACCAGCTCGACCTCCCATCGTGGACCAAAGCCTGTCCACCCTGTCCATCCCTCTTCTTCCACAACCTCGTCGACCTAAGCCTCCTCACCCAAGCCCTCATGAACAAAGTCTACAGCATCGAAGGTCTCCGCCAAGGCCCCTCCAGACTCGAATACCACGTCCAGAAGTTCGGTCTAAAAATGGATCGCTGGCTCGCGAAACTACCCCCTGCATACCAATTCAGCCTCCCAGACACCGGCCCCTGGCACCTCAACCACCCCCAGCTAGACGACCTAGCCGCGCCCTTCGTCCGCGAACGTGTCTGTCTAGCAATGAACTACTACTCCGCCAGAATAACCCTCTGCAGACCCTGTCTCACCCACATCCACACAAACACCCAAGCCCGCTCTTCTGCATTCCCAAGCTCAAATTCAGACCTAAGCTCCCGCACGAAACTCCGCATCGAAATGGCTACCCACTGTCTCCAAGCCTCCTGCGCTCTCATCTCCGTTTTACCCGAATCCCCTAACCTCCCTGGTTAGCATGTACCGCGCCCTGGTGGAGTGTCCTCCATTTCATTATGCAGGCTACAACAGCTCTCCTGCTGGGTCTATCATACCGCTCTTATAACTCCGGTTTACAGCCTCAGGCGCAGGCGCAGGAGCAGTCACAATCTAAACCCTCTGACCCGCTTACACCTGGCACTCCAAGTTCAGGGCCTGGAGTGGCGTACCCGTTACTCCTAGAAACGGACCTTGGTACGGCGATTGCGTCGGCTAAAAAGGCCATGCTTTGGATCCATGCGACGTCGCAGGTGGATATGGCGGCGCGGAAGGCGTTTGTTCTCTGTGAAAATGTTGTAAAGAGGATTGCGCCTGGGTTGGGGGTTGATTTGAGTGATTGGCCTGATGGGAGTGGGTTTGTTGTTGATTTTAAGGAGGGGAGGAGACGGGGATCTAGTGGGACTTGGAATGGAAGTGGTGCGAGTGATGGTGATGCCAGTGGCAATGTCCATGGGAATTTGGCGAATAGTCGGACTAGTAATGGGAGTGGAAGTGGGAGTGGCATGGAGTCTTTTGAGGAGTTGGTTGATTTTGAGGGAGGTGTTTTTTAGGGATTTGTTAGTATGTTTAATGATGTATCAGGAGTGATGTAGTTATGGAAATTTGAACATATGATGATTTATGAGTTATCATTGATGCAAGGCATAGAGTGGAAGTGAGACCTGCTTAACAATCGAGACGATAAAGATACATGAATGTAATTGACAGTTGAGATTAGGAATAACTATATACTATACGATAACATTAGATATGTAGACAAACCAGAACGAAAGAACAAGGCTAATAAACAATAAGCAGAAACAAAATGTTGGAGATGCCTGAGATGCGCGACAGAACACGAGCACGTGGTAGAAGACTTCATGGACATGAAATAATCAAATGCATATGGCAAAACCGAGAAACAATACCCGTGCCAACACCTGCAAATTCCTGAATGGAATGGGACGACTCGATATGTGACATGTCTGGTCACAGGGAACAGCACTAGGTTGGCTGCGGTTGCATTTGGATTTGGAAGGTATGTTGGTGCTCATGCTGAGGGGCAGGCGGAGGGGGTGCCTGGCTGCGTTGTGGAATAGGTGCTCTGCGCTGCTGCTGTCCCGGCACCCCGTGGACAGGGGACTGAGCTTGCACAGGGTGCTGCATTTGTTGCTGCATGGGAGATTGCATATAAGGCTGTTGATGCGGGAGAGGTCGAGGAGGGTGAATAGGAGATTGATGATGCATTTGGATGTGTTGGGGCATTGACAGCGGCGCCCCCGGTTGCTGGGGCATGGATTGGCCATTAGGCATATGTGGCGGCTGAGGAGATAGATGCTGAGCCTGTTGGTGCATATGTTGGACCTGCGCTTGACCAAGATGCTGGCCTGGCTGCTGCACAGGCTGACCCTGTTGGAACATATGAGTCTGCTGTTGCGGCAAAGTCTGGCCTTGATGCAACTGGGAGGGACTCGGAGCGGGCCGCTTGCGCGAGTTCTCATCAACTGCAGAGGCTGCATGTTTTTGAACTGTAGTTGCATCCGTGCTCTCATCGAATTGAGCTTGACCATCTGCCTGTGTTTGATCACCATTGGCGGCGGCTGCAGCCGCCGCGGCCGCGGCCGCGGCCACATCGGCTTTACGAGGTCTTCCACGCGGCCGGCCCGTGCCAGGTGGCTTTGGCTTCGCCGAAGATGGCTTCCTCGGCTTAGGTGGTGGCAAGGGTTGACCAGTTGCAGCCGCCCACGCAATCTGATCGGCTTTTCGTGGACGCCCACGTTTCCGCTTCAAGGGAGTACCATCCGGCCCGATAATAGTCGTGGGTTTCCCTGGCGCTGGAGCACCTGGGGCGGTGGGTGTCATATTTGAGGTGAAAGAAGCCTGTCCTGGTTGCGACATTCCGGGGATCGGCTCGCCATTTTGAGCGGCTGCGGCAGCCGCCGCGGCAGCCCTGGCTGCAACCTCTTCTTTGCGTGGTCGACCACGGCGACGCTTCGCAGGTGGAGCGGCAAGCTGATCACCCCCTGCTGACGGCACAGTGGAGATCTGTCCTTGTCCGTTAGGGAGAGTGGGAGGGGCAGTGGGGATTGCAGCAGGAATATTAAGTTGCGGTTGAGGAGGCGGCGGTGGTACCTGAGCAGGTTCGGGTTGAGCAGGAGCAGGCTTCTTAGGTTTACTCTTCTTCTTGGGGACAGGACTTGGCTCGTGGTTCATGAACGGACTCTCCTCTGCCGCAGGAACAGTCGGTAGAGCCGTCTGTGATGTTGGACCACCGGCTGGATGCGACGCTGGCTGGTATTGGTGGAACTGAGCTTGGTGTGGTGATGCCTGGAACTGGGGTTGCTGCGACTGAGCGAATTGCGCCTGGTGCTGGGCAAAGTGTTGCGGCTGATATTGAGATGGGTGGAACGGAGGTTGAGAGTGTTGAGCGAATGATGATTGTTGTTGGTACGGGTTCTGGGTCTGGGTCTGTTGCTGCAACTTCTGCAATCTCTGTTGCTCCAAATGTTGCTGCTGCTGCTGCTGCCGCTGTTGCCGATCTTGCTCCTCCTGCTGCTCCTTTTGATATCGTACTATATCCTCCGCCTCTTGACGTCTCCGCTGTTGCTCCAGTTGCCTCTGTTGTTCGCGCTGCTCCCTTTCCAAATGCTCCTTTTTCAATCGCGCCGCCTCCTCCTGCTCTCGACGTCGAGATTCTTCCTCCGTCTTTTGTTTTTGTAGCAGCTCATCACGCTCCTTTTGTGCAGCCGTTCGCTGCTCTATACGCTGGTTTTCCAGCATCTGCTGATGTTGCTGTTCCTTTTGATATTGCGCAACTCTCTGCTGTAGACGGTGATCCCGTTCAAGTTCCTGTTGCTTCATCTGCCTTTGCTGCTCCATCATCTGCTGCTGCTCCATTCGTTGCTGTTGCTCTAGACGGTGCTGCATCTGCTTTTGCTGTTCCAACCTTTGCTCCTGGATCCTTTGCTGCTGTTGAAACTGCTGCTGCTGAAGTTGGTGCTGCAACTGCTGATTTGCCTGCTGTGGCGATTGCGGCTGGGACTGGGACTGGTTTTGTCGCTGTTGGATAGCAAACATGGATGGACTAGCCATAGACGGACTGGCGGAAGGATGATTCTCTCTCTGTTGGTGCATACCAGCGTGAGGCAGTCTATTCATGGTCTGCTGTGGAGAGGGAACATTCATGGGATGACCATGGGCCATTCCGGAAGGACTCATTCCAGGTTGCGGGCGAATATGCGCCATGGGATTGAAGCCACGCTGAAGGTTCTGCAAAGCCATGGGATCTGGATTACGAGACATCAAATCTGGGGAGCTTTGCGGCGCATACTGGCCCGGAAATTGGGCAAACCCGCTACCAGTGGGGTATCCACCCAGTGAGCCCGATGTCGGGGTCATCTTGCGCAAATCCGGTGACTGCGATGCAGCAAAATTCTGCTGAGGTTGCCCTCGAAAAACGGGCTTATTTCCTGGGAAAGGACTGCCATGCTGCGGAAGAGCTGGACCGTTGCCTAACAACGGCGACTGACCATGGCGTGGAGGTTGCGGACCCAGCGGATGTTGAGGCTGGGCTTGATGTTGTTGCGGTTGAGGCTGCTGCGGCTGTTGAGGGTGGAACGGATGACCCGGATAGTTCATCATCTTGACTATTGATATAGCGCCACTGGGCCTTGCCGTAAGCGGCAGCTGAAAGAATGATCGCTTTGTCAAGCGGAACACATGCAAGGGAACGAAAAATAGTTAAAAATTAACTCGGGGCCAAGTGGAATGTCAGACCATGCGACTTCTCCAGAGATGGCTGTCGTTCGCGCCAGCGCCGACAATTCTCGAGAATCGCCACCTAAGTCGCGCCGAGGCGTGTTTGTTGTTCCCCAGCTCAAGGCCACAAGACGACGAGGCAACAAGGCAGCGATTGAGACCCGTTCCCGAAAGGGGTTAGCGGCTACGGTGGCCGAGTCTTGCCGATCCGCGCAGTTCGAGAAAATGAGTCGGTCGCGCACTCCACGGGATTCAGGGGGAAACAAGCTGGGGGGATCCAAAGACCCAGCGCGAGAGGTCCCAACCTATTTACTGAAGGTCTAAGCAGATGGCCAAACACAGCAGCAGTAGATTGGAGATGAAGTGGATGACGCTGGGCTGGAATCCTCGATGGTAAAAAAAATAAAAAATAATAAAAAATAAAACGAAAAAACCAGGTGGAAAATCTCCACATCACGTGAGCCGATCGGGGGCCACTATAGATTAAGTGGAGATTTAAATTTCGATTTATTATTATTTGATTTATTTACTATTGTACAGGTGTATATTTGCAGTGTACTTTATATTGTACATCTTGCTCTCACTTACTTCTGTACCTGATTTTGTCCGGTTCTGTCTGGTTATGTTCCGCAATCCTTGCCAAAGTATACACGCATAGTGCTACCCCGAAAAGTCTCCCGAAACTATACGTCACGCTGCTTTGCTTGCATCCTTGTCTTCTTCGATCCGAAGATCGGCCAAACAGGGTGCGAAAAAGAGCTTTCCTGAAACGGTTCCTTTCAAGGTCCCGAGACTAACGATGACCCACAAAACAACCACAAAGAGGGAGAGGATCTGCCTTCGTTAGCTTATATAAATCCTGCACTGCATCTGAGGAAATGCATCATACCGTGCCGAGGATATCGAAGAAGTTGGATGGAAGTTCGCTGCCCATCTGGCACGTACTAGTAGCGAATACCCCCAGTGGGAATGTAAAACCCCACCATCCAATGTTGAAAGGGAATTTCTTGTTGTGAGCGATCGAGGCAATAGCAAAGAAGAGCCAGACCAACCCAAATGACCACATTATCAGTGCAACCAAGAATCCCAGGGTGTAGAAGGTAGGACCGGATGCCTCCTGGAGGGTATGAGTTTTGGGAAAGATCTCTTGAGCACATTGTCCCAGTTTCATCGCCCTATGCAATGGTCAGCGTTTCATATGAAACCCACTTGATATAGACTTTTACTCACCCATATCCACCTTGTCCTAATGGGCCCAGTGGAAGGAAGACGCTGACAATAACAGCTTTGGGCGGCAGTTTGTAGAGCACGAGACGTTGGAGGTAAATCACCATGACCATCAACGCAAGGGGAAGCCCTATACCCCACAGTACATAACTGGTGATCACTGTCCATAGTGCATGTTGAGGATTGGGAAGTACCTCAGCCACAATGGCGCCCGACGAAGCGGCGACAATGCAGCTGACGATGGGAAGAAGCCAGACAGCAGTCATAGAGGACAAGTGCGTCTCGCCACCATTGGCCATTCTAAACGAATTAGTAGCTGAGATAAACACACGCTTGAACGACCTCACAGAATAAACGGCAGAGAAAGAGCGGTCATAACTGAGACGACCGCGTCGAAAATCCACAGTCCCCACGCGAAATATCGAGCCCAGTCACCCCACACAGGGACACAGACTAGACAGAACATATTGATAATGGTGGCAAGTCCCATGGGGAACGTGCCTATGAACATGGACTGTACCGGATGCTTGATCATAGCCAGGAAGATCTCCGGATACAAGGTATATCGGAGGATGGAAATGATACTTCCAGTGATAAATAGAAGCACATTTAGGGCAAATATCACAACGGAAATCCAATATAGCCAGATCCCATTGTAGGGCAGGTTGTGCAAGAGGAGAGACACGATCCCCGTGCCCATGGTCACTGAGAACCATCTGAATATGTTAACAAGAAGAAATATATGTCGATTGATCGTACTTACGATGGTGTGAAGTTGCGGACGACTCTCCTCCATCCGTGATCGTATTTCGTGGGTTGCATCCTTGCGTTCCTGCATGGAGGTTCGGTGGCGTTAGTTGCTTGGGAAGGAGACACCTTGGGTGCCATTTTGAAGCCGTTTCCCGTAGTATTTTTTCCTCAGCAAGTCAGCTACCAATGATATGTGATCTGAACTTGGCAAATTTTCCAGATTCCTCGAAACTTGCGTGAGTCAAGCATGACTCGGGAACTTCGGCCGAGATGACTGAACTTTCGCAGCCACTTGACTCCACATTTCATTGCCATTTTGAGACAACAGTTGACGTTTATATCTTTACTTTGATATGTGTTGTCTTCTTGTACTTTTTGTACGGGAGTTATTTTTTACAAAGAGACAAAAATTTTGCGAAGACATATTTTGTAGAAATATATATTTCTGGTTTCCGTTGTATGATATCATCAGCTCGAGGAAAGCCCTTGACCTCTACAAATCCCCAAGAGGTTATAAATAAAACGTAAACTGAGGGTACTAGCCATTGGACTTAATTCCCCGCTCCAGATAGAACTGAATAGCTTTTATACCCTAGGTCGACGATAATGGATCTGCAGTGAACGACAAGTCCTAATCAGCCTGGCAGCCATCATGTCGGATATATCTACTCTAGTTCAAGCAATCAAACCCAATAAAGTGCTGTAGTTTCAACCAAATACCTCGGGGGGTATATGCGATCCCATAGTTCAACTAAATCCATCGGAAGTCAGCAATCCGATCGGAACACCGATCGGATGTAGAGCCTTAATTCCCGGGTGTGGAGAGCCGTAATTCCGGGAAATTTGACGCAGTTAAGAGTAGGAGATAAAAGAAGTGCTTGTTAAAAATTTAAAGCTTCTCCTCGACAACACTTCTATATTTGCATAATGTCCACTACTAGTGCATTGGTCGTTCAATCCGCCGGGGCTGAGCCCCAGCTCACTACTGTCGCGCTGGATTCGCTTCAGGCCAACGAGTTGAAGGTCCAGATGCATGCTACAGGTGTTTGTCATACCGACTTGGCTTGTATGGCGGGTCATCTGCCTGTTCAATTTCCCAATGTATTTGGTCATGAAGGTTTGTGATGTTGTTGGATCATTCAAAACGCTTGAATATTAATGTTTAGCATTGTAGGCGCAGGTATCGTCCTGGAGACGGGCAGTGGCATTACAGATATTCAAGTTGGCGATAAGGTTCTACTCAGTTACAACTTCTGTGGTGAATGCGCCCAATGCAATTCAGAATTTCCTGCATACTGTGAAAAAGTTCTGCAGTTGAATTTTGGAGGAAAGCGATTAGATGGATCGAGTGCCCTCCGTCTATCAAATGACCCAGGCCAGGAAGTATTCTCCAACTTCTTTGGTCAGAGCTCGTTCTCGCAAGTCGCTGTTGTTAGCATGTCTTCGGCTGTTCGAGTTCCACCAAACGCGAATCTCGAACTATTCGCCCCGCTCGGATGTGGGATGCAAACTGGAGCCGGGGCAATTCTAAACACGCTGAATGTGAAGCCTGGAAGCTCAGTAGCGGTCTTTGGAACTGGATGTGTTGGCCTCAGTGCGGTTATGGCTGCTAAAATTCGGGGTGCTCGGATTATCGTCGCTGTGGATATTCAACCTGAGCGACTGGATTTGGCTCGGGAGTTGGGTGCTACTCATGCCTTCCGAGGAGACGACCCCTCTATCCGAAAGCTGATCATGGATCTTTGTGGGTCATCGCTTGGTGTGGACTTTGCGGTTGATTGTTCTGGTGCTATCCCTGTCATTGAGAATATGATCGCTACTCTTGGTATTCGTGGAAAAGCTGCTAGTGTTGGGGCTCCTGCTCCGGGGAAAAAGGTTGAGGTGGAGGTTTTCTCGCATCTGACCATGGGCCGTCAATATATTGGTTGTCATCAAGGTGACAGTATTTCGACAAAGGTATGTTTTCTGCCATCTAGCTTAGCACGGTGTGTACTAACAGAGTGAAAAAGACTATTCCTTATCTGATGGAACAACATGCCCAAGGTAACTTCCCTTTGGAAAGGTTGATCAAGGTTTACAAATCCAAAGAATTTTTGCAAGCCTTTCAAGATATGAAGGACGGCAAAGTCTTGAAGCCTGTTCTCAAGTGGATATGAAGTGCAAGATAAACCACAGAAAATCATACAATGTTTAATAGCCATTTTACTGGATCCCCGAAACACCTAAGGAGGAGATGTGAAAAAATATATGTACTTGTAATTACCATAGAAGACAGATGGATATACCTATCTGTATAGGCCTCATATGAGGCCCAGCATCTAAAAGCACATGTCAAATATATACTGGATAGAAAGTAAACAAGCATTTCTCCTTGGTATCACCGCTACAATAGCCTATTTACAGACGAAGGAAGAAGCCTTATTAGGGTTACCACCGACAAAAGTCATAACCTTTGGCCAAGGACACAAGCCAGCAGTACGCAATGGCAGCTGCGCATCCCCAGTAGCGGAAGGCGTGGCAATAGCCTTGAGAGTCTCAGGTGCGATACCCTTCTCAACCCAGTCCATTAAAGCCTTCATACTTTCGCCAGGATACCAACCAGGTCCACCCCTGCATTGCTCCACACCCGGGGCAGGGAAGAATCGGTAGAAATCATGGGCCTTGGGGTCATGTTCCAAGACCTGGCGGTAGTAATGTTCGGTGCCGTTGAAAAAGATGAGCTGGTCCTTCATGCCGTGCCAGGTGATCATCTTTCCCCCAGCGTTCTTGAATCGTGTGAGATCGGGATCGCGGGTTCCGATGGCTGAGGCATACTCGTTCACTGATTGGCGGAACAATGTGTCGAATTCTTCATAGCCGATGGTGGACACATCGAAGGAGGTGTTCTTCTGAAGGAATAATTTTATCCAGTCTGAGGAGATAGTGAAGGGAAGGGATTCGCAGTCCGTGAGAGACATGCAGTTTGTTCCGCCGAGGTAGGTGAGGGGAGATTCATAGGGAAGCCCGTACCAAAGGGCAGATCCATCTGAGGCCTTCGCACCGGCCCAAATGGCAGCCGCAATTTGGGCGGCCTTCTTGGAGATCTTGATGGTGCCGTTGGGAGATGTGCAGTTGACAGTTTTGCCAACTACGGTCAGGGGGTCGAAATGACATAGTCCCTCCATGGAAATGATGCCGTCTTTAACACCGTCTAGCTCGTCACAAGCGCTGATCGCACTTTGAGTGAGAGCATCCATTTCACATGATGAGGGATAGTAGTCTATTTACACTAGTCAGCAAAATCTGATGAAAGACCCTATGTGAGAGAAGTTGAGAAGCTCACCAAGTTCCTTCATCATCACCTGGGGCCAGTACTCAGCAGGGATGAATTTGTCCCAGTTAATAGCAGGAGCTCCAGCCAGGATACCGTCATACTGAGTAGGGTATCTCTGGGCCATCATATGTCCCTGTCTGCCTCCAGTTGAACATCCGTTCCAGTACGAATACTTGGCCGGGTGGCCATAGAACATCTTGATAGCAGCCTTGCCCAATGAGGCAGCATCATCAAGTGCAACGGAAGAGAAATCGTTGAGATTAGGCCAGTTGACATTGCCCTCACTGGCCAGAGCCCAAGACTCGGTAGTCGCGGATTCGCCGTGTCCACCGTCTGTGGATGCAGCGGCAAACCCTTCGAATGCGGCTTGGCTGTTATGGACCAATTCGCCGGTGGTGTAACCGCCACCGCCCATGCCTGCGAAGCGTCCATTCCAGGAATCTAGGGGCAAGGAGATCCACGTGGTGACGTTGTCGTTCCAACCCGGGTGGGTATAGTTGACGGTCAGCTGACAGACTGCTACAGTGCCGTTCTTGGGGACTCTGTAGACATTGAGCAGATCAGAGGTGGATGGCCAAGCGACATTCTTAGAGGTGACATCAACAGAGGAGACCTTGATGTTGGGAAGGTCGAGGGAGGAAAAGGTTTCCGCGGTGCAGGACTTGGTGCTGGCGGCTGCTGCAGCTACACCAAGCTGGGCCACAGCTAGGCAGTACGCGAAACTTGAGATCATCTTGGGGAGGTAAAGATGAAAGATCGAAAGACCCACAGGGAGAAGCTCCTCTTTTAGATCTGGTTCATGGGCTGAATTTTTCAGTGCCCTTATCCGTGGCTCCGAGGATCGACAAAAGATATCCCCAAAAGAGGTAGCTTGTTTGAATAGCTGTGGAGTTTACTATTTGCTATTTGTAAGAAAGGAGAGAAAGGATTTCGCCGTAATAGCGGGGAAGTGAGCTTCGTTTTATATACAATGCAGGGGCGTTTTATGGTTTACTTCCGAAATCGGATAGCGTGTCCGGGGTACATATAAACACGGGGTATCGGGTTAGAGTATCGGCATCTAGCTATGCATAATGTCAGCAAGGGAATGCTGTTGACTGGGGATGACATCAGCTAAGACCCAATACGACACGGGCAGTTGCAGAGATTTGCCGAAGCTTTGCCGGCCTCCTTTTCTCACCGAATTGGGGCATGATCGGCCTCGGGAGATTGATGTGGGGCGATCTCTATATGAACTCCTGGGGATCGGCTGGAGCAGCTTGCATACAGATTCAAGATCCCACAAATTGTTGATATATTGCGATCTTAGAACTGATCTAGATTCCTATAGTTATGAAATGTATTGAGAAATGCTTCATTTGAAGCTCGCTCTACAAACCAAGCAAATTATCAATGGCTTTTTGGTCAACAGGAGCTTTCGCGAAATCATCAAACGAACCTTTAGAGAGAACTGGAATGAAAGACTTCATAATAGCAGCGCCCTCTGCAGCACACACATGTTTATCTTTAAATGGACACTCCGACTCCAGAACGGCCCACCCGCCATAGCCATACTGCATGAGCTTTCCAAATATACCCTTGAAATCAACTTGACCATCACCGAGGGCTCTGAATCTTCCAGCTCGCTGTGTCCAGTCTGAAAAGCCCCCATAGACACCCTGTCGGCCATCTGGTCGGAACTCGGCATCTTTCACGTGGAATGCTTTGATCCGGTCGTGATAAATGTCGATGAAAGAGAGATAGTCCAAGCACTGGACTACAAAGTGGCTAGGATCGTAGAGAATGCACGCCCTTGGATGGTGATCCACAGCTTCCAAGAATCGTTCGAAGGAGATACCATCATGCAGGTCTTCGCCGGGGTGGATTTCATAGCAGAGATCAACACCGCATTCATCGAAAACATCAAGAATCGGTTTCCAGCGAGCAGCTAGCTCTTTGAATGCCTTTTCTACCAGGCCAACAGGTCGTTGGGGCCAGGGGTAGAAGTAAGGCCAGGCAAGTGCGCCGGAGAAAGTAGCATGTGCTTTCAAATTGAGGTTCTTCGACGCTTTAGCGGCCAGACAGACAATTTCAGTTGCCCATTCCTGTCTAGCTTTGGGATTCTTGTGCAAGTGTGCCGGTGCAAATCCATCGAAAAGGGCGTCATAGGCAGGATGCACGGCAATGAGTTGACCGTGGAGGTGGGAAGATAGCTCTGTCAACTGAATTCCGTGGTTTGTAAAGACAGCTTGAATTGAATTGCAATAGTCCAGGTCTGTGGCGGCTCGTTTAATGTCGATGAGTCGTGGATCTATGGGTAGTTGAATCCCTTGGTAGCCGTTATTGGACACCCATTGGCATATCCCATCTAACGAATTGAATGGAGGATCGTCGGCGAGATACTGAGCGACGAAGATAGCCGGCCCTTTGATATCTGATAGTCTTGTCATGGCTAGGAATTGTGTATTTCCTGTCGAAGCGAGTGGTAGAAGAGGTGGATATGTCATCGCGGGGTTTACGCAGGGGAGCAAATATTATCCGATAGGGTCGCGATTTACCACATCCGAAGTACAGCAGACTCGAGACAATCAATATAATAAAACATTTGATTTATTCCTTTATAAAAAAGAACTTAACTATGATTTCTCTTTGGCTATAGCTCCCGGAGCAGACGGCATCAATGCGCCTGCAGGAGGCTTGTTTTTGCTCTTGAACTCGTCGCTCATTTGCTCGAATGTTACCCATTCCACTCCTTCATGTTGGTTAATATACTCGATGATCCTATATAGGTATCATTAATATGACCACAGAGAAATCTGCTGTCATGACTCACCTTTCATGCATGAGCAACACATGAGGCCGACCAGAGACATCAGGATGGATTGTCATTGGGAACACAAACTCATCATATTCTCGATAGAAGTAGTCAAAGTGGTCCTGCATACATAGACTAGTCAGTCTCAATACCATATGAAAAAGGATATAAAAACCGACCTTCCAGATATCTTCAACGTCGCGGGGATTCACCCAGCCATGACTATTGGCCGAGTTCTTGATAAACATCATCGGAGGTAGATCATCGATGTACCAACTGCCAGGTATTTCAACGAGACCAGTGGTATTTCCTCTGACGAGGGGCTTCATCCATGTCTCTGCCTTCTGGTTGTAGTCAATCTTCGTCCAGGTATCTCCAGTCCGCAGCCAGTACATCTGGCAATCTTCATGCGACATGGAATGATCATACTCGATTCCATATGCTAACAGAAGATCGACCATCTCAGCACTGCTCTCCCACCACGGTGCGACGATGCCTCGTGGAGGCTTTCCACAGAAATCGGTCAACAAATTGTAGGTTTTATCGAGGATGTCGCGCTGTTGCTCAACTGACAGACTGGATGGATTCTCGTGTGTATAGCCGTGTAGACCAATCTCGTGCCCTGCGTCGCGAACCATTGCACACTCTTCTGGGAAGGTCTCGAGGGAGTGGCCTGGGATGAACCATGTAGCCTTGATTCCGTACTTTTCCAATAGCTTGAGCACTCGTGGTGTGCCAATGTGCCCTGCCCAGAGACCTGCAATTGTTCATATTGATTAGAATTGGGTTGTAATTGGAACTTGAGAGAGTGATACCTCGACTAATGTCACTGACACTGTCCTCGCCTCCGTATGAGCCTAGCCATCCTGATACTGCGTCAATGTCAATGCCATAGCCAACCAAAACACGCTTCTTGCCCATATTGGTTGATTGATCGGGTAGTATGTAAAATAAGGACTGGTAAGAAATTCCAAGGAGCAAAATGGCAGGAGAAAAGAGACCTTCCTCCGAATATTTATGAGAGCTCCCCCACCTCTCGTCAAAGACGCCTTCGCCAACAAAGGTGGGGGTTGCTTCTTCCCCTACTCTCCAATTTTCAAATAATTGAAACGAAGAAGATATGGGTTGCGGATTTTGACTTACGAAAATGAGATTGATATCTCTGAAAAATTGATGCGTTGCTATGTTGCGATTGAGAGATTCATCTGTACTCATCTTTTACTTCATTTTTGACTTCGCCCAGCTACACCTCTTTTTCTTTTTCGTTTTTCCTTTTTTTCCTTTTTTTTTTTTTTTTTTTTTCTTTTGGCTGAAAAGTAAGGATGTTGTCATTGCTAAGAACTTAGGCCCTGCATAGAGCTTTTAATATGACGAGAATGTGAGTCTAAAATTGAGACCAAGGAATATCGACTGGCTGTGCTATTGTCAAATACACTGATTTTATTTAACCCCTAAGAAAAGCCCCTGTAGTATCTGCTCTAAGATCAATAATTTAATATCGATTGTATGACGAATGCACAGATTTCGAGGATTCAAAGCTTTCCCTTCATCACAACGGTGCCTCCAGCGTCAAGATATTCCGTCCCGCCGTAGATGTCTCGCTGCAACCTGCTTGTGTTAACCTTCAAGAAGAGTATTAGCAATCCTTACACAATATATGTAGCAAAGAATATTCGTCTCACAAGATGGGGATGAAGATCCTCCACTGTTTTGGCACCAAGTAGACGCATGCATGTTTTCATCTCTTCGGATAAAACTAAACATTAAATTTTTCGCGTTAGTAAGAAACATTTGAAGCTTAAAAGGGGATGTGACTGACTCTGCAAAGTTCGTTCAACCCCCTCTACACCACCAGCTGCGAGTCCCCAAAGCGCAGGCCGACCAATACCAACAGCCTTAGCACCCAAACACATTGCCTTTACGGCGTCTGTGCCTCGGCGTATTCCACCATCAATCCAAACCTCCAGCTTGTCAAATACAACTGGGCAATATCTCCGTATCTCAAGAAGAGTGTGCACAGCAGGAGGCGCTGTATCCAGCGATCGTCCACCGTGGTTCGATAGCACAATAGCCTTGACCAATGGTGTATATTGTGCCGCCAGGAGTGCATCCTCGTGCGTTTGAATTCCCTTTAGGATAATGGGCTTTTTCGTATGTTCTGAGAGCCATTGAAGCGTCTCTGTCCAAGTAAGGGATGGATCGGTCCCAGCAAAAAGCTGAGTGCTTACACTCCCAGCCGAATGGGATTGGATATTGATTCTCTCGTCATCTTCTCTTTTGCCGGAGACCGGTGCGTCGAGAGTCAAAACGACAAATTTGATTTGGTCCAAGCGATTTATGCGGGCTAGCATGTCTTCGCTTAATTTCCGGTTCAGCTGGACATAGAGCTGCCATCCGAATACTTGGGTTGCTGGTGCATCGGCAACGATTTTCTCCGGAGAAAGAGAGGAATTGTTGGCAATAATCTGGAGACAGCCAAAAGACTTGCATCCCTCGGCAATCCCTTTCTCGCCTGCTGGATGTCCTAGCCGTGCCATCGCAGTTGGACTGATGAATATTGGGAGGCCAACTTTATTGCCCAAAAGGATCGTTCCCAATTCGCATGTTCGGCAATCGACGAAGATTCTCGGTCGAAATAGGATCGAGCGATAAGATTCAGTGTTTAGAGACTTCGTGATCTTGTCGTCTGCCGCTGAGTAGTAGTATGCCCATGCCTTCTTATTGATGACCTGGGTGGCCGCCTCTTCAATCTCGTTCAAGTTTAGCAAGGAAGACATAGACACCTCGGCTTTCGGTGTGGGTTCAGAATCAGCCACATGATTAGAGACCTCCTGTGGCTCTACAGGACCCAGATGTGTTGATTCAATGTCTTTCAAAGTTTCAGGAGGATGAATTAGGTCAAAGTCCTCAGTAGCATCGCGTCCTGCAAATCGTAGGATTGCCTGCGCTCCGCCAGGATGATTGCCAAGGAAATCTGTAACCTAGTTGGTGTTAATATAAAGCTGATAAAATCTGAAAGAGTTGATCGTTGGTTGGAGTTTCGTACATCGTAGACATTTCCATATAGGATCACCCAGCAACTCCCATCGCTGTTATGCTTAGAGACTAATAATATGAGCTAGATGATAGTTATTTTGGGAGTGTTGACGCTTACCTTCAGATTGGGTAATCATGGTGATTGGTTTTTCAGGTGAGAAGGGTTGAGTCCCTTCGACGTAATATCTCCCATCGCTTGGAAGCATATTCCACGCCCCCACCTTCATAGCATGGTACTTATTTGCAGTTCTAGTTGTAGCTTCTTCGAAATCTATCTACCCCCATCTTTGTGACGAGCAACGGGATCCACACCGCAATATAATGAGCGAACAAAATTAATGGTAATTCAAAGTATATCATTCAATTCACTATAGTACCTATATTCCGACTCCGGCCTTCTCACTTCCTTATCAATTACAATGCGTCATGTCCGTAGGTCTCAAACGGCAGGCCCAAACAGAAGACCCCCACAGCAACCCACAGTGCAGCACTCGCATAGATTGGAGCACTTGTAAATCCGGTCTGTGAGGATATGAGACTAGCAACAAGTCCACCCAAGCGAAGGAGGGCTGCGGCAGTTCCGGCGCCAGTGCCACGATGGGGGGCTGGGAATGTCTCGGGCGTAAATGCGTACATGATAGCATATTCTAAACGTAAAAATTAGCAACTGTCAGATTCATGAATGGAAATTGGTTATGCTTACCAAAGTTACCCAAAAGGCTGGTAATACAAGAAAAGGCCAAATCGGCAGCTGGACTATTGACACCCACATATGCGAAGAGGAAGACGGCAGTTACAACAGCAGAGATTCCCATCATCCAACGTCTTCCGAGGCGAGTATTGACCGATACTGCAGCGGACAGTGGACCGACAATACCGACTGCTGATGTAATGCAGTAGTTACGATATGTGAGGTAGAGAGATGAGTTCTCTGTAAACTTGGTTGCTAGATAGGATGGCAAGAAGGCAAAGAAGAGTGGGTATGCAATTCCTAATATGTATCAGCATAAGTGCCATGACCTGGATAGTTAAAGCACAACTCACCAACAGTCAGCCAGATTACCCAGATGATTATTGTTTGTCGGCCGAGTTTTCGAGTAGCAAATAATGCTCGGTAATGCTCGCCCCTGAAGGCCTGCATGTTCTCTTTAACGATCTCTTTCGTGGTCATGCGATGTGTTTCCCCCTCTTCATGGAGTGGTGTTCCCGTTCGAATATCGATATCCCGGAGCATTGCGATTGTTAAGGGTTCTGGTTTTCCATTTTGTCTTGCGACGTAGTTGACGGCGTCTACCGCTTCTTGATCCCTTCCTTGAGAGAGAAGATATCTTGGAGTTTCGGGTAACTTGAAAACGAAGATACGAACAAATGTGAATGTGAGGGCTAGGCCGCCGAGGGTAATAAGGGTATATCTCCTATTGATGTGTGTTAACGAGGAACATGTGTGTTATTGGGAAAGCTCCTACCATCCCATATTCTGGCCGCGGGAACAAGTTTCGGGTGTAGCATCGGTCGGGCAGCTGAAGTTTGCCAGGAAGACCCAAGCGATTAACGAGACAATCAATTGACTCAGGTTCCACCATGCAGACAGAGCCGTGAGGAGATACTGATGACTTGTAGAGGTTAGAAAGCCGAAATAAGATGTCTCAAGATCGATGTCACTTACCTTCCAGGAACAAATTCTAAGAAGATCATTGAATCAACCGGTACGTTTCCACCGGCAGCTGTTCCAATGACAGCCCAAAGAGCACTAAAGGCAACAAAGTTCATCGATCCGGCAGCGGCACAGAGGAATACTCCAGCAATAAGCAGAGTGCAGTTGAATGCCGGCTTGCGACCCATCAAATCGCTGGAAAGGCCCCAAAAGGAGGCACCAAGAATGAGTCCAACATAGTAGGCCACAGAGCTGTAACTGACTTGTACTATGTCGGAGAATTCTTGTTTGATGGGCGGTTGAACACTTCCGATGCCTTGCGACGCAAACTGTTGCAGATAACATCAGCCTAAGAAGCGAGAAAAACAGAGAAAGGGATTGATCATACGTTGTCGACAATCCATCCAAATCCAGTCACCACGAAGAGTTTCCATTGAAACCTGGGACTGTCAGCATTTACCGGTCATAGCTTGATTGGAAGAGATATTATGTGCGTACCATCCCATACCAATCTCCTCCATGCATTTACCAACCAACTCAGACTTCAGACGATATGACTGCGTGGTAGAAGAGCCATAGAAATTCTCAACCTCCAAGTCATCGATCGTAGTCATTTTCCCAGCACCATAGTCTGAGCTTTGATTCTGCTCTGGTTGAGCAGGTTTCTCTTTGACTTGAATGTCATCCATGGCGAATGTGAATTCTTGCTATGGAGATTGAGTAATTTCTGCTCATCGCAAGCATGATATGCCTTGAACAGTGTTCGCTTTTAGGGCTTTGTGTTAGACTTGCCCAACTTCTGATTGGTTATAGCTATCTAACGTTTGATCTGATAGAGGCAAGACTTTGGGGAAAGATTACTAGTGCCAAGGGTGGGATGGACGATGTGCCATCCCACTTTTGATAAATCTGGGGGATATGCAGGGATAGCTCTAGGTAAATGTATTATATCACACCAGCAATGGAACCCGATTGGGCAATGGAAATGCATCTATCATGTCCAAACAGCTTACCTAAGTTTATATAAATTTGCACGTGATGAATGAAGGTAGAACCAATGTAAACGTTCAATTGATGATATGACCAAACTTATTGCAAAACATTGACATGAATGTGCGATTTCCAATTTAGTTACAAAGCTAAAAATAAATTCCTAGGCTTCTACTGCAGCCAGAGCTGGCAGTGGCTCCGGTTTCTTGTTCTCCATTTCCTTCTTGTATTTTTCTGCCCGGCCATAGCTCTCCCTGTAAGAGGCTGTAACCATGTCCTGCACAGTAATTGGTCCATATTTGGCCGGCTCCCCTTCTTCACGACAGTTGGGCAAACATTCGCAAATATAATCTGGGTTTCCACTGAAAAAGAATGGAATAGAATATCTCTCCCGGCCAGATTTGTTGATGACCCGATGAGTGTTGGATTTGTACTTGTCATTCGCCATGCGCATGAAGAGATTGCCCAGATTTACCACATAAGCTCCTGGAACGGGTTTCACCTATCCATTGTTAGCTGGTTTTGAGATGTATGGTCGTTGGAGCCCACATCTAGCCATTGTCCAGTTGGCGCATCCAGTACTTGCAACCCGTCCACCTCATCTTGTAACAAGAGGGTAATGCATCCGAAGTCGGTATGTGCTCCAATTCCACGGTTTAATTTTTCATCGGTATCCTGCGGCTGAGCTGGATAGTGCAGGTATCGCATCGTAGCGACGGCGCCATCAGTGAGGGGATCGAAGAATGTTGACTCCACTCCCAATGTTTGCGCGAGCACTCCTAAAACATCTTTCGCCAATTCGAATACTGCGTGGTAGTATTCCATGGTTGTTTCCTGAAATTCCTCTCTCTCCGGCAAAGTTGGGGGCCATTGGTTGGGACCACTGTTCAATTTCTTCTCGAGGTAATATGGGTGGTCTCTGGGGATTTCTTCGCCGATATATAGGCCTTCTTTGAGCTCGGGGCCGGTGCCTACTTCGAGCATTTGCGATCGTAGGAGCTCGTAGCCTCTGTTGAAAGAATTGTGATCTATACAGTCAGACATTTTCGTTAATTTCAATCAAATAAACGCTTACTCTTGTCAATCTTCAGTTTCTCCTCCAGAGGAAGATCGAAAAAGCGCCTAGAACAATCCATCACGCGGCGCTGCAAGTCCAGCGGCACGCGGTGGCCAGTAATCTGGAAAAAACCATTGTAGTGGCAACACTTGCGCACTTCCTCAATCAACTTCGACTTTGCTTCGCTGTCTCCTCCATAGAAAGGAGAAAAATCCAGAATTGGTGGGGCGGCGGGGAGAGACATCGCAACTATACAGATGGTAGAGGAGTGTAGCTTCTCCTTCCCTTCGAGGAATTGATTTCGCTCGAATATATTCCCCAGTACTCATTCTAGACTACCCCAGCCGCCCTCAATTTCGCAAAGAACTCCGACATCTCGACGCCACTTAATGTTCTTGGATGTGTTACGAATGGGGGCGGTGTTGAGGTGTCAAAGATGGGGGCTAACGAATCGTCCCGTCCCGATAAGGGTGCGGGGGGTGTTAGGGGAATGGAAGACTGAAGATGATCCTTTCTATCTACACACTTTGTCGTATCTATGTAGCTATTTTCAGTGAAGCTCAGGAGTCGTACATGACTGTCAGGTGTCAAGGGGTTGGAATGTTGTACAGTGTAGAAATTATTTAAGAATCCGATCGCGTTAGCTTCCCGTCATACTTTGTATAGTTATTCAATCCAGTATGTCTGAAACAAAATCATATGCTGGTGTCAAATTTCCAGACCCCGAAGTAAATAATGGGGAATGTACACCATATGCAGACAGCGAAGCCGAAAGAGCTTATGTCAAAAAGATTGACTATATCGTGCTACCGGTGCTATGTTTGGTGAGTGTTCCGTATTTTAACTCTCATGGGTAAAAATGGCCAATTAATGATTTTTCCTGCGATGAAGATGTACTTTTTTGACTGCATGGACCGAGTATGTATTGAGTCCTATTTCGTCCCCCAAGCCTGCTAACGAAATCAGAGCAATTTGGCAAATGCGAAGACAGATGGCCTTGAGAAAGATTTGCACCTTGTGGGGAATGACTACTCCCTCTTGATTCTTCTTTTTTATATTCCATTTGGCATATTTAACTTGCCATGGAACCTTTTGATCAAGCGATTCTCTGGAAGAATTACACTGTCATCCAGTGAGTTTACCGAGTTTCCCTTACCTCTGATATATATCAACGGCTCATTGGATTCACAGTGTCCATTGCATGGGGAATATTAGCTCTCTGTCAATGTGCCGCTAAAGGCTTCGGGTCTCTGCTTGCAATCAGACTTATACTCGGCGTCTTCGAGGCCGGTTTCTTTGCAGGCGCGACGTTTTATTTGACGCTCTTTTACACTCGCGGAGAAATGGGATTCCGTTTGGCTATCATACAGTCATTCGCTGTTCTAGCGTCGGCTTTCAGTGGGCTCATCTCCTTTGGGGTATTCCAGATTAATGACCCAGCAGTGAAGGGATGGCAATGGCTGTTCATTATTGAGGGATCAATGACCCTCATTACAGGAGTCGTCGGGTTCTTCTTACTTCCGGATAATGCACCCCAAGCCTGGTTTTTAAGCGATAGGGAGAAGGCGGCTGCGACAGCGCGTCTTCTTCGGGACACTTCATCTGAAGTTAACACTGCGTTCGATCTGAAATCTTGCTTTGAATCATGGAATGACTGGAAATTTCCGGTTTGGTGCTTTATCACGTTCACCTACCCTGTTGCCTATGCTACTGCAATGAATTTCTTCCCCTTGGTAAGTCTTCCGACAGCCATGTTACACGTAAACTAACGAAAGCAGATTGTTCAGCGACTGGGATATTCGGTCGTGAAGACTAATCTCTGGACTGTCGCACCCAACCTTGTCGGTGCAGTCTTCCTGCTATGCGTCGCCAAATCATCGGATTACTTCCGAGAGAGGACCTTTCATATAGTGTTCTCGTTGACAGTCTCATTAGTCGGCATGATTATATTGACCGCCATTGATGTCGAGGGGAACAAAGGTGTGGCATACTTCGCCTGCTTCCTCATGGCAGCTGGCTCATATATCCCCTCTTGCCTTGTCCATGCATGGCATAACAATAACAATGTCCACGAGAATTCCCGGGCTGCCAATACGGGATTCTTCGTAGGCTTGGGAAATCTAGCAGGTATTCTAAGTGCCGGAACATTCCGAACACAATACGCGCCCAAGTACACACCCCATCTAATACAAAGGTGAACTCACTAACGTTGTGAACTCACTAACGTTTCACATAGGTACCTCCCAACCCTCATTGCAACTTGCTGTTGCAACGCAGTTTGTATTGTGCTAGTGCTTGGACTAGGGAGCTGGATGCGTATGGAAAACTACCGCCGTGATCGAAAGCAGGGCCAAAAAATTAGAGAGGATCAGATTGACACCAGTCGGTTCAAAGAGGGAGAGAAGAGTCCGGAATGGAGGTATTTCCCTTAATAGGGGAGATTCTTACCCTTGTTTAGCTTTCGCGGGAAATGTCGCAACGCAGCTACGAGATTTGATATATGTTAAGTGTGCGATATTTAGACCATGTAGATTCCAGACTCCCGTATACCTAATGTTTAAGCTCGCAAGTGCCAAGTAATAGTGACAAATCCACGGCTTGTGATAAGCGAAGACATATCAGGGCGAAGTATACCAATCAGCCGTTAGCGTTAGGCACCCCCGCATCCTTATCAGGCGCTCTCGGCATTGGCTCCGACCTGTCGAATTTATCTTCAAGAATGGGGAGCTGTTCCTCCTGGATAACGCATTCAACTCAATATGAAGAATCATGCGTGCCAGCATCCCGGATGTAGCAAAAGCTTCACCCGCGCAGAACACTTGCGCCGACATGCGCTCAACCACGAGCAGCCGCGCAATGGATATACTTGTGGGCGGTGCTCTGTTCATTTCCAGCGTCCTGATTTACTAGGTGGGAGATACTTGGAATCCTTTAGGTGATGCTGGCGCTGATGAGTATAGCGCGACATATGGAACGACATACCAAACGCGACCAGGAAGCTGGAGGACCAGGCCAAGGTTTACTCAAGACGCGAAAGAGGACAAGACGAGCAGAAGATGGTTCTATCTTTGTACGACCTTCTCAGCGACAGATCAGAAACGCTTCGAATTCTAGGGGTTCGGCGAACAGTTCTGGCCAGGAACTAGAAGAGGAGTATCAACTTCCTGAGGAGACTGGTCTCCCTATATCACCACCTGGCTCGGGTACAGATCCAACAACTATCTCAATCGATGAAACGGACCCTTTCCTAGCGCCTCTGATTCCGATAGGTTCTTTTGAACCATATGTCGAGCCGATCCCAGGTCAGTTTGATGCAGCCGATGGGTCATTCAATGTTGAGCTGGACGGGATAGGCGATTCTTTTGGCATGGACACAGGTATTATCTGGAATTACGAATAAACACTGTTCAAACTCTGACGCTAATAGCCACCGACTTCAATCTACCATTTGCGGCGACTTGTAACTACAACTGGTTGTTTGACGTTTCCTCCCTCGACGACGCTTTTCAGCACTTCGACTCTTCCATCGGATTTGATACAGTTGCCTTTCAAGAAATGACAGAAAGCACTCCGATGGAGGCACCTGAGAAATATGACGGCCCCTCTGCACTTTTGATGGCGTCTATAATGGACAGAGTGCCATTCCACCAATCTACCTCACCCGCCCTTCCCAGCCTTCCCGACCTGGACTGGATGTCAGGGTCTGTCATGCTAGATTCAAACCCTCCACCTTGCCTACCGCAGATATCAGAAGAAGCGCGAAAGGGGATCATGTCTGTTGTAGCACATGCACACCCGACAAGCATCGATGGACAGCCCATGCTTCTCGAATCTCCTCTTCTGTCACTAACTGCTCTCCAAAGCTACAGTGATCTCTTCTTCACTCGCTTTAACACGACATACCCATTAATCCACCAACACACATTCAACCCGAACACAGCAGCGCCGGTCTTCCTAGCATCTGTGCTGTTTATGGGTGCTACTTACAGCACCCGCGAAGCCCACCAACTAGCAGTTGAAGTCCACGATACTTTAAGATGCCAACTACTATGCCATCCCGAGTTCTCACCACAACCCGATCTCTGGGTCCTACAGACAATGCTTCTGATTGACTGTTTTGGCAAAATGAGGGCTGGCCCAAAACAACGCGAACGAGCACAACTCTTCCATTGCGTACTCATCAAACTCATCCGGCGCAGTAATTGCTGCAACATTCGCGGAGTGTCAGCTTTGGATCAATCTGCTGATTTGGAGCAAGTATGGCGACAAGCTTTGGATGAGGAACAGCGAAAACGCGTTGCTATGCATTGTTTCATGTGGGACACACAGCACGCGGTCTTATTTTCGCAGTCTCTTTGCATGTCTGCATTCGAAATTAGGTCTTCGTTACCTTGTAGCACTGCGGCATGGGAGGCCTCTTCTGCCCGCGAGTGGGCGCAACATGCCTTCCGTGAAGAAAACCGTCTGTTCCTTTCTGTGCTGAAGGGGTACATCACGCCGGCAGCTGTGCCTCGGCCTCGAGATTTGAATGCCTTTGCCCGTATCGTTGTTCTGCATGGCTTGATGTCTGTATCTGCAGACCTTAAACGTCGGGATCAGACTACTCTACGGTCGGAAACACCTGATCGGGTTGGGGCATGGACACCACGTATGGGTCGTTCGTACGATCTGTGGAAGGTCGACTTTGACTCCGACTGTCTCGCTATGAAACTTGCACAGACTGCCAGTCCTCGGCAGTTCACGGGACTCAAGATATCCGGACATGCCTTGTATCACGCCGCATATCTCGCATTGCATGTTGAGGTCTTAGATTTGCAGATCGTCGCTGGTGCACCACATATCCTTGGGCGACTAGTCACGGAAGCTGATCGGGTGCGATCGCTTCGAAATATAACCAGATGGCTTCAGGAAGACTCCGAACCCCCTTGCACGGCTGCGCGACAGGCCGCATCCCTCCTACAAGATTCCGTGTTAAGTCTTCATGAATGGGAGCAGGCTGATTCATTCCATTTCCCATGGTGTTTATACCTGTGCACGTTAGCTTGCTGGGTATTCCACCGTGGACTTGACCTTACATCTGACGAGAACAGGTCTACGACAGATTTGTCTTCATTGATCGTGATGATGACCAACTGTCCTAGTCCGTCTGAATTAGGATCGCTATCTGGCAAGTATTGTCCACGGCCCCTTGCAGCAGCTATGGCACAGCAATTAGCAACAGTTCGATGGGCAGTTGTACATGACGCGATGAAAGTTTTAGTAAATTTATCTTGATAGTCTTTTGATTTGATTTGTGAAATAGGCAATTTGCTCTATATGATATGTTGTTATATGATTTGTTCGAAACATCACTCCCTTGCATCGTCCTCTATGCACTATAGAATGGGTAGTCGGTATATCCCTTCTCAGCAGGCTCAGCGCCATAGAAAGTCGTCCGATCATACGGAGTCAAAGGCAAGCCCTCCTTCAAGCGACGCGGCAGATCAGGGTTTGAGATGAAATAACGACCAAATACAACCGCATCAGCGCCATCAGCCACCAGCTTTGTACCCGCATTCTCGGGGTTGAAGTTTCCAGCTGCAAGGAATGAGATCCCCCCTTCTTCAGCGTCGGCCGGAATACATCCAGCGAAGGCTTCTCCGTGGCAAGGGATTCAATCTTGGCCTTTTCATCGAGGACTTCATCGAAACGTGGCTCGACCATGTGTACATATGCCGGTCGGGACTCCTCTGGAAGGCTGGCGATCATTGAACATAGCTTGGCCCAGTGAACATTGGGGTTCGAATCACGTGTATCCTGGAAATAGTTGTATGGCGACAGACGAATACCAACTCGGTCGGCACCAATGGCGGCGGTGATTGCTTCGATGACTTCCAGTACGAAACGAGATCGCTTCTCAATACTTCCGCCATATTCGTCGGTGCGGGTGTTGACGTTGTCGTGGAGGAATTGATCAAGAAGGTAACCATTTGCACCTATTCAATTAGCGATTACGCATATATGCAAGCGTCAAAGTGATCTCACCATGAATCTCGACTCCATCAAACCCAGCTTCACGGGCTCGCTTCGCCGCAGCGACATATTCCTTCACGGTTTCTTGAATTTCCTCAGTAGTCATAGGACGCGGTGGCGAAGCTGCATACTCGCTACCATCCAGTGCATTTCCAGTAATAGGAATTTCACTACCACCAAGGACATCTCTTCCTTCAATGAAAGAAGAGACAGTCGCACGACCGACATGCCACAGTTGACAGTAAATAAAGGCTCCCTTGGCGTGCACTGCATCGGTAACCTTCTTCCAGCCGGCAATCTGCGAGGGGGTGAAGATTCCAGGGACTCCGGGGTATCCAGCAGCCTGGTAATGTTAGTCTCAGAACATAGTCAGGAGTAAAGCTTCACATACATGTCTGCTAATGGGAGTAGCTTCTGTCAACATAAATCCTCCATCAGAGGCACGCTGCGAATAATACTCGACATTGAGATCATTGGGCACATATACACCCTCCGACTCCTTTGACGCTCTCATTCGTGTGCATGGTGCTAGGATGACACGGTGCTTGAGCGGGAGAGCTCCCAGGCGCAGGGACTCGAACAGAGAATCTTTGGTGGCAATTGAACCCATTGTGTATGATATTTTTGGTTTGGTACGCTATGGAGGTAGAGCCTCTACAGTATATATAGCTAATGCTCCTATTTACCTCCCGCTTTTGTGTAGAAAGTGGGATACATGTTGGGATATATTTTAATAGTGGGATGAAGCTCTTGCGGGTCAGCTGTTGATAGTGGCATGCATGAAACACCCCCACTGTAGGTTAGCTCTACCCCCACCATTTGCATGCTCTCCTCATCTTTGCTGCAAGAAAATAGACAGGTGGCGGTTTGGTTTTGTTGTTTTTTTCTAGCAGTTTCAAGTTAGGAGGTCCAAGGAGACCTCATCCAGAGGAAGTGTAGCAGACTTCACATAATCTTAACAATATAACAGCCATGGATTTCTTAAATGGAAACCTTGGAAATGTCGTCACGAAAGCCTTTGAACTTTGTAAACATTCCTTCATGATATTCATGATATCGTCTGTAGTCGTAAACCTTCCCAGTCTAAGGCTTTGCCCGGTCGCCGCTCGTAGTCTTCCACCGCAGCTTTCCAAAGCCGGAGGAGATCAGATCTTGCCGTTTCAGCCACACTATTTGCTTGTTGAGCGGCCATGCTTGCGAAATGTGGATCAATTACCAATGGAACTTCCGGCGAAAATGAGAAATATATCAAATCCGAGAACGGTTGATGAAAAAAAATGTTAGACTCATAATCATATCACGTGTACAATTCAGAATAATTCAGCCAAGAATTAGGCTTGGTGTGCATTGGGCGATTGACCCACTGACAGAGGATATCGACCACTGATCCTATTTGAGAGTAGGACCCAGTATTTCAAAGTTTCAGAGCCACTCTCAGATCCGAAGCCTTCCTCACTTTAGGTCACTAAGGCAAGGTTGGAATGCAGTTTTCTTCATTCTCAATGCCGCAAAAAAGAAGTTAATTAATCAAATACACTGTTGGCTGAGATATGTGCAGGTTGTTGTTTATCGATGTTGTTCTTTTATAGTCGCAGTTGTTACAGTTCCTGCTGGTACTAAATCGAGGCCCGCAACTGTTGCTGAGCCTGCAATAGCAAATCATGTTCAGTAGAGATTTTAAGTGAACGGATGTCATATGCAGCACCCAATATCCTAGCACACCAGTACTCAACGAGAGACACTTTCATGTCCAATAAATTTGGTAAATTTTAATTATAGTTATAATTTCAAATACCAGACATTACCAAGAGCAGCTATTTTTATATTTATTTATAATTTTCGACCGTAGACAACCATTTAATCACTGGCTGCAAGGTTGCTTTGCCCGTTGGACTTCAAGTTTTCACCACTATAGGTCTTATAACATAATATTTCTTATTTATTGCTGGTACAGTGTGTCCCGAAACGGGCGCCACCACTTTTACTCTTTGACTGTTTCTGAAGTCTCAAGTACTAAGCTCCGCTAGCCGGAATTTCTCCGTGTATCCTTGGAATTGGGACCTGTATTGTTTTTACACGCAGTATCTACTGCTATGGCGGGGTTGTATTCGCTTGCACTTTATTAAGATGTGAATTATTTCTGAGGATACAGGGTATTTAAGGGCAATGGTGATGAAATACCAGCCAACGCTCTGAGAACTTCTCAAGTTAATTGACCAGTCTAAGTAGGCATCAGACGGGGATTTCTCTTTAGCTCCCCTCCTATCGCGACATTCCTCAGCACCCCATCAATGCCTTGGCCTTACAATTGCAACAGCCCTAGGCCCCCAAATGCCACCACCGCTGCCCCTCCACACAGTCCCCAGACCCCCTTATCCCATCCTCTCGGCCCCTGTATCGTAACCCATGTATCCACCACACATACAGCAGTCCACGCCGTCAATAGAACTCCCATCTCCTTCCCTTTTCCTTCGCCATAAAGCCAAAATAGCGCGCCTGCTACGGCTATGTCACGTATTCCAAGGAATATCATTGCTTTCTCGGTTATGTCGCGGCCTTCTGGCGTGGTAGGGATGACCCCGAGAGACCCTGCAGCAACGGACGGAGATAGAATGGCCAAGGCTCCGAGAGAAAAGACAGTCGTTGTAAGGCCAAGGCCGATGAAGCGCCATGTTGAACGAGTGAAGAGGCGATTGGGAAAAGCCATTGTGCATCGGCTGCGAGAAATTGAATGTTGATCTTTTGTTTAGTAGGATAGGATGAAAGAGCTTTTCTTTTGGATAACCAAGCCACGCAAGTGGCAAATCCTGAACTTCATATAACCCATCACCTGCTTCCGGCCAGCTATCGGCCAGCTATGTCACCGCGGAGAGTTTTAGAAATGCTCTGGCTCTATCCAAGGGAGATCGTTCGGCTGATGAAAAAATCAAAATCATCTGCAGTGATGCAAACTCGCCAAGATTTTCATGCATGCTATGCTGACACGTCTACTGTGGACCAGAGCCTGTACTGTAGAGCAGTATGTGGAGAACGCAAATAGAGGGTACCATTTAGAAATCTTCGAATGAAAATAAAATAGAGGTGAACTCAAGTTGGGTTCGGAAGGTAAGTGGATCCGCATCGGATTGTTCACTAATCATTAATTTTACAACTGACCAATAATCAGCATTCTTCGGGAAACAGTTCTCTTAGTATCACTAATCATTGATTTTATGACTACTATCTAGAAGCATCAATGAGCATTAATCGCCGATATCTCCGAGGCTCTTCCATGGTTCGTTCACACTGCATCCAGGGTGGTGCTCTATTCAGCAGGAATGGCATCAATCAGGGTTAATCGCCGATATCTCCGAGGCTCTTCCATAGTTCGTTCACACGGCATCCCAGGGTGGTGCTCCGTTCGGCAGGAATGGCAACTATAAATTGGCTAGCAGGCCGCACTGGCTGTTTTCCATGATATCAAGCTGAATCTCACATCCGTCAACTCAAGGGTTAAACATCCGCTCGTTGGCTATTCACCATGGAAGCCAAGAAACTTATTGTTGTCCTCGGAGCTACAGGGAATCAGGGTGGCTCAGTCGCAGAGGTTTTCCTCCAGGAGCCGCAATGGCGTGTCCGTGCAGTGACCAGGAACCCGGCCAGCACAAAAGCCCGTGCCTTAGCTGCCCGCGGTGCGGAAGTGGTCCAAGCAGACTTGGATTTACCATCCACCCTCTTGTCGGCCTTTGAGAATGCGAATGCTATTTTCGCCGTCAGTGACTTCTGGGGTATATTTGGTGATCCTGCCAATGAAGCCAAGGCGAAGGGTCAGCAACTCAATGTCTGGGCCGCCAACCATGAGACCGAGCAACTGAAGGCCGTTATCGATGTTGCCGCGAGGATTCCTACTCTGGAGCGCTTCGTGTTGTCATCTCTTTCTAACGCGACTAAGTGGTCCCGGGGGAGGTACACGCACGTCTACCATTTTGACTCGAAAGCCAAGGCAGAGGCGTACGGAAGAGAAACCTACCCTGAGCTGTGGAAGAAGACAAGTATCTTCCAGGCTGGGTTTTACTTGAGCAATTATGTCTCACTTCCAGTCTTTAAGCCCGTGATAGTAAGTTTACTGATCGCCTTGACCCGCGGGATCATCTCTAACCCTCTCTAGACAGCGCATGGTAAAGCCCAATTTGTTAGCAATCTAGATCCAGACGTTAAATTGCCTTTCATCGCCGCGGAAGAAGATACTGGTCCAATTGTAAAGGCCCTCGTGCAAGAGGACGCTGGGAAAAATATCATCGGCTATCGGGAGTGGAGCTCCTTACGCGAACTTTCGAAGGCATTTTCTCAAGCTACTGGGGCAGAAACAGAATGCATCCGGTTGGCAACAGGGCAATCGAACATCCCCCTCCCGAGTGAGCTCCTTCTTGAATTGGGCGACAATTGGGCTTATTGCAACGAGTTTGGATACGAGGGCCGAGATGACCCCACAATCATCCACCCCAAAGACGTGAGTTCGTCGGCGGTGTTCTCTTTTTTTTTTTCTTTCACATTGCTGATATTTTCACCTAGTTGGACTCGCCCCCGGAGCTGGACAGTGTGGTAAATTACTTCAGGAAGCAGGATTGGTCCGAGGTCTTCACACAAGAAAAGTAGATTCCTAAGAGTCACTGCATAGGGACGACTCCCAATATAGTTTTACCCTCTGATGAAAGCTTTTCTATCTTGAATTCGCCATTCTCCCTTCCCGAAGACTCCCTAGTTTTTATGTTCGAGTAGACATTGGAATTGAAAAGTGATAAGGCGCTGACTAGGTATTCACCTATATGTTATAGTATTGTATCAAATTCGCCTTATCGTATTTTCTGAGCAATATTGTCCCAAGAACGCCGTGTCGATAATTATGTTGTCTAAATCTCGGGATAGCAAACCCAATTTGTACTTTCCTTCCATATTATAGCATTGCACCCTTACGTAAAAAGCGCACACACCCGCGAGAGGCCAGAGCAGGTCCTAGAGTAGACAACATACTGTATTAGAGGAGGGATTTGTGAACACTCAATCTTAGGATACTGCCAAGACTCCGCTACAAGTCCAATAATCTACTCAGCCTGATCATTAATCAATAAATCAAGCCAAGAGACGCTAGGAAGCTAAATTCCGGTCTCGCCACAGCGCCTTACTACTCCCTAACGAGTCTAGCAAGATTCGGGCGTTCCTCAATTCATTCCAAAGGAATTCTATCAACCCAGGAAGCAATCGTCCATTCTGAGCCAGGTAGGTTGTCCAACATCAACACTCTTTCCCGGAAGACGACGCTCTTTATGCCTATCTCGACGATAGGGGAATGATACTGGTCTACGAGCAGAATGTCACCAAAGAGCTCATCAAGCCTCCCATCGGACTTCGCATATTCAGCAAGTAACATTGTCCTGCCTCCTCGCTCATGCGCTCTGCATTAGCTAGCTGTTTCATAAGAATACGTAAATTTGCACTAGGTAGGGCATCTGTTTACCAGTCAACCCCACTGGCTCAAATATCGCTCGGTATGCTCAATAAACATAATATCAGATCCCAAATCAGATCTTTGGTTTGAACAACAGAAATCAGCTCCGCTCACACTCTTACAAATTATTTTGGGCCTGATCATGGAGCTACTCCCAGACTACTGTCCCTGGTACCGAGAGTGGAGGGGAGACGATAACCTAACCTAATCATATCAGTATGAAAGGTACAGGATGATAATCTGACAGACAGTGCAATACATTAGGTACTTTGACTCAATGACTCTGTCCTAAGAAAGACCGACAGCCTCTCGGAGCTTGGAGATGATTCACCCTTCCGGCGTGATTTCTAATCATCGTCGTGGGTAAATAGAGATAGGTCAAAGTGATGACCTAGGATATGGATATAATGAGCGCAAAGTATTGCGAATGTGAGAGTACGACCCTGCCTGCAGCTACCACTTTATCCAAATACCTTTAAACGTCGGTCATTACTACCAGTTAGATTAATCACGCTCAGTGGGGCATTCATCTATCTGCAATGGCCCTGTTCAAGAATGTCCTGCTTATCGGAGTATGTCTCAGTTTTCCAGCACCGCGCTTGGCTTCCATTCATCCTACCCACAATAAAAGGTTACTATCCGCATCTAGCCTACTGACACATTCTATAGGCAGGTGGAAACCTAGGTGTCCCTGTCCTTAAAGCATTCCTAGCTTCCCCATATAAAGTCGGCATTTTGACCCGCAAAGAGTCGACATCAACATTCCCTAAATGCGTGCCTGTCTTTAAAGCCGACTATACCGATGTATCCTCCATCAAACTTGCAATGGAAAGTCAGGATGTGGTGATTAGCATGGTCGGCGGCATCGCAGCAGGCGACCAACAGGTATTCATCGATGCCGCTCTCGCCGCCGGTGTGAAAAGATTCTTGCCCAGCGAGTTCGGTCCCTATTCGCGGAACCCCGAATTTGCCGCACTGAACCCTGTTGTTTTATCATAAAAGACGGGTACTGTCGACTATCTCCGATCAAACCAGCCATTGATTTCTTGGTCGAGTCTTGTTACCGGTGCGTTCTTCGACTGGGCCATGAAAGTCGGATTCTTCGGTTTCGACCTCGCCTCAAAAACTGTGACTCTCATCGACGGCGGCACCTCGGTTTTCACTACTACAACCCTGTCGACAATTGGGAAGGCCCTTGTTGCCATACTCGAACACGCGGGCGAGACGAAGAACCAATACATCTTGTGTCATCCTTCAATGTCAGCCAGAAAGATATTCTAGATGTGGTTGAGAAGGTCGATGGCCAGAAATGGACGGTAAGGCATGTTACGTCCGAGGAGGTCATCTATAATGGCAAGAGAAGGCTTGCGGCGGGTGATTTCGCCGGAATCATGGACTTGACTAGGGGTGGGGCATTTGGTAAACGGGCACTGGGAGATGAGAGTTCACATGGCTTCTGGAACGACGAATTAGGGCTCCCAAAAGAGGATATAGAACAGACTATTAGAAATATGCTCTAGGAGGCCATGTGAGTGAGAGATGTATCTTTTGCAATTATTCGATTTGATATGTACGAAAGGCATGCAGCTCCAATATGTCATCGATACGTCACTAATGGTGGAGGGATCTCAAGTGAATAGACACCTTATTTATCTTTCGACTGGATCGAAGTGAAGGTCAACAGAAACTGAATTTAAGAGAGATGTTTGGTTGATTTTCTTGCCAAGACGAAACAGGTGAGCCCACGTTAGTAGCTGTTTCCACTACTTGCCAATCAACACAAGAAATCGTTTGTCAATATCCCGTTGAGATTTTACCGACAACACCGTATTAGTATCATCGTATCGCCCGCCGGCTGCGGGCTATTTTTCGCCGCAGAATATCATTGGCCTCCCTCTTTATTTCTTCCCAGTAGGTACTAGGCCAGAGAGTCAAGTCTTGCTTCGTATCCTTCACCACAACCAGATTATTCAATTTAGCTTTCCACTCGATCTAGTAGTGAATACACTCTGGAGATCTTTCATCCCACGCATTACAATAATCATGCCTAGTTGGGGCAGTGGAACAACAGTATTTCGGCTGGAGCTCACAACTTCAAATATGAAAAGATGATCATGCTCTCACTTGAAATTACACATCATATATGAAGCTCTTTCCTCCAAATCGGCATGGTTTCTAACACAACTGCTGTATCTACAGAGAAGGGCGCAGGGCGCGCTGCATGTAAAGGCAGGGTAAGGCATGCCCTAGTTAATCAAAGCTGCAATTACTGACCTTGCCGCGAATAGGCACATTCTAAGAACCACTTGTTCCTGAAAGAAACATTACAGAGGATACAGAAGCTTAGGAAATTAACGGACAGCGCTCAAAATTTCTCAATATTGATCAAACCCAATTTCTCTGCAAATAGATGTAGTTGGATTATTCAAGCACACATCAACGCATATCGAGTTTAATTTCAATTAATTCATGGATGATAAAATGTATTTACTGGTCTATATTCTGTGTAGTCGAAATTCATTGATCATATGCATTAATGATAGCTGGCCCCATCTCAAGAAATATTATCAGAGACTTCATACCAAGATTGAGCCACTACATCGTACATGATATCAGCCACCCAATTTTGCAAAAGATCTCCATGAGGAACTTGTTACTCAATGCTGATCAACCCATTCTATTATTCAATGCTTCCAACAGGGACAATAAATGCCGCTGTCCCCACTGCAAATGCGCCCACCAATTTCGTAAGATTCGAGACCTTTTCCAAATCAAGACTGTATATTGCTTCTCAATAACCTCCGGTGGCTCAATTTCCGAAGGGACAGCGCTCTTAACAAGTCGCTCACGAGCCAAATCGAGGACGCTAGCTAGGGTCAGGCCTGCAAGAATTGTATGGTCCGACGGGGGTGGAGTAACAAGCTGCGGTGTGCCTTGCGGATTCATCCAGAGAACGAAAAGGTTCATGGAGCCAGCTTCGGTCATGGAGAGATGGTGTTAATCACCGTGATTGCAAGGACGGAACTTTGGAATATTTTACCGAGATCGGCTTCGTGAATCATCCCCGGAACCCCTTGGTAGCATCCATAGATGACTTGAGACATCTCATGTGCGCCAAGTCGCCATATTTTTAAAATTACGTCATTTCCCCAGTCTTGGCAGGACGTTTACATATAACCGCGAAACCATAAAAACTCTCTTAAAGAGTGAGATCAACCCCGCGAAATCCTTCCGGGAATTGATCTACCTGCTTGACTATTTTGGATATTTACCGGCGGGTTTGGAGTCACCCAAATTACCCCGGGCCATACAAGAATTAACCGAAGTAAATTTTCATCAATTGCCTTCAGGACCATACAACAGCGGATTTTAAGAAGATAGTATAAAAGGAACCAAATCACACAAGAAGTCTGCTACTTCCTCTTTATCAGAGAACATCTCAAACAATCAATCCGTTTAATAAGACAACCCAAAATGAAAGGGTTCACCTACCTCTCTACCGCCTTACTGGCCGCTCTGCCTGCCCTTGCTATCCCAACGGAATCATCCCTACAGAAAAAAGCAGCACCAAGCAATGTCGGCTACCTGGCCGTCGCCTGGAAGACTGCGGACAATAGCGTGTATTTTGCCCTCAGCGGCAACGATGACGCTCTAGATTTCAAGCCTATCAATGGCGATAAACCGATTGTGAAGCCTACGCTTGGGACAAAGGCCGTTCGGGACACATCTATCATTGTCGGACAAGGTGACAATGCTGGAAAGTACTATATTCTAGGTACTGATTTGAACATTGCCACGGTACGTCCTAGTCCAGCTTTCGTACAAGGAACATTCGTGGAAAGGGTTACTAATGGAACATAGACTTCTTGGGCGGCTAGCACTCGCACCGGATCCCGCGGAATATTCATCTGGGAGAGCACAGATTTGGTCACTTGGACAAATGAGCGGCTGGTGACAGTTGAGGATAAAACGGCTGGCATGGCCTGGGCTCCCGATGCGTTCTGGGATGCCTCAAAGGGACAATACTTTGTTCACTGGGCTGCGCAATTGGTAAGTCGAAATCTTTCTTCTAGCATTACGCCGCTAAAAAGCCCAGTACGCTGAAGATGACACCGGCCACACCGGTGCTCCTAGTCTAAACACTAGTATGCGGTATGCCTACACCAGCGACTTCAAGACTTTTACCGCACCGAAGACATATGTGACACTCGGCGACGCCCCTGTAATTGATATGTCCCTCCTCCAGGATGGTAACGCGCTCAAGCGATTCTACGTTACGGGAGGCGGCCCAGTGGAACAGACCAGCACCAATGGACTTTTCGGGGAATGGACTACGGTTAACGGAGCAATTGCGGATAGCGACGGCTTTGAGGCGCCGTATGCATTCTGGGATAACGTGGACATTCACCAGGCGTATCTTCTCTGTGACAAGGTGGGCAGTGACGCTGGAATTCACGCATGGACGTCGAGCAATGGGCATGCTGATTCGTTTGCCGTGAACAACACTCACAACCTAGCTTTCATGCGGCATCTGTCAGTCCTGTCAGTGAACCAGAAGCAGTTCGACGCATTGTCAGCGTTATAAAGGTGAAGTGTGAAAGAAGTGGTGTCAAGGGTCTCGTTTATTGAGGATACTCTCGGCTAGCTGCTAGCCTTCTGCAGTAATCTTCTGCAGAAAAATGTTTTCAGTTTTTGACTCTAGATGGCGAGGAATCAGAACAAGGTTAACGATTTGGCTCAGTCGTATATATCAATCTTTCTATTTAACATCCTCTTCGCCCTATTGTCCATTAGGTTCATTGTCCGATTAAACGAAGTTGAAAAAACTACAATGGATCCACGTGATCAGTTACAAACGATGGCCCTTCTCATCTGTGTATCTTGCAGTACGCATTGGTTCTGCGTACACACAGTTTCTGTGCGCCATGTCAGCCTGCGCTGTGCGTATGCACTCGGCGAGTGAATACCATCATCTCGGCGCACACTCTTGGTCTGTACATCTCCCTCCCATGTGAATGCGAAACGATTATTTCATGTACTAGGTTAGGTTGGTCAGGCGCAAGGGAAGCCTTTTACGACCAGGAGCCCCCACATCAACATCTCAAATTCCCTACAGAGCAACCACGCTCATACATGTGGTGTTGTGCAGCACGTATGTGGCTTTCTACCTACGCTCGGAACGCACTCATTGATACCGCTGAGCTTCACCGGGTCTACAGCTGTCTGTCTTGCTGCGGCCACGACGCAGCCGCTTGCAAATGCTACTACACAACTTTGAGACGCTTCATGAACGTTGCGCAAGCTTGGAACAACGATCAATACTTTTCGTCGTCTATGACTAGCCGAAATACCGGATATAGTGCATCAGACTATGCCCACCCTGGATCCGAAGTCTCCAACTTGTCTAGAATAGTCATCAAAGCAAGTGGCTTGGTCTGCAAATGCCGACCTCTTGCCCATGCAGATAGCCTCCACCAATTCTTCCATCTTGACCGGAACGCTTAAGCCCCGAGGCGGGATCCAAATCCCCCATGGGTTGCTCTGCATAGCTTGCTGTTGAGGTAGCACTGGTGATACATTAGCGATCGTTGACAAGATCGCACAAGAAAACATGATTCCTCTGAATAGACAGGCATTTCTGCATAGTGACACGGCTGTTGTAATGGCCACGTTCCCCCACTGATCCTTGAAGCTGAGATGGAACTGATCTGTGATAGCTACAGCGCATTAACAGCACGGACGCACCCAAATGCATGTAGGTGAGCTGTAGGCACCTGCAATAATGGTTGATTATTAGTTGAATGGTCGGGGTTAACAGGAGTTATCCGAGAAATAGTACTTACTGGTTTCGTTGGCAACAAGCCGGGAGTTAACATCATCTTGCGGATGGTTCAGTTAACTATAGTTTGGCGGGATTAATCAGTAACCAAGCTGACAAACCTCTATTATTTCCAACCTTGTTCGCGGCCGTCGACCTGTCACTCTCAGACTCCGAATATGATCTCGTCATCCAAAATAGGACCAACTTTAGTGGGGTCCTGCTGATAATATCAAATAATATCAAAATTTTCCCTCGTTCTTCAAACTATGATTATAGGCGAAATATATAAACTCTGTCGGTTTTCATGTTTCCGAGTGCATTAAACTGAAGCGCCGCATCCACAACTGTTCCAGTTTTGACATATTTTCGCGCAGCTGACTATGGGAGCTATTGTCGACCGTTAACATGACGGATGAAAGCAATTAAGATAACTGATCCCATACTTTGACCATCGATTCCTGCTTTGCGATGACTACGCTGCCGGATTTCTGTGCGTAACGCGTTGTCATCACAGGCAGCCCATGAGCCAATCATTCAGCAGCCCCTCTTTATCACCTAGGTGTCCTCGTTCTTACGACACGATATCCACTTATGGAGTAAATACACATCTCAGAGACATTCCGCCACCTGGCACTCTCTATCGAGGAAAAACACCTTCCCGTTGGCCATTGGCGTGAGAATTTCTTAGCCTCTAGCTTATAGTAGGCTTATCAAACGACCAAAATCTCGAATTCGACCCGATAGAAGGGCACTTAGACCTGGGGTACACAAATGGAGCCTTTGGGCCGTGCACCAGGTCCCGTAGTGGGGTGACGCGCCATCTCTGATTCGTCTGAACCCGTACACCAGGCTGGGGTACGGTCGGGAATACCGGTGTAGGACTCCGAAATTGGGCACAGACGCTTATGTTTCGAATTGCTTAGAGCCATGCTGCCTAAGAGCGTGGGATTAGAGCACAGAACGAACGGAATGCGTCGATTATTAGCAATGCCTCATAATTTTTATGCGGCTTTGATTCGACCTTGGGATTACTTCAGTAGTTTTCTATACACAAAACAGTGTATAAGGTCACCTCTTATGTTGTAATTAGGACGATGGCGAATTGATAGGAAGTCTTGGTCAATGGAGAAGGTAGTCAAGTAGTCAACCTAGCACCACTCCCTATCCGAGATTTTGATTTTGCGAATAATCAGTGTCATTGCAGTTTTGTACTGCGAGCCAGAGAATACGGTAACGACAGATATAAGGAAAGTTCAGCGCTTGGAAATAAACCCATACTCCGGGAATCACATCCCGCTTTTCTGCTGCCAGTTGTAAACATCATTCCCTTCATCATCAGACACGTACTTGCAGGTTCGGAATGTTTGGAAAAGGGAAGATAGGAAGCTTGCCTTTTTGTCTTCCCTGTAACGGAGGCCAAGCAGTGGTCGTATTGCAATGGATGCCTCTTCCGCTCTGTAAAATGGAATACTGGGGAAGAGATGGTGGATAACGTGATAATCAACGATTTCATGAAAAAAATGACGTCCAATAAAACCAAGGCTGCGGTCGACAGTGCACAACGCCCCTTTCATATATGTCCAGTTGCGATCTGCGTAATGTGGGACCGATGGGTGCGTATGGTGCAAGTAAGTAATACCGACTATATAAAGCCAGGTAAGTAGACAGCATATGCATAAGGAATTGAACTGACTCTTACCGATCCAACTGTTCACCCAAAGGTACGGCATGAAATAGAGCAACATGACCTTTGCTATTCCCAGCTTCGAAGTCATGTGAAGCAATGCCCATCCCATGAAGGCCAGCCCGACATCTGACAAGACGACGTATATCCGCTGTGCCGACGTGAATAATGCGCTAAATGGGTCAAAATGGCTGGCAGTGAAATGGCCTTGCCTAAGATTTCCCGGAGCGCTGTTGTTTCCTGTACTAACCGCAAACAAGAGATACATTGGCCACCCGAACAGCTGGTGGCCAATTAGATGGATAAGATTCGTCAGCGGCGTGTCCTCCGTGAGGTCTCTGATACCCTGAATTGAAATGCCACGTTTAGCAGCATATTCACCCTCGGTAAATGGAACAAATGCAGTATCCTTCTGCATATGGCCTGTGTGACGATGATGCCGTGCATGTGTGATTTTCCAGGAAAAGTAAGGGACAAGAAGAATCGAATGTATGGCCCAGCCGATCATGTCATTGAGCCAGGGAAACACGGAAAATGCACCGTGACCACATTCATGGGCAATTATCCACAGCCCAGTACCCACACATCCTTGAATGAAGCTGTACACTGCCCAGCTAATTGCCCGTGTCCATGCGTAATGAAGGCAGTGAATATGCAAAGCACAGTATATGAGAATAGCAGCATATGCGATATCACGGCCAAGGTAAGCAAAAGAAACGAAGACAGAAGGCTGCAAGCAACGTTTGGGAATCGCACTTTTCAGTTGTTGTAGACTGAGTTCCTTTTGAGAAAGTGACCGAGGCACATGGGACTAAATATTGTATGAGACTGACGAATAAAAGTGAATCTTCTGAGTGAATCAAGAGACATTACCTGGTACATCCAGTCTCCCATACTTCTCCAGCGAGTTGAGTACCACATTCTGAGCGAACTCCAAGGATAGATAAACCAATTAAGCTCGGTTTTTGGATCGATATACCACTGGTTAAACTTAGTGCGAATGTTTCGATTATGGCACCAGATCGGGAGGTGGATTTCTCACACTTCGGCACATATCTGTCAAGATGGTTGTTCTCAACGCGGTCCTCAATTCGTTATTGAAACGTCCTTCACTCGTTTGCTTCACCTCGACGGTCGATGCATTGTTCCAGAGGACTGGTTTAATAGCACGGATGACCAGGTCAACGTAGCTAAATTAGCATTAGCATCCTTGAGTGGTACTGCCGTTAAAAAAAAAAACTTATGTCATGCCTTTCAGAAGCGAAGACAGTTGATGTATGTCCCCGGCCAGAGTTGGGCCCCAATATGTAAAAGAAATTGGGAAATCCGGACATAGCAACAGTGTTGAAGGCTCGCATAGAGCCAGACTGTTCCCAGTGTTCATGTCGAGAGTACCCATTTCGACCTCGAAGGTCAACATCATGTTGTGTCGGGGAGAATCCGGTAGCCAGGATCTAGAATTTCGGGACGGCACTATCAGAAATAATGGCAGGAGGAATGGCAAGGGATATACATACAATGACATCCGCTGGATGTATCTCCCCAGACTTTGTCAGTATGGACTGTTCCAGAAGAGAAACAACCGTGTCACTGGTTAGATGAACATTGGACTTATGCAAACAAGCGAGATAGCCGTCGTTATCAAAGACTCTGCGCTAGAGTAGGTTTTAGTTTCATTGCTGGCTGTATAAAGTGCATTGCACAAAGGGTAATTTACCTTGCACCCAAACTCATAATTGGGAAATAGGAGGGGCCAGTATTTTCCTATCAGTGACAAGAAGATCAGTTTACTTGGTAACCACCAAACTATACGGTTTGGGTCCGGCGTGATTGTCTTACTCGGCGCGTGGTCAGTGACATAGCGCTGGGCTTTCGTGGTTGCACCCTTTCTCATCTTTGCCCCGAGCCAAGTGAGGTCAAACAACAAGATCGATGACTCGAGATAGAGGAAAATGAGAGTTCGGAAAAGTCGAAGGCTTCCTGGTATTTTGCGAAAAATGGCTTTCCAGAACGGGCTGACCGCGGCGTTCTGGCTGGGCATGTAGTACTGCGGTGTCTATGCCACCGGTCAGCATGGAGGGTTAAGTTGCAGACAGATATTTGTGAACAAACCCGGATGAATTGGATGATCGTCTTAGCTTCCTTAGCAATCTCTGGGATCACTTGAGTTGCCGAAGCTAGGAATATGGTTAGCAAGGAGCATCTTATTGCGGTGCTAATGAGGGAATTAGAGTGAGGGAGGGAAATACAGCCATTGCCGATGACAATCACATTCTTCTGCGCGCATGATATATCAGGATCCCATTTCGCAGTGTGGACAATTTCTCCCTTGAAATTGTCAATGCCAGGGATAGTGCATTCGTTCGGATTCGACAGCCCTCCAACAGCGGAGATCAGAATTTTGCACTGATGGGTAAAAGTCCGGCCGGTTTTTGACGTTTCTTTCAGTCTGACTGACCAGCAGGCTTCATCGTCCTGCCAGGACGCGCCAAGCCACTCCGTATTACCAATAAAATGTTCTGTCACATTGAACTGCTTCGCCACATCGTTCATGTATTGCAATATTTCCGTTTGTTTAGGGAAGAATTGCGAGAAGTCAGGGTTTGGGGCAAATGACAAACTGTAGAAAGCGGCCGGTATGTCGACTCCGCAGCCTGGATCTGCTCTTTTCCTCAGTTACCAGTAGATAAAACTTAACACAGATAATAGAGCATGAACGCACATCTGTTGGTATACCAAGTACCCCCAAGTCTAGGTACTCGGTCATAAATTACCAAATCATGGCAATTCAGTTGTCGTTTAAGCTGACATGCCATGGCCAATCCGGAAAATCCCGCCCCTATGATAATCACCTGGGTGAAAGGCGAGCCACACGATCGTGAAGTCATGCTTGCTGGGTATAGAGTCCTTGGACAGCGATATATAATACGATGCGGAAAGACTAGTGGGTGATGAGGTTGTAATTATAATAACATCCCTGGCTCTATAGTTCCCTTTTCATCTTGTAGTCCACCGATCCAAAAGCTGCATCCTAGGCTTTTGCTGACGTATTCTTGGCCTGCAATCCAGTTCAGTTCGCAGCGTCTCCATGAATTATTGCATCACATTCCCTTCAGCCGTTCAGTAAATCATAGCGGTGAGTGAAACCGGAAATATTCGCCGTCAATCAGGAGAATCGTCCCAACTGCGTCCATCAGGAAGAGGATGGACTGATCACGACTTGTGTAACGACCGCTTGCAGATCGGACTGATGATCAAGAAATGCGACCAAGAAAAAAATGGATAGATAACTACTCGGGCGTTGTCCGAGTGAAAGTATATTAAAGACCATATCGTGGTTCCGCGACTTTTGTTTATTTCTCTCTATAGCTACGACGCTTTGATATATCCCATAAGAATGCTGTAAAATACCTCCTCCAAACCGATACGAGAAATGAGGTTACGACGAAGCGCCGAATACTGAATGAAGGCCTGCTAGTCAAATCGACCGCATAGAGTAGACAGAATTACTCGACTTGAATTGTTTGTGTGTATAAATGTGTCTTGGTTTATATGGGATTCTGGGGGCATTCATCCTTGAACGAGCGGCAATCCCCTCAACAGTAGTACACCCCTCATGACTAGCCTCAATCGGTGTTCTTTCATGAAGATCTCTTGAACTCCATGGTGATTGTATGCCGATCTAAGGTCTATCTAGGAACTCATTAAGCAGCCTGAAGACCTACTGTACAGACTGACTAAGTAGGGCCTGATAAGGATCGTCTTTGTTCCATAGTGAATAGAGTATTTGACAATCAACGAAGACGATCTGATCAGCATACGGGAGATATGGGATAGGCGATACTGAATGATCCGTAAGCTGCTAGAAATAGTGACGTTGAAAGCAATCTTTGCGCTTTCTGAGCCCAGTGATTAGCTCAGAGTGACCTGAAGAGAATGTCTTCAAGTTGTAAGGAGAAACCTGTGACTACAGTTTCATCCGAATCAGTCATTCTTCAAACACAAACTTTGGGATCCCAAAAAACAGTGTTACTGCACCAAGATGTAGACAGGAAAGTTCTTTTATCTAGGAAGGGAAACTTTCGGCACATCTTCCGGAATATCATCTGTCAAACTCGCGATGTCTCATTCGTTATTTTCCCCTTTCTGAGGTGTCGTCACTGCCGCTGCGGCTTTACCTTTTCCTTCTTGCCACTTTTTTTGATAGCTCCACAACAGAATTTCTCTCTTCATATACATTGGCCACATGTATGCTGCCTTACTTCGCCTGCCTAGAAAGGGTCAATGCTGTCAAACCTAGTTGACCATGAAGTTAATTTTAGTGGGGCTCGGCTTCACTTTAGGCAAGATTGACGAGGCGCCGGTGGAAAGCCGTGATAATGCGATAGGGGAGAAGTATTTTTCCGATGCAGGCCTCATCTGGGGTTACACTAGCAGATGCACGCGTCCGAACTCACAAGTTTTCCAGAATGTGGCTTTCAGTCAGTTCAGACATATTTAGCCCTGGGGAGTGATTTGTATATAGCTACATCCTGTCCGCAGCATTTCTGCATACTTAGAGGTTGACGTAAGGATCCTGCGATTTTCGCGTTGGCACACATTCCCAAATGTACATAAGCAAACCTAGAAAGATCAGCCCTTCACGCAGCCGGTTGAACATGGTTGTCAGAACTGCGTCTTTCCAAAAACGGGAATGGAGGTTCCGGATGGTGGGTGTCACAACAGCTAATGACGAAACCAGGCAGGTTTTCTGAAGATCAACTGTCGGTGAAGTAATTGATCAGCTGCACGGATGTAGAATGAGTAAATTTGATCGAGAATTTGCTGGACCGTCTTCTTTTCTTGGTTGCCTTGACGGAGACTACATAGTGTTTTAATTCATTCAGCTGAAGGACAATATCCTCCCTATCTCTACAAGATTTCTTCGGTCTTGCCAGGATGTCTACAAGAATCTCTTCAAAACATACTCTGCAGTATCTCTTCCTCGCCGCTGGCGGATTCCTCTTTTTCCGGGCTCAACTAAGTGCGACGTACCTTCTACTCGTTCTGTTTCTTGCCATTATCCTTTTCTTTGGATATATGGCCAACTGGTTGTTACTGGCTGCATATACTAGGAGAGAATTGACACTGCTCAGTTCTGATGAAGGGAAGGAGTTCTTAGGGGAGCCCCTACTCTTCCCTTCGCGGCTTTCTCATGCACGTCGCTTCCCAGAGAGCGAAAGGTATAACTATTGGTACGATTACTTCATGGTTGGCATCCCAGTTGGTCTTCAGGGTCGTATCGGCATTCTATTATCCATCGACAACTTACCTGCGCACGAGGGATTCAGAGAAAAATGTTGGTTCACCATTGATCCAAAGTATTACTTGGACCGGGGAAGTGGTGATCGCTCTCTACGAGAGAAACTGGATATGTTTCTGAAGTCGCAGGTACATTATATATATTTATCATGCTACAAAGAGAAAATGGTCTAATCTTTTTGTAGGGCCTGCAAGCTCAAGAGTTCCCTCACGCATACCTGTTCAGCGTTCCACGTTTTCTGTGGTGGCAGAAGAGTGCAATCAGCTACTGGTATCTCTATTCGCCCTCAAGGGAGCTGACTGCCATGATCATGGAGATCAACAACTCCTTCTACGAGAAGAGAAATGTCTTTTTTCGGCTAAACGGTGATGACCACGTTCTTGACGCGTCGGAGAGTACAGAAGAAAAAGTGTACAATGTCACTACAAAAGGGGGCCATGAGCTACACGAGCTACATTTTATCTCCTCGAAGCCAAGATCGAAACACTATAAGGGCTCTTGGGAGAAATTGATATTTGCGTCCCCGTTTGAGAAGGTGGAAGGGTCCATGGCTGCTAGTTTCGTGGATCCCCTTCAACCAGAGCCAAATCCCAAAGGCCCTCTACAGTCAAACCTGAGCTCATTGACTCCTGATGGTAAAGTGAAAGTGACAAGCCGTCTCTCTTCCTGGGATCAACCAGTGAGTCCCCTATCGGGACCTTCCTGGGTCATCGCGAAGATGCTTCTTCGCTGGACGCATGTTGGCGTCCTTTCCGCTTTTCGAATTGTCAAGGAAGCCCTACGTATCCGATTTCGAGGTAATCTTCAATACCTCCAGAGACCAGAAGTTCGGCGAGGAAGTACCCCTCGGAAGGAAACAGAAGTTGAGAGGTATGATTCTTCTTTTCATACTAGGTGACAAAAATTTCTGACTGATGGCTCTCTACAGGGTTCTTGAACAAGTGTTTCGAGAGTACCTATGTCAGCTCAGCTCTCACCATCCCTCCCCCTTGGCTGTCGTTTACACTCCCCCAAAGTCTCTACACTTTGATCTTATTCATTTCCATTCTCCTGTCCCAGCATCGTCCTCTTCCAGACCGACATTGACCATACAGCCCCTTACTCCTCGCTTCTATACCAGCATAACACATTACGATGACGCCTATGCTGGTTTTACCACCACGACGACATCTTTTCCCACAAACTCTGACCACTCCTCATGTCAGCTGTGGGTATCCGACCAACCTCTCATGACTGGCTTATTAGATTCTGCGGGGCTGTCTCTTGCTCAGAATGTAAAATTTCCTGTCGAACGCCGAAGGCGCCCTTGAGCTGTTTCAGATGCGCAAAATGATAATCGCGTGGCTCAGAAAACGACAGTCGGACAACGACGCTTTCTTGGACCGCTTCACCTACCAGAATCTTCCTCCATCGACACAGAGTGCCTACCAGAAAGCTATAATTCATCATCTCCTGGCTCAGAAGTTACCGGTGGAGTCTCAAGCCATCGTTCTATTGTGTTACATTGTGACAACAATGACTGTGATTTATATATTGCTTCACGCGCTACGTCTCTTTCTGTATTGTGAATTCGGCATTCAGATCGATGAACTATTTAGTCCACGGATGGCAGCGCTCTTGTATGGTGGCTGGGCAATGTACACCAAGTACATCGGGAAGTACTATTTGAACCCTTTCGGATGGGGGGAAGGGCTTTGAGGAAGATGATAACGATGAATGATCGTTCAATCACTAGTAACACGATTTCCACGACTAGTTCATCGGTCTAACGCCGAGCTAAGACCATCTAGTTTACGCTAGTAATTGCGGTGCTGCTGAGAGATCCGGTAGAAGGATTGGCCCGTAAAATTTTTCGGTGCCTTAGCAAACCACCTAGCCCTTCTTGAAGCGCCCCGGCTTCTGAGTGCCAACCATGACAATCCTATACCTTTCCACGGGCTCTGCGGAGGACCTGCAGCTGCCTCTGGGATCTGTACTTGAGCTTCCAGGAGCAGCAAAGCTCCTAGGGTTGGACTGAGATGCTCCTGGTATGTAAAGTGGCCAATTTCCTCCTAAGGACTATTATCATGGTTCCTAGAAGACCAGACGCCGGTTCTAGCAGCACGCACCTCATGGACGTCGTTGATTCCCTGTCTCCTTTGATCGCTAAGGCTCCTAAGGATTCCGTTATAGAGAGGAACTAGATCCTCGATATATATCGGCGTCTTTTCTTTTTCTTCAGTATCTAATCCCGTAAGATCACGCGACCTGGATGGTCCTGAGGGTATTTAGATAGCCCTCAAGGGGTCAGAGCTTCTCTCCTTCCCCGTCCGTCTCTCAACAAATAAATCCATCATTTATGCTTGTTTCTTTCCTCTATCAAGATAAATGCTTTCGAAGCGAGAGACCTTTATACCGGCCGTTTAGGGTGAGGGCAAGTATCGAGTTAGTTTGCCATATATTTAAGGGTATTTGTGCTAATAATCTTAAGGGATTTAAATCAAAGGAAATTTAGACTTGCGACTAAAACTTTCTACCAATAATGGCATCCCGGTTTAAGGAACCGCCGCTATTTAGTCCCGAAGTTTCAACCCTACTTGCTCCCACCAGGCCCCCACCGGTACCTTACAACTAGTAATCCACTCAATTATGTTAGTAATGGCGTCACCCGGGTATTGAGAAGATACTGTGGCATCCTTTAGCCAGGTAAGAGCATGGCTGGATGTGGATTAATAATCAAGGTATCATTTATATACCACCAAGTCCAAGTTGTGAGATATATACATTAGTCTGCATTTTAATTCTTCCATTTGTCCTCCGACATCCTTAACTTCGACTTTACGGTAACCAAAAGAGACATGAAAGAGGTTATCAATTTGGCAGGGCCGAGTGTGAAGCTCGTGGACAGTGCAATCCCTAGGCTAAACGATGACCAAGTGCTTATCAAAGTGGTCGTGTCCGGGTCTAATCCAAAGGATTGGAAGGTCCCAGATGTCGCTGCTTCTGGAAAAAGCAATCTAGAGATGATGCTTAAAGCCAAGAAGGAGTTGAACCAGGGAGACGATATTGCTGGGGTTGTTGAGAAAGTCGGATCCAACCTGGTTGAATTCAAAGTGAGTCGTCTACTTTCGCTTATATTGCCTAAGCTTATAAATCGTTAAGCCAGGCGATCGCGTTGCAGCCTTTCACGAAATGTGCACACCTGGTGGCTCTTATGCTGAGTACGCCATTGCATGGAGTCATACAACTTTCCATTTGCCAACGCAAACTTCATTCGAAGACGAGTTTAAGACCAATATTATTGAGTCCGTCTAAATCTGATCAAAATTGATAGAAGCCACAATCACACTCGCTGCCTTCACTGCAGCTATTTCCTTATACACGCACCTTCGCTTCCCACCCCCGTGGACACCTGCAGCGGAACCGATCCCTTTCATCGTTTATGGTGCAATCACAGCTGTTGGCTCATTCGCTATTAAATTGGCATGCAATAGTAATATCCACCCTATCATCGCTATTGCAGGAAAAGATTCGCATTATGTTGGGGGCTTGCTCGATCCAAGCCAAGGAGATATCGTGATCGACTATCGTGAAGGTATAGAGACAACGGTCAAGAAGATCAAAGGAGGTATTGGACTAGCCGGCCACTCTAATGTGCTGCATGCACTCGACGCTGTTATCATTCCGCAAAGCGCCGAGGTCTTAAAGCAATCGGTCGCTCCGAGTGGCCAGATTGATTTTACGCTGCCTAACGACCTAGACGTCTCACCTGCGATCAAATCGATCACGTCAGTGGGATCGGTGCACAAACAACATGAGTTTGAGAACAACGAGGAACTGGGTTTCATTTTCTCCCGGTATTTTACAAGAGCATTGAGCAATTGCACTTTCTCGGGCCATCCCTTCGAAGTTAGGTCGCGGCCTAGGTGTTGAAGAGGCTTTAAGAGACTTGAAAGCCGGAAAAGCAAGCGCTACGAAGTATGTTTTTCGTATTGCGGATACACCAGGGATTGTCTAGTGCTTGTTATGCTCAAAGTTTGATTATCACGCGTTTTAGAGCATTATTTAGCGGCCACTAAGATGTATTTCTTGAGTTCAATTTTCGTTAAAGAAACTGAACTTCGAATTGTCTTTACAAATCTTAGGGCGCTAGAGGAGAAAGTGCACCAGGTCATTTCCGACATACGAATGTTGAAATTGAAGAATAACGAAAATCTGATGTTATATTCTGCGGAGTACAGCAAGCTCTTAATTATTGAACTAAGGAGGAGCCGTAAAACCTTCGCCATTCCACAGGTTTTTGTAGGGCAAGAGACCGGTAGGCTACATAAAATGAGAGAGTAGAATCTTGATTTGTTTTGTCGGGAAACTCTGACTAAAGGTAAGGTATTTAGTTCATCGGGTTTGCCGAGTGAATTGGTCGCACCTCTAGTGAATTGGTCGCACCTCTAGTGAATTGGTCGCACCTCTAGTGAGATGGCCCAGCCATTTACGTGATGTATAGATAGAGGTCCATTGAGAAATACCCATTTCCGAAGCCTAGCATCTTGGCGGTGAGGCGCAAGATAATTAGGGGAGTGCAAACTGGTGAAGCTGGTTTTGCACTTCTCTGTAGCCAGGCACGAGTTAGCAGCTCTATAGGTTGTATATCAAGTAAATAAAGGTTCTATGACGGGCAAGTTTAGGACAAATTCAGCCAACATTGTGCGCAGCCAGCAAGAGAAGAACTCGCTTTCGGCTATAGTGACGGAGTACTTGGTCGATGAAGGGTATATTTTCTGGTTGCGAAGAAAGCGTACGTGAAGGGGGCGAAGACTGAGGTCAAGGTCAATTTCGTTGTGGGTGGTATGGTGGTTGCTGGAATGTGTTGACAAAGGGGTTGAAGATAGTTGTCTGGGGTGGCCGGATGAACAGGCATTCGTAAAGCGGTCGATCTCTTGGACCTGCAATAGGGGCGACGCAATATGAGAGGCTTGCAAAAAAAGAAGTTCCAGAGTTTTGGCAAAAGAAATCAGAAGAACACCTAACTTGGCAACCGCAGCAAACTAGATAAGGAAATTCCAAGGCAAGCGAATAGGCAGCAAGGGAGTACGACCATACATAGCTAAGCCACATCGTCTTGCAACAGTCGCCTGGGCACGTACAATTCTTGTTGACTGGAACCCTTTCTCGCACTTCAATCCGTTTCAGGGCAAATATACACTGTATCTTACATGACGCGGGTGTACCTGTGTATTTTCTCTAAAGACGCGATACATATTCATGTCGCGATAGTACGTCATTCATCTTATTCTGCTTCCCCGATTTCACCGGAGTAGTCACCACTACCTAACGAGTATTTGGCCGCTATCTTAGTCCGACCGCTAATAATATTTCTCTACGTCGGAATCCCCTACGAGAATAGAAGTCATGTATTTGTTCTAAATTGGGGAGAAAGCGAAAGTAGGTAACTTCAATCATGTGACACGTGCTCGAAACTACATCCAAAATCATTTGAAAGCAGGACCTAACAAGCACTTCAGTAGCAAAATTCTTCTCCGACAATTTTCTCACTCAGAGTCCACAACTTGTCCGCATTGGAGGTGTCAGAGGCGTATTCCAGAACCTGTTGTGGATTGCAGTCATCGAGAAATGACCCCGATTGATCTATGTGAACTTGTAAGAACATTTTCTAACACTTTAACAGATAATAATATCATAGCTACCATTAAGCGCAGGGTCCAGGGCCGCAACAAGTGTAGTTGCGCAGCCCTGCTCAATGTTCTTTTCCTTCGGTATCTTCATCCCCTTACTTTCAACCATAGGTCCCACAATGGACCACGCTGCTGAATCGACTCCGGACGACAGACCCGTTGTCTGTATGACTCCCGGGTGCAATGAGTAGGACTTTACTCCCATTTTCTCTAATTTCCTGGCCAATGCAACGGCAAATAAGATATTTGCTGTCTTGGACTGTCCGTAAGCTGTCCAAGCGTTGTAAGTCTTGCCGTTGGAGAAGTTGTAATCCTCGAACATGACTGGACTGAACTGGTACATGGCACTGGATACATTTACAATCCGAGCACCGCCGCCAGAAGCTTCAAGTTTCGGAACAAGGAGGTTGGTGAGCAGGAAATGACCAATGTGGTTTGCACCCAGATGACTTTCCACGTTTTCAGGAGTCAAAGAAAACTTGGCACCCATGATGCCTGCGTTATTAATGAGGACGTCGATCTTGGAGATAGACGAATTGATCTCTGCCGCCGCAACTCGCACCGATGCGCAGGACATGAGGTCAATTTTAACAAATCGTACAATGGTAGAGGGGCTGGTTTCTCTGATCGCCTTCATGACTAGGGAGGCTTTGTTTTCTGAACGCCCGAGAAGAACAATCTCAGCAGGATTGGCAGCAGCAAGGAGAAGGGCTATGTGGCCCCCAGCCCTCCATGGCTGGCTCCGGTGATCACGACTATTAAATTGTCAGCCAAATTGAGTTCACCAAAAGCTCGTTGCCCTTACAGAAGGACTCCGTATATTCGTAGGAACTTATACTCACATGTTTTCCCAAAGACTCGTTCTGATAATTTAGCGACTACTTCAGACCCGGTGGTCGAGAAATCGAAAGAGGCCATTCTCAAGTGCGCTCGTATTGCACAGCCAAGCTGAATGGAAAAGACAAGCTATCAAATATAGTATATTGATACCAGTTTGGCAGCCCAGACTTGCCCTCGCGACTCAGATATATATGTTCTATTCCGTCCACGTCGCTTTGTAATAATTATGGCCCAATCCAATGATGATAGTTGCACAAAATAATCACTACCATCGTCGGATCACTGATCTATCCGGCTCCCGAGTCCACTGACGTTCTCGATTTCTTTGACAAGGCCCCACATAAAAGCCAAAGCGAATGAAATTTGCAGGATATGATGCGAATTTGATTTTTTATTTGTTTCCCTCGTCTCCACAGGTCTAATTGAGTTCCACCAGCAAATTTATGTACAAGCAGAGTGCCAGTGGGATAGCGACGGGAGACCGGTGGGAGCCGGATGGCGGGTTTGTAATCCCCTTCTGAGTAAATTACTAGAGCAAAACTCTAGCACTCATAGAATTACAAATTTTAGAATGGTGATTGAAAGGCATTGGTCAGACAACCACCCCCTCCGCTAGTCATTAGGTTACGTGTAGTTCCGGGTACCCTGACAAACCCCAAGCATCGAACAAGAGATTATTTCCACCTCCTAGATGAGCTTGTAAGCAGAAAATTGCGGGAACTCCACTACTTTTCGAGTCCTCTGACCGCGTCATGCCACGCGAATCAGAGCATCGACTCTCCTGCTCTCCTGGTTCTCGTCCCGATTTACAGAAAAATAATCACTTTTCGCGGCTACAGGCTATTTGAATAGTTTCGTGGAACCTACAGAGCCCCGTAAGTTTCGACAGTTATGCAACACCTTTTAGTTTATCTAAATTAGTCACCCAGCATCCGCCGCACAAGTGAGGAGGCTGCTCCAAACTGAACAAGCATATGCACCTCCTCAGAGACCTAAACGTTGTCCGCAGCCCCAGTGGATGGCCCCTCTGTTCGACAAAAGCCGGCCGGGTGAGATCTGCCTATCCTCAGTGATGGCAAGTCAGCATTGCAAACAATTCAGAATACACGGAAAAATCTGGGACAACAGAGCTTTCATTTCTTTATGCAGGAAGCTATGAACACCAAGACCCACGGCACATCGATTCGACTACTGAGGATACGGGGACATCGCGAAATGCCCGGGAATGACAATACCGACCTGCTAGCCAAGGACGCAGCTATACGAGGAAAAACACACCCGTTTTGCCTTTTGCTATCCCGCGAGAGAGCATATATCAGGCAAGGAATCAGGCAAGGAACTCATGCCCAATGGAAAAAAAGATTGGAACCAGTCGAGGACCGGCGCCCATCTGCGTCAGATCGACAAAACACTGCCAGCCAATTACACGCGACGGCTCTACAGATCCCTACCTAGAAACCGAGCCTACTTACTAACGCAGCTGCGAACCGGGCACTGTTGGTTGTCAACATACACCAAGGCTTTTCGATACCGAGATGACGACCTGGGCCTCTGTGGCGAACGGAAAAGCGTTCATTACGTGTTGTTAGCTTGCCCGAGATTGGAATGATTAAGGAGAGAGCTCCGAAGAAAGGTTGGCGATGCGTTCAACAGCATATTTCACGCGCACGGCCAGGGTAAATGAGTTACAAACACACCCACACACATACTGTACCTGAACTGGTCGGGACTTTCCTGAATGCAAGAGCATTCGTGTCGACTCTAAATCGGAGCTTGATATGCTGAAGGTTTGGATACAGAAAATATTTTTTTATGTGTCATACATATTATTTGAGTAATCAACCCTTGCCATACAAAAGAGCCATCAATAATGCTACTGCGCGGATCGGCCGGCTGCGATGTCGGCTGACATGACAATGGTCCGAAAGCTACGGCTCATTGAAGGGCCTGGTGATGATTGCCATATAGGATAATGATCAGAACCTACATTGCACATGTAACTTGCGTCATCACCGGCATTTCCGTGGCTAAACGAAGGGGTGGTGGGAGACCGGCGGAAGAATGGTGGGATACCGGTGGGTCGGGAGAGCCCGGTTTGTAAAATTCCATCGGTATAAATCACAAAGGCAAACCTCAAGGACTCATATATTTACAAAAGAACTCTTTTCACACTCGAGAAGCAAACAAACACAAGAATGGCGGCTGCTGCGTATAATTCCAAACCCTACATACCCCTTGCTGGAGGCGCCGACGATGGTTGGTCAAAAGGTGACCAGGCGACTGCCACATGTTACTGTGGCGCGGTGCAGTTAGCCTTCGTGAGTGCTTCTAAGTATACAACCGTCTTTACTACATCCGGCTAATGTCACGAAAAATATCCAGCCAACACAAGGCCCAGGCCTAATCGACACATTCACCTGCCATTGTACGGACTGCCGGAAAATCACAGCATCTATGTTCGCGACCAACTTCGTTGTCGCGGACCTACATCTAAAGCACCTTAGAGGACAAGAAACCCTCACATCATTTACCCAGTCAAAAACTATTACCTCGGGCAAGGCAATGACAAATTGTTTCTGTTCTGTATGTGGCACGCTCATGTACCGCATCAGTGAAGTGTTCCCAGGACACAGTATTCTACGGACTGGAACAGTGGATGACTTTACCCTACATGAAACGAAATTGAAGCCTAGGATTGAGCTATATACCAAGGACCGTGTGGGATGGCTTTGTGGTGTAACTGGTATTGAGCAGGTGATGGGATCGGCTTACACTCCAAAGGATACTTGCTCTCCTGAGCTCTGAATGAATTGGTTGGGGTTTCGGTGTTCAAACGCTACAGCCCTGGTACGGTTCTATAGGCACAATTACACTCACTCGTACCTTGATGTGCTTTTGAAGGTTCGTACCATACTTTATTAGCCAGCCAACATGTAAATTAAATTTATCGTCGAGCTTTTCAATCTGATCGTACGACCTGTTACAGTGTGCTAATGATAGACTTTTGACTTCCCTGACCTCCAAACAACTCCGTATAACGTGTTTCATAACCTAAGAGAGATAAATGAATCATGAAGATGCCGCGAGGTTGGTTGATTAAGAACCAGTGGAAGCTCGAAGCACTCTAGGCAACTTTTAAGTCTTACTAAGATGGAGTAGACTATATCGGTGACGAAGGCGTGAGTATGGGCGCTAGAACGGTATCTCGTTAGTTTGTTGGGCTTGAATCAGTTTCCATAGTTTTGACACTGTGCTTTCGGAATTGAACATGATCGAAAGCCACATTAAATGCTCTTATATATCCGCAATACCAAAGCATCAGAGTGAGCGTGGCTTGCTGGCTTCTTAATTTTTGGATGGCTGTTGAACCCAGGTAAGCCAAGAGACAGAGCTGGGGGTGGGGCATGTATCGTTTGTTTCCAAGTCTCTTTCCAAATACAGCATTTCTGTTCGATCATACACTCGGGCTAAGAAGCTTGCTTCAAATTGGCGTCTTGAACTCCGGACAGGAGGGGGGCCCGCTGCAGCACCTGCAAAAAAAAAAAAGAAAAGGTGGGGGAGTCGAGTTGTCGAAGAACGTGATTACTGAGACCTTCTTGGGATGGAAATCCAGAGTGAGATCCAGTGGGATGTCAATAAAGAGCTCTCCATACACTTTCCATGTAAAGGATCTGAATGATTGCATTAGTCTGTTAATGGTGGGTTAGATCTTTTACCATTACTGTTGAGAACTAAAATCCCACGTCTCTATGACTCAAGAGGCCCTGCGGCGAACAATGCCATACTTACAGGCTCTGCGAGGTACTGGAAAGTTCGCCGCAAGACATGTATGTATTAACTGAGGTAAGCCTTGAGCTTTCGCAGACTGATCACTATATAAAGACGGCGGAGGTACTTTATCACCCGGAGGAACAGTACTACGTCGGTAATCCATATATCTGGAATAAGAGATCTGCAGGCCTTGGCTTGATCTAAGTCGAAAAAAATGCATTATGAGCGCGTTCGTTTGCTGCTATATTCGTTAAATATAGATTGTATTTAGTGCTGACTTTCATGTCCTACAGTCCCCCAACGGCCTTAATACAGTACTTTCGAGTTACTGAAATTTTAAGAATGCTACCAGTATATTATTGAAGACGACCAAGAATGTATTGGTAGTTGCTGGAGTATGGTAAATCAGACGTACCATACTGGAGAAGTCACAGATTGCTTCGACTGGCTTAGATCTGTGTCTGTCTAGAAGATTGAACATTCCACTGGCTCATTCCACCTAGATTTTCCGATGGCCACATAAGCATCTTGCTTAATTCTGGTGCCTCGAAGAATGAAGCCTCTAGCAAAGATCGGGAGCCGCCGCTAGTCTGTAGTATCCTTTCTCGCGACTTTCTCAAGGATTTTAGAATAACGTCAGCGGACAGTCTACTTGTCGGTCAAATTGGAAGTGCAGTATATGATAACGTACTCGTCTCATAGGCAACATCAGAATATCCTGTGGCTTGTACCTCGGCTCGAATACCATTAAGACGACGCCTAAGAGCGTCCTGTGAGGAGACCAACTTGCTCCTTATTGGGACATTATCTGGCGACCTAATTCGATATTATTATGAAGTTGAAGGGCTATGTATGCAAGATAGATGATGAAGAGACAACACACCAGACTATAAGAAGGACCTTGTTCCTTTTACCCTCTGTGGAGCCAATTTCGTACTGGAAGTCTTTGACAGATACATGTATCCGGCTTTTGCCCCAGTAATACATTCCATAATCTCAATAATTAGGAATCATAATAAGGGGATGAGAGTTCGAGGGTCGGGATCCGCAGAATTACCAACGGCCTCCCGCCGCCAGTCAGCATCCCAGTGAGCTGCGAATTTATGAGTGCTCGTGCTTTGCCTTGGTAATTTATTCCGAATGGAAATTATCTGCGATCCGACTCCCACCGGTATCCCACCGGCTTCCCACTATCAGCACTCCGCTCAGCCGACTTTCGGGTGCTACAATCTATACGAGCCCCAACTGTCTTTGCCTTAGTTAACACTTACCGGAGATTAATAATGCTTATCAATGAATAACTATAGGAGGCAGGTTGGTAAGTGAAAAAGGCTTCGAAACGATTATTAATCTGACACCTAATCATCCTGCGCTTGGCAGGCTTCTCCGAAGACTCGCAGATAAAAATAGAAGAGACAGGCAACATATTAATAGGGCAGATGGACTTACGTATAAACTGGCATTCGAAGACGATATATAAAGAGCAACTTTACTTGTTTTGACTTGGTCAGTACATAAGATCCTTCTCCCCCCTTTATCCAAGCTTAACAGCAACTACATAGTCCACTCAAATCAAATGACAAGCTCAATCCCTAGTAAGTGCCGTGCTGTTATCATCAAACAAGCCGGCGCGCCCTGGACCATCAAAGAAGTTTCCGTTGTGAAGCCAAAAGATGGCGAGATCTTAATCAAGGTGCACGCCTGCGGCGTCTGCCATTCGGATAGTTTTATGCAGCAAGGAGCTTTTGGTCCTCTGTAAGCACCTCGACCTACCATCTCATACTTATAAAGGCATTTGTTCTCACATTGTTACAGGGCATCTTTCCCTCGTATTCCTGGCCATGAAGTCATTGGTACCATCGTTGCTGTTGGCCAGGGCGTGAAAAAGTGGAAGGTCGGTGACAGAGTTGGCGGACCATGGCATGGTGCCCACGACGGTCTCTGCAAGGCTTGCAACCATGGATTGTTTCAGATGTGTGATAATTCGCTTTTCAACGGTGTTTCCAGGGACGGTGGATGTAAGTGCACCCACAAACCATAAGAAATTGCTACTGCGAACGAGCTGACAGCATGCGTAGACGCAGAGTACTGCACCCTCCGCACAGAAGCCGCTGTCCGCATCCCTCCCCAAGCTGATCCTGCTGAGTACGCGCCGCTTCTATGCGCTGGTGTCACCGTGTTCAATGGCATTCGACATATGAACATCACGCCCGGGGATACTATTGCGATCCAGGGGCTTGGTGGACTGGGGCATTTGGCTGTCCAGTATGCGCGCAAGATGGGATATCGCACTGTGGCGCTGTCGAGTAGCGATAGCAAGAGGGATTTCGCAATGCAACTGGGAGCGAACGATTACATTAATACCAGTAAGGATAATGCTGCTGAGGCTTTGCAGAGGATGGGAGGTGCCAGCTGTATTGTCGTCACGGCTCCTAATCCCGAGATCATGGGTCCTTTGGTCAACGGGCTAGCTCCGATGGGCAAGTTGTTGCTTCTTGCTGGTAAGTCTTTCTCTGGCTCCTGCCTTTGGACATTGTACTCACGATACCTAGCTGTTGGCGATGTCCCGATCAACACCGCTGCTCTTATTGCAAAGGGTTTGTCGGTCTGCGGCTGGCCGGCTGGACATAGTCTCGATTGCGAAGAGGCTATTGACTTCGCGGAGAAGCAGGGCGTCAGGTGCATTGTGGAGAAGTTCCCACTTGATAAGGTTGAGGATGCTGTGAAGCGCATGGAAAGTGGGAACGTAAGATTCAGAAGTGTTATTGTCATGGAGTAGGGAAGAGTATCTAGTAGTTTCGAGGGGCTGTTGGAGGCTAACCTAGTGCTGATGTGATAAGTCTTAAGATGATAACGTCCTGTTGACCTTAAGAGGATGTAATTCACTACTAGAAGCCATGAAGTTTAGTGAATACTCACCGCTTCAGCTTTTTTGGGCTGCTCATGCCACGAACTTGCCTGAAAGAGGCTACAGTAGCCAAAGCAAGGTACTGCAAGTTGAGTCATATATGTACTCGCCTGGTACCATTCCAATGTCCTGCAGATTCCGGACTTTCTTTTCCCACAATAAGGTTCATTTTTCGTCAATGACAGATGAATATGGCAAGTAAGGAAAAGAAGAATGAAGATACCTCGATGGTAGGACGGTGTACTCCATAACAGCCGGTCATTGCACGGGAGCCAAACTGAAATTGGAAACTTGGTTCAACAGGCCATATACCTTCATTCTAAATCAGGATGCTACTACTTCCGAGAAGATTCATTTTAATGTTAATCAGTATTAGAATTTCTGAATTATTAACTGAAACTAATAATGACATACTTTTAGCTGTTTTAAGAAAATTTTAAAATCAACACATGTGTAGCTTCTTTTAGAAATATAAAAGAAGTCAACTACGAAAAATGACTTAAAAAGAAACCAAAAAAATTTTCAAGTCATTATTGAAAAGTTGTTCGAGCAGTCGAATCTGCATAGTAGTATTTACAATGAGTTAAATAGGATATTTAGTAAGGAGGTTTGAGATGGCCGGTAATTTGGCCGCGATTATTATGTTGTATGCTGTTACTGCCCTTCCGGATAAGCCTTTACATCATGATTTCTAGGTTTTGAGGATCTTTGGGGAGTCGATTAGTGGTTTGATAAGTCTCTTACTAGTGGTCTGTCTACGGTTAAGATTTGCTAACGCGGATAGACTGAGTCGATCACGAAATATTTTAAGCGGTTCCGTAATAGAGCTTTACTATGATTGCACTAAAGATAGCAAGACTATAACTGCTACTTAGCGAGATTACTGTGAACGCTAAGTTACGAAACGGAATTGATCAAATTGTGATAGTTCTGCATAGAAATAAATCGATGCCAGCCATTTCTCACAGCAATGTTTTAGAGAGATTGGAATTCACAAGCGGCCATCTATGCCGAAGTTAGTACTTTAGTAATCACAATTTCAATCAAGCTAAAATGCGGAAGACAGAATCCTTCATATAAATGTACCGTACCACCACCAATATACCTGACTTTGCCACTTTTGACAACATCATTTAGTGCCTTCTTGATTTATTCGTGGGGAGTTTCGCGGTCAAGGCGGTGGATTTAGAGGACATCAATATATGTGCGCGATCTCTCAATGCTAGCATCGACAGCATCAAATATATGCTTGCGAGAGTGTCCGACCCGGTTGACCCAGTCACCATAATTGCGTCCACAGAAGAGAATTGGAAGCATTTTGCCGTTATTGTCCACGCCAAAATAACATTTGGTCATGATAACTACGAGATGGCGAGGGATCGAGTATTTCTTCAACGCCTTGCCCACGATTTCCTCGGATACACCGTGAGAATAGATATCGGCCTTTGAATCCGATGTCAGTTTCTCTTTTCCAATTTGATTACCAACCTTTGCCCCTGGCATGTTGATATACATACCGTATCAAAAGTGTTTATACCGCCCTTGTATGCGTGTTTAATAAGGGAAAGTGCCTCGTCTTCCTCAAGAACCCGCTCTTGCCACTTTTTGGGACCAAAAGACATGGCACCGACGTTAATTTTGGAGATCCTGGGGCCAGAATTTCCAAGACTTGGATAGTGCCTATTCGCAAAACCGTACGGACCAGTTGCCGTTGCAAGAAAAGAGGGATGGATTACCGGACATATTCCATGTTGTTCTTAGCAGCCATGTTCGAATATCCAAGACCGGACACAGGTCTTGAAGAAACAGTAATCTGCTTGCAGTCGGAAAGGTACCACTGAGAAGACTCTTGTTAATTATGAGATGCGTCTTGAGAACACAGACTGTAATATCACACTTGCTTTCTTTTTATAGTTAAATGATAGCATCATTACTATTCGGGAAGCATCGACCCCAGGCGATTATTACAAACAAATCCATAAGTTTAACCCAAGTTCCTTGTGAAGCACTTGAACAGGTTCAGTCCGTGGAAGGGATCAACGACGGACACGATCAGCGCTTTGGGTCCCACTCCTTGGATTACAAACAAATCTCGACGGCTATGTACAGTCTCTGTCCTTGATATAGTCAATGATGTATAATGATTACATACGTAAATAATATCGGAGAATCGGGTGTGGTTCTACATCGGTGCCGAGTGACCCTGGTGGATTCAATCTGATAGAGCCCCACATAAACCTTGGAGGCTTAAATTAACCAATAGATGCGAGGGAACCCCCGATTACTCAGCGGGTTGACAAGCCCTTGGCCCCACTTAGGAAAAATTCCTCCGGTTTGTTTGCCGTAGAGCATATTACTAGCCATTACTAGGGCAGAACCGAGGTTAACTGCAGGCGAAAGTATATTTTAGAATAAAATTTCATCATTTCCGCACGCTCAAGGAAATACGGATGTTCCTAGTGATTCACATGCCTTGGGTTGATAGTGCTTATCCATTAAGCAAAATAGTAAAGGTCCACTATTGACCAAATTGCTGCATTAGACATGTACGTTTCTGACTCATAGCCTCGCGTGTAGAATTTCTGGCATTGAAGTGGCCAATTGAGAAAGTATATAGCAAGGCATCCATACCCTTTCATGTCCTAGCCAATACTACGAACCATTATCCTTCAGTCTTTTGTAACTTAACTGCACACCGACATAATGGAGGCAATCAAACGTGCATTTACCAGGTGCAAAGAGAAAAGTCGCGCAGCTTTGGTCACATACGTGACAGCTGGATACCCTACCGCCCATGGAACACCGGACATTATGTTGGCCCTGGAAGCCGGTGGTGCAGGTAAGAAGGGAAACCTCATCATAGGGTGCATCGTTTGAAGTTGAGACTGAAAAATTAGATATCATCGAGCTCGGCATCCCGTTTACTGATCCACTTACGGACGGTGTTGTCATTCAACGATCCAACGCGAAAGCCCTCGAGAATAATGTCGATATTTCATCGATGCTGCGAATGGTAAAAGAGGCACGGGAGCGTGGCTTGAATGTACCTGTGCTTTTGATGGGCTATTATAACCCTGTTTTGGCATACGGGGAACACAAGTTATTGCTTGATAGCAAGAAGGCTGGGGTGAATGGGTTCATTATTGTTGACCTTCCGCCGGAAGATGCCTTGCGCTTTCGTGAGTCGTGCAAGACAGAAGGGTAAATGCTTCTTCTTTGGTTTGCAATTGCGTGAATTCCAATACGTCGGTGCTAACTTCAAGATAGTCTTTCCTATATTCCGTTAATCGCACCTTCGACAACGCCTGATCGGATGGACATGTTGTGCAGCATTGCGAATTCGTTTATCTATGTTGTCTCCCGCATGGGTGTTACTGGCGCAACCAAAACACTGGCGGGAAATTTGGGTGAACTACTTGGTCGCGTGCATGCTCGGACTGGAAATCGCATTCCCGCGGTTGTGGGATTCGGTATCAGTACCCATGAGCAATTTGCTGATGTGGCTCAGATTGCTCAAGGCGTGGTTATTGGGAGCAAGATTATATCCCTCATTGGAGAAGCCGCACCAGGAACCGAGCCGCAGGTAGTCAGGGAATATTGTCTGCAAGTGGCAGGTCGAACCCAGGACCAAATTGTCGTTTCTTCCGTGGCAGATATTGCAACCACCAGCAAAGTAACTACTCCAGATAACAGCACCAAAAAAGCTGATGCGAGCGCAAGCTCTCGCTCAACCGACACCCACACTCGCTTTGGAAAATTCGGAGGCCAGTATGTCCCAGAAGTTTTGATGGAGTGTTTGAACGAACTGGAGGGCGGATTCCGGAAAGCAAGCGCTGATCCAGCCTTCTGGAAAGAGGTTCGGTCGTACGCTGCGTATGCAAATCGGCCATCATCGTTGCACCTTGCACCGCGACTGACCAAGCATGCGGGTGGTGCACGCATCTGGCTAAAACGTGAGGATCTTAACCACACTGGTAGCCACAAGATCAACAACGCATTGGGTCAGATTTTGCTTGCCAGAAGACTTGGCAAAAAAGCAATTATTGCAGAGACAGGCGCCGGTCAACATGGAGTAGCTACTGCAACTCTCTGCGCCCGCTTCGGGATGAAGTGTACAATATTCATGGGAGCAGAAGATACCAAACGTCAGGCCCTTAACGTATTCCGTATGCGACTTCTTGGTGCAAACGTGATCGCAGTTCCTGGAAATCACGTCGGTGAGGACGGTTCTTTTACTGGCGGTACACTCCTGGATGCTGTCAATGAAGCATTCCGTACCTGGGTAACGGATCTGGACTCGACACACTTTGTCATCGGTTCAGTGTTTGGTCCGCATCCATATCCAACCATTGTTCGCACTTTTCAGTCAGTCATCGGGACTGAAACGCGAGGTCAGTTCCAAGAACTGAATGAGGGACGTCTTCCTGATGCTGTTGTTGCCTGTGTGGGTGGCGGTTCGAATGCCTCTGGAATGTTCCACCCCTTCCTTGAGGACCAGTCCGTTGCCCTTGTTGGCGTGGAAGCGGGTGGCGAAAGTAATGAGGTTGGCCATCACTCTGCAAGCCTAGGATATGGCACTGTCGGTGTTCTCCATGGTGTGCGTACATACATTCTCCAAGATGAACACGGCCAGATCTCGCGCACGCAATCTGTATCTGCGGGACTCGATTACCCCGGCGTCGGTCCAGAATTAGCAAACTGGAAGGATACAGACCGAGCAACTTTTGTTTCTGCTAGTGACAAGGAAGCCTTGGATGCTTTCCAGTTATTGAGCGAAATGGAGGGCATTACCCCCGCCTTAGAAAGTGCGCATGCTATTGCTGGGGCGTTTCTTTTGGCGAAGGAACTGGGACCAGGGAAAGATATTGTTGTATGTCTGAGTGGAAGGGGCGACAAGGATGTTGAAACCGTTGCAAAGCTGTTGGAAGGTGTTTGATGCTGATATTTCTGGACAGCAAAGTATTTGTAGCTAGCCCGATATAGAAAAGTTTTAGTTTTTATTTTATTTTATTTTATTTTATTTTATTTTATTTTCACAGATCGCGCACGAAGAAATATAGTCCCAAACAATGTCATTTGATCGCCTTTGACGTTTTTCTTGATGGATTAAATAATACGGATGTTCCAGAAACTGGGATGAAACACAAGACCTGCGCACGTAGCAAAGAATATATTCTGACTAACGCGTCCATGATGGTTAGTTACCTTTTACTTTAAACCATGCTTGAGCCCATACGTTCTTACTTATTCTAAGCTACTGCTTTGAGAGGAGAGAGGTGGTCCGTTGCAATTGTTGGAATATCGAAAGGCGGGTGTTGCAGTCCGGCACTCTATCGAGCTCTGCATTAATGCATGCATGAAGTGCCCGATAACAGTGCTGTCTTAAACATGGAAACATCAGTTATCGGACTGGTAAGTGAGCACGAAATTGCCGTTGAATTACGAAGGCTCCGCCCAATCGTTTGAAACAACTCACAATCGGATACCGTTAAACGGACACATGCAGCAATGGCCCCATAACTGATAGAAGCTGAGGTGAGAATAGACCTTAGTTGAGACCCTTCAATGCCAAATCATTTTCATCAAGGAATTCAGTCCAGGTCTTAAGCTTTAATCCCGGAATCTAAAAGATGAGAGTTAGCACAAGCCCTGGACTTTGGCCGAAACGACTTTCACTATGGACGTACGTCGGAAGCTTGCACGAATTCTTCATTGGCATAGACATTGCCGCATTTTTCAAAAATCATTAGCTGCTCCACAAAGTCGAGCGCAATCTCCTTAGACAAGCCATCGCGAGACTGAAGGAGCTTCTGGAACTCGCTGGAGCTAGATTGTCGGTAAGATGTGGGAATGTTATACCCTGTGATCCAAGTTAACTTGGAAAAAAAGCTTTGAGACCCAACACGTAACATACGCTTTCCAATTGTAGCCAGTTTGTCCGCTTCGGACAAGCCTTGGGAGTAGAATGCAACTGTCTTGGTGAAATACTGCGAGCCCGCCTCTAGGACAGTGCGCACAAGCTTACCAGTGTCGGCAATAGCTACATTGGGCATCACGGTCTCTGGACTGTGCGGGAACGTAAAAGTGTAGGTCCCAGAAGCATCCTATATAGAATTCAAATCAGTGAGGGAGAACAACCAACGCAATAGTAGAGATACAGCAGAAACTCGAGGGTATGCACTAACCTTGACCGGAAGATACCTGTCCGGAGTGGTCAGGCAGTTTTCGAAATAATTCGGAAAGAGGATCGTGGTGGTCTTAGCCCAAAGCTCAGGCTTCGAGTCCCGGATATACTCCGTTACCAAACTCTTGCCCTTCCAGTGATGAACGTTTATGAAGCGTCCGCCCGATAGCTGGACTGGGTCAGGAAGAGCACTCCAAATGAAATGCTTCAGAGTCAGCGTCCGAGCTGCTGCTTCCGCAATTGATTTACCCTGTGCTATCTCATCATCGGTCGACTGCGTCTGCCAGAAGTCGGTCAGGGCATAAACAATATCAGCACCAGAGAATGCGGATACAAGAGCATCAGATCCACTGGTCAGATCAGCACAGTACAGCTCTACTCCAAGCTTGCCCAGGGCTTGGGCGGCTGGCTTTGCTGGATCGCGAGTAAGGGCTCGGACATGGTAGCTGTCGGGATATTGAAGCAGCTCTTCAACTACAGCTCCACCCTAAAACCTCCCCATTTGGGGGAACAACTTAGAATCAACCGAACAGCAATAAATCACGGGAATTGATGAACAAACCTGGGAGCCAGTAGCGCCAATTACGACAACCTTTTGGGGAGCCATTGTGATAAGATGGTATTATGAGAGGCTTGAGTCTGATAGCTCGCGTTTGTTATTGTTCGAACACTCAGTGCGATAACGTGGCTTTTATACAAATTCGAGGCTCTTGCGGAACCTGCCAAAACCCGAAAATCCGCACAATCGACAATATATCTGGAGGGAATTAATAAGCTTGACCTAAGAGTGGATATCGCACTACTCCATGGAGTATAGTACAGAGAGACCATGTTCCGATCAGCACTCACATTGTCGGAACTGAACGGCATAATAGCTGGAGAAAAGTTATGTTTCTCCAGAGAAGTTTTGATCTTGGCAACAACTTCACCACTGAAAGCCCTGAGTTTGAAACAACCCCGATGATTAAGCGGGGAGACTGATCGGCGAGTGGATCACTTCATCATTTAGAATCTCGGACAGCTGAATCCCCGAACAGCCGATCCTATTGTCCGAACTGTAAAATGGTAGTTTATTCTTGCCAATTTGAAGACCACTTCACGAAAGCTATCGATCACGACGCAGTGTGCATTGCCTGAATTTCACGATGAAACCAACCGTAATTCTTATCACAGGCACCAATCGAGGAAAGTATTTTGTTCCTACTTCGGACCTACTCGAATTAACTCTGACAATAGGCATCGGAAAAGGTCTGGCAACCGCGTATCTCGCCATGCCGAATACCACCGTCATTGCGACAGTCCGAGATGCTTCCGTTGAGAGCACATTCGAGTTATCCTCACTAGCGAAGGGGTTGAACTCTCACTTGATTATTAACCAGCTCAGTTTGGATGATCCTGCAGGTGCTACTCAGGCAGTCTCGCGAATTCAAAAAGAGTATTCCGTTCATCACATCGATGTTGTCATCGCTAACGCGGGTATCTGCAACCATTGGGGACCCGTTCAAGGCATGGAAGACGCCGATATGGTTGCCCACTTCGAGGTAAACACATTGGGTCCACTAAGACTGTTCCGGGCAGCAGCGCCGTTGTTAAAAGCCAGTGGCCAGCCTAAATTTGTTTACGTTTCCACCGCGCTGGCAAGCATTGCTGGATTGGAAAACTCACCGTCATTGACCGCTGCATACGGAGTTTCGAAAGTTGCGGGTAATTATTTGATAAAGAAGATTCATGGCGAAGATGAGGCCTTGATTGCTTTTTCAATTGACCCCGGGTAGGTTCGAGCCTTTCATTCCCTGTATATCAATCGTGTTTAACATGTTTTTATTAAGCTTCGTTCAAACTGATATGGGCAACCGGGGCGCCCAAGCCGGAGGCTTGGCTCAGGCCCCGGTGACTATTGCTGAAAGCGTAGAGGGAATTATTGAGCAGGTATGTCATATGAAGCTTTCCTGTCGTTCCAATAGATAGGCTAAGTCTCTCGTTTGAATCTTCGTGCATGAAGATCAAGATCTCAACAAAATCCACAACGTCTGGAAAATTCATCCAGTTCAACGGTGGCACTTTGCCATGGTAATGGCAAGAACACAACTGCTGCGAGTTTCTGCTCAATAAAGGCTCTTCTCCCCTGATTCATAAACTTCAGCGAACGTGATCAGTCCTATTGAGTTCCTCAGGCTCGCTCTAATTAATATGGTAAATTCATGTGGTAGTAGAAATACTAGATGAGTCGCTTTCGGAATTGCAATATTTATTTCAAACCTTTGATTCTGCTTATGCTGCTGAGGAGTAACGACATCAGAGGATTGCCGTTTCTTGGTAGAAAGCTGTTTCCAATATAACCAAACTTGATTTCAACATTGGCAAAACCTATCTCTATTCGATCGCCAAAAGCACACGCAAATGCAACTTAGACTTTGAACTTGGTGGATGAAGTGTGGCTCTTTAATTCGGAAGGCCATAAAAATACCATTAAGGAAGATATGTCGACTCACTCATAATCGAGTGGAGTAATATCGCCAAATCAGGGTCATGGACGCTAGGTTCAGAATTATATACATGGAACATTTTAAAGCCAGCACTAAAATTCCAACAGCGCTCGGAACATGACAGATCATACACAGTACACACCTTTCGCCATGATCTCTCAAAGTGTGAAAGCGCGCTAATTGAGCCAAATGTCGACTTCAATCTCCACATTATGCTCGGGAAACGGCAAGGTTTCGACGCCCACCATGGTAAATAAGGGCTGATGATTTGGGCACCATTTTTTGATGTTGCGAACCATTTGTTCTCTCGCTTGTTCCCGGGTATTCGAGAGATTAACTATGAAGGCTCGGATCTTTACGACATAATCCCAGCCTCTATTTTGCTCAATGCTGACAGAGCTTCTGGCATCTTTGAGAGTCTGCAGGATGAGATCGTTGACATTCTGAAACGCCTGGGTAACTTCTTGGTCAAAGTTTGGAGAGGTTTCCAGACTCAACGGATTCATCCCAGCTGTAGTATGGTTAGAGATCTTTATTCCTCTTATATGTCCTTGGTATACTTACTCTGGCCTGTCACAATCATACGATCACCTATAATGCAGGCGTCACTGAAGCCATATTGTTTACGGCACTGTTCACCGAATCCAGGAAGAGAGTAGTAATTGAAGTTTGCCATATCTGAGAAACTCACCAAAGAGATGATGTTGCGCATGTATAATTCGACGCACCTTTATACATATCGGATCCGATCCTTAAATCATCTTTTTGAAATAGAGCGCTTTGTCAGCGGAGACTTCACCTCCAGTTATAGCCAAAGCCCAAAACCCTCCTAAACCCGCACTCCCAGGGGAATGTAGGAAATGGATACCTATTTTGGTATATAAATGCCCGGATCCACCAAGGGAAATCTGAAATTTACGAGCGAAGCTGTATTATCAATATATGGAATATGTCATAGGGCACACTCTTGCAACAATGTGCTCCGGCATCAGTCCTGCCCCAACAATGCCCATCAAATTTTTGTTTATCAATGTTGTAATACAGCGTTGCTCCCCGAACTCATCTTCATTTGGTAAACAGTTATTCCCAGCCTCGTGCTCACTTTAAGCTTCAACTAGACCGCCTCGTACAGTAGCCGAGCCGAAAGATGAACACCTGCCACGTTCTAGCATGTGCCACGCAGCATTCCAAAGAGCATGACTACGGGATTCTGAATAATGATCTGAAATCGAGAGGGTGCCCAAATGGAGTCGGAATGGCTGTTGCCGGCTTTGGAGCAGTACCCACTTGCAGCCATGGAATGTCACGGGTACAAGAGGTGGAACCCCCTAGTGTCCGCTGAGTAAGCGGGCAAGCGACGTCACAACTGGCGCGTGGAAGTGGTATTACGTAAGTTACCCAATCCAAAGCACCAAGGGTTTCTGTCTTGACCGGAAAAGATCTGCTGAGTTATCGTAATTGTTTTCAGCTGGCTCGACTTTCATGGCCAACAAGCAATGTCCAGGGTGTCTGCCTCAATCAATAAGAGGAACGCATGGCGTCTCCCTGACGGACGCAGGCGTAGGGCATGCGACCCTTGTTTCCAAAGAAAGGTAATGTGCAATGAAGACTCCTAATCAGAAGGCATTGAACCGCATGCACTTCCATATTAGACAACTGCTGTATCGTCCAACCATGCTAACACTGCTTCGGATTGCTGGTCCATAGATAAAATGTGATGGGGAATTTCCGCAGTGCAATTGGTGCAAGCACCATAGCCTGGCCTGTACGTTCAACCGAATTACAGGACAAACCGAAGCACGGTATGTAATAAATATAACACCTTGACTAGACGTACATCTTGATTAGTAAACGGATCTATGGGCTGTGCTTTGCATTGTCTTACTTACCCCCTCTGCTTGGGCCACTGAAGCTTTGAAGTGCTCCCAGTTGACTGAATATGCCAGGCATCAATTTTCTTTGCATTCTATCAATAATACTGTGCAATCAGATTCAGGTATCTCACATTGTTATCCACACTTGATATCGATGCCTTAACTCGAGGATTCAGTTTTCGACTTGATGAAGACTGACTCCATTGCATATAGGCACAAGTTCATCACCGAATAAACCCCCATTTCAAACTTTAGGGTTCTTCAGATCCACCATCCCTCACGAAAATGTGACATTTTTTAGTGGAATACATCTACTTACTGATGAGGGTCTAAGATGGATTGAACATCAGGTGGGGGAAGAAGTCAACCGTGCAAAATTGAGCGCATTTGAGCTACCATGGACAAATCCGCGTCGAATCCACGACTACGCTGCTGTCTCGTCCGACCTCCCTCCTGAACTACCTCGTCGAAAGACTGTTGAGGTGTATGTTCTACGGTTTACTTCGTCATTTACGAGCCTCGTATTCCCCGTCATTAGCAAAACTCTCTTCATGAAGACGCTAGACCTTGCTTATGGGCCACGTGGTGTATTCGGCAGCACTAGTGCCAACGCTTGTGTCTATTCCTTCATCTCGCTAGTAAGCTTGTTTGGCTTTGACGACAACACACATGGGGCTGTAGACTGTGGGTCTTATGCCTCTACAGCCTTGAGAGCAGTACCTCATATCATCGAAGAGATGACGGTCGATGGACTTCAATCTCTTATGATGCTTGTAAGTCAATTTCCTTTGGTAATGCTTTCGCAACGTGGCTTTTTTAGGTCGCACGGAATGAATGACCACTGACAAACCACGAGGTTCATCTTCAATATTTCTTGGGTGATCTTCAATCAGCTGCAGTCACCATCTCTATTGCCACCCGGCTTTTATACAAACTCGGAGCCCATACGAATCCAGCTGGTATGAACTCCTCCGTTCATTTGCCGCCATATAACAAGGCCATTCTTGAATATCATGTTCGAGATCTTTTTTGGGTGTGTTACTCGTTCGACAAAGATATTTCTCTCAGAATGGGTCAGCCCGCATCCATCAATGACTTCAATTGCGACCTGTCATTACCTTTGGAGTACGTTCGCCTGCAGAATTCCAACATCCAACGGGATGAGCTAAAGCCCGACGATCATACACTTCCTCTTTACCCTTGGGATCTTCGACTTTCAATGATTAAATCAGAAGCCTACAATACCCTGTACTCAGTGAACGCCAGTTTCAAATCAGACTGCCAGATCCTAGAGAGCATTCGATGCCTTGATGCGGCACTGGATGAGTGGAGGCTATCACTTCATTCCGAAATTCGTCCAACATTGTGCTTCTCGTCGGATATGTCGACCAAAGCAAAATTGAACACACAGGAAGTGATACTCCGACTCGCGTATTACCACTGTATGTCCATAATCCATCAGGCAAGTGACAGGCGCAATATCTCCAAGCTTGATGCCGGAATTCGACTGGAGGGGATAAGCTCTAGCGTAAATCTTTCTACCACGGCCTGTCGCTCCACACTTTCGCTCCTTCAAACAAGGTTGCCTACGTTGAAAGGGGAATGTTTCTGGTAATACCTAGACTCCTTCTCTCTGCACCGCTTCTTTTTTTTTTTTTTTCTCATCACTGACCTCTGTTTTGCGAACTCAATTAGGGTGCTGCTTTTCTATATATTGACAGCAAACCTAACTCTCTTTTGTAACATCCTCAAGGATCCACTTCAGTCGGAAAGCTCTCAAGACGTGGCTATCTTACGTGAGGTTCCCGCCATGATAAATAAAATTCCCATTCGAAATCTCACTCCAGCCGAAATGATTCACTTGAGTTTTCTGAACGGTTTTACCACAGAACTTGCAAGGCTAGCGATGTGCGCTGTGTTGAAGGCGCAAAAAGAATCGCGTAGCCCGGGACATGTATGCACTTAAAATCAATCAAAGCCGGCGAAAAAGCGAAGAATCCGAATACCAGCTTCCATGTCACCAGAATTGAGTCAGATTGATGTGCATCATGAGAATAAGTGGCCCTTATGTGAAATACTGCTCCACTGTATAGAGTACGGAATTTTTCTCTAGAGTTGAAAAAAGGTCATAGTGGTGGAATGGCCTCCACCAGGAGCCCTCGAGGCTTGCTTCCCGCTTACTTTGCGCGTTGATTTTCTATTAGGTACCTACATGCATTACGTAATTCTGGCATTGTCAAGATAGGTAGGAAAATATAAATAAAAGTTAAGCTGCTTACTATCCGCTTATAAAATTCCGGTTTTCGTGACTCATGGGTGGACATATTCTAGATATGGCCCACGGAGCTCTTGTTCCACACACAAACCTGGTTCACTGGTACGAAAATCCACTTATCGTAATGCGATGTACCTATCTAATGTTACTTACATGGAATCCGTACCTTTTCATTTTCAATCCTCTATATTAAGTGTTTCACCCTCTTGATCCTGTCAAACATTTTCTTCCTTGTTCTAAACTTCCGCCCTCGAAGGCTTTTCTTTAATAGCGACAATGTAGATCTAATATCCGGGCTTTAAGAATAATCTTCTACTACGAGCAGCGAGATGTATGCGGCTAATAACTTAATATAGAAGCAAATGGTTAAGCTAATTAGAATGTAGGGGGAAAAGTATCCCGTCCCCCGATATGGGTAATGCGTTGAGGTGCGTGCCGTGAATCTCCATCTCATTCTTTTTCCCTTTCTTATTTTCACGATAGGATTTAGCAGCTGCTTCTATTGCTTCTCATGGACTCTTTAAGGAGACATGTTTTAACTAACGGAATTCTAGCTGGCCGTTATCTACCTAAATACCACGAGGCAAAAGGAAGCCTCAACTTTTTCGAATGCTACCAAATCCCGGAGGTCGCTTCCGTGCTTACTATTCAGCTGGTGGATTGATATTAGAGCCTCATTAATGCCGCGATCGTTTTTTCGGACATTATCGTCATTCCTTAAGCAATGGAATACGAGTTGAGATGCTTGATAGAAAGGTACCGCACTTTCCGGAACCGCTAAAATCGCTAAACGATCTTTAATACGTAGGGGTTATACGCAGAAAGGTCAATGTCAACCAAGACTTAGCCTATGTCTATAAGGCTATCGCTTTGGCTAGGCAAAAGCTTCACAGCCGGGTGCCTCTAGTCGGCTTTTGCGGTGCCCCGTGGACTCTGCTATGCTATATGATTGAGGGTGGCGGAAGCAAGATGTGTGTAGGGGCAACGATATAGATCTATAAGTATCCTAAAGCTTCGAAGGTATTGCTACAAAGATAGCTCAAATCTACGTTGAACATCTTGCTCTATAGGTTGCTACCGGGGCCTAGTTTGTCTAGGTTTTTGACTCACTTGCGAGAGAACTGTCCACGAGCTTATTCGCGTCGTTTTCGCTCCTATATCTACGCTAGATATTAGCCGATCTTCGCATGGGGTTGATAAATATAGGTCTTTTACCTGTTCCTATGTCGGTGTTCGCGAAAGGAGCTTGGTATGCTTTGGAAGATCTTTGTGTGTCGGGTTATAATGTCATTAGTCTTGACTGGTTGAATGATCCGGCGGAAGCCATAAATGTCATAAAGGGTCGGTTCATAATTTAAGGGAACGTTAACCCTGGTAACCTCTACGGAGATCGTGCGGCAATTACTGAAGCAGTTCACTCGATGGTCGAGAGTTTCTAAGGAGGGAAGCAAGGATGGATTGCTAATCTTGGCCATGGTACGTTTGAGCGTTCTTCATTTCGGTCGTAGCTCTTAGTGCTTACGCTTATACTATTAGGTATGATGTCTTTTCGACTTCTTCAATTATACAGGTTCAGAGACAAAGCTAGGAAGAATACCAGTAGTAAATGGAAAAAAGGCGTGGATTTCATGGTTGCTCAATTAACCAATCAAGGGTTCCTCTTATGTTGGACTTTTCTGGAAAATGCCTAGCTAGATAGTAGGGTAATAATCTCTCGTTGGACATCTCGATGAACTTGCTCGGGTCCGCTAAACCGCAGATTGAAAAGCTGTAGCTGGGGATGCTTCGCCTCCGTAGACTAGACTATTCGTCTGCAGTAAGACTTGCAAGAATACTAATGCTCAACTTTATCACGAGAAGCCCGATAAAAACGACCGCACTCAGTCCTGTAGAGATCCATCCTAGCGCCATCGCCGCACCTCCCACATGGCCTGAGACTGCGCCATAGGTGAGGGTTTCTGCCATTGTCGCCGTAGAACTGCTATTGATATGCTGCCACAATACGGAGATGAGACCAAATCCGAAGCCGGCACCCATTGCGAGGAAACAAATCGACAATACAAGTTCAGAAGGGAATGGCTTTACTTCGCGCTCTGATCCATTTTCATCAACCTCCTCATGCCATCCAGGGAAAGTCGATAAAAGTATAAAACAAATAAAGATTAGGCCGACCACGATATATCTATACATCAGAATTATTAGTATATTGTGGCATCGAAATAATCAGAAAGACTTACATCAAGCCATCGAATACAATCTTGTCCTTAAACTCATTCGCAATCATGATCAAATTGAGCGGGTCTGGTATAGTTTCTGTGCTTGTATTTCCATTGCTGACAGAGGACTTTTCTGCCTTGATCAAATTTGCCAACACTTTTACGTTGTTAGAGCAAATGCGTCCTGAATTGCTCTGCGTCACACAGATCCCCTTATACCCCGCTCGCACTTCAAGGGTCGTCCCGTTGCCGGTTTGCGACACATTGTGAATAGCATGCGCGATAGCCGAGCTCACTTGACCAGGTCCTGTAGATATTGGAGACTCTCTCGCTGTATATCTTAGCGACAATAGATATATATTGCTCAGACCGTTGGAAGAAGAACAGCCCGCAAGTAGGATGGCTGGGAGAATATATTAATCAACAAATTTAGGAGATGAATAGGTTTTTTGATTCCCTCACATAGCAAAATAATCGCAATGGCCGACAGGAGCATCAAAAAGTGGTGGTAAGATAAACGAGGTACCAATCCCGCTGTGTGGTGCGTAGCGTCAGCACTTTCGCGACCGACCAGATCTAATCTTGACGAACGTACTTAGTGGCTTAATTCTGGACCTGAATGCCATGAGGTTGGTCGCAAGGTGTGGTAGACAGAGCTGCGAGGTATGGATTGATCTGTTGTAAGAAGAGGCGAATATCAAGCCCGATTACAAGTGGTCATAGAATGAGCAATGGTGAGAAACGGTACTTTGTGCGCGTCTTATTTCGAGCGAGCTGAACAATACACTAACCTATACTAACCATATCTAGGCTAGTGCGCACGATTGATTACATTATTTTGTCAGTTGCTGTCTACATGACGATTATAGGTGGATAATGACACCTCAAATGCTTTGTGGGCATGTTTGACCGACAGCTATAGCTGCATTGATATCGCCCATGTTCAGCGCGAGATTTAGGATGTATCTGTGCGATACACCAGCGCCTCTAATCTAATTCACTTCATGTTCTTTCTATTTTCTGTCCCTCCCCCAAACCATTCGAATCTTTGGTTTGAAAGGGCCACTTGTATGACCAATGTGCATTGTCTGCTCCAATCCTCAAACAGGAGCTATGGAACCCAAACAGCAATTCGATTACTACTAAACGTATCGTATAATGTTATAGCGAGGCTTTCGTCCAAAAAGCCCCGAAAGAGTGACAATTAGAATAACTAGAACCACAATCAACACAACTCCCACGGTCAGCCCACTCTTGATGCCAGTAGCTAGTGGGCGTGTCCAAATGAGTGTCAAGGGTACTGCAATGAATGTCGCGGTCAAGATCATATATATCGATGTCGTTCTAGCCCACCAAGGTGTCCGACGCACTCCATCCATAATAAGGTTGGGTAATGCGTTGCGAAAGTCTGGTTCAGATCTGAACCAGAATGGGACTCCAATGATGACTATAACAATGAAAACAATAGCAATGCTGACAGCATCCTGTATACTGGAATCAAGCTCGCGGGTCCAGAGGACGGCAATTGGTATTGCCGAAGCCACGCCATTCAACAAAGCGAAGGTGATAATGAAGCCGAACACAGCCCAGAGCTTCTTTGCTATTAAACATGTCCGTTTGGCGGTCCATTTACAAGCCTTGGCAATGCTTATACCCAGTCGGATTCCTATCCACTGAATGATAAGGAGCATTGGAAGCGATCGAGGTTGCACAGGTTGACCATTCCTTTCTGCGTATCTCCTGACATCATGTTTCACGGCTGCCTTGAGATCAATCAGCCAATGGCTGCGCATGGTCATGCGCATCAAATAAGCGAATGATGTCACGATAATAGCCACAACGAAGAAGTTCCGGATAGGGACAGGATTTGCAAATGGTTCTATTTGCATGCCAAAAACAGAGGACGCGAAAGACAACGGAACAAAAATGAACGCGAGTTCGGTGAGTCTTGCTACAGCATGAGCTTCGTCGATCGAGCGCCGACTGTCCAGCAGACCCATATTGGAAGTCAAAGATGCCGATATTCCCTGAAGTCGATCCAGCATGTGATCGATATTCTTCCAAAGTTCGTCGAAACCTTGCGTAACTTCCGATCTGATGGCTGCAACCTCCATAGGAGAATTTAGAGGATGGACTTTTATGAGGAACTCAATGAAAGGCTCCATGGAGGATTTCAGCTCTGGAAGCTCTCTCTGAGCACGGCTAATAACCTGTCGCCATAAGCCCAGTCTATCCTCCATCTTCGTGTCATCTAGAATCTCGATCTCTATTTCGTCAAGGACTTGTTGCAGCTGCCTGAGAAGGGTCAAGGTATCTTGTCTGACGATTCGGAGCAACGGCTTGGCCAGGCTAAGTGGTCCACCGTTCATTCCGAGCGCGCCACAGATCTCTGACCGGGTTGACTTAGTCTCCCTGAGTTTGTCCCCGAAGTTTGACGTCAACTGCGATGTTCGAAATACGCGGTCTAGGTCGGCTGAGACTGCTTGGCGAGGAGCCATTTGTTCAACGATGACTGTACGTAGTACTTCGCTGTCCTCCTCAAATTGGGGGCTTTCGCGCCTTTCTCTGCCAATGATCCTGCTCAACAACGTAGCAATCGAACGTTGATCCCTGACACGTTGTGGTTCCTCTTCAACCACGATAAGCTCTTCGATAAAAATCCCCTGTTCCACGGAGGTCTGGTACAACGCATCATTACTCTCGCCATTCTCTCCCAGAGAACCACCTGATTTCCAGAATTGATGTTCCTCAGATATCTCCGGCAAAGGGTCAAGAAGTACAATTACTACATGGCTCGTCAGTATCTCGGAGTAAGTTTCTACTTCATGCGTATCACTCACCAATCTCAGTGTTTTGATCAATGAGCTTCTTTCTCCAAATTGACACTCTCTCCTCTAACCCACACTCTCTTTTCATCCTCACTGTTTTTACAGGGTCTGTCCACAAGCCCCACTCTAGCCGGAATATATTCGTGAGTATTCGAGTCGTAACAGACCCCTGCCGTGTGAAATGCTTTGTGCTGTCCTCAAGCAGATCTTCAAGGTCGCGGCTTGAGAAGTATGTTGGAAGTCGATAAACTGGTCGAATCCACCTAAATGACACGTAGGATTTCTCAAATGATGCTGTGCTCCAGGTTCGAGCCGGTGGACTGTCATATTTTCCGCCGGCATAGCCAGAATTTAGTAAATGCTCCTCGAAGAACTCTGGATTGATGCTGAAGATTTCACCCAGTTTGTCCATCATAGGTTTAGAAAGATCTTCCACAAAAATAAGCCGTTGCTTTACATTTTCTGAAACCTGGCGCAGCGCTGCGATATCCGCTGAATGATCGATATGCCTTGGATCGGACATGAGGTTGTCGAAATAGTCGTAATATGTGATTGAAGTCCTCGCGTGACGGGAAGCTTTACCAACACTTCCGTTTTTGATATGTTCTAGCACCTTTCCAGCATTCTCAAGGATTTTTCTGTATGGTGGCGAAAACGTTTCTCTTCTTGCGTGAGGACCAAGCTGTCCTGGACCAACCCATCGCTCTTCTTGACGTCGTCTTTGAGGGGATGGCGTTCTGGACTCAGGCAACGGGAGATTAAACGGGTCTATTGAAGCGGCTAATTGCGAAGCCTCCTCTTGGATAATTAGGGATCCATCGCTATCCTCAGCATCGATATTGGCCGGTCCCTCTGAATGCAGATTATCACCGGGTGTGCGAGATGTCACAGGGGCCGAACCAGTAACTTCTTGAACACGGCTGTGTCTAAAAGGGTCGTTGCGTAAAAGATCTTCCAAGGAGTTCGTTGCATCTCTTGCTATAAGATGGTTTCGGTGGTGTTGCTCCTCATTTACAGCAGCGACGTGTATTCCCCCACGGGAATAGTTTTGAGAGCGAGAGGGAGGGTCCGGTTGTTCCAACCATGCGAGGAGAGGATCATATGGCTGCTCTGCCGGCATTATATCAGAAATCGGGGTCGACCAAATGATTCATATAACAATCGTCCTCTCAGTACGAACCACTTGTCGCATAGGCGAGTGCCAGCTCAGCCTTCAGGTGAATTGGCCCGTGCGAGCTTGTTGCCCAACACGCACTAGGCCTGAATCCTCTAAGATCGGCGCCTACCATTCCTTTTACAGTAGTACTGCCGGCCGCAAAGATCGTTGATGACAATACCTGGGTTTAGGCAAGAACTCCACTCTTGTCTTTTTGTCCCTGATATGGCACACATTATGCAATACGCACATTCCATCTGGACAATAACATTCTAAAGCAGAATACCATGTAGAATATAAATATTTAAAAGAACTGATGATTTTTCCAAATATGGGAAAAGCTATGTTGTCCGGGCCTGGCACTGCTTAACTTGTTAATCACGAGATTGAATTATTCATTATGTACTAGTCATCTGCATACTATAGCATGCTCACAGGCTTCACTCAGAGACACATATCGTTCGCAATGGGGCGCAGAACAACCTCGTTCTCTTCATCTCGGATCTAGGCAAGACTGAAGTCTGTCCACATCCGCCCTATGAAGTCATCTTAGGCGAAGCCCGCCAGTCCCTCGGGATCTTCTCGCCACGTAAAAGCTGTACCACTGTCTTAGGCACGCCTGCTACGGCATATGATAGAGGAGTTTGACCCTAATTCTCTGTCGAGTCTCTATTCACCTTTCCTGTCTTAAGTAGAATCCTCACCACCGTATTATGCCTATTTTACGCGGCTAAAGATATTAGGTTCCGGCCACTACGATCCGTAACTCTAACATCACTGCCATATATTCGAGTTATAGCCCCACTCCCTTCTAGCGGCCGATATCAATGCGGAACCTAAAGTTTAAGAGTTAATGCGATAGAGAGAACGTAGAGTTTTCTAATAGTTCGACATAAAGAGTTAATATCTCTTTCTTTCTATAAGGACCTTCCTATTTGGGAGGTGCCGGGACACTGCCTTAGGGGGAACTAAATGTAGGGTAATTGAGATAGTGCGACTAAGGGTATTACTGTAGGGGAGGAGAGTAGATAAAAGAGTGACTCGACAGACAATTTACAGTTAAGAGTTATGGTGCTAGGTTTCTTATGCAAGTTGAAGGAATCGAGTCGATCGACGAAAAATTGCGAGCACTATAGCGACGTGGGAATACGTCACGTCTGGATCTGGACTCCCAGGAACACCAGTAACAGCGCGGTCACCATCGGAGCAGGCGAAAAGCCAGAAATCAAGATGAGAAGTGAAGGGGCTGATCAGGGCAGAGCAACGGGGTGAGCGATCAGGATGCTAGGTGAGCAGCTCAGGGGGACGGGGTGACATAACTCACCCTGTGATCCCCGAAGCGGCAATGTTACCGTCAACATTATTACAACATAAACGAAAAGTAATTTTTCATCCACTGTCCCGCAGTCTCTCCTTCGCCAGTACTCCAGGTATCAATAGCCCCAACATATCCATCTGGTCTAACTATGGCGATACCGGCCTTCTCGCCCTTCAAATCACCAAACCACTTCTGGGTACAACTGGCCTTTTCAGGGTTGTCCAGATACAAGGTCCAGCGACTCTTCTGGAGAAGATCTGGTAGATCCGCGATCTCGAATTCTGACTGGGGAGTCTGTGTCACCATCGCCAATGTGAAAGCCTCGGAGACTGCCGTGTATCGATGAGACTGATCAAACTCATCAGATGGAGCGTAGCCTCTAGGTTGTTTCCCGTAGGATTGTTCAGCCTGGGACGTAATTTTGGCGAAGATTGTCTTCAGCTCTTGCGTAATACTTTGCAGGAATACCATTGACTGGGAAATATCAGGCACAAATGTGTATATCTTGAACTGGCCGAGGAGGGGAATATCCAATTGGATATCGACTGGATTGGCATCGATATAGCGAGTGACTTTAGCAGGAAGCTGCAACATTCCAGGCTGGAGCCTGCCTGCATTGGCTGAAGCGGCCGTGAGCATTCCAGGATAATACTCCGCTCCAACACCGGAGATGAACCGGATATTGTCATCGAAGTTCTTTGACAATGCTGCTTCACCCTCTGCAAAGGCTTTGCAGTGCTCCACGTCGAAATTGATGAGATCGTATGCAATCTTTCGTCGCTCTTCTTCATAAGTATGAAGTATAGATGGCTTAGCCAGCCCTCTGCTGAGCAGATTGATCTTCCATGCAAGATTGAAGCTATCGTGCATGCTAGTGTTGGCACCTTGAGCAGCAAGTGCTGAGTGGCAATGGCCGGCCTATTCAAATGTTAGCTTAATCAAAATCTTCTCTAGCCCTCAAGCAGGGCAGAAACATACATCTCCTGCAATGAAGATCTGTGCCTGCGGATCCATAAAATGCTTCGCAACGCGTTGTCCGACCACATATGTTCCAAACCACTCTACGGATTTCCACTCAAGTTGGAAAGGCTGCATTGCATCTTTCGCACGCTGCATCACATATTCAGTGGTAGCTTTGGACTTGTCCACTCGCTCGCCGTCCGTTGAACTCAACTCGACATACAACCGAGTCATGCCCCTTTCGCGTGGGATCCAAAGGATAGACCCGGCGGAGTAAGATCGTAAAGCGACTTTGCTCCATAGATCAGGGAAGTCGGTATTGATTACACCTATTCGGTCAGTTGTGTTTTGCGTCCAGGGAAGTGAATAAACATACCATCCAGCACACCCCAAGCCGCGTTGGTGATTTCTCCCTCCAAATCGGCATCTGGGATGAATCCCCTGACCTTGGATCTTGCTCCATCACACCCAACCAGATAATCTGTTTGGATCTTGTGAGAAGTGCCTGTAGAGACATTTTCATACACGACTTCCAGCTTATTCGTTCCAGACACGCGCGAGCATGAGGTGAATCGACTGTTACGCGTGACGAATACACCCCTTGACTCCATATCATCAATCATGACCTCCTCAACCATGCCCTGGTGTGCTAGAAGAATATATGGATCGGATGCGCCGACGAGGTGCTCGGGGTAATGAGTTTGACGACCTGTTCGACAAAGGGGTTGATCGGCGGTTGATTGCTATTCTCTGTTAGCGAAATGCCTGCTATTGGAATGAGTTAAACTTACCCAGAAAGAGATATCGTGGACTCGAGCTGCATTTTTTAACAAAGGCTCCGCGAGACGCAGTTGTTTGAATGTCTCGATGGTTTTGGGTTGCATTCCATCAGCCTTGCCTGTAGATGTTTTGTTGTGGCGATCATCGAGGATAACTACTGCGATTCCAAATCGGACGAGGTTGCAACTATGCTGCTGTTAGTACCTAGCTGATATTCAGGGCTTCGAAACTTCGACTTACGCCAGCATCAACCCCGATGGCCCGGCACCCACGACAACGACAGTAGTAGACGCATCGACAGGGCCTATGCGATAACCTTCATGATCAGCGCTTGGTGACATTTTGGGAGTTCAGTGTACTTCAATGCATTCTCTATCTTTCTCTTTCTTTCTTTTCCTATTTATTGCAAAGGTCTCTCCTCATATGCGGGGGAAACCCCCAAACCCCCAAACCCCCACTCTTCAACTATCACCATCGTGTCACCCCACCGTCCACCACGATGTCCGACCCCGTCATGTACAAACTTGCGTCGCTGGCTAGGAATACACATGCCCCCATAATGTCCTCGGGCTCGGCAATGCGACCGTTCATTGCCTCTGATTTCCAGCCCTCGAGAAGGTGGGGGAACTAGCTATTAGCATTCACTTTGAAAAATGCTTTCTGGGGACTTACCGATGCTGTCATTTCTGTTTTCACATATCCTGGTGAGATGGAATTGACTCGAATGCCCTAGTCTTTGTTAATTACATGGCTTAATTAAACTGAAGTGGTGCGGTTGACTCACATAATCAGCCAATTCCTTCGCAATGGCAGGACACATAGATCGGACTGCACCCTTAGTTCCGCAGTATGCAGAGCACAACTGGCTGCGCACTGCGATATGGCTGGCCATGCTAGCCACCAAAACGATACTACCATGCTTTGTCCCATTTGCGATCATCTGTTTAGCAGCAAGCTGTGCCGTGAAATAAAGTCCCAGCACGTTGATCGAGAGTAAATCCTGGTGGTCCTTGTATGTAAATTCGAGGAAGGGTAGATGGCGATTAATCCCAGCGCATGGCACGCAAATGTCGAGCGCATTGTCGAAGTCCTTCTGGAACCTGGCGAAGCCCTCCTGCAGATCCTCTTCTGACGAGATATCAACCCTTCTGAGATTAGTATTTAAAGTCGTATACTCCGGTAAGAATTTCTACATACTTGTAGTACGCGGTCTGAACACCGCAATCCCCCTCAATTGCGTTAAATGCTTCCTCTGGTGGCATAACATCGAAAACTGCGACATTTGCCCCTGCTTCTGCAAGTCCTCGCGCAAATGCCAATCCGCAGCCCCGCGCGCCGCCTGTTACGAGCGCTGTGCGCCCTTTCAGAGAGAACTTCGCTAGTTAGTTCTGACTGATAATCAAGATAGATCATAGAGGACTTACTCTCGACATACTTTGATATTCTTCTCAGTATGATGTTGTCCTGCAGCAATGTCTTCTCCAATGAAGCCTTTTTAAAGATATCGGGTACCGGCATTAACAGAACAAGCTAACCCCCATCTTTGAATTAAATCGCAGTCGCCAGCAATTACTGCATGACAATGCATCTTGTTTAAGTACTCCGACGTCGTGAGCGATTCAAACCTGTCTCGATACAAATTCACATCTCTCAACCTTTCAGCCTTGCAGGGTTACACACTCGCCATGGCCCCTCAAATTCCCACCCAGCAACAACAAACCCGCACCGAATCATGCAAATTAAAAATTATTATCGTTGGCGCTGGCCTTGCGGGCCTCGGCTCTGCAATTAGTTGCGCCCTGGCTGGTCACGAAGTCCACGTCCTCGAATCAACCCATGAGATCAGAGAAGTCGGCGCTGGAATCCAGGTCTTGCCTAATAGCTCGCGGGTCCTTCAGTACTGGGGTCTGCAGGAGGCCCTTGAACCCTATATGACCTATCCCCGGGTTTGCAACTTCCTAGGTTGGAAGGGGAATGTCATCTCTTCTATGGATTTTCATGAATCTGAGAGTAATTACCCTGGGACTTGGTATCGGGATTTCCATCGTGCTGATTTACAACAATGTCTTGTGAGGAGGGCTGCCGAGCTTGGGGTGGTTGTTACTTGCAATGCTCGTGTTGTGGATGTGTCTGTCAGTGAGGACGGGGCGACTGCTACAGCTACTGTGGCGGATGGGAAACAGTGGACTGGGGATCTGGTTATTGGGGCTGATGGTATCTTTGGGAAGTTGACCGAGGGTTTGCTGGGTCGTGTTGATCCTCCGGTTAAGACGGGTGATTTGGCATATCGTCTTCTACTGTCTACCGAAGAGATGCTTAAGGATCCTGATCTTGCGGAGCTTGTTACAGATCCTCAGGTCAACTACTGGTTAGGCCCAGATGCTCATGCTGGTATGTTATATTCCTCACATTGAAACTAAAGCTAATTGTCTAGTCAACTATGTACTTCGAGGCGGAGAACTATTCAATATGGTTCTACTTGTCCCCGATGATATTCCAGAAGAGTCTCTTGCATCCACGATCGAGGGGAATGTGGAAGAGATGTGTGCATTGTTCAAAGATTGGGATCCACGGTCAGCTTTATTTCATACAAGTCGGAATCTTCAACTAACAGTCACAGCATCCCCAAACTTCTCAAGCTGTGTCAATCTGTCCAGAAATGGCGTCTCTGTATCCGATTTGGAGATTTTGACTGGACTCACCCGTCCGGCGCGTTCGTCATGCTGGGCGACGCAGTCCATGCAACATTGCCATACTTGGCATCCGGGTACGGATAACTATCTTCGCTGTTTCAACCCCACCTTCTAACAACCCCAGTGCCGGAATGTCCTTTGAAGACGGTGCCGTTCTAGGAGAATGCCTATCCCGTCTCCCAAACAGTCCCAATACCTTCAAGACCTCGGCCGAGTTCCTACAAGCGAAGAAACACGCCCTTGCCGTCTTCCAGGAATGTCGCAAACAACGCACGAAAATGGTTGTGGAACGAGGCAACGTCCAGCAATATCTATATCATCTCCATGACGGCCCAGAACAACAGGAGCGAGATCGCAAAATGCAAATGGTGCCTACACCAGAAGGCGAAGCGTTGGCTTGGCGCGACCCAGGTTTGGCCCCGAAGTTGTTGGGATATGATCATATTGCTGATGTACGTTTTTCGTCACAATCCACTGGGAAATTACTAACGAATATAGGTTAATGCCCGTTGGGGTGAGTCTGGGGATAGTTCAGTTCAGTCTAGATTGTAGTTTGTAAATGTCATAATATGAAGTTGTTCTCTCAACATCCCTGCATCCCTGCTTATCGGCCACCCCCATTCTTGACACTATTAGGGTCACTATGGGGGGCGCTATACAAAGTATAATTTAATTTTCGACCAGCATATCTTATCGCTTGGTGACCCCGCTCCCCCATTTTCGTGCAGCTGGTGATCCCCGCATGAAAATGCATAGTTGGAGGTGGCTATAAGTTATAGAATTGCAATTGCACTACAGATCTACACATCAACATATCAAATTCACAAGTCACTGCTAACACTATCACAATGTGGAACCTATTTAGCTCACCGGCAAAACAACCCTCACTACCTCCAAGAGGCCTCCCAGCGTCATGGTACCGCTCAGAAGCAATGTACCAACTGGAACGACGCGCGATCTTTTCTAAACGCTGGATCCTCCTCACACACTCCAGTCGCTTCAAAAAAGCAGGAGACTACCTCTCCTTCACAATAGCAAACTTCTCTTTCTTCCTAATCCAAGACCGCGACGGCAACATAAACAGCTTCCACAATATCTGCCGGCACCGCGCATTCCCCGTTATCCGAGAGCGTTCCGGCACAACCTCTATCCTCAGCTGCAAATACCACGGTTGGTCATACGGTCTCAAAGGTCATCTATCAAAAGCACCTCGCTTTGACACCGAGACAGTCCCCAATTTCGATAAAACTCAACACTCCCTCTTCCCCGTCAATGTCCACGTCGACAAAGCAGGTTTCGTCTGGGTTAATCTCCAAGCTGGCGAGACAGAAGTGAAATGGGAAGAGGAATATGAGAAAATCGACGAACAGCCCCGCATGCAGGATTTCGATTTCGCGGGCGAGTTTTCGTTTGATCATTATTGGGAGATGGAGCTCGATGCCAATTGGAAGGGTGTCATTGAGAATTATAATGAGTGTTATCATTGCGCTACTTCTCATCCGCTCATTAGTGGGGTCTCGGACCTGCCAAGATATCGGGTTGAGCCTAAGGCGGCTTATATGGAGCATCATATTTATAACAAGGATGCTGCTGATAGTCAGTTTCGGAGAGCTATTACTTATTTCTATCCGACTACTTCGGTTACCGTTACGTGAGTATTTTCAATTCCCGAAGCAAGTGGATGGGAAGTTGAGCTAACGGGAGTAGGGATAAATTCTTCTATATTCAGCGTATGATTCCGGTCTCTGCTACGAAGAGCAAAATTGAGAACGAAGTTTATCGTCACCAAGATGCCACGGATGAGGAATTCGAGAATATCAATGCCTTTTACAGACAGGTCCTGGATGAAGATAGGGAGCTCTGTGTTGGAACACAAGAGAATCTAGGTGGCGGGGTCTTTACCAGTGGTGAACTACATCCTAGCAAGGAGAAGGTATGTATACATTACGAGATAATTGATGAGACGTCCTAACATCTAAATAACAGGGACCGATACACTTCCAAAGCAGCGTGAGGCAAATGGTCATGGAACACCGACAAAAGGAGGAGAAACAAGGCGGGTCTGAGATCTGGCCCGCAGTCCCAATCATAGCCTCAACGAGTAAATTTGATGAAGAGGAGAGCTTTTGTCTAAAGTTGGATGCGGCGAATTGTACCTCTAGACCTGAGTTGGCATGGTGATGCGATCATTGTAGCAGAACAAGTTATGTTATTATATGCAATATTCAAACCAAATTTTACTCAGATCAAATGTCCAACTCGTTGATGGAAAATAATAGATAGATACATGACACTCAAGAAAGATAATAGGTCATATCCCGTCGCACATCCAAGGAAATTATACCCAAACGAATGTAACTCACTTGTTCAAACCAAGCGGATTCTCAGCAGTCTGCTTCCTCCCGCCAACACTGGACACCCCGTTCTGAATTCCCTCACCAGCACCCTTCGCAGTATTCCCCAAGCCCTCGGTGGCACCCGAGACTGTTTGGCCAAGGCCGGATGTTGCATTGCCGACTGTTGAACCTAAGCCGCTGACTGTGCCGCCTAGTGTGTTTGTTACGCCGCCGACTGTTTTACCGACTGTGTCGCCGAGGCCGCCTAGGAGCCCGGCTAATTTGGATATTGTTAGTAATGTGGACAATCGTGTATGGATGGTTGTTGGTGGACTCACGGTTCTGGTTGTTGTTGTTGTTTGACATGATGTAATAATGTGAATATGATGAGGTTGTCGAAGATTTTGGACTTGTGTTTGTAAGTGATGATTATTTATTGAATATGAATAGGAACAAGTCGTGATAGAAGCATTTATATATCAACGCCACGCATGTAAAACCGGTTACAAAACCATGATATAATGGGTGCGACGTCGACCAAGCCACAGACCTGTCATATGAAGTCCACCGCAGGGGAAGATTAATTCTGACGAATCAGAATATCAGACAAGAAGGTTGATCATGGATAGCCACTTGATCGGATTTAATATTATACGATCTGACGTCTGACGTATGATGTTCCCCGCGTTGAATGGAAATGGATGTGATCATTGGTTGGTTAGTCCGGTGGCTGATATTGTTTGCATGAAGTTATTTATATTAAAGTATTGTGGCGAATGAGAGATGAGTGGTGAGGATTTGTTGATGCGATGTTTGTATTTGGGGAATGATGTCATTCTATGGATTGGGTGGAGTTGACCAGAGTCTCTGGTAGTAATTGTGATCTCATGTCGCCAAATCATCTCAGATGGACATAGATCTTCTTTGGTGATTCTATGAGAATTTGCCTAGCGGGCTTTGTCTGTACTATCACACAATGCTCCCGAGTGTTGGTGAAATGATCAGAGACTAGACTTCCCTCGAGACTCATACGGCATCAGCAACACCAAAAGTCCAGCGGCAATGAAAAGCGCCCCGCTCACATATACTGGGGCAGAGGTTTGGAGATCGGCAAACATCGCGATTATAGGCGCCATTATGCCAAAGATCCGATTCGCAGACGCGGTCAATGCATTGCCCGTGCCTCGATCCTTGGTCAAAAAGATCTCAGGGGTGTACGCGTAAAGCACCGCATACAAAAGACTGCTCATAAAGTTGAAGGCGCAGTTCCAGCCGAGGAGAGCATTGGATGTGGTCGCAGTTGTCGAGGCCAGGAGGAAAGCTCCCGTCAATACCGTCGACGTGCTCAAGGCTCCTTTCCGGCCGAATCGGGGTAGCTCCACCAGGAGTCCACCTAGGAGGCAGCCGGGGATACCCATGACGGCGATTATTAGTGAATTGCGGTAGGTGATATATGTTGAACCATCTCCGAACTCAGCGCCTCGCGACTGTTGGATATATGGGAGGAAGGCGTTGTACAGTGGGAATCCAAGGCCGATGAAGGCCCAGACTAGGATGATTAGACTTGTTGACCACGCCCGCTTTGGTGTGTCGAACAAGGCGCGGATATGATTGAATCGCACCTTCTCCAGGCGCTGGCGGACGATATGTGTGGCTGAGACGTGTTGCACCCCGCCGTGATCGAAATCCTCAAGTTCCGCCGGAGACAGGTCTGACGTCTTTCCATTCCTACTCGCAACCTCGTGCACAACCTCAACTGCTTCCACATTACGACCTTTTCCCATGAGATATTTGGGCGACTCATAAATAGTGAAGAAAGCAAACCGAATCACAAACATGATCATGGCAAGCCCACCCATCGCGATGAGAAAGTATCTCCATCCCATATTATCAGCTTTAGTGCACCCATCGCCAGAATCACAAGTCCTATACCCGAGCAAAGGCCATGCAACCAAGTTAGCAAGCACTTGCGCAAACGCCCAGTCAATGGACAAGATCGTCAACAGGTACTGATGCGACCCAGGCAAGAACTCGAGAAAGATAGCCGAGTCGACCGGTAAATTCCCACCAACACCAACAGACCAAAGTGCCGCAAATGTACATGCGGCGCCGAAGTTTGGCGATCCAGCTGCGACCAATCCAAACACCGCCGTGATACCGATTGTCAAATTGAAGGCCCATCGCCGACCGAAGATATCACATCCGAAGCCCCAAAACATAGCGCCAATCAACAACCCAATGTTTTGTGCTAGGGTAAGTAATGGCGCTTTGGACGGGTGGAACTCGTAGGATAACGGCGGGAGAATCAGAGATGTGACAATAGGCCAGAGATTATCGCTTGCCCAGCCGAATCCAATCACCACGAAGAGTTGCCATTGATAGCGACCCATACCAATGTTTTGGATTGCGCGGTTGAGGACTTCGGCTTTGCCGATATAGCTTTTTGTGCCATGAGGTTCTTGTGTGCCATCAGGTTCTCGGGTAGCTGTTTCGGTTACTGTTGGCTCGGGGCTGGGGCTTTTGGGAAAGGTTGACATGTTGAGGCGTTGACACTGGAGCAAACAGAGGGAGGTTCTGTTATTCTATTTAACTTGGCAAGGTCGCGAGAAATAAGGGGAGTTTGTCATCATGTTCAATGTAACATGGGTGGTGAAATTTGTCAATGTCGTGGAAGATCAATTGGATGTGGCTGGCGTGATTGCCCTGCATTGTTGTGTCACTCCCTTCCCCCACATCACGTGGGGTGTTTCTCGAGTTGCAAGGTATTAGTGGCTGTAGTATTAATATATGGGATGCACCAAGGTGTCGGTTATTCTGATCAAAGGGCAAGTATATTGTGCGCTGGCTGGACATTCGATCTATATACAAAGTGGAACCCCAGGTGAGGTTGCCGCACACTACTACCCTTTTCGGTCATCAACCACTACCTAGGACGAAGTAGCTTGAGCACCAGCAAGCGAGCTGTAAGGAGTGGCACCAGGGTAGAACGAAGTAGGAATAGCAGGAATAGGAATAGACGAGGCAGTACCGAATGCCTCCTTCAGATCCGAAGCCATAGTCGCAGCAGAGTAGCCAGTAGGGGCAGACTTGACAGTAACAGTGGTGGTATACGAGGTATAATCCTCGCTATCCTTGAGGCATTCACCGGAGCCATAGGCGCTCTCACAGGTGTTGACCTGGTAGGAGCCAGACTCGGTCCACATAGCGAAATCCTCGATAGTCACGTCCTTACAGGGCACTTTGGCGGCGCACTTGACCTTGACCGGGCCGCGCTGGGCGCCGTTGGCTTCGGTTCCCTTCCAGTTCTTGACTGTAACGTTGGTCAATTGGACGCCGTCGCCGGAGACTTTGCTCATGCTGCTCCAGGCGCCGTCGATGTCGAGGGAGTAGGCGTTGCCGTGGCCTATATCTATTAGTGCTTCTAGAAAGATAGTTGGCGAATGAATTCTTACCTATGAAGTTCTCCAAGAGGACGTTATCGACGTTGCCGCTGCCACCGTTGCTCTTGATCATGTACATCTGGTTGGACGACCAGGTGTATATGTTGCGGTAGGTGATATCGGAGACATCGACATCAGTGCCGAGGGAGCCCATGGCGCAGCCACCACTCCAGTTGCAGTAGATGTTCTCGACCAGGATGTTCTTGGCGGGACTCTATCATGTTGTTAAATGTACTACTTCGCGGCAGCGGGAACCAACACAATCATACCTTGACAGTCACACACTCGTCCTTGTTGGTAACCTCGACCTACTCTTATTAGAAACAACCCCATTTTAGAATAATTATCAATCACGCACATCATGAATCCAGATGTTGGTAGACCAAACATCAATACCGTCAAGTCCACCCTTGTCACCACCGCGAATAGCCATGTTATAGACCTCACCATTCTGACAAGTATCAAGCGAGAAGTGGAAAACAGGGGCATCGACAAGAGCCAAATCATGGACGGAGAAGTCTGTAACATCATACAGTCTTAGGATACGAGGGCCACTAGTCGATCCGGACTTGTGGAACTCATATCCTAAGCCCTGGATAGCACCCTTTGAGGTTGAACTGAACATCTCAAAGTTGGTGGTGTGCTTGACCATGATCATGTTTCCACCATCGGTACCAGTCCGATAGAGGATACCATCTAGCTGGATAGCGGTGTTCTTACCACTGCTGAGAGTGACCCATGACGAGAAAGCGTAGTCTCCAGGCGGGATGTATACCACACCACCGTCTCTGCAGGCAACCCAGGCTGAGTTAAGAGCCGAGCCTATATCGGTCGACTTGTCTGCCACGGCGCCGTAGTCGAGGACGTTACAGACCTTGTTAGCGGACTTCGTTGCGGCGGATGTTGTTGGGCCGACGGAGCCGCTCAAATAGGCGTTTGCGAGCAATGGCGCCAGGCCAATTGCGAAAAGAGATCGAATAAACATGTTGAATAAAAAGCACAAAATACAAATGAAAGAAGTGAAACGAAGGAATGGTTTGGAAGGACTCAAAATCCGGGCTGGGATTGTCTATTATAGAGCCCCTGGAGAGTTTCATTTCTTTATCTCAAACATCCTTAGGGCTGGCCTTACCCGGATTGCACTCGTGCCACTCAACTGGAGCCGTGCAGTGGGGAATCTGGTGCGTTTATAGTACGTTTATAGTATGCGACAAGGGGGCAACGACGAACTGTTTCGCATAACCAGACAAGTCCACCTTACCCGGGCACTCACTTGACAAGCAATGCACAGCTCGAGTGGAGAAAAGAGGTCAGGGGTGCATATCGAGGAGAGTGGAGTTTCAAAGGGTGTGCGTTTTGTGTTGAGTGATTGGCGCGGATAACGCTAAACGTCCATTCTCAAACGGTGCTTTGCCCCATTGTTATTAGCTTGTTTCATCGATAATTCAACAACTTCGATATTGTCGGCTATAATAACCCTAGTGGCAATTGATTATTGAACGTCTGTATTTGGTTAATATGAAGATGTGTTCCTGCTAGCGACGCCTGCTGCTCGACCGCAAGGCTGGGCTGGATATCTGCTACTGTAGGTCTTTAGGGCTTAACTGGCATGATTCTCCACTGTCCATTCCGCCGCAAAATAGCGGAGCCAATGACTGGGCATTCATATGACTGGATATTGGTCAGGAGACCAATCTCTAGCTTACGATATCTCAGACAAATGTCCAAGCTACAAGCAATATTCAAAGTTCAGTGTCTGAATTGTCCATCTGCAGGTGCAAGCAATCTAGCTTCCGAGCAAATATGGCCTATTGCCAACTCAGAGTAAGAAGTCCCTCATATAACAGAGAAACTCCTACCACGAGGCTAACAAGCTATTCGCAAGCCACATGTACCGAGTCCAATTCCTTCCACATCCTATCTAAGTAACATCTTAGATCATGAGACGCTCGACCTGGAGCTTGATAGCGCGGATCTGAGCAGCGAGATCACTAGCGTCGTTGGTGGTGATAGAGCAAGCGATGACAGGGCGAGAAACACCGGTAGCACGGCCGAGAGCCATCTTGCTGGGGACGTAGACGTAGGGAACGTTCTTGTCCTCGCACAGCAGGGGCAGGTGCAGAATGATAGGGAGGGGGGTGGTGTCGGCGGCGAGAACGACGAGCTCGGAGGTACCACGGTTAAGGGTCTTGGTGGTCTCGTTGGCACCCTTCTTAATCTGGCGGTAGTGTCCTGCCTGTTGCACGAGGTCGAGGAGGCTCTGGGAGAGGGCCTCATCGGCGATGGGCCAGGCTGGGGTCGTTAGTCGGCTGCGTCACATTAGGAGGCTTGGGTTGGATCTTACCAGCGGTGGAGTCTTCAGCCATTGTTGCGTTGGGTAGGAAATTCAGAACACCAGATCTTGAAAAGAAATGGCTCACTCAGAGGATCACGGCCTTGTTGTACAGCGGAGGTAGTGAGGGCGGTTGAGGGTGAGGTGGAATCGTTGTAGAAGGGAAATTTTCTGGCATGGAAACGGTGGAGTATATTCACCGCCTGCTACATGCGGTTGGGGATCCGCTGAAGATTTCTGCTTGGTCACGTGTAGATCTTGATTGGTCGCTGATTTTGATGTTGGTGCCTGATATGTGAGGCACAACTCTAAATTTTACAAGTTTGTACAGTTGGCTACTAACGTCCCCTTTTGGAAGTGTGGAAGTGCAGTGAAAACTTTTTGTTCGCTGATGTGTGGGGGTTTCAAACTTGAAACCCTATTCTATATACTCCGTATGGATGCTCATAATGACATATGCGTTGAAACGCAAAGATCGCAAGAAAGACAAGTATTTACTCGCCCCTGGCAGCACTGACAGTGGCACTGGCAAGTCTAGACCGGGCGCGCAGCGCGGGACCAAACTTGTACAGGATGAATGGAATGAAAGTCAACAGAGTCGCAATAAGAGCCAAAAGCAGACCAGCGTACTGGCTTCCGAGGTTGTGGAAGAATTGCGAGGCGAACAGAGGCGACACGGCACCGAGGGTGTTACGCATGAAACCCTGGCCGGCAATGGCGGATGAGGAGTGTTCACCGTAGCAGTCGGATGTATAACTGTAGCAGGACTCGAAGATGAAGAAGATACCAACGGCAATCAGCACCAGTCCGATGTTGGGGCCGATCCAAGGTAGATCCTTGTACTGGGTGAAGCTGTAGATGAACAGACCAATGGGTAGCCAGACGGCTCCGCAGAGAGCTCCATACAGACGGGACTCAGGGTCAACAACACGGTGGGCGTCGGCAGTGAGAGCCTTGTACTTGCGGATCTGGAGGAAGTTCAGAGCGAAGCCGATAGTGGTTCCGATGCAGAGAGAGATATAGGGAAGACCGGAGACACCCTCGCTCCAACCACGCTTCTCCTGGAAGGTGATGGGGATTACGGACAGGAAAAGGAAGGCCAGGAACCAGGCGAAACTGATCCAGAGACCAAAGGCGAAGACCACGGGCTCGGTGAACAGCATCTTGACGGCCTTGACGGACGAGTTGTGGAGCATCTGCTTGATACCGGGGGCTTCGAGGTCGTTGTGGGTGACGAAGCGCTCATCACCAGTGGACTTGCGGAGAGCCTTTGCACGCTTAGAGAGGGCCACACCGCCACGGGTCTCGCAGAGGAAGACGGCAATGACGATCACAAGGGGGATGTTGGCCAGACCCTGGATACCCTCGACCCAGCGCCAGCCCAAAGCCTGGTCGATGAAACCGGCGTAGATGGGAGCCGCGACGGTACCGAAGATGGCAACGAAAGAGAACGAAGCCATGGGAATGGCACGGTGCTCGGGGGTGTACATGTCACCAAAGGTACCACCGACAAGGATAGTACCTACGCAACCGAACAGACCGAGCAGGGCACGGCAGACAAGGATGGTAGCAATGTTTTTGCCCAAGGAGAGACCAATGAACATGAGAGCGAAGCAAACGTACGCACCCACATAGACAACTCGTCGACCAGCAAGCTCACAGAATGGAGCCAAGAACAAGGGAGCCAAGGCACAGGTGAAGTTGAAGCAGAACAGTCCAAGCTGGCCAATCTCTGTGGAGGTTCCCAAATCCTCTGTCATGCGTGTAATTCCGGAACTATAGGCTGTTGTGGCAAGACCAATGAATAGTGTCATCAAACAGAGCAGAGCACTGATAAAAGCCTTGTAGGCTCCGCTCCAGTTGAAGGGGTTCTCTTTGTCTGCCTCGAGGAACTCGAGGATGATGAACTGTTGTCCATTGTGTTCGGTGGGCTTGGTCACTGTGAGAGGCATGTCGATGTCGACCTCTTGTAATAGGCTGTCATATTGTTGTGATTGTTCCTCAGACAGCTCGTCGCGGTACTTTCCTCCGACGATGAGGCCCTTTTTAGAATATTCAGGTCGAGTGACTGTTTGGACAGTCTGAACATCCTCATCATGGTCAGCCGACACAGGCTGGAGATTCTTTGATGCCTTCATGATGATGATGTATATAGGTAGGAGGTGGGAAGGGAGTTGAAAAGAACTGGTCTGAGAGAAGATGGGAGGGAAAAGCCGAACATATAAATTTGCACCGGCTATGCCCAGCCGCTGTACGTCATGCTCCAGACTCCAGAATTGATGAGAACTGGGGCTGCGTGCGGGATTATACGGAGAGTGGGGAAGGAATTTTCAAGTAGTTATGGATTGCCCTTCGAGAAAGTTGCCCGAGAAAGAATCATCTGATCAATCACTGTTGGCAAGTGACCAGTAAGTGGGTACAAACAAATCTACATGAAAATTTTGTATCTGGTACCTGAATCGCGCCTCATTCCATCATTAATTCGGACTTGAAGTATAACTTCGACAGAAGGTTGAGCACGATCCTTCGACTCCAGCTTCCTGTGTTCACCCTGCTTTCTCCATACTAGAGGTTGAACGTCTGGGGCGTGGCTTCACGTCCCCTCAAAAATTTTAACACCAAACAGGAAATGTGGACCAGTAGATTCTCCGACGAATAGCCACCAAGAAGAACAGCGCCACGTCGTAACAACAGACGGTTTGTCGGACGATAACCAGAGAGGTCAAAGATTTGCGAGTATACTCCCGACAATGAACCGAAGATCCTCCCGAGCCGAGAGGACCTGATTGGATACAGGGTCCACCTACTCAAAAACGAGGTCGGCATGCCGTACGCCGTCGGCGCTTATGTGGAAATTGTGATCATAGAACAGATAGTGATATGGAGATGGCTAAAAAAGCATATGAAGTCATATAACAAGATATACTACGATGGCAGGCTATCCGAGACTAAGAGAAGTCCATATTGGCGCTGGAATAAACTTTTCCTGGAGCCCCTCGGGAAGTACCCGATTCCTACGTAAAGATCCCGGTGAGGCCGAGGGCAGCAGAATCCCCGAGTTTTACCCCGAAATTGATCCCGAAGCTATGAGTCGCTGGCTGATTCTCGGTGCCCCACCAAAGATTTACACTACGATTTCCAATAATATCAGGTGCTTAACTGTTGTTGTTCCTGTACCCCAACGCTCTACGCATCCCACGCCCTAGGTTTTTGGGGCCCCGAGCGTTGCATCCACTCGGGGCTCTCCTCCACTGTTAGATGCCGTTGCCTCCGTACTAATTGTGCCATGGGGATAGGTGCCGGATGCAACACAAGAGCATAGCGAGGAGCTTGCATAACATACGTAGCTTGGACGCAGTGATTGGTTCTGAGTAGTTCGCCTCGCTGCCGAGTCATGCCATGGAGCTCGCCTCTTTTCTCACAGCGTTCGGGCCTCGTCCGAAGCCGTGGTTCCAATCTCGTGTTGAAGCTACTCAACATTTGCTCTCCGGCTTGACCCGTGCTCGCATGACCAGGCGCTATACCGGCTCTTCTTTTACCCCCACCTTTGGTTCTGATATATCGACCTACCTAGATGAGAAGATAGGGTCTGCATCTGACCCACTACTCCGTACGTGCCTGTCCATTGCGATCGCCGACTATACTGTAAAGCTGACTTTTCAGCATCATGGTACTTACATGTGTACAAACTTCGAGATTCACTATCATAAATGTCGCAACTGTCTATGAAAATAAACAAATCTCAATTCTTTCGTTCTTGCATCCCAACTTTCGCCACTAGATCTTCATTGACAGGTGTCGCAACCCCGACTTCTTTGCCCCGTTTCACCCAATACCCATTGATGAACTTAATTTCTGTTTGACGCCCCGCTCGGAGGTCCCACACCATTGAACACGTAGTATGGAATGTTTTCTCGATGATCGCATTGACTGTTGCTTCCAGCTTGTCGACTGCAAATCGCTGTTTGAGGTTTGAGACGTGCTGCAGCTCTGGTAGTGCACATACCACATTCGAGATCTCGGTCAAGATCGCGCGTCTGATTTCGGGGATCGTGAAAAGAAAGCCGTTCTCCGCGTCGTTTAGGGCGCATAACGGATTACAGAACGCGTTCACGGCTAGTTTCTCCAGCTGAATCTGCAGAACCTCGGTGTAGGTATACGAAGTGGCATTCAGACGAGGCGAGAGTGGGAGGTGATCGAGGAGGTAACTTGAGGCTTTTTCTGTGCCGTCGGTCGGATTTTCTGTCGATCTGGGGACTGGGCTGAGTGACGTCGCTGCACAACCGGTGTGTGTGATGTGGAAGGACTTGTGCAGAGTGACGCCATGGGAGATGACACCGACTATATAATTCGGACGCTCGACCGACTTCGGAAAGAGTTGCGTGTTGACCTCGTCGATCGTGCCGCAGCCATTCTGTAGGAAGAGGACGTTGGATTGGGGGTAAGACGGTGTCGCAAGGGTCGTAGAGCAGAAACCGTCTGTGTAGTCTTTGCGGCTACTATGAGGTTCTCAATCACGCCGGTCTGCGCCGAACAGTCACTGCCTTCTATTTCGGAGCCTGAGTACCACGTTCCATCGCGGAAAACTTCAAAGTCATATCCCTTGCGTCCGATCTCATCTCCTTCTCTTGTTTCTAGAAGAATTTGGTTTCCGTTATCGCGGTAGGCATCGAGGAGGGACGGACGGTGGCAGAGAAGGGTGACAGAAGGAAGGTCAGGGAGTTCAAATAGAGAGTGTGCAGCAAATGTTCCAATGCTTCCTAGTCCGAGAACATGGACTCGTGGCTTTTTTGATTTGGCAACTTGGGCGGAACGATGCATACTGCGGCGTAGTAGGATCGCTTGGTAAGGAATCCCACGTGGGAGAGTATGCATCTGAACAACCTAGCTGAATAAGAACGATCGGGTCTCTCTTTATGCATATTAGAAGACATCACAATCATCATCAAAAGGTCCGTCTGTCAAATCCCGATCCGAAATCCCTTCTCACGCCCTACGCCTTGGACCCACTTTTTCTCATGATCCGGTTAGAACTGGGCGTGCGCGGAGGTTGCCTCGAATTCGGAGTTGATGCCGATTGTACATCATCGAAATCCAGAAATCGAATACGTTGATTTCGGGTTGTCGTTGAACCCTGGATGTGAACATCCAACCTTGGAAGGACCCACATCCACGCCCAAGGGAGATAACCTTATTTCTCATCGCCACTTCACTTTTCGCCACAGTAAAGATCTTCAGGGGATGGATTAGGGAACATATTTTGATTGATTGAATATGATCTCAACGCTCTGGAACTTCCAACGTAGGCGATTCCACTTCATTCCCAGGCACGGGTAGATCTCCTGGCTGGCAATGCAACCTGCGGAATGCCGAAAGCCACTGGTCATTATCCGCCGCAGTCTGGTTCCAACTATCCTCACAATCGTATAATAACCGCCTAGATTCTTGCTGAAACATGTCATCCGTTGGAATGACACCCTGTTTCATCTGCTCTTGGGCGTAGCGGCTGAGATGCATGGTTAGAATTTGAGTGAAGGAGCTGAGCTCCGACTGCGAGGAGAAACTGTCTGGTAGGGATTGAAGGGGTTGAGGATTATCCACCTTCTGTCCCATTCCTGCGTTGGATGAAATTTGTTGGAAGTGGTCGCGACAATTAGAGTCCGTCGCAGAAAATGGGACTAAGCTTAGCGACTCAGACCCAATCAGGTAAGGGGGTAAAGCGTTCGTGACTTGTGCCGCGATAGCAGGAGGAAATTCATGTTCGCCGTGCCATTGGACCATCGTTGCTCCTTCTTTATAATGAGCAGCGATATGGTCCGCTCGCTCGTTCCAGCTGTTCATTCTCTGGTCGCATATCCCACAGCGAGAGGTGAAATCCTGTGTCACAAGTTTCCAATCATCGACCAGGGGCATGACATCTAGCTCGTGCACCAATCGAAGGTGTTGAACAAGGTGGTCCTTGCGGCGGAAAACCCGGGACTCTGTTGAATCTCCATGGCAGGCTAGATGATGGTGTTGCTCGAGATGATCGGCATTTGGTTCAAGCGCATGGCAATAGGCACAGTGTGGGCGCCTAGTGGTCATGGAAAAGACCGACCCACCATAAGGCGCACATACCCATGTTTCCAGGTTTAAATGCAGTGACTTTTCGTGTCGCGTCCAATCGTATTTGCTCTTGAAGCGGTCGCAGCAGAAGGTGCAACAGAAGATACGCTTATGATCCGTGCCTGCTTTGCCTGAACGAGGTTTTGTAACTCGTCCTCGGGGCTTTCGAGATCGTAGTGTAGATGAGTTTCTGGACGATCCAGAAATGCCAGAGTTCTCGGATTGCATCGAGTTTCGAGATGACTTGCTGTTGCCGCTTTCGCCACTATTGGAAGATGGAACATGTCGATAGCCACGGAAAGCATCAGCAGGTTGCCGAATGTTACCCGCACTAGACTGGGATGAATCTCCAGAGTTCAATGCTGGTGTTGTTTGGATAGCATCCATAATCGCTGACAAAGCCGCTGGCTCATCTTCTGGGGGAGAATCCTGCCATCGCTGCATCGGATCACGATCGATGCCTGCGTTAGGACTTGGCGGTATATAGACAGGCGCCGAATGCTTGTCCAATCTTCTGGTTGAGTAGCGACTCCGATGCCTCGGCAAGCCTGATCGGGGAGACCTCATGCTCTGCCTTGTGCGGGATGGGGGTGCCTCCAGCCCCTGGTTGGCACCTCTTGATTGTTCCGCACTGGAAAAGCTCGGGTGGCTCTCTGGTTGTTCGCCTAGGGTCCAGAAGCCACCTGGGTCCAAGGGGCTATCAAATACTCCAAGATCTGGGGCAGCCATGGATCTAAGATCTGTAGACAAGAATCCCTCGGGCTGTGCGCTAGATTCATCATTTGTGGATGACTTAGGCAGGCTGTTGCTTGAGGCATTGTGATTCAACATAGATGGTATTAAGTCCGAACTTGGAATCGGTGAATGAAGTGAATTTCCCTGATGCTCCGAACCAAGCTCTTCGAGCCATTTCCACTCAGAATCAATATTAACTTGACTGTATCAGCAGGTGCAATATGTAGTGGAGGTTGACGATACCCACATTCAATTCCCGTATCATCTAACGTGTATCGCGCATCAGCAGATTCATTTGGGTGTTGGAACACCATTGCGCTATCTGATGATGAGCCAAAACAGCTATCTTGCACAAAATTCCCTGGGCTTGATGGAAAGATGAGGGTTGAATTGGTGTTGGTGGCGAAATCGGCCTCCTCGCCGATTACGTAATGACCTATCAGCGCCAAGCCTTTCAAAGAACTCTCGCGGATAGCTTACTGGTCATTATATTCGATGGTACACTGGAATTGTATTGTTCTGTGTGGAGACATGATGAGGATCCTATGTGAGTTACAGCCTGCGGCGTGGATTGTGCGCTTGGCAAAGTGACACACTACACTAAGCACCCGGACCTATGACTGTAGCATATTTTCGAGTAATTTCAGTATAGTCACAGGTATTTGAAGCATAGCAGCGTAAACATGCTTAGCGAATTAACTCTATAGGTACCGATTCTTCTGGAAGCCAAAGCCGAAGAGCCGTCCTCGCACGGCCCTGTATGTCTTCTATAGACATCACCTGAACCTCCCCTTTGGGATAGACGGACCCCAATCGCACTTATTTAACTGTCCTCCTAAAGCTGTGGGTTCTTTTTATAACCAGCATAGTGTGACATTGAAGTAAACTTGGGCGACATATGGCGTTATTTTGGTCTTGAAGTCGTTGTATATATTTCAGATAAAACGAATCAAACTACAATCAAAAGATAGCTTAAAAACCTGTAAAAGTCGGACCATATAATTCTTCTATAGAAATATATATAAGTAACGTCACTGTATATAGTATGACCTTTATATAGACATCGGTAATGCAGTTACTACATGTTGCCTATGACAGGTTTGCCTATGACAGGTGAGCAAGTGGGATGGGGGCCTGCCTGTCTATCACAAAACGGAGGCCTGTGTAGAGTCGTCCTAAGAAAATCCTGCAGTCTCAACCAGAGGACTTGAGAACTTGAAAAATGAAACCTTCCCCAATGGACCACCGACAGCGAGAGTCCTGACGCATTGGTCGCATATCTCGACCTGTATTCGATTGGCAACTGGAGCATCCTTTGACCTGTCCAAACGATCCAACCTTCTTTGTCCACGTCATATTCCTGATTATTCGGCACATTTGGGCCACGGCTATATGGAGCTATTGGATCAGGGAATGAGAAGTCCGTGGCTACAGCGATTTGAGGCGCCACTGTCGACATGCCATATTGTGACAACAGGCCTGGGGGCCCCTGATACAATGTACTGGAGCCTGTCTGCCTCTGAAAGCTCATTCGCGCTGTGCCAGTGCCAACGTCCCAGACCGTGACTCTGCCATCTTGAAACGCTAATACCAAATGTCGGCTGTCGGGCGAGTAACCCACTGGATCAACCCAGAGGTCCTCCTCACGCACAATTGTTCGCACGCAGTTGCCACTGTCAATATCCCAGATCATGATCGTTCCTTCTATGTCTTCCGAGGCCAAATTGCGACCATTTGTTGAGAACGCAACTGACACGACGGCCTTACTGTGACCTTCCAGTGTCCTTGTACAAATGCTGCTGTCAAGCTGCCAGATTTTGATCGTATAATACCTGGAGCCTGACGCCAGATGAGAGCTGTCTGGAGAGAATGCGAGTACAGCGGGTGGACAGGTGTGACCTCTAAGCGTTTGGCGGCAAATGCCGTCTCCTTCCACGTGCCAAAGGTAGATGGTACCGGATTTGGGTGACACTGAAGCTACCTGCATATTATCAGATGAGGCCGTCAAAAGCGTCATGGTGCCAATGGTGCCATTGGCGCCATTGGCAGTCCGACAAGGTCATCGAAGTCTGACCGTCTTGTGAAAAAGCGACCAAGATTTCCCCTTTCCTCAGACCAATGAATGCCTTCAAAAAAGCTCGCTGCTAGCGTCCCAGATTAAGAGGGCGGAATCATAAACGGTCGCGGTTCTCGTGCCATCGGAAGAGATCACAAACCGTCGACCGAAGTAACCATTACCCCGAGCAGAACCCGCAGCTATCGACTCCCGTCTGTCTCATCTATTTTAGGAGATAATCGCAATAACAAAAGGCAACCTAAAATTCATACAATACATAATAATGACGTCACGACGATCAACTAACTCATCCGAAGACTTGGGAATGATGAACTATACAAGCTTTTCATTTTCCAATTTTTTTTTCTCCAGCACAAAAGCACAAATTGAAAAAAATGGTGAAGGACAGAGAAACCGTCATTAAGTATGCTCTATCGTACATAATAGTTTATAGAAAGAGACTGACGAAGTCCTCAGCGAGTTCAACGATCTCGTCAACATGACCGCGGATGAGCTTCAAGACTGGCTTCAAGGGGAGCCATCACAGTCAGCAGGCTGGACAGGCGGCTTTGGTGAGACTGTTGGTCATGAGAGGTTAGTCCCGTGGATTTTGGGTGGCCGATGCGTATCTCAGCAGTGAAGACGTCACTAACAGCATCGATAGCGGTCGGCGGATCGTGGAGATTCTCGAGCATAATCCCACGAAGGAGCCGTCTGGGTACCGAAATCAGGATATCGACCACATGCGTCGCGTAGTGTCCTACTGCAACCGCCATCTAGCGCAGGAGGAGCGAGCAAAGCAGGACACGGAGAGCAGGAGTTACCGATCACTTAAAAATTGGGGCCACGATGCGCTGAAAGAGTGAAAGTGGTTATACGGTGTATATGTACATGTAGCAAGCTGGTAAACGCGGCTGGGTTGAGCGCGAGATCATCCCCGGCCCTGGTCACTCTCACACCTGTCCACATTTTCTATAGGGATTTTCTGTATAGCATTGCACTTCTCGCTGACATTTCAAATATCTGCGCCGAACACCAGAAGTGGTCCAATAGGCCTGAGACTCTCACTACCAATTCAGCTTTCCCTCAATTCATCACTCTGTCCCTATACATCATGTACATGTCCCTACTTTTAGATACGTTCAATATCAATTAACCTGTATAACTAATCGAGGTTTCCAGTCTCTCTGAACTTTTCGGTCGTTTGACACCAGAAGTTACCGGGAGATTTCGGTAATGCCACTCGCCGAGAAAGAGGCCTTCGGGATCAACTTCCTTTTGTATCTTCACCCACTGATCCATATCATTTCCGTATAATTTATGGAGTTCAGATGACGCTACTGTTCCGAAATTTTTCGCCCAGTGTGGACGCCCACCCAGCTCCCGCATGAGATACTCAAAGGCTTGGTAATATTGGTCTCTGCAGGGTGGATCAAGCAAATACGGACGATGAAGTGTCGCGTTCAGATAAAGAGTTGGTCTGTCATGGCATGTAGGGTCAAGGAAAGGCCTGGGGGTCGTGACGACGGATGTATTCACCACCCTAACCTTGATAGCGCAATTCACCCAAACGCCTTTGCTGCTGAATGGTATCTGCGCTGTCTGATGGTCCCCATGGAGCCATGCAGAAAGGCGTAAAATGGCTTCAGGGCCATTTTCAAGAGGCAATGCCCATTCATTCACTAACTGGGGATAGGAAGGTTCCATCATAAGTCCTTCGCGGGCAGGACTCACACCAGTGAGGGTCTTGCTAGTGGCACCAAAGCCATATCGCATTCCCGAAATACCCCATTCAATCCAAGGGAGAATGAAAGGAAAGATATTTGCCAGAGCAAGGACAAACTGATAAGAATGATAAAAGCACAGGGCGATATAGGAATACCTTTGGTTGTCTTGCCTCAGCACCGGACGAGAGGTCTTTTCAGCATGCCTTATAATAGCACTCCGCTCATATGGCAGCCAAAGAACGCGGATGAAGTCGTGGGAATTCCATAAGCCGGACGACCAGATTGATAGTACTGTCGAAAGCTTTTTTTTTTGATTCTCTCCATTCAACGTTGAATGCGTTCTCGGCCCTCAGCGTTATCTCTACTACGACCCCTATGGCGCCAAGAGATAGCAGGGCAGCCCGAAACAATATCGGGTTTGAATTGCCACTACAATGTACCAGTTCTCCATTAGGGAGTACCAAGCTTAGCGATTCAACATACTCAGAGAGCAGCCCATGTTGTAGGGAGCTACCATGAGTACCTGTTGCAAGCGCTCCAGCGATTGACTGGCTGTCGATGCTCCCTAGATTGGCCAAAGTTAAATGATGCCGTTCCAACTCCCTTCCCAGTGTTCTTAATCGAATGCTAGCTTGTACTTTAACAAGATTGTTGTCAACTTCAAGTAGGCTATTGAAGTCGTCAAGGTTGATCATCCAGCTCGAGGTACAGGTGAGATCAGATGGCGAGTGACCACTTCCCACAGTGATTAAGGTACGGCGACATCGACTAGCAAGTACCACTATTTGCTGTATTTCGCTAATAGTGCGAGGCTGTATGTAGAGTTCTGGCCGTGCAAAAAAGGGCTTGGCCCATGTGTGATGTAAATGGTCGCATGAAGCTCGAAACGGGACTGTTGGGTCAAGTTGCGATAGCTCACGTGTGATAGCAGGATCCATGGTTCTGAGATTGGTTAAATCTGAAGATTTTGCGGAGTTTTTGCTCTCTTTCAAAAGAATTCGACCGGAGCACGTGTTGAAGATATATGAAGACCTTATGCAAGCACTGGAATTACACAACCATTATCGCCCAGTCGCCCACAAGATAAAGGGTAAGCTTAAAAAGAGAGAAATGATTAAGAAACGTCATAATGACCGAAACCTCGATTATACTTTTTTAGACTCACTCTTGGCTTGGTCTTATATTTTACTTATTGACATTGCTATATTTATGAAGCAAACAGGCGGATTGTGTAAAGGCCTTGTCAACTGTGCAACAAATGTGACCGGAATCTTTCTAACGGTATTGATTTTGTCTTGATTCGGCTTCATTCATATGAGAACTTTTTTAGTGCCCAGTTATTTTGCTACAAAACGATCACAGACCTGGTGACGTCACGCTCGAGTAAAGCTTACATTACATGTCCCCCAGTAAGTGCTCTTTCCATAAATATCACCCGCCTATGTGCTGATGAACCGTGAAGGGTGACCGATGCTCATCTGAGTTGCGTCGGCTCTGATAGTTCTGCGAAACATCGTCGCTATGGCTAGTACCTTCGTTCACCGTTTGTTTCCAAACACAAAACGGATTGACTTCTTTTCAAACCTTCAAAATAATGTAAGTACATTGATTTACGGAGCAATGCTCATGACAACGGCTATGTGGGCAGTCCATGACTATCGAGACTGGTTGTACTATGGTGAGAAAGATCTCAATGGGTCAATAAGTGCCGGCCCTGAACTAACTTCAATTCTAGGAACCGGTGGAACACCACCCACTATCGGCGGTTGGCTAAAAATGAATAAATTACGTGTCGTACTGGCTTTTAACTACCTGTGCGGAGATGACTTGCGGGATCCTTCTACATTGCCCCGGATGGGACCTCAGTACCTCAAGTCCCTGACGGTCAGACCAGGCGGACATCCATCCCTCAGACCTAGGTGAGGAATGGAATCTTACCGCATAATCATATATAGCTGACCATAAATTCAAGAACACTGCCACAGCGCCAGTTTTCAGAGACCATTGAGCCGCGGGCTCGAGAAGTATGTCGATAAAGGCAATCCCATTAGGCAATTCAACTACCCTAACGCAGCCACAAGGTCCTTATCGGCTTGATGAAACATTTACATTCCCAATACTCGGACATCCTCAGACTTAGCTTATCCAATGCTGAAGGTGGTGCCGCGGACGCCATCTATGCGCGTCCGGAATCTCCAGCCTGCAATCCCGAAGCGCAGAAAGTCGGCTTTGAAATCGCCCACACCCATCCCGAGGACAATTCACTTCATATGCTACTCTCTCCAGCCGACGCTCGCGCCGTTTTGGAAGCGGGTTGGGGCCGTCGGTTTGCGGATCCATCGTCGGTGCCCCCGGGGTGGGTCAGTTCCTTCCAAAGTTGGCATAGTTCTTATGACTGAAATGGACGCTAATGAGGAGGGATCTCATAGATCATGGTGTATGCGCCACGGGACCTCGAGGAGGTGAACCTAGTCCGACGTATGGTCGAAGCTGCGATTCGATGGACAACTGGGGCAGACATTTAGGTTCTATCACGCCACAGAGTCACAGCTCTAGAATTGTTTGCGGAGGTCATTATTTGTCCATCTCATGAAGAACAGTAATACTCAAGCTTATCTTGAAAAAAAATACCTCGTTTTATCATACGCCTCCTAAGATCTACCGCCTCGGACGAGTTCAAGTAAACTATCAGCCAGGGATTGGTTAGTACCTTAGACGGGGTGTGCAGTAGCCGCGGCCTCCCATACCACACACCGATGAACTTTGAGAACCGTGAAAGATCTCTTGCAAAGAATACTGGCATATTAAGTTGTTTAACCAACCCGTGCATTATGTTAATATTATCACATTATTTGCATTCAGAGAATACAGCACTCACAGTGGATTACCGAAAACCCGTTCATTATCCATAGTGCCCGTAAGTGCACTGCTCTAGTGCTCGGGAGAGCACTAAATGCCAGACCCAAGGAAAAAGACAAGCCAGTCATAAGATCCTATTCCTTGTTTCAATTGAGTTCCTTCGGATGAACAGACAACGTTAGATGTAATCTTCGTATATGAAGTGGTTATTTAGCTGGTGGGCGAGATCACTGGATGTGAGGGTAGAGGGTTGAATGAACGCAAGCGCTTACAGTGTGTCTTTAACGGAAGCATAGGGGTCGGCGTGATTTCGTTGGATCGTGGCCTTCTTTGTTTGCCATACGAATTACTCCATTTGCCCTGGAGGGGGAGGGAGGTCCACCTATCACAAGGAAGCTTCCATTTAGCAACTCCCTATTTATATCTATATGTAACTGGGCTGGATAATTCTTTAAGAACAGTGGACTGTAGTGATTAGTGCCGCGCTTCAAGGTAAGCATAGGATTCCTCAAACCCGCCGCAAATGACCATAGTAAATGGCCCAAAAAGAACATCATGAGTTTACCGTTTTGATGTTGTGAACTTCTTCGAAAGAAATTGTACACGGGCGATTTTACCGTAGTGTTTGGATCCAACTATGGAGAGATGACATCATACTCGGATACTCGGATATCAGCCCACTTCTCCACACAATATTCAAGGAATCAATGCAATTGACAGAAGCTTTTGTATTTTTAGACTGCGGGGCGTCATCCTGATGTAATAATAACACTCTAGGTTGCGACGTCTATAGCCCTACAGTATAAAGATCAACCCATCGCCAAGCCGATTGTCATAGTCAAGCTTTACCTTAACCGCCTTTCCCCAGATTTTAGTCTCTCTTTGTGAAACGTTTACGTACCCTTACAAGTATCACCTTCAATATGACTCAAGATGGCTATTCACACCACCTCCACAAGTATGAAATTCACCTCCATTGACACCTCTACAAACTCTAACCATACCAGAACGGGTCATTGGATGCCAGCCGACCACAAAACCCACAAAGAATGGCTCGGCGGAATCATCCGAAAGGTTGACGAAAAGCAGACAACGTTACACCCAGTCTTAGAAGAATTCAAACAGTTAATCGAAACAAACACAAGAGTATACATGCTCCTGACCTCCATGTTCAAGGAAGTCCCCCGCCAGAAACGATACGGCCACGACCCAACCGGAAACCCGGAGATTCGCGATCATTCTCATTTCCTACAAGTCTTGAATCATCTTCTTACTACCGCCCCTTCATGGACTGATAAATCCCATCGCGTTGGCCTAGTTGGTTTACCGATCAATGCAGTCCTCGATTGGCCGATGGGTACACCAAGTGGTTACGCAGCATTCCTCGATCCAGAGATCAACGCAATGATTAAGAAAATTCTCAATGTCTGGAGCGAGTACCTGCGCTCACCCGCTTCAGCTGATGTCCTGAATTCCTCTTCACACGGCTGGTTCGGCGAAACAGGTCGACGTGATCTGACAGCCGTTGCGAAGATCGGTCCTACGGCCGCGACGGATCTTCAGTTCCATGATATGTTCGAGTGTGACCCCTCCGCACCAAATCACGGGTTCAACTCTTGGGATGCGTTCTTTACGCGCGTCTTTAGGGAGGGGATACGTCCTGTTGCGGAACCGAAGAATGGGAAGGTCATTGCCAATGCGTGTGAGTCGAAGCCGTTTAGAACTGCGCACCATGTTCAAGCGCGTGATAAGTTTTGGATTAAGAGTCAGCCGTACTCTGTTCTTGATATGCTTGCTCATGATGAGCTTGCCTCTCAGTTCGTTGGTGGTACTGTTTACCAGGCTTTCCTTAGTGCTTTGAGTTATCACCGCTGGCATGCGCCTGTTAGTGGAAAGGTTGTCAAGGCTTATGTTGTTGATGGCACTTATTACTCTGAGCCGCTGTTTGAGGGTGTTGGGAACCCGGAGGTGTCGGCTAATGAAATTGATATGGCTGGTCAGGTTACCTCGCAGGGATACATTACTTCGACTGCTACCAGGGCCATTATCTTCATTGAAGCGGATGAACCGGCTATTGGACTCATGGCATTCATCGGTGTTGGTATGGCGGAGGTATCCACTTGTGATATCACTGTCAAGGAGGGAGATAAACTTAACAAGGGTGATGAGATTGGCATGTTCCATTTTGGGGGCTCGACTCACTGTCTCTTATTCCGGAAGGGTGTTAATGTCTCCGGGTTCCCTGAACCAGGAATGGAAGACAATATGCCGGTCCGAAGCAAGCTGGCTGTTGTGTCTTAAGTAAATATCGCATGGAAAGATATACATTTAAACATTTAAAATTTTCATCACGTGTAAATAAAGTGGTACCGTAACCATGGATTCGTGTATCTCAATCTGATAACACAATTTCCCCAAAGAGACGATCACTGAGAAGCTAAGAAATGAGACATGGCAACCTCATCTACTTCACGGTCTGAGGATCGCTGATGACGACATTGACGACGACCATTTCCATGTTCCGCAGAAGCCTCTGATCTAGCTGCCAACCTCTTTGCAACCTCGTTTGCCTCGAAAAGACTGACCAGTCTTCTCTTCGCAGGACGTTGGTGAGCGCGACCTTGGCAGACCCGCAGCATGATATTCACTTCGTTTTCTGGGGCACTGATACCTTTGACAAAATACACTGGGTTGCGAACAACCATGTTGAAGGACTGAGGCGGGAGGCTTCTGCCCTTGACAGGACTTGAAGGTGGCGCTGAGGTACTTTGGTTCACCCAAGCGTCCACGGCCATTTCGAGTGCAGTGGTTCCAGTTGCGTTCTCGCGGTACAGAAGGTCAGGGCGACGGTCCAGCATTTGTTCCAGGACTTCGGGGAAGCCTCCCTTGACTGCATCATGAGCCGGAGTGTTTCCTGCGCCATCAAAGAGCTCCAGATGCCTTTGGTTGGAGGAATTTGCAAGATCCAAAATCAAATTTGTCATGGAAACAACCATCGCTGTCTCCGACTTCGGGTCAAAAGCATGGTCTGGCAAGATCGGTTCATCGCGACGGAACCTAGGGTAACGGTTCAGCCAGCGGGCGAAAGGTGTCTGTGAGTCATCGCCTGCCCGTTCGACCAGCATTGTAGGGATGAGCTGCGGGTCGAGGAGACCGATAAGCCTGGCACATCGGTCGGAGTTCTTGCAAGTCCGACCTTGGGCCGAGCTAAGAATCAAGTGCAGAAGATTGTTTGCTTCCGAATCCCGAGTTGCTTGGTTGGCTCCTGCGGCTATCAGGATACGAGCGAACCTGACCCGATGGAGCGACATGGCCAAGGCGAGGGGTGTGAATCCGCCACTGGACCGGACCTCGACGCATTCAGGATGATGATCAACAAGGTACTGCACAAGACGCTCTGTTTCATCAGATGGTCTGGACATCACAGCACAATGGATCACAAGGTTGTCTAACAAAGAATCAGTAAATATCTTCAGTTTTCTGGTCAGCTAACTTACTTCTCATCTGTAACCAGTTCAAAAGTGTCCCTTCAACGCCAAGCTGGGACTGAGCGAGTCTCTTAACATCCTCATCATCCGGGATCGAGTTCAAATACTCAAGGTAGTACCTTCCAGGACCAGTACCAAGGAAGAACTCCGTACTGGCAAGATTGCCCTGGAGGGCTGCAATTAGAAGAGGTGGGCGCTGATCTGGATATCCGACATCTCCACCTCGCCCAGCATCAGCCCAATCAGTACGCTTTGTGCCACGGATCGACAGGCCAGGATAGTACTGAGGCTCCTTGCGAGCTTCGACTCCGCAGTCTTGACTCAGTTTGGCAAGTGGAAGTCCAGCCCCGGTGCTCCGAATTAGCTTGGAAAGGCAGTCGATGCGACCGAGCCCGATGGCAAGTTGGAACTCCTCAGAGGAGACTGAGAATTTGAACTTTCCAGATGGGTTGTTCTGAGCTAGATCATTTCCAGTCTCCAACAAGAAATCCAAGAGGGTAAGGTCATTCTTGTAAATCGCGTACTTCACAAGACTGTTGATCTTCACACCCTGTTGGTTTCCATAGTAGTGGTTGCCTTCGGGAACGATTCTGCAGAGGTATTTTGGTGGGAGCGCGTCGAGGAATAGGAAAGCATCAAACTGCTTTGAGAAGGCCTGGAAAGGAGTTGTGTCACTCTCGACATGACTGATGACTTCGCCAACGTTGTCGTGTGTGAAAGTATCGTCAACCTCATCACCCACGATATTCAACCGGTCATCATCCTCTTCCTCATCAGATGAGCACTCATCATTGATTGCCATCTCAAACCGCTTTTGCTTGTTCCCATGGGGCTCTTTAACCTTCAGCTGTGCGCGCAGGATTTGAAGAATCGATTTGGCAACCGCCAAGTGGCCACGCATGATGGCAATTGAAAGACATGAGATACCTCTTGAGTCATTCACAGCAATCTCGAGGGGTAGCTGATCTTGAGTTGCTCCCCACATACCCAGTGTCAAGGTCTTGATGGTGGCAATGTCACCGTTCCACGCAGCTTCAAATCTATGAGGTCAATGTCAGCAAGATATTCTTCTTCCTCCAATTGAGGGGATAACGCACAGTTCCAAATATCCTTCACGACAAGCATCACTCATGCCGAGCAAGTTGAAGTTAAACCGGACCTTAAAAACATTCTTCTTATGTTCCTTTGTCTCAGGCTGCACTTGAGGAATCACCGGCTGTGCCGGCTGATAAACAGGATGAAGCTCTTCAAATGTCTTCGCGCCTCTTGCCAAAAGCTCAGCTTCCAGTTTTTCGTATTCGCGACTTAACTCCGCGATGGCTTGCTTCTTTTCGGCTGTTCCTGGAGGATCAGCTGGCACAATCTGTGCTTTCTTAAATCGCTCTGCGGCATCATGGGCCTTTTTCCGTGCACTGCGCAGCTGAACATTTGCAATAAACATTTTGTAACTCCCGGGCATGAAGTCGGCCAAGTATGACTCGTCATCCTTATCAAATGTAATCGCATAGGGATCTGGTGTTGGCTCGCTGAAACCGAAGCTGGTCAGGTATTCCCGAAGGCTCTTCAGAACTCCCCTTGTGATATCCAGAACCGTCTCACCCTTCGCCCTGTATCGTTCTTTTCGCTCAGTGTTGACATTGACTCCGCGATTAAGAAGATCAATGGCAACCAGAGGAAGATCGCTTTCAACGGCTTGCAAGATTGGCTGATCGATGCTGGACTTGAACTCTTCTTTGACATTATCATGTAGCTGGTTGGTTTCTCTTTGGGCCTTGAGGGCTTTCACGAAATCGGCGATCTTAATCTCTGGCTTGGCGCCTGCGTCCAGTAGCTTTGCTGCCACCGGTGAGTTCTTAGCTGTCAGAGAGATCATCAGGGTCGAGGAAAATTCAGGCGACCAGCGCGAACCCATGACCGCCAGGTGATTGATGGCCCGCTTTACTGCTGGCTCGTCGTGTTGCAGGTAAACATCAAACAAGTCACTCTCACTGGAGTGGGCAAGGTAGTAGAGTGGCGTTTTCTGTGCCAGATCTGCCTGGGCAGGCGAAGCCCCAAGTTCCAAAAGAGTCTTTGACATCTCTCTCGCCTTGTCCGAGGGAAGTGAAAGAGCGAGAACCAAAGTGAGAATTGCTGCCTCTGGCTTTTTACTGTAATCGTTCAAAATTTTGATTGGCAGCAAAACGTCGGCTCCAAAAGATGTGACAAGCTCCTTCACGGCCTCAACGTGTCCATGGAGAATGGCGAGGTGCAGCGGAGAGGTACGACTATCCCAAGCAACCACATTGATATCGTAGACATCAGGCTCAAGTTCATTGTCTTCAAGCGTGTCGTAGGTCGTCATTTCCGTGTCCTTGTCTTCGTTCTCAACCTTCACGTAAGACTCAGAAGTAAGCGACATGTCGTCCTTAGTCTCATCTCCATCAACACTCATAGCATCGACGTTCCTGTCTTCCTGCTTCTCATTTTTCTTCTCGGCATCTTTCTTCTTCTCTTCTTCCTCTTCGTTTTGATTGCTCTTCGTGAGCAAAATGCGAATAATCTCAACATCTCCTCGGGCAGCGGCGAGATGCAGTGCTGTTTTTCCATCGGCCATGCGTGGGATCATGCGAGCACCACGGTCAACGAGACATTGAACAATTTCGGGAGTGGAAGACATGCATGCCAGTTGAAGCGGTGTTCGTCCAGTGTAATCTCGGCGGTCTGGATTAGTGCCATCCTCTGAAAGGAAGGCCTTAACAGCTTCAATATTGTTCGACACGATGGCCTGGCATAGTCTTTCAGTCCGACCGACATAAGCCATTTCTGTATCAGATTGTTAGCCGTTGGGTTTCCACGAATGAAAATGTACGATATCCCTACCGGTCCAATCGGTCTCTGTAATTGGATTGAAGCTGCCAATTTCTTGGCGACCAGGGTCATCCTTGATGAAGCTCACATCACCGGAGATGTAGATCTTGCTTTCCTCTTCGGCAATCTTCTTTTCCTCTTCAGTGACTGGCTGAGGACAGAACCCACAGCAATCATGAATAACGTGCTCAGCTTCGCCAAAGAATGCAGGGTGGCGATGAAGATAAACTTCGCGATCCTTGGGCTGATTCCACTGAGCGTTCAAGAGCAAATCCTTGGTATAGAGGAGCTTTTCAATCTTCCTAGCGTTGAAGTTTCTGCCGTAAGGGATAGTCTGTCGTGGAGTCAGTAATGAAAGAAGGAAAATTAAGGGGGGACTTCTTACAAAGGTGTGGTAATCAGACACTTGGTCTTGTTCTTGCCACTCGGGAACCTCATCCTCCCAGGCATCTTTAATGTTTCCTCTCAAATCCTTCCCCTGGCGGCGACGCATGTAGATGTTAAGAGCAGGCCGGCCCCGCTCCTCGCGTCTCTTTTGGAGATAATTATCTCTGTCTTGAGACTGGGGAAGTTTCTCTAGAACCAGAAGTCGGGCGAGACCTTCAGTCCTAGTAAAGCTTCGTTCAAAGATGGTCTTTTCAGTAAGTTAGCTCTATATTCCCCATTTTAATATGTATTCATCTCACCGGATCAATTTTCGATCTGTCAAGCGGAGACCAGAAAACCTCGAATCCACGATGGGAATACTTGGAAAGTCGATTTTCATATGATGGCGATCGTCGAGTCAAATCAACCTGATTTATTTGGGTCATGTACGCGGCTATTGCACGTGGAGAGGCGAACACCTGCTTGCCGTCATAGGCAGCGCAAGAAACATCAACGTCGAACCCGGTAAGAATCTCAGCGATCGAACGATAGATTCGAAGAACGATCTGGACATGCCGGTTTGGATATTGCGAGGCAATTGTGATCGTGTTCTTTGTTCTAATAGTCGTGGTTTCATAGAGAATGGTGTTGCGGATCTTGTCTTCGATATACTTGATCTTGTCAAGTGCCTGTTCCTCAGTCAAGCCATACAAGAAAAGATCCACATCGGATGCTGGTGCAAACTCCTCGTGATAGTACTGGCGAAGGCCTCTCTTGGAGTTGCGGTATTTCTCCGGGACAGGCAGAAGGGAAGTCACAACAGCACTGCCGGCAGCAACCACGTTCGACCAGTCAATCTCGCTGAGTGAGCCCTCTGTGAAGAGAGCAAAGTTGTGTTGGAATTCATCCAAAGTCGGCACAACTGCGGGGGAGCCATTTGGCTTTCGAAGTTCATCACTCAGTGGCAAGATGTACTTCTCCTTTTCCTCTGGTGTCTCGGATGCAAGGTCTCGTGCTCGAATACGAACATCTGCAGAACGATTTTGGTCGTATAGTGGCACAATGTTGACATGGTTATTTTGGATAGAAGCATTAGATGGATCTTGGGCAAATGTCTGACGCAAAACAGCATCGTATTTGACATAAGGCTCGATCAGATCTGTCATACGCCTTTCTGGGTTGGATTTCACGTAGGCCAAGAAGTCATTATGTTTGACGGGAAGAGGGGGCAACGAGAACGCCATGATGTAGATGAGCTTGTGCAAGGGTATTTGCAGTATGAGAGATAAAGTAGAATAGCAATGAAAGAGGGAACAGATTGAGGTTTAAATAGGACGATGTTGATATTATGGGTCGTTTTAAGTTCGGCTCTTGGCATCAGGGGCCAGGCAGCCTTAGGCAACAGACCCACTATAAACGCTAATAACCAATGATATTGACCTTCCGTACGACTGCCAAGCATCTAAGGATCTCGCTTCGTTGGCGCTTTCTATGGTAAATTATATGCGAGTACCCAGGAATCTTGCACGGATCTCTCGCAAGCACAGAAGATCAACATCGTACAGGTGTCGACACGTCAGCGTTGGTTCACCGAAATGCTGCCCCCCATGTTAAATAGCTCCTCTCAGGAGAACCCAGAGGTTCTCCAAGAATCAGTCTCTGTATTCCTCCAATATACTATTTGCTTTCCAGGCATCTTCGTCTTATCTAGGTGACAGGCTCTATCCTGTAAGCACTAGAACCCCCCTTATCTTTACACTGAGTTGCTGCCATTAACGCATCTGTCTGGGGTTCAATTTCCTTAGTGACCACAACTTGCTTGATTATTCGCCGGCATTCGATAATTACTAATTTTTACTATAGATAAAGCTTGTTTCCGCTGAACAAACCAGAAAAAGATGGCTTATGTGTTTCTTTGTTCGTCTTTAATATCGGTAGTTATTTGCTAAAGGCTAAAGTCATCTAGCATCACGCAACCACTTGATCATCGCTTTGAATAATCACCTAATATCTGAGGCGAAAACGAAGAGCCAATAAGCTCAAAAGGTGGCTTATACACAGAAGGGTCTTAAAACATCATTTTAAACAGAGTTATACTCAAGAGGACAACTGTAGCCCATTCAATTACGGAAAACAGAAGGTGTATGGACTGGTAACTTGATTTATTTTGTTGCCACGTCTGTCATTGTATCTGCTTCCTGATAGCCCTCCATGTCTCAGACCTTCAGTTTTCGGCACCACAGGCAGCGGTAATGAGGAACTGGTGGCGATTTTCCTGAATGGTGGAGAGAAACATAGCCAATTTGCTTTCGAAAAACAAATTGATTAATCTGAACAATAAAAACAGCGAACCCCTGCCGACTCCAGTGACCAATTTAGACCAATTTATAAGGATAAAACGGATTTACCATCCAGTTCCAAACTCAAATATCCCCCGCTTTCGGGGGCTGATCTGGGGTAAATGCCCTCCACATCCCCCGCCGATGGCACCGGAGACCATTCCCCCACAGGAATACGCGAAAAGCCAACCTCGGGGCCAGGGAGCATCCCCGGATTTGTTGACATCTACTCTCGGAAGATTGCCGCCCGGCATTTGAATCCCGGATAGTGAAAGATAAAAGCCACCCGCACATTCGTTCAGAAACGCAATTCCATCATACCCATTCATTTTGTCTTTCCTCACTCTTTGACCCGTTACAAGCTACCCTCGCGATGACCCAGACCATCCTGAAAGCCAATATTGGCGTTGTTGGCTTAGGCCGAATGGGCCAGCGCCATGCACTGAATGTCCTTCATCAAGTCCCTCGAGCAAGGCTCTTCGCTGTCTGTTCACCAGCACCGCATGAGATTGATTGGGCTAAGAATGACCTGGAGCCGGAGGGCGTGCAGGTGTTTGATACTTTCGAAGCGATGATTCGTACGCCCGGACTGGATGCCGTGGTCATTGCGTCACCATCAGAGCTCCACTTCTCGCAGACACTGGCCGCCATGGAGCTGGGAATCCACGTTCTTTGTGAAAAGCCAGTAACCAAAGATACTGCTCAGGTAAGAGGCAGAACACTGTCATAATGGTATAATCGCTTATTTTCTTTTACCAGCTATGCCAGTTGATGCAAAAAGCAGAGCTGTATCCGCAGACAAAGGTCATGGTTGGATTTGTTCGCCGTTTCGATGAAAACTATCAGGATGCGCTCCGGAAGATCAAAGACGGTGCAATAGGCGAACCCATTATTGTGCGATCGCACGGTGCCGAGAAACTGGACAAGACCGGATACTTTATCGAGTATGCTCGAGTGAGTGGGGGAATCTTTTTGGATACTGTCATTCATGATATCGACCTCACCTTGTCAATCCTTGGTGATGACATCAAGCCTAAAGCTCTCTGGGCGACCGGGATCATCGCTCATCACCACGAGATGAAAGATTTCAAGGATGTTGACAACGCTGTGGCTGTGGTTGAGTTCTGGGGTGGCCGGATTGCCCACTACTACCATTCCCGCACAACCTCTAATGGATATGACAATTCTACGGACATCATTGGTATGACAGGAAAAATCTCGATCAACTCCGTGCCGCACCACAACAGGGTTCAGGTGTCGAATGCAGCTGGAATCACGCAGGAAGTTAGTCACAGTTGGATTGACCGGTACCGAGAAGCCTTCGTGACCGAGTTGAATGAATTTACAAATGCTATATTAGATAAAAGTGAACTTCCGATGACGCTTTCTGCTGCTCTTACCGGCTTGAAAATAGCAACTGCATTGCGGAAAAGCTTGGAAACCGGTGAGAAGATTGAATTTGACGACAACGGTGAGGAGATAATTCCTGGGACGAAATAAATAATTGGAAATTACAATTTCGAGGACAGAATAGTGAATATTATTTGAAGTTCCACTTCCAATGTTGCCAAGTTATAGCCTATCCCCTGTGTATGGCTACACTGGTGCAAATCAGTATTGAGCGCACAACGACCACATCAAGGGCGGGCTTCACGCATCGGAGCTGTCTGACTGGCCCCAGTCAACATTCTTGAGCGCTTTCTAAAAGTGATCTGCCCTATGCTAGTGAGGTGTTTCGAGCTTGTTCTTATCTCCCATTTCTGTTGCAGATTAATGAGAGGACTTTTGGCATGTCTAGTACTCTGCCATTTGAGAGCAGTCTCATCCATCGCCTGAGAGGTTGCACTCAAAAACAAGGCAATGTCACCTTGCGGGTGGATTTACGTTATGCCCAATACTAAAGGAGAATACTTGGCAGGAGGGAGCCGTTATATAGCTCTGACATGTTGTTCGAGGGTCTCGAGGGCCAACTGTTGCTCTCGTGTACATAACGATTGTCTGCCAAGGATGCGACAAGTTCTTTTTTGAAAAGGAGATTCCTTCGTCACAACGCGTTTCTCTAAAACTTTTTTTTCTCACCCTCTCACTGTGTAATTAATTAAAAGGCAGTCAAAATGGAGCGCAAACCATGATGTTTCCCTTCCTCGTCTTCGTAGGAATTTTAGTTACTGGCATCGTTCCCTTAAGCCAGCACTCCTTCTCATTGCATTTCTATTCCGTCAGAGAAATTTCAGTTCATTTCAAAGACGACTGACCAGATTGGGGATTTGATATTATTGTGGCGAATGTACTGTTTGTAAGCGAGAGCGAATGATAGGCTTTCATCGGGATTTAATTACCGGCAGTCTCTAAGCCCCAGGCTATTTGATTTTCATACTGTTCCCATAATATGTTCACACGGCCAATGGTGAAGCTGGTTCTACGTTCACGAGTAGTCCTTTCGTGTACGTCCTTCCGCTACGCAGTCCCACTTCTGACTGCTCACCAGAGGCGTAAATAATTTGTGGGATGGGCGGGTCGACCAAGAGTTAAAGAGGTGTTGTGAAGCAATTAATAAGTTCGTTCTAGGTTCTCGGGTTTCGGTTCAGGGACTTTCCGGGCGGTAGAGTCGCAGAAAAAAGCGCCAGAAGGGAAAGAAAATGGCTCATGAACCTTCCGCAAGCCGACAGACTTGTGATTTAAACAGAGCTTTGAACCTCCAAATAAGAAAGATTTTGGGACCCAACGACCACATTGGGTTGCTTTCAATAATTGAATACAATGTCATCGGATGCCCAGACAAAGGGATTTAGGCTGACGCATGTTGGTCTCCGAGTTGCGGATATTGACCGATCTGTTCGTTCTTTTCGGGTGTATTTGGCATGATGGAACTTGGCCGGATGCCCTTGGATACAACCACGGTTGTTAATCGAATAGATGTATTCATTTCCCTTCCATATCGTGATAAAAGGTTCAACTTCCTCCTCTTCCCAACAAATCACCCATTCTGCAGTTAGGGAACTAGGGTATTCCAGAAAGGAAAAGTAATTCCGACTTGGATACTTCGAAGTGTGTATTTTTATCAAACCCGACAACAACTTCTAGCAGCAGCAGTTCGGACACCACTGCATCCGTTCCATTGTTGTCTCCCAATCTGGCCTGTCGAGTTTGTGATTCGGAATTAGCTCGACTGCAGACAGAAAGCCGAATCTTTTACCACATCGATTGTGGTCTTTTCTGGAATATGAGTTCCGGATCTTCTTCCGGAACGGGGCTTATACCGGAAAGTTAACACCCAAGCTAGTTTGGACAATGAAGACGTCCAAAAGAATGGTTTACTTTAATCTGGTAAACATCGCATCAAGGGCGATAATCGTTGAGACTTCAACTTTCCGCAAACGTTTACCCTATCTCGGCTTTTTGTTGTGAATCTTACACATACTAAAGTTACGATAAAATTCAGATTCATTCAGAGAATGGCAGAACTACCCCAAAGTTTTAAACTCAACACTGGGGCCGAAATCCCTGCACTTGGGTTAGGTTTGTTGCTCTCTTCCCGTCCACCTTGCTGTGCGCCTAAGTTCTAATTGTATTCATTATAGGCACATGGCAGTCCAAACCAGGAGAAGTCCGAGCTGCCGTCAAGCATGCACTTCAATCCGGCTATAGACATATAGACGCTGCGTACTGTTACGGAAATGAAGAAGAAGTCGGCATAGGCCTTCTAGATACGTTTAAGAGCGGTGCTGTTAAGCGTGAGGATGTTTTCGTTACGACCAAGTTGTGGTGTACCTACCACACACGCGTGGAAGAAAACTTCGAAAAAAGCCTGAAGGCTCTGGGTCTGGAGTATATAGACCTTTACCTGATGCACTGGCCTGTTGCGATGAACCCAGAAGGTGAGTACACCAGATTTAGGGCTCAATCTACCACTGGACACTTTTAACCTTCCAAAAGGAAATCATGAAAATTTTCCGACGCTGGGTGACGGATCCCGTGACTTGATGCCAGGTCGGTCTCACGTTGAAACTTACAAAGACATGGAAAAGTTACTGGGCAACGGCAAGGTCAAAGCCATAGGAGTTGCCAACTACAGCCTCAGATATCTGAAGGAGCTGCTATCCCAATCTTCGATCACACCAGCAGTGAATCAGATCGAGAACCATGTTTTGCTGCCTCAGCAGGAAATCGTAGATTTTTGCAGAGAGCACTCGATCCATGTTACTGCATATAGCCCGCTCGGCAGCAATGGAAGCCCGCTCATGCAACTTCCCGTGATCGAAAATTTAGCGACTTATAGAAATGTGTCACCTGCTGTGATCTTACTTAGCTGGCACGGTATGTCTCCATTCTCGCAGTGTCGTAAACCTTCTCTGGAAAGAAGAACGATTTCACTGATATTTTACGTTCAGTGTCCTGTGGGCGGTCTGTGCTGGCAAAATCGATCACTCCAAGCCGAATCGAACAAAACAAATGTTTGGTGAATCTTGGGCGGAAGGAATTGGAAGCGATAAACATCTTCATTCAAAGCTTGGCAAAGAATCAGGGATTTACTCGTTATGTATATCCAGCGTTTGGTGTCGACTTTGGCTTCCCAGACAAGCAGTGAACCACCGAGATGTTACGTTGCTCTTTAGGGGGCTTCAGTCGGTAGTTTCTAGCCAGTTACCCCAATTATTCAAATCATTTCCGTACACGTTGTGTCGGTTTGGCTACATAGCACTGTACCATGATGGCATCTCATATGATCATCATGACCAGGAGACAGCAGAAGTATATGCCGAGAAATATTGAGAGCAGTGACGAATTTTCAACATCTATATCTAGATGCATATGAAGTAAATCTGCGCCCTGCAATAGCCGATTATTTCTTTTAGGTACTTCGAGCATAATGAGAAAGCCTAGATAATTATACACAGTAAAGTTTTCGACTTGGCAATATTTGTTGATTTTGATTTACTTGATTCACTTTGTTGAATTAGACTAGCAGGGTAGGATAATGCAGCATAAAGGGGCTATCTTGATCTACTGAACGGAAATGTATGGGTGAGAATCAAATAAGTGGATTTGTCTAAAGGGTATAAAAAATGGGAAAAGAGTGACCTTTATAGTACATGCCAGTGACCATATTTTCCGCCTGAAAGGCATAGTGAACTTTGGCATTCAGGGATAATTGGGCCACTCAGGTTTCATGGCTCATCCATGTGGACAAGCATACCTGAATTCAATTGGACTGGAAAATGGGCTTGGTCCATGCACCATGCTGGGGATTGAATCCTGGAGAATTGTATGAATGGACAATTTTCAACACACTTTAGATATAAATATTCAACCTGATCTCTCCAACGCTTCCATTTCCTTGCCGAACGCTGGCTATTTATCTCCGCGATCGGTGATAAAAGATTCTTTATATTAGCACTTTCGAGAGGTAGATCTCACTCGAGGTTCTCAACATCAAATCTAGTCATACAACGAAACAGTATCAAATCTTGGATTGTCTTAGCATTCATATCTTCCTCGCTGAACTGAATAGCCGCTCAACTCCAATGCCTGTAGCTAAGACGGAGAAAAGATTTTGCGTCAGCTAAAAATAATAAAAATAATGACAGAGATAGTTATGATTAATTTAAAGGTGATTTTCAATATAGTTCTTTGGTTTTTAATTCAGAAAGCAGGAAAAAATATATATATATGTTGAAATGGGGATGGCTCGATGGCAGTCTGATATAGCAGACGGGTCGATATCAATGGAGAGAAGACAACCAACCACTCCCATGCCCACCGTAGACGTAGAGAGTAGTCTCAGGAAGCGACTGAAGTACTGATCATGAAGCTATATCATGAATGAAGAATCCGGTGGAAAAACTGCAGTCATATTGATGATGGATGGATGTTCTTCCTGTGAAGCTAAACCCTTTTCGTGGTGGTGTATGTGGCATACAGGTTCCAAGTATATCTTTTATTTTATCTCCCTATAGCATACCGATGCCTATGAGCTCGTTCAGCCTTTTGGCAATAGGTCGAGAGTTTCCTCCGACTAGCATCAAGAGCCTCAAGTGCCGCTTTCTTCCAATGTACATTCTTCTGACGTAGCTGGGCTTGGGTTCGTCTAAAATCGAAGAATAAGCGGTTATAAACCTCAAAGAGTATGGATAGTAGTGTCCTTGGCCTTTGGAAGCCGACTGATTGTCCATATATACAACGGCTTTGTGATACAAAGAAGATTCTCAAATTGGCGCCATTTATCCGGACTTAATCGAAAGTGCGGCTGTTATACTCAAGACATCATTTATCAAAAAAGATTTGTTGGCTAGCGCATTCATTGATAGTCAAGATACACCCACATTTGGATGGAAAGCGTCGGCGCGGAGATTGACAAGTTCACTCACACCATCCCAATCGTTATACTGTTTAGGTCGCTCAATTCCGTAAGTGCCAACGTCCTGGTCCTCAACGGTGAGGATACCAGTGCCGGAGGTATGGATGACCCACAATCGGGGCTCGGGAGTGTGATACTGCGAGCCCTTGGCGATAACCTTAGCTGCAGCAACATGGTCACAGTCGGCAATGTCTGTATGTCAATTGTGAGTGGCGTGATATGTTATCTATGAATCGAGGTAGGCATACGGAAGACAGTGACGGCATTCTGGACTTCCTTTTCAATCAAGACGGACGAGTCTAGATCGCCGACCACGGTCCGAATTTGAAGGTATTCCCTGCAACCTGGGCGACCTTTTGTTGGCTACGGACTAGAGCCGAGAGCTGCCAGTCAGAATGGGCGCTGGCGACGGCAAATAAACCATCTCCGCCAATGTAACCAGTACCCGTTAGCACCGGTGGTGTGGCTTATCAAATCGGATGTTCAGTTCCAGCACTGGGAAACGTAAATGAAATTTTTAGGTGGCATAATTTTATTAATCTGTTCTAGGAATGCGGAAGATGAGTAGTGTTATGAAATACGAGGCACGAAAATTAAATCCGAGATTACGTACTGTGCTTTGAGATCGCTACATAGGAGAGACCCTCGACTTGGTCCAAGGAAAGCTAGAGCTATTCCGCAATTGATTTGTAAGAAACTTGCGTGAGTGGAAGCCCCTGGATTTGAGCAGATAATCACTCATTGTATAATGAAATCGGAATTATAATTCCCATCGGAATAGATCCAGTCACCACTTCCAGTCACCACTTCCATCAAACTCGATTTTCCGGCCCGTGTTTGAGCATTTATGCAGAGAAGTCGCAATTTTCAAAACCGTGAAAGCAGCAATTTTGGGCGCCGAGTCTCTCGTGCGCGGCGGCTGATACTAGAGGGGAATCGGGGCATCTCAGATAGCGGAAGACGGCGCCGGGGATGAAAGCCGGACAGTGATGCATTTTGTAGAAGAGACTGGAAGCCGTGAGACCTCGTGTAATTCTATGTATGGTTTTCGAATTCGAAATGCGCTCAACTCCGCTCCTCATCTGGGAGCCGACTCTCCGCCCGCACCTACATTTGGATAGATCTAAGACTCCGCCCCCTTACGCATCCAGTTTCTTGTTTGGCGTCCAGTTTTGCCGTTGCACAAAAGATACTGAGGCCTGGCAGCTCGTCATCAGCAGAATAGGAAGGCATCAATTGGAGAGAAACAAAGTCAATTGTCCGTTTTGAACACTAGCAATCGAAATCGTCAATAAGAAGCAGTTGTGATTAACACAAGGGCAATACCTACTAAGTAAATTATCTATGTATATAAATGATAAACAATAAAAAAACTGAACTAATGGAGACACGGAAAGAAAGTCCCTCCTTGAGAGCAGTCCTCCACACATCGCCCGATACAGCTACGCAGTTGAGACTCTCGACGGGCATACGGGACCCGACTCCTTTATTTCCAAACTTTTTGATTGAATTATATTCTCGCTTAAAACTACCTTGGACCGCACCTGGTGCCCTTACCTACCTCCCCCAATGGCTGGCACCACGCTAGCAATACGCTCGCTGGGCTCCCCGTGCATCATGCAGCTGACTTCGATGCCACGCCGTAACGCCTCCGCGGCATCACAAGCCCTGCGTGCGAAGCCTTTCTGGTCGATTTATTCCCAAAAAGTTTCGGGTAACGCTCGCCGTGGCTATGCCGATCTTGCGCCCACGATGCCGCCAACGCCGTCGCCCTCGCCTGCCCCTAAACCCAATAAGCGGTTCCGTCTTCTGCTCTGGTCCTGGTGGTTGGCCTGGCTCTCCGGACTTGGTGTTACCAGTGTCGTGGGTTTTAGTATCTACACTCTCCGCTGCCCAAAGGAGCAGATCGAGCCGGATCCTTCGAAGAAAACCCTGGTGATTCTCGGTATGTCGCATTTAAGATTGTGAATCTCGGAGAAAGAAGCGCTAATAATGCTGTCACTCAAATAGGAACTGGTTGGGGTTCCGTCTCCCTGCTGAAAAAGCTCGATACGCAGAACTACAACGTCGTGGTCGTCTCCCCCGCAACTATTTCCTGTTCACTCCCCTGCTGCCGTCATGTACCACTGGTCTTATCGAACACCGCTCAATCATGGAGCCAATCCGTAATGTGCTGCGTCAGAAGAAGGCCGCAGTGAAATTTTACGAAGCCGAGGCTACTAAGATTGATTATGAAAAACGCGTTGTTTGCATCAAAGATGAATCCGAGATCAAGGGTGATATTTCCCACACTGAAGTTCCTTTTGATATGCTTGTGATCGGCGTTGGTGCCGAGAACGCGACCTTTGGTGGGTACATTCATGTGCGCGACAAGGAGGCCAAAATAGGAAAAGAACTGACAATATGCAGGTATTCCCGGTGTACGCGAGCATTCTTGCTTTCTGAAGGAGGTCAACGATGCTCAAAAAATTCGTAAGAGGATTATGGACTGCGTCGAGACTGCTATGTTCAAAGATCAGCCACTTGATGAGATCAAGCGCCTGCTGCATATGGTAGTGGTTGGTGGTGGCCCGACTGGTGTCGAGTTTGCCGGTGAAATTCAAGATTTCTTCAGTGAGGATCTCAAGAAGTGGATTCCCGAGATCCAGGACAGCTTCCACGTCAGTTTAATCGAGGCTCTACCAAACGTTTTGCCCATGTTCTCCAAACAACTGATTCACTACACCGAATCGATATTTAAGGAGGAGAAGATCGACATACGCACTAAAACTATGGTTAAGAAAGTCACCGAGAAGTACATTGAAGCCGAAGTTACCAAGCCCGATGGCTCGAAAGACATCGAAATTATTCCCTACGGCCTCCTGGTCTGGGCCACCGGCAATGCTGTGCGTCCCGTTGTGCGCGACCTAATGGGTCAGCTCCCCGCCCAGGCAAACTCTCGCCGTGGTCTCGCCGTAAACGAGGACCTAGTCGTCAATGGTGCCAAGAATATATGGGCCGTCGGCGACTGTGCTATCACCAATTACGCCCCGACCGCCCAGGTTGCCGTCCAGGAAGGTGCCTTCCTGGCCCGCCTGTTCAACACCATGGCCGAGTCTGACGAGATCGAGAAGGAGCTTCAAAATCTGTCCAGTCAGCAGTCCCAGGAGCAGTCCGAAAACGAGCGCAACGAGGTCTTCGAGGAGATCCGTAGACGCCAGAATCAGATGCGCAGGGTCAAACAAATTGGTCCTTTCCAGTACTCGCACCAGGGCTCCCTCGCTTACATTGGCAAAGAACGTGCTGTCGCCGATATCAGCTGGCTAAACGGCAACATCGCCAGTGGCGGTACTCTGACTTATCTCTTTTGGCGTAGTGCATACTTAAGCATGTGCTTCAGCAGTAAGTTGACCTTTTTTTAGCCACGAATTCTACATGATCTAAGGATATCAACAGCTCGCAACCGTGTCCTGGTCGTCGTGGACTGGATCAAGGCCCATCTGTTTGGCCGTGACGTTTCTCGGGAGTGAACGCATTGCTTGAGTTATGTCTGTGCAGTTTGTTTCATTTGGTATTCCGCCATCGTTTGGCGGTTGTGGATAACGGCCATGATATACGGGCTCGCGCCGAAGGTCAGAACCAGGTCACAAGTATGATGGCATTCATTTCCAACTGTCACAATGAAGCCACTAAAACTGAGCAAACATTGTTCGACGAGACACATTATGCAGAATATCGAGGAGCCCTAACATGCGAATCCTTACTGGTGGTCAGACCCTTTCCTTCTGGGATGAGTACAGCGATGGCATCCGTGATTACAGAAACAAAACTATGCTTTATTTGATTGTTACTCAGCTTGTTACTCAGCTTGAATCTTCATAAGCAACTCAATTTCTTCATATTGAATTTACTTTTCGAATTTTTCTATCGGAACAGATTCCACACACACATTCAGTCATGATATCTGGAATATCTTTTAACTTTCCGTAGTCAAAACCTTCCTTATATTGGATTGAGGAAATATCGAGAAACAAGAACTGTACCATCATCTCACACGTCTTGCCAGCACTTGCACCGCATATGCCAACCCGGAACATCCACTTCACGGTTTTTGTAACGTTACCCCTATAATCGCTATATGTATATCAACTCCAAGGAGCAATGCATTCGGTTAATAGCATTCTGATTCTTTCAGTTTCCACGCACCTAGTTTCACGTGCCCTTGCAGACCCCGTTGATACGATACTGCGATTCTTGTGAATGGAATGGATCGTAGCTCTTTCTGAACTTGCATATCGTACTAGTATTTACTTAGAAACGCCAAAGCAACCCTAGCCGGGCTCGCACATCCTATGTTTCGTATTACTGAGTTATCCCGCTGGGAAGGCTACTTACGGACCAGAAAGCAATAGGAGTAAACGGATGGGTTCCAACAATTGTACAACCGGGGACTTTTAATTGTAAAACAGAGTCATTAGCCAGATTTTCGGCAATTAAAGATTAAGTCCATATACAAGAGACTTGTCAGTCATGCTAACGAGGCAGAGAATAGTATATGCCCTGTTCCATTGATCGCCTACAGCTATATTCTAACTTACTGACTGAATAACTTACTGACTGATTTTGACCCGAATTGGCGGAACGTATCACCTTGAAAGGTGGAAGAAAATGCAATTAAAAAATCACATTTGAGCCAACTAGATGGAGGCGGTGATCGTAGAACTTTGGATGGCAAATAGCAAAAACCTTATTCCGGGATATGAAATCCGCGAGATCAAAGTGTGTTTTGTCCGTATCATGCGAAATTAAGTTTTCATTTTTGGGAGGTGGAATTCCGCACTTTGGGGAGCGGGGAGGTGGATCTTGATTCTCCCAAGTGTTCTGCTATACTACCTACCTCCCCCGCATTTACCCCAGGCTCTTGGTCTTATTCGGCCGAAATTAAGCTTGACTTGTCCGCTACAAATCATAAACACACGACGGACCATTGACGTGTGTGTAAGAGGCTTCCGGGATTTGTTTCCCTGTCGATTGACGAATATATATATATGTTGTGAACAACCATATCAGACCAACTTTGTTTCGTTTACCGTGACTTTCTACGCTCACTCAATTACGTTCTTATTCTAAATCATGTGGCTCGAACACATCGAAGGATCATTGCTTACAGCGTGTATTACATTCGCCTGCGGCTCTGGTTTTGCCCTTTTTGGTTATGATCAAGGCGTCTTCGGCGGCTTTCTGCAGAATGACTCGTTTGTCAAAACATTCAACTCCCCGGATTCGACCCTCCAGGGCCAGATAACGGCGACCTATGACCTCGGCTGCTTTTTTGGCGCTCTATTTGCCATGTGGTTCGGAGATAAATCAGGTCGCAAGAGGACAATATTTTGGGGCTGTGTTACCCTGATCATTGGAGCCACTATCCAAGCGACCTCTTTTCACGTATCACAAATGATAGTTGGACGGTTCATTGCTGGTATTGGTAACGGCATGAATACTGCGGCGATCCCTGTTTGGCAGTCGGAAACAGCAGCTGCACACCACCGAGGAAGATTCATTGTCCTTCAGCTTGCTCTTAATCAAGTCGGAAATGTGATGTCCCAATGGATCAACTACGGTCTCACTTTTGTGGCTACAAACAGCGTGGCCTGGCGATTCCCCATTGCGTTCCAATGTTTCTTTGCTTTATTGACCCTCATTTTCCTTCCATGGCTTCCCGAGTCTCCGAGGTGGCTAGTCATGAAGGCTCGAACCGAAGAGGCCTTCTCAATTATGAAGAGGCTCGGTGGTAAAGAACGCTCAGAAGAAAGCAATAGGGAGGTTTTGGACGCCATCGTGAAAAGCGTTCGACATGAAATGGAGGCACCGAAGTTCAACATCAAGGCTTTGGCAAAGAACGATAGCTTACAAACCACTCGCCGTGTTCTCCTTGGTGCAGGCACCCAGCTCATGCAGCAATGGGGAGGCATAAACGTCATCAATTATTATCTCCCTGTCGTTTTCTCTTCGCTTGGAGTCAGCCGGAACATGTCGCTCATTTTATCGGCTTGTAATGCTATGAACCTGATGATATCCACCTGTTTCGGCGCTCTCTATATTGAGACCTTTGGACGGAAGAAAATGATGTTCTGGGGTGCTGTAGGGCAATCTATCTGCTTCTCCCTCGTCGCTGCTGGTCTTGCCCTCGCTACTAAGCAGTGGGAAGCAGTTGCGGTGGCATTTGTTTTCGCCTACTACACGACATTTGGTTTATCTTGGATTGCGGTGCCGTGGATGTACCCGGCTGAGGTCAACACACAGCGAATGCGCATTGCTGGTGCCGGCATTGCCACGGCTACGAACTGGATCAACAACTACATTGTCGTCCTGGTCACACCGATCGGAATTTCTAACATCAGTTGGAAGTATTATCTGATCTACGCAGTGTTGAATGCCGTGTTTGTTCCAATTGTCGGATATTTCTACGTCGAGACAGCTGGCCTCTCCCTTGAGCAAATCGACTCCTTATTTGAGAGCAAGTACTCCGAAGAATCTCGCCCAACTGATTCCGTCTCCGAGCCACAGTCGGAGAAAGAAAACGTGGAGCACGTTTCACAGGTGTCAAACATCGCCCACAGTGCATGATAATATATATAAGACAAAGTTGGGTCTTGCTATGTATCTGTTACTGAACTACAAGCGACTTCTGCCTAATGCATTGTTAAGGGCTAATCAAGGAGATCCTAAACGACTTCTTCATCCTGCCCTCAGGGTGATCCATTGGAAATCAGTATTCAGTACCGTTCGTTCTATTTTTTTTTTGTCTTCGCATAACATCCTTACAAATAGTAATTGTTTTAATCGACATCCTTAGGATGAAAGCAGCCACGGTAAACCTACAGGATCATCTAGATCTTAGCGTGCTATCTCCAACAATGTCTTCTGTTTCTTCCCAATCACCTCAAGCTTCTCGAATGCCTTTACTAAAGCCATAATTGACGCCATACCCTCCTCTGTGCGCCCCTCTCTGTGTGCAGCCCATGGTGATAGATCTGATAGATGTCGCAGAAATACCGCATCAGTTGGTATCTCTGGCCTTGGCCCAAATATGTATTTTTCATCTGATGGGTTAGAAAATTCATCAAATGGAATGGTAGTATTTCTTCGTTTTGGATAGAGTATATCCGCGGAAAGTGTGATCGAAGAACGGATTGAAGAGATGGGCATAGGAGGGAGAGACGGCGACGGCGAGGTAGAACACTGCATTCTGATTGGTCAATAATGCTGAGTAAGCGACAACAAAAAGTGTGGACAAAACCAAGGACGCCCGAATCAAAGAGAAGCCTCGGCCATAGCACCACATCTGATTGGGTCCCCTGATCCCTCTTCCTCTCCGCGTTGCTGAGCTTATCGACATGTGCGAGCGAGCGGGAACAAGTTCATTCGGACATACACGGAGTTGCATGCTATCAAAAGTGTTTGTCTCGTCCCTGTTGGACCGAAGGTTGTTTGATTTGATTCCGAAGCCTGTGTTCTTCTATCCAAGCTTGAGCACTATGTCCGAACCCCATATACGTTGGTCACTGCAGCTGGAGTTCAGTCAAGCTATCCGGTATTCTTTCTCCATTGAGACCGTCTTCTAACATGTCGCAATGGGCGGCGCAAGCAGGTCTTGCCAGCAAATCACCGACTTCTACCCCCCGAGCTCACTGTCCTTTGAGCATCGATGTTTCTACAAACTCATCGTGTCCGGACGATCTCTGGCATATCACTGTTCTGTTCGCCTAATTCACAGAAGGTGGGTACGATGATTGTAACAGCACCACAAGAGCCCTCGGGTTGTAGGACCTCTAGGACTCTCCCGTACAGTCTATACTGAAATTTCTACCCCCTAATAAGCGCTCACGTCATATTTGCTTTGGAAGGATGGTTTAGGTGCATACCTGCGACGACTACACGTAGATCAGATTAACCTTGTGCGAATATCATCCGGTCCGGAACGGCGATCGTAGAGAGATATTTTTGCCAGGTCTGGTCTCAGATGGCTTATGTTGAACCCGGATCGGACTTCAACCGCGCTATATCAGCAGTGAAGCATGCTGCATCGCCTGGCTCAGGAATACGCCCACAGAAAGTAACGACCGTTTCTTCATCGCTGTAGTGGACATTCTACGAGAGCTTAGGTGGACTATGAATCGTATGTACTGAGCGGGCAATTATTCACAAAGTTGCGACGACTCCTACATGTAGAAGGAGCTGATCAGATATTCTTGAGCCAAAGCTTCCCAATGACACGTTGAACACGAGGGAAAGCTACTCTCACTCTAGCAATCGCTCGCTCTATTGTGTAGGCATTCTAGTGTAGAATAGGTTTAAGTGACTAGCAATAGTCATCGCCAGCGATTTCTTTGACGACGCAAGAAACAGAGCCTATCACATAACCATCTTGAATTGAGCCCACGATTCGGATTTTCGAGACACATCACATGGCTCTACACCCGTAGCTCTGATCTTGAGCGTACAGTATATTGCGTGATCATAGATGAGCAATGTGTGAATCAGATCATCTCAACTGAGTTGGAGGCTGTACGCCAAGGCGTGACCAACAGTGATCAAAATTGCCTTGCGGAATAAAAAAATTGGAAATGAAGTTTCGATGTGAGTGACATGGCAAGAAACCGCGCTGCCTCCATGAGACGTTAACCCTCTCTTCACCGCCCGATCATTCACTACAACAGTAGTGTTTCGCTACACACATTTCACCGCATCAACACATCAACACACCAAGTCTCACATTTCTGTTTGCTTTACGCCTGAATGAGAGTGCCAATTGCATTACGGCAAAGGGACTATCGGACTGCAAACTATCAATGCAGAACAATTCGGAATACCCTCTTTGATAACGACGACACTTTAGTTGTAATTTATAAGTTTTGCCATTGGATTTGGATAATCTACCTAGGGCTCATTCTATCTATCCAATCATGGTCCTTCGGAATACAAAACAAATGAGGAAGATGTTTGGCAGGTCTTTGCTTCTTCGAATACAATGCTCTTGAATACTCGAATACCGGTCCCTAACACCACCAAGAGGTGCCTACATATCGCTGGAGGCCTTGTTGATGCAGCAATCCCCTGCAAAGCACGTTTGTTGACGCAGGGCTCGTCCTGCGAAGCACCTTTTTACGCTCGCGGGGCTTAGGGCAGCGATAGCCGTGGACACGGAAGCTCTCAAGCCCGCAGGCAATAGAGAGACACTATACTGCGTTAAAGTGTGAGGACCGAAGTCCCGGTTTTTTTGGGCTGGGAATCCGGCTCCTTTATGTCTTTTCGGCTACGCGTCCTCAAAGGAACCAGTTGCGCAGGTGGTAGCGCGAATCAGTTTCTCGTTAATAGGCGTTGAATTAATTAAAGCGACATTGAAATGATGTTTGCAGACTTTGTGGCCGACAGATTTAAGCCTAGAGTGTACTTGCGGAATCATTCTTATCGAAATCGTGCGTTGAGTGCGGTGAAACACTTTCATCAATTGTTGAGAAGAGAGTAATGCCGCCAAAATATGATTCCTATATATCATCGAATTTGCAATTAAATCGCTAGACTTTTTATAATTCTCCGCCAAAGAAAGATAATCACCATCCTGGGTTTGATAGCATGTCATAGTGTCTGTGCCGCCAGGTACAGTGATTCTCGAAAGCGGCTTGAAGTTGTAATTTTATGTTGCAAGATATAGGACCATACTAAAGCATTTTATCGTTGCCCCTCATTTTAATGTGGCTCGCTCAATACTCTATGCGTGTTAAGCCCTTGGCGGTGGGATTAGGAAAGAGTTAATTACTCAGTGTGCATTGATCAAGCCGATTTCGAGATGAGTTACTCTTTCTTGGCCCCGCCGCTAAGGCTTAAGCGTAGATAATTGATTATGCCAGCCGCATCAAGGTGAGCGCCACAGTTTTACGCCACGTATATTATGCCGCCTTATAGTACAGAGGCCGTTAAATTTACTGATTAACGTTCAAAAAGTAGAATTGACCTACACATAGCAGAATACAGGACTATAAAGTACCATTTTCCTCTTGCCCATCATTATTCTAATGCGGCTTGCTCAATAATTTATCCCTACTAAGATCTTGGCGGTCGGTCTAGGGGAGACTTATTCAGTGTGTACGCAAAGATGTGTGAAGCGCAGAAGTTGGATTACGGAGCGTGATTGATGATGGCGGTCAGCACTGAGTTCTAAGTACCGGGTGCTCTGAACTGTTGGATTTTGTGCCTCATAGAATTACTTTTTCTTCCTTGAGTAATCAGTAATTATATTATGTTTTGATTGAATCTAGGTTTGAACAACTGGCGAAAGAAGGCACCGAAGCCCAGATCATCTCTACATCGCTGAGGCATAAATGATAGCTTGACGAAGCTTCTAACACTTGAGGAATGCCTACCCACGGGAGTGCCTGGAGCCTCCCAGACTGCAGGTTAGGGTTTCGGCTTTACTATCGAGAAAAGAGAGTTGGTCACACCAGACTACAGGTTGCAGTGGATGGATGGATGGACGGATACTTCCATTTATACTGACCTGTCGCTTTTAGTTGATTTCCCAACTAGACTAAAATACGAATCCGTACTCAGCCTAGCGGGTTGTGTTTAGAATGCAACTCTTTTGGCGATATGCAGGCTACCCTATAGCGATATTCGAAAACAGTTTACCCCTCAGACACTCACACTTTGTTTGTCGGCCCGTATCCGAAACAAGCTGAATATTTTTGGGACAAGTGGTAAGATATAGTCCACTTATAGATTTCTTTAATTTATGAGCTAGCTTGATCTGGCCTGGCGCTGTCTCGGGTACGGGCCGAGAAACGAAGTGTGGGTGTCTGAGGGGTAAACTGTTTTCGAATATCGCAAAACACCGCTGTATGTAGCTTACTACATGCACCTCAATTCCCTCCTTACCAACCACAGTAGGTATCTAGCAAAAACACGAACTTTACAACAGAGGATAAACCAGAAGATTTTTGAGTTTATCACTTTCTCATGTCTACCATCTTCCTTGCTTTGAATCTCTTCAAGGGGGATATACTAGGGTTAATTTAGCCAGTACGCCACTCAGATCACTTAGAACTATGATTACACACTCCGAGTGCTTTCTACGGAATATTAATAAGATGGTTATCAATTTACCAACTCTAAACAATCCAAACTTCAATAAGATACAGTACAAAGACAGTACAAACGAAACCATTTAAATCAGCAGAATTTCAAACCTGAAGCTTCTGCTTGAGCAAATTTTTAAGAATGACGGCGTCAGCGGCAAACTTCGAGATGCCCTCACGCAGCTTCTCGACGGCCATAGTCTCCTCGTTGAAGTCGAAGCGGAACTCGGCCTCCTTGTGGAGGTATTCGCGCTTAGGGATGTCCAGCCCGGCGGCCCGGGCAGAGTCGAGTTTCTTAGGCACGACAGCGGTGGAATTGTACAGTTCCTCCAAGAGGTGGGGCGAGATAGTCAGGTAGTCGCAGCCAGTTAGCTCGGTGACCTCGCCGACGTTGCGGAAAGAAGCGCCCATGACGATAGTTTTGTAGCCGTACTTCTTGTAGTAGTTAAAGATCGCTTGAACGGACTTGACACCGGGATCCTCCTGGGCGGTGTAGTCGCGTTTGTAGGCATTCTTGTGCCAGTCCAGAATACGACCAACGAATGGAGATATCAGGAACGCCCCGGCTTCGGCGGCAGCAATGGCTTGAACCTCGGAAAAAATGAGTGTCAGGTTACAATTTATGTTGTGATCGGCCTGCAGGATGTGGGCAGCCTTGATGCCCTCGTACGTGGAGGCGATCTTGATCAGGACGCGATCCTTAAAGATACCCTCCTCTTCATATAGCTGTTGAATACAGTTAGCATTTACGATTCGTAATTGTATAACAAGTGGAAGGATGTGGACCTTGATGATGTGCAAGGCCTTGTCTACGGAGGCTTGGGTATCGAAGGACAGCTTGGCGTCGATCTCGGTCGAGACCTTGCCGGGAATGATCTTGAGGATCTCCTTGCCGAACTCGACGAGGAGGCGATCTACAGTGGCATCGGCCTGCTCGTCAATGGTATTACCCTTCCGTTTGCCATAGGAGACAGCGGCATCAATGAGGGCGGCATAATCGGGCTTCTTGGAAGCAGCTAGGATCAGGGAGGGGTTGGTAGTGGCATCCTGGGGCTTGTATTTGTCGATTGCTGTGGAACGTTAGAATCAGATCTTCCATCATCACCACGACCCAGTGGCAGAACGCTAAAGGGGAGCATACTGGCAAAGTCACCTGTTGTAAGTATTAGTCAAAGTTCAATAATTGCAGCCGGCTGATCAAGGGGATTCACCAGAGTCGCAGACAATAACGGTACCAGAGTTCTTGAGCTGCTCGAGAGCGGAAGACATAGCGAATGTAAATCAGAAGCAGTAATTAATAGCTGAGATAGATTGACGGTTGGACTAGGAAGAGAAGAAAAGTGGCGGCCAGAGGGGCTTTTGAAGGGTCCGCCACCGGAACGAGCGACCAGAGGCACTTCCGTTAACCAATACAGTTCTCTGGGGAAGGAAAGGCCCGAGGTGCGATTTTTGAAGGGTGCAAATGACGCTGCAGTTGCTGCACAAGATATGTAACACGCGATGGACGTGTCGCCTTGTTTTGCGCAACGTGCCAAGCACTCCCACCGAGGTTTTCACAAAGGGATAATAGTCCGTCCTCGCTGACACTCTATTCATCCTCAATAACTATTCATTTTTGTATCAACATGACTTCAAATTGTGTTAACACCCTCGGCGCAGTGTGCTCCGGCCCATCACGGGAAGTTGATCGACCTGCAAACAGCTACTACTGCGCTGGGTCTGCAAGGTTAACCGGAACCCCATTAAAGACCGCGACTCACCCTGGATTGCGCCGGAAAAAGGCGGGAATCGTTCTAGTTCAACGGATTCAAGTATGATGTCACAACCACTGAGCGGCTGGGATGGGGGTGGGAACGGAAACCCCCAAAGTCATGTTGTTTTGTATCACGCCTCCCCGAGGACAGCGGAAAAGTGAAGCCAGATGTGTACTCCGAAGACCACGGGATTTGAATCGCGGAGCGGTAGCATTTTTAGGTAGTGTTCCACCCGCACCAGATTGCGGCAGTCCATGTTTGAACTAAGAAGAATACCGGAGGCGATTCAGTTATCGAATGTGGAAAGCAGAATGCCGAAAGAGTGAATGGTAATGCAGCATTCGGCTTCATGCTTTTTGCAGAAAAAATATGACTAAGGCTTGAGAGAAGACTCCCTAGTCCATTTCCCTCCCTGGATTCTTGGTAAACCCGAACAAGTACGATTATCGATTTGTAAAGAACGGTTCAATTTTTTTCTTTGTGCGGAACAATGTTACATGTACATTGCTACATCTATCGACTTCTATTGGGCGAATAAAATCCAAGAATCTTCATTGAGGAGCATTTCAGGGATCTCGGGGCTTTTATGTACCTGGATACCTGCATTACTGTATTAGTAGCGAGGTTCTAGCTTTTACAGCAAGCACAACAGCAGGTAAGGCTACTTCCAAGCAGCCAGTGTTTCCTAATATGTCTCCCAGTCCCATACATGCTTCAGGTGGTTGGGGATGATTCTAGTGTCATTGTGGCGCCGCTGAAATACAATACACGGTTGTCGCATATGGAGGTGTTCCTATTTTGACCCATTAGAGATTTTATAATCTGCAATGGTGTCCATCAAAAAGAAGACACTTGATAGCTGGAGTGGCCTTTGTAATTTATTTTTCTTTTTCCACTCTATTAGGCCACTATCTGGTTGCCTTTTAACTTATTCCACAGGTTCAAATTCGGTAGATCTTTATTTCATTAATGTCCACTGCAATCAGAGGACCTGTATTCAATATCCGCGTGTGCTGAGTACCAGATATACATTTCCCTAAACCAAATGAAACACACTGCATAGACATCTTTCTTATCCCAGTCCAGCAACAGTAGCATAGGCGCAGGCAGAACGAAGAGAAGGCGCTTGAAAAGATGTTTCCAAGCCCCAATTAAGATCAAGAAAGGGCTTCGAAATGGGATAGGTACGTAGGGCTGGCCGGAGTACAATTACATGGGCACCACTTTGCAAGCCGCAAGAGCTGCGAGAATGGATATACCTAATCGGTGTGAGACCCAGCGTTTTTTCGTAGGTAGGATTGAGTTTTCGGATTTGGTGACTTCAATCGATGCAGATTTGCTCAATATTATTTTCGGTCAACGTATTCATGAGGCACTGAATTGATAAATCTTTCATTTCACAGTGTTTACCTTGTATACTCAACTACTAAAACTTGACATTCTATTCTAACACCCGTCCAGAATCTAACACATTAGATCGATCGCCAACCCATGTGTCGTGCGTTACGGCCGTCCAGGAATGCGAGATATTGTTTAACACGAGCAGTTATTCCTTCGGAGTCCAAGCGGAATCGTTCATAATTGCTCGGGTTTGACGCAGAATAACCGTAAGAGCTCATACCGACACTGGCAGTAACATACCGAGCCCAGGTCGTGGCCACGTACTCTTCGACGCTGATGATCGGCTTGCCATCTAAGGGAAAGACTGATTCTCGGTATTCCCCACTTTGCTGATCGAAGAGATCGAAGCTTGGGCAGCTGACAATCCGACAACTAATGGAGTGCTGCTCGCGTAATTGCTTTGCGGCGCGAACGGCATGTTGCAAACTTGAACCGCAGCTGACTAACGTCACATCGGCTTCGGTGTCATTCTGAAGCACGTATGCTCCTTTGAGCACTCTGGACCTGCTGGTCCCTGGAATGTTATCAAGAGGATCGCGAGCTACAGAAATCATTGTGGGGCTGTTAGTTGATGCCGTTGCCCACATCCAAGCACCGATCACCTCTTCAGCATCAGACGGCCGGATGTATGTCAGGTTTGGCATAGCACGATACAGTGAATCAAGTTCGACGGGCTGATGAGTAGGGCCGTTCTGGCCCTCGGCTACTCGACGTTAGTACTGGCTGAACCTATTTCATTCTGAGATCGGATTCCGTTGTCTTACCGAACGAGTCGTGCGTTGCAATGTGGATTACCGGAAGGTGGCTGAGAGCACCCATTCGTACACCGGGTGCTGCCTATAAGATTATTGAAACCTCTGGTCAGCAAAATAGGACAATAAGAGCCATCTTGATAAACTCACGTAGATGTAAAACATAAAGAACGTTGCAGTCACTGGTAGAAAGGTTCCAGGATGGAAAGCGGCAATTCCATTTGAAACGGAGGCCATCGCATGCTCTCGGATTCCATGTCTTATATATCGCCCTTTATAGCTCACTGATGGATGAAACACATCGCTGTCCGAATAAAGGAATTTGTTGGAGTTGACAAGGTCTGCACCTCCACCACACAACGAAGGGTAGAAATCCCAAAGCTTTTCCAATATGAGTCCGTTTGACTCTCTGGTGGCCATCCCCCGGAATTGTTCACTGTCTAGATGCTCTAGCAGCGTCTTCAGGTCTGGCTTCGCACCCCGAAGCCGGAAGGCAAACTCGCTGGCCTTTTCTGGATATTCACGAGCATATCTCATCAAGAGGTCCTCCCAGTCCCTTTCTAACGCTTCGCCGTGCTCTTTCCTTTCCCGGAAGTACCTCAAGCAGCGTTCTGATGGATTGTGGGTCGTAGAAGGGTTTTGGCCCGCGGCAATTTTAGATCGAGCCACGCTCTCAGGATCGAAGGCTCCGTGGTGCGCCTTAGCGGTTCCAGCGGTACTAGTACCAAGACCAATCACGGTACGAATGTTGATGAAAGTTGGTTTTCCCTTCAGCCACTTTGCATGATTTAGCGAGGAAATGATCGCTTCGACATCGTAACAGCCATCTAGGACGTCTAGGACGTGCCATCCGGAGGCTCGCATTTTGCCATTTACATCCTCGCTGTTGATCCACGCGAGTGGTCCATCGCAGGTAATGCCGTTGTTATCGTAGATCAAAACGAGGTTGTCCAATTGCAAATGACCGGCAAGGGCAATGGCTTTAAAAACTCTGTCAGTGACTGGTTATTTCGTGACATATATTCAAAGGAAATTACCTTCAAGGGCAACACCTTCCATAAGACAACCATCTCCAGTCATGCAGTAAATGCGGGAATTCACGACTTCGTGCCCAGGTTGGTTAAATTGGGCGGCCAAGTTCTTGGAAGCAATAGCAAGACCAACCGCGTTAGCGATTCCTTGTCCAAGAGGGCCTGTGGTAACTTCAACGCCAGGACACTCAATTTCCGGATGTCCGTGTGCAAGCGTGGTATACCCATTCTCTTTTGCACTTCCATATCCCTTCAGCTCATCCATCGTCCAGGCATCATATCCCGTCAAATAGTTGAGCGCATATAAGAACATCGCACAATGACCTGTTGCTTTGGTTGGTATGAGTTATTCATTGATATCGGTGCACGTACCATTGGAGAGCACAAATCGATCCCTGTTGAACCAGTCCGGGTTCGAAGGATTGTATCGCATAACGTACTTCCACAGGGCCACACCGATTGCTGCCATTCCAATGGCAGATCCACCATGCCCCCCACCGTTCTGGTTGCAGATATCGAATATTAAATTTCTCAGCGTAAGAACGGCAAGGTCATCATCAGACATTTTCACCGGTTTGAGATAGACTTCGGAGGAGCCCATCTTGCTAGATGAGTATAAACAAAGAGAAATATTCTTGTAGTCAAAGAGAACTTCAATGTAACGTGCGTTCAGTAGAGATATTTGTAGGTTATGAATTTATAGGCGTCCCAGACTCGACCATTCTCCCCGGGATCGCATTCCCGAAAGCCACGAGAAAGCACCCAGAGTGGAGGTAATTCCCGGCTGAGCTACGAACCCGCTTGCTGCACCCCGCAGTAACACTTCTGAATCAAACAATTCAAGCACAGGGTCTCCCAGCGGAAAGTGTATCCAGCGAATTTAAAGAATGTACCAAATCTTATATAAAACTCTTGGTCAATTGAAAAGAAAGAAAAACATAAATTTATCCTATCCTATCTTTAATATACAATGTATTTTTTTATGTTTAGCTTTAAATCGTATGTCCTTTTTATAGCCAGATACGCTAAGTTTTCTAAGACTCAGAAGCCATGGGCTATATATTACAAAGAGCGTAGCCGTATTAAAAGGCTTTGTTATAAGGTATGGAGGCTAGAGTATCATTTTGTAATCACCGCAATTAATTTGGTGTACTTGGATGTGCAGCATAGCGGGAACCGAGAGTTGTACTGCCTTGAAACACCACAATACCACGACTTCTGGTTTCTTGTGCTAGGATATTATTTCCCATCACGTTTTTTCAAGTACAAGGATAATTTATCTACTGGAGGGGTGACTCAATGGAGGGCATTATGAGTTCCTCCAGGCGGAGCTTCTGTGGGCTATGAATGTACTGGTCCCTGCTGCAATTGAAACTTTCCAAAAACAAGCTGCTGGCCGCGGTGGTAGCCGAACAGCCTACTGAGATAGGGAGTTCAACCAAACCAATACACCAGCCTCGAAATGAATTCCGCTGCCCGAAAAATGATGTTTCGGCATTTTAATCCATGAATCTCCACGTATTGAGAGCATCAGAACCCCTGTTCCAAAAGTGAAATGGCAGTATCAAGGCTTTTCATTGCAATCTATTAAAAAGACTTGGGAGGTAGTCTAGGGCGCTGTGTTCTCTATCTCAATGCCAAGTCCACTTATGAGTTGACAAAATTCTTATTGAACCTCTCCAACAACAATGAGACTAACGCAAGATCGGTCCCATGTTCAGAGTATTGCCATCTTATGGGAGCCCTACGATCATCTTGGTTTGCTTACTCTCGAATGTTTCATATCAGGTTCGAACGTTGGAACGAGCAATTTTAACCTCTCGGCACCAGATCAATGATGTGAGACCTCATCCAAACTGAGGCTTTGTAAAGATTGGTCCGGTGTAAGCTTCCCGGAACGCATTGTGTAAATTCGCAGAGTAATGCTCCTATTAGTCACATGAATTGTATAGCAATTAACGAATGTTATGGCACCTATACGTAATGATATGGTGATGCCGCCTACCTTTTTAATCTCGCCGTTATATCACTCAAAGCAGAACCTGCGGAATAGAAATTCCGACCCAAAGATGTGTTGCCATTTTTACTTTGAGACATCAATTGACTAGCGTCTTATCCGAGAACCAGTAAATGTCATGAGTTTCACTGTCATCAGGCAAAGTGAAGATACGTAGTTGTAGAGCAGTCAAGCCTGAATTCTACACATGAAAAATTTGCAAGAGAGTCCGTTCGATATCGTGTGACTAGTTGTCACCTCTCTTGGTTATTTGCGTCTCTAAGCCAAAACAGAATTATCTTTATATCTAGCAGGAGCTGCCTACCAAAAGAACACAAGCTCTTGTTCACACTACTACCTGCCTTGTCGAGCAAGTTTGATTACTTACGAGTACAACTAACTGCAGAAGGGCTAGGAATTGTTTGAAATTAGAGCGACCACTCTATATACATATAGGACAGGAAATGATTGGCCCGAAGATTGTTCATAAGCATTTGGAGGACGAAACGAACAAGACTAGTATACATCAGAGGATAAAGTGAATCATACAATGGGAAGCTGGCTTCGCGCTCCTCCTCTATTCATTCCGTACTCAAGTTTGAGAGTTCCTGCTGCATGAATGAACCGGCAGAAAAGTATCCGCTTCATGGTAGTAGCAAAAGCTGCGCGCCGAAACCCCGTATGCCGCCTATTTTAGTCAGTTCTCTGCGTTGGTACACAAAGAATATCAAAATACATCGCCGGTTCAAAATAGCGTGGGTAGACATACCGGTTCCAGACAAAACACAGAATTTTTTGCCACATCCAGTTTTGCCAATTCATGGCGTTGTAAACCAAGAAAATATGCCAGAAGTACGCGCACAACCGCTTTGTGGGTAACAAGCAGCAAATGATCTGTCATTCGTTCGAGTTCGATAATGACTGGGCGAAGCCGATTAATCACATCAACATAGCCTTCACCCCCAACGCCCGGCCAACGATGAAGAAGCTTGTTCCGACTGTGAGAGGCGAAAACAGTCGGATGCAACGTTTGAATTTCCTCAAATGTGAGACCTGCCATGTTGCCCACATTGAGATCGTCCAGCATCTTCATTTCTTTTTTTCGTACAAATCATCCGGGAAAGGAAGCGCAGTTTCGATTGCCTGTGGCATCATGGATGTCCATATGCGGAAATTGGTGAGGTTAAGCATGCCGTTATTTGTGTTGGATAAGCGTGCCTGAGGTAAGTGCTTTGCACTCCATTTGTCTCGCTGTTCCTGTATGAACTCTGACAACGCCCTTGCATACTGTCTTCCTTTGCCAGTGAGACAGGAAGTACGTCCAATTTTCCCTGCCGCATCATCCAAGCTTTCCCCGTTGCATGATATCCATATCTGTCGCTCGGATAGGTTGAAATTCAAAAGGTACTCGACCACGTGCGTTGCCAAATAGCCTCGAATCATGTGAGTGTTCATCTTGCGCCCGACATCGATCATTTGGACGTAAGGTATCCCCTGTTCCTCTTCGGCAATGCCCAGAGGAACGTACAATTTCTCGTAATTGGACACCCTCTGGCAGAAGTCAGCAAGTGCCTTTTCGGGGTTTCGATGCTTGTAGTCTGGACCGGATAGTTTGAGGAGAAAGTTCCTTCTAAGGAGGTCTTGGTCGAAGCAGCAGCTTTCAAGGAAGAGAATACTTGGCTCTGGGCCAGGTCTTTGTTTGATGTGGGAGAGGACAAGCTGGCGCCTCCGCTGAGAGATGTTGGTTGCATCGAGGATACCAATGGTGCCGCCGCGGTGCATGAGCCAGTCAAGTAGCGAATCTAGAGTAGCTAAGGCTATTTGGTCTCGAAAGTTCACTAAAGAGGGGCTGGTGGGATCAAAAAAAGCGGCTGGCGATGTTGACGACGATGAAGATGGCGGCACTATTAGGGGATTGGTTTCAGCGGTCAAAGTCCTTCGTCGATCTCCAACATTGAAGATACGGGTTTCATGTTGCAACCAATTCAGATAGCGGGCCAATTTCTTTACGATGTAGCTCTTTCCTCTCGCGGGAAGTCCAACCATAACAATAACCAGCTTTGCGCCAATATCTCGCGAGGCAATATAACCATCCGGTGAAATTGATGAGCTAGTCAGCCCAGGGATATCGAGAGTAGAAGGTCCTTTTCTCTCCGGGGTCAATTTTGTGTCCATTTTGAGCGGTCGTATGCCCACTATCAAATGGAAATAGCACAGTAGATACGGATCTGGTGCAATTGATGCACAAATATGGGAGTTTGTAAAGATGCAACCAGATAGGCAATGGGCCTTTTCAATATTTGAGTCTGGATTTGGCTAGAAAAGCACGGCAAATCTTGTCCGATCGGGATTGCATCGGGATTGCAAGCAAGGTTGCCCTAGCTGAGCTATATTGACCGTATTTATGAGCTGTCGTTAATTGTGAATCCTAATTACCGTTCGGTTTTCTTTCGTAATACTGATGTGGCTAAAGCAGGCTCTAGCATAGTCTGCGAATTGTTGAGTGGGTGGATTGGATGAGACTAAACGTTCAATGTAACTACTGCGGAAGTAGGAAGAATGCAAGCCCCCATTGAACTTAGGCTCTGCGGGTATGGAACTCGAAACCCGAATAGCAATAAGTAACAATACTGACCCACAGTGAATCAAGAACTGTATACCCTTTAGGTCTCACCTTCTAGTCCGTGATTTCAAATTTCTTGTGCAACAGGTAATGTGTAAAATAATTGATTGTTTATTGATTCACATCATGATCTTTCGCGCCGTCATTTTGGCATCACCTAGGTGAGAGTTGGTCTTTCCCAGGTTGGTATATCGACATAATTTAATGGGCGAAAGTGTGAAGTTCTGAGCACTAAGAAAAAGCCATTCTCGATGTGACTATAAAAGCCTCGGAAAGGAAGATTTGCCCCAGTCAAGTACTTGATAACTATCAGCGTCACAGTCAAATTTGAGAATACTGTAATCAATTTTCTTGGTTCCTGGCCGGGTTCTGCATTTTTCTATCAACATCTAAGTCCCGTCCAGAGATCTGGAAGTCCGCACAACAAAATTAAGTACAGGTTGGTTTTCCGATGGGCTCTAAAGTAGCTGCGGTAGAAGTTCTGGGTCACAAACCGCAAAGATCGGCGTCTCTTAAGTGGCAATTTGCTCTTTCTTAATGGTGAATTCCAGCTAGCGAAAACAATCTATCCGCAGCGGGTGAGAGGTCTGTACCCAGGAGTGGGAGTGTTGACAGAAACCTATTATTTACCATGCGCAGGTCTCCTTGCCAGTGATCACATAACATATGCTACCAATGTAGGCGGTTCAAAAATTGTCCGGTAGCAACATACTGCTACATAGTAAGTAAGTGGTAAGAATCTTCTTAAATATCACAAATTAGCGAAACACGGGACTTTCCACAATTAACTGTTTGGAATAAAGCGTGGAAGTGGTTTCGGTAGCGGGCGGGCAATTGTATGGAGTGAAAGCGGTAAGGGTGTAAAGGTCTGAGTAACTTACTTCGCTTGCGCCACACGCTGACCTCATTATTCGGAATTTGGTTTCCGGATTCGCTGCCACTCGGAAAACATCCCACGTTCTGATCAGAACCCCTCTGTACTCTAAGATGACAAGACGCAGAAATCCTTCCTGAATATGCCACGAAGAAATATTAGCGGAAAACACGTACGCAAGCATGTTACAACAGCTTGCATCCCATGCCGGGAGACTAAAGTCAAAGTATTTACACTCGCAGCACCAAGATACCCCTACACTAACATAGACCATTTGTGTTCTACTAGTGCGACGGTACCACACCGGTTTGCATAAATTGCCAGAGCAAAGGAAAAGATTGTAGTTACCGAAAGCGCGATGACAAACGAAAGTATGATATCATATGCGCAGACGCTCCACGCATTGCTTTTGCTAATATTCCTACCAGAATACCCGTGCGCATTGCAGTTAGCTTACTTGCAAAACGAGTTGGTTCCCTGTCTCAATATATCCGGGATTGTGGCTTCGAAGTCCCTGCTATGAATGAGCAGGACGAAGAGAGTCTCACAAATATCCTTCAGGCGCTCGGATTGGGTTACGAAGAGATACAATCGGAGGCGCACGCATCAAACCACGCGGGGGATACTCCTAGTCTGCTCAACTACCCTGCCCGGCCACCTGAGCAGGTAAACGAGGACAATGGAGGGAATTCGAACGGCCGCAGTGCCCCTGATCTCATTTCAAATCCCCGTAGGCAGGGCGGTGCTTCGAAGGGACTGAGAACATTTCCAACTAGCCTGGGTTTTGATACGGCAGCGGAAGCATTATCAGTGAACTCAGTGCCAATAACTCACGACTCTAATATCTCTTTTTTTCTTGATTCCACTGAAGAAGCTGCACCTCAAATCCGTCTATCACCAGACCATCCGCCGTCCGAGTGTGAACCGCATGAATTACAGCCTGATGATGCGGCATGTGATGATCTCCCAGACGCTGACGCTGATGATGAGTTTACAAACCAACTTTCCTACCGGCTGGGGCGGCTACAGTTCACCCAAGATGGGCAATTACGATACTTCGGCTCGACATCTAATCTCACTCTGCTAGATGCTCTAGTCAGCGTGGATTTACCCAATTCAAACATCACTCAGAAAGATACCCAAGAAGTCTTGGAAAATGCGAAACTCAATATTGACGTCGACAAGGATTTAGAAAATCACTTGCTTGAACTCTATTTTACGTGGCAGAATCCTTCCTTATACCTCGTCGATTCTGAGAGATTTTGGAAGGCGAGAAAAAGAATACATTCACAACGGCTTGGTCTCTTCATATTACTCCCAGTCCCTCGTTGAGGCAATGTGGGTTCTCTAAAAGATCTGAGAAGGAATAAAACTAATAAAATATTGCAGGTGTGCTTTGGGTGCTGCATATGCGCCCAAATATCACCCGGAGCTTGTCACCTTTCCCCGGTCTCTACCGGAATTCTTTGGTGACAGGGCTAGAGTTTTGTTAGAGTGCGAATTTGAGCACCCTTCTCTGTCAACAATCCAATCCCTAGTTCTCGTTAGCAACCACGAAGCATCCAGGACAAGGGACACTCGAGGATGGTTATATAGTGGTAAGTATGCCAGCGATACTAGACGAGTGCAGCTCTAACGTACAAAGGAATGGCCATGCGGCTTGCTTTTGACCTTGGCCTTCATCTCGACATGACACCCTATGTGGAGAAAGGTATCATTTCAGTGGAGGAATGTAACACCCGGCGTACCATATTCTGGGCCGCGTATATAAACGAACTGTATGCTTTTCAAAGTCCCCTTAAGTTTATGCACTTTTACTTACCCATTCAGGTTTTGGGGCTACTATTTAGGTCGTTCGGTTCGTAGTCCGATGGCAGGAGTCACGGTCCAAAAGCCCCACTGGAATAACGTACGCCCACCAGCGATATGGAGGCCTTACGATTGCCCTAAAATCAGAACGGAAAGCATGTATAATCCGTTGGAGATGATATGCCATCGATGGGTCTCTCTGTATGATCTCATGATGCCGCTTACTGATGTTTTGTGAGTCGTTCTGCAACCCTCCCTTTGTTTCACCTAATAATCTGGTCAAGATATGGATGTTCTGAAATTTCGAAGCGGGCTCTTCAGGAATTAACGGCGGCCACTGTTGGCCAACTGTTCGAATGGAAGAAGAACCTACCAGAGAATCTCGATGTCAATGTAGCAAAAGAATGTCAGGAGTATTTACCCCATATTCTTATACTGCAGTAAGTTATCTTATCAAGAGCTTTTTATCTACCGCGCTTTGGAAACTGACGTGTAAATCAGCATGCAATACTATCAGTTCGTAATTCACTGCCATCGCCCTTACATATCGAAGCACTACATCCAACCCCAACCACCACAAGGACCTGGCTCTTCCCATGCACGCAAGATGTGCATTGAGTCCGCCATTACAATTGCCAAAGTTTTGATGATATATGAAAGGCTTTATGGCTTTAGAAAGGCAAATTTGCAGATGGTATCATTTACTTTTTCTGCAGCACTGATCCTGATTTTCACCACCGTTCCAACGCAATCTAGAAGGCCTAATGAGGAGCATACTAAGTACCTTGGTACATGTTTCTGGGCTCTAGATGAAATGGGATACTGCTTTGAGAATGCCAAACGAACAAGCATGTTCTTGAACACCCTTCAGCAGCAGTGGCACAAACGCAGGCGGACTGCAACAAAACGAGATTTTCAAAGGGGGTCCGAGAATTGTCAAATTGAACGGAATACTTTAGAATTTTCTGCATACGATCGTCCTCGCTCATCGATGCAGACTTCCGGACCCGTCGAGACGTGCCTGCCAGCTGATTACTGGAACCAAGACTACACTTCAGCTAGCGAAGAAGCCTTGGACTTGGTGGATTTCATGGATCCCGATTTATGCAATGTACTGCTAAGTGAAGGAATTCCAAGAGCATTCGTCTGATCGACTTTGCTCTCATTTTTCAACAAGTTCAATCGGTCCTTAGTATATATCTGTATTCGACGGGCCCAAAACCTTCCTCCTTCTAGAACGCTTGCCCACCATCCGCGCACTCCGAGCATTCAGAGGTGAGGCGTCGACTTTAACACGCTCTCCGGTCCCATCTTGTGGCTGACTGTCTTGGCCTGAAATCGAAACCAGCTAGCCGTGTGATTTGATGTCTATAATAGCAGGCACGTTGTAGATTCACGCTGTTGCCACTTAATCTTCGGTGCTTAGGATGGGTCATTAATTCAAGAAAATACCGATTAGTGGTGTTCTTCGGTGTGTCGAACAACTTAAGTAGTGGCAAAATGAATGCAGCAGAAAGCCTACGGTCGCAAGTCTACAAACGATAGACTGGGGAGGGTGGGAGGGCATGGGTATTCACCTGTACCATTAAGTAGAAACGTGCAATATACCGAACTGTAAAAGCTTTTCAATTGATTGATCAAATGCATATCCTGGGCGTTCAACTTAATTGAGGCTTCTTAGGTTGTGTTTGGGGGGAGGGACATCAGCTTTCGATATATCTGAAACAGTAACTGAATGATCGTTTCTATAGTGACAAACATAAGTACAATATTATTTCAATGATCCTTATGTAACGAGGTTGAAAACATTTTGATAATGGATGAGACCAGAACAGCTGGACCAAATCATTGTAGTGATTACCCATAAATATAGTTCATCATACAAAACACCCAAAGTATGGAACCTTGCACTTTCATATGCGCGTTAGACAATGGTCAAACAGCTTGTCGGCCTCACCCTCTGCCCCTTTTTATACAATATAAACTTACATCAGCATAGACGGTGTCCGTTTCCAGACACGGCTTCCATAGTCACAGAGTCTCGATACTCCTTATCCGGCCAGCGGATGAGCAAGTAGCATCAATAGGGCTTCTACGCCCTCAAGGAGGGAGACTCTCCCACTGGCAATATCATCAAACCAGAAATTAATTTATATTATCCGAATGGAGCAGCCAAGTGTAAAAATGGATTGTCACAGACACTGCCCAGTGAGTTCTCGATGAGATGCATCGATGATAGCAGTCAGTCTCCCAAGAACAGCAAACTCCATTTTAAGTTTGATGCTGTAAACTGTAGCTTTCACAAGAACTTGTAATAGTAAAACCCTAGATATTCCACGATCAACAGCCCAGCGTCCATAAGAATTATGAGAACGTCGATGAGTAATAGTTCGTACATAATCTTATTGCGACGCCTAGTATGGCTGGGACTCAAGCGCAATAACTTGACGGTCTCTCAGATCTAGAGCATGGAAAGTAAGGGCTCTTGGGCACAACACCAAGTCAACTGCAGCGGCTCCACGATTCTGTATGCTTTGTTCCAGCTAGGGGATCGCACAAATGCGGCTCCATAAATTGTAGTTGTAGTCATCATACACGCCAGAAGAGACGATGTTATCGCGGTATATAGGACAATACGAAGAGTGTGCATGTCGTATAGCACCAAGTGTAGCCGAGAATATAAGATCAACGATTGTAGTGGAACGAGAAAATAAAACCCAATGATTGATAGCATGATTGCAAGCCATAATGGGCCGATGTTGAAGAAATATATCATGTTGCCAATACTGGTTGGTATGAGTCCAAAGAGATTGGATAGCATGAGTGTCCAGAAATAGAGTCCACAGTATCGTCGAAAGGTCACGAGGATGAGAATGAAGAGTTCAATCGCATTGTACAAAGTGATGGCTATCAGAGTGCCCATTCCAACTTTGACAGCAATACTATTTCCTCCGTAACCTCCAACAAGCCCCTCTGGACTTTGACCAAGAGAGGACGAGAGGCCGGCATTGTTAGCACAGCATTGGAGGATGCGATAGGATGCTGGTCCGAGGTGCAGCTAGCGACCGTAAAAAAGTTGCCCCCGCACAGCGCGCGTCTAATAGACGAGTCATCGGCGAATCCAGGGGCGAATTGAAACCCTGCAGCTTTTACAAAGCAACATCCAGACTTCTAATATGAAGTTGGCCAATGATTTCCTTCAACCGCTTCCAATCTTTTTGTGTTGTTATGTAAATTCTGAGGCGGAACGCATTTACATTTAGATCTCATCGCCCGAGAAATGAATTCCAACTAGCGGATATATCATCCTCGTCGAGGATGAGAGTTCAATTTAGGACTCCTTCTTCGCAACTGTTTGAAATTCCTGCGAGTGTCAGCTTCAGCCCCGCAGGGAATTTTGCTTTGGGCGAGGGGGCGTCTGGAGCGGTAATTCTACGCACACTTAGTGGCAGAAATCCGAAGTTGCTAGCCATCGATCCTATCTGGTCTCGCCGTGTTAAACGAAACACTGGTTCCAATGGGAAAATAAAAGCTATAAATTGAAAACCTCCGTAGTTATTGGACTGCTTATTTAGTCCTTGGTGGTGGCGCGATTCGGCATTCGTTTTCCGTGAGTGTATTTTGATCTTGCTTTGACCTTCCTGGCTAAGAATAAAAGTCATAGGTCCGCAAACGCCACCACCTTAGATAACCCAGCCGACGGTAGGAGACAAGATTCTCCTCAAAGGCGATCTTCAACCCACTAACTGTACCCCTAGTGACCCAAACATAACCCCAACTATCCCAGATGCACTCTCCAGCAGCCAAGAAATGACATACTGTGGTTTTCAGAAGTGTTTCTTTTGACTTCAGCGGGTGAATAATAGACAAATTAAATTGGCACTAGTTTCTTTCCGTGCATCAAATACGTGAAGAGTAGGAAAACTTGTTGGAGATTGATCCATGTCCACGAGAATTTGGCTATTGGCTGGATTGTATTCGATGTGTTGAATAAGAGCTATGAATACGTACGCGACTGTGACTATGATGTAAAAATAAATAACTGCCAATTAACAGCTGATCGGGAATAGGAAAATAGCAGCTAAAACGAGTTGTCACTCAATTGATCCAACCTCCCGAGGTGAACTTTACCACTTAGTATGCCGTTTGCTTTAACCTCTCGGTATCGCAGCAATTACCCTACAGCCTAAAGAAAGGGACGCTTGTGGCAAACTGTTTGTTTCAGTAGTTTGCTAACAAGTCTCCTGCAGTAAAGGAAAATGTCATCCACTTAGTCCGTTTATAAAGTTCCTCGCATCGACATGTTTTCATAGTACCTTCGAAAAGACATGTAGGCGCGGGTGACCCGCCATTCGCTTATATTTTTTCGAGCAGGATGGGACTTGCGTAAACGATCAAACTCATACCACATAATGACTTCTCAAATTATTGCTAGCTATCCAATTTTTGCCCTGATTTTGTTTATATTAATTCCAACGTGAAAACGAACAGATAATTCGTGGGTTTCAACATACTTTCATTTTCCAATAAAATCTATTCGCCATCGAGGTTTCTGCGCTTTTGATTAGCTTGACGTCACAAATAGCGGAATTGAACCGTTTGCTGAAAATTGTGTCATGATATTGCCCCCACTATCTACTGTTGTGTTTATAATCATCCGGGATATGAAACGGGATATGAAACCCGGGTATGACAACTTTAGGAATTTAAAAGACGGTCGTGTCCTTTGGCTATAAGTCCTTCGATAAACTAAACTTTTATTGTTTATACATTTCTACATCTTATAGCGAGGTTTCAACATTGCCTCCTGTCCGCCATGCCTCAATCTGGCAAGCACGCTCTTATTTTTGGAGCCTCCGGTATTTCGGGGTGGTCCCTCCTGAATCAATGCCTCCACTACCCAACACCTACGACCTTCAACCGCGTCACCGGTCTGTCCAATCGACCATTTCCAACCGAGGATGCACTTTTGCCAGATGATGCACGTCTTCGCTTTGTGTCGGGTATCGACCTTACACAATCGGTGGAGACTGTTAGCGATCATCTCAAAGCCAAGGTTGACGATATTGAGTCAGTCAATGTGGTCTTCTTTTGCGGTACGTGCTTGTAGAGCGAGAACTTTTTGTATCAGGTTTCAAATGCTGATTCTTCGCTAGCCTACATCCAGACAGGCGATTTCCAGTCCCTACGTCACGTCAACACGGCCCTTCTTAAAACGGCCACAGAAGCCATCTCTGCCATTTCACCTCATCTAGAAGTAATTATTCTACAGACCGGTGGCAAAGGCTACGGATTGGAGTTTCCCAAACAGGTCAAGATCGAGCCTCCTCTTCGCGAGACCATGCCCCGGATCCCGGAACCCTGGCGCAGCAACATTTTCTACTACGACCAGTACGATCTTCTACTGAGCCTTTCTAAAGGTCAAAAATGGACATTTTCTGAAATTCGACCGGATGGGATTGTTGGCTTCGCCCCCGGGTCTAATGCTATGAATATGGGATTCGGCATTGCATTCTATCTCACACTGTATCGAGAAGTCTACGGAAAAGGTAGCAAGGTTCCTTTCCCTGGTAAGCCGCACGGCTATCACACACGCCACAGCGACACCTTCCAGGATATCCTTGCCAAAATGGAAATCTACGCATCCCTCAATCGTGAGAAATGCCCCAACGGGTCAACCTTCAATTGTGGTGACGGTCAGCCAGTCAGCTGGGCTCAAGTCTGGCCGGGAATCTGCTCCTACTTTGGCTTAGTTGGTACTGAACCAGATGGCAAACAGAAAAAAATGCAGGATTTTGTTCACGCGAATTTAACGGTGTGGAATCGCTTGGTTGAGGCTCATGGACTGAAAAGGGGCTTGATCGAGTCTCAAAATTGGGGTCACGCTCATTTTATGCTCGTGGATTTTGACTTTGATCGGGAATATTCCCTTGATGCGGCTCGCTCTGTTGGGTTTAACGAGTATATTGACACCGTCAAGGGTTACCACATTACGTTTGACCGGATGGTGGACGCGAAGTTTATTCCTTTCTTTTCCTGACAGGATTTTGTATGCAATAGTCAGACTAGTTAAGGGGAGAGAAAGGATCTGACTACTTTGCTGCAAAGGGACTCCAGGGCATGATATGACTACCAGTAACAATCCTCCAGCGGGAGCAGCCTCACTGAGACGATAATTGTAGGTATAAAATTTCTTTGCATCTTGCTCGAATATCTTGTAGTGTCTTAATTTTCGATATTACTGTAGAGAGTAACCAAGGAGGAACATACTCTTCGCAAGCCATGTTATCCGAATTGCACCTCACGTCGACTCAGGTCGTTTTAGCCAGGCTAGGTGAGTGATCTCAGTCATTCTGGGCTAGCTCGCATGTGGATTACATGTAACAATTCACCTAGCTGAGTTGCGCTCCCAAAATACGATATTCTAAAATCGAATATCAACAACAAGTTTCCTTATTTTGTTTTCACTTTAATGAGTATTCAGGATGTTGGAAATTCCATGAGAGTTGAAGGAAGATCAGGTGATTAGTTTGTTTTGTTCTGTTTCAATAAAATGGACTATTATTTACTTCATTCCGCTGAAAATATATATCAGTCAATAACGACACCTTTATGATTTAGTACGACAGTGATATCAAGTTAAAGTGTATCGTATTTAATATAGTGTTTTGGGGTACGTGGGCTCGACAGGAAGCGGTTCACAGAAGCGAGCGCCGTTATCGCATGCCAACGCAAAACGCGTCGTTTAATTAAAACATAATTTCTTCAACCACCTGTGATGCCACTATTTTACTCAATCCTCTCAAAATTTAATTTAACAAGAAGAGAATTTTATTAAATATTTGGCTATACTAATCCAGAAATGAGCGATCGTGAAGCAGCGCTTCGTTTTGAAGTACCGGAGAGCTCTCTACGCCGCCGTCTAAGAGGCTATACCAACCGCGGTAAAACTCGTCCCAATAGACATAAATTGACAGCAATCGAGGAACGGCTTGGAAGCTGGATACTCTCTATCTATTCTTGCGGAGCAGCCCCCGGACCTACGACTGTGCTAGAAATGGCGGATTTACTCGCAGCGCCAGGAACTACCTCGATTCAACCAGTCGGCGATGATTGAGTTTATAACTTCGTAAAAAGGCAGTTCTGCCTCTGATCCCGATTCTCGAGGTGTTATAATTACAAGCGCGCAAATTGGAGATCCAAAAATCGTTAGCGAATAGTTCGATTGCTGCAGCGTACGATCCTTCGATACAGCATCGATCCCAACAATACCTATTAACTCTGACGAGACCGGGTTTGCAATGGGCTTAATCGCGGCCACAAAGGTATTACGAGGGATAAATACGACGATGAGTGATTACTTTTAAAACCCGGAAATCGTAAGTGGGTGACCGCGATGCAGTGTACGAATGCTTGGGGCGGGCGTTGCCTCCGTGTGGAAATGTCTTGATCGAATCTTGTTTCGGCAGTCTCCCAGACTATTAGTGCTTCGAAGCTAGTATGAATGGATGGATCTCTGATGAAAAATGGCCTTCAGTGGCTAAAAGGCTCTGTATTCCTTCGACATTCGCTCGTACGAAGGGGAAATATCGACTTTTGATACTCGACGGCCACGGAAATCACTAAACTCCACAGCCCCTCCGATATCGGTTTGGTTTACGGTGTTGATGCGCTCGTGCGGTCGGTTTATTGAAACGAAGATGGGCTGCGAACCAACTATATTTCATCAGGGTGTACCCCCACGCCTGAATCGAGGAATTCAAAGACAAGACTATCAAAAATATCTTCGCAGTAGCCAATATACTGCCTTATGACCTCAATCTAGTGGTGGCAAAGCTTAATATTCGGTTCGCACACCGACACCTCGGTGAGCCGGGTTAGGCATCGGGAGATAAAGACGCCATCGAACTACGTATGATAACAAAATTTTACTAAAGCAGTGCCTAGAATACCAACGGAGCCCGCCTAGTTCCGCGAGAAGAACTCGGGCTTTCAACGCATGTGAAACCACATTGAATCGGCCACTGTCCTCAAGAAGCCATTTACGCGTCCCTAAAGAAGCAAATGAAGCAACAGACTAGTCAGATTTTTTGTGAGCTACGATCGTAGCTAAATGAGTCCCATCAAACCCGTACTACCCAGGTTCATCAGTAAATTTTAGGTTCGTTGCAACCCCGTACGAGAGCCTTGGCAGAATTCGTTTGTATGGAGCGAAGGACCATATGCAAAATACATCTCCAAGTAGATCTAAGTAAGCAGTTTCTATTAATTTATGGAGTTCTCGATGAATAAATGCATTTGAATTTGGTGGAGGGGGTAAACTGGGCCGCTCGCATGTAGATTTCGTGATGTACATATGTTGTTCCATGTAGCCCTCTTGAAGAAGCTGATATCTACTTAGCAGAAGAAATAAGAGTATCCACTTGCACACGCAGACCTTCGACAACTCCAGCCACAGTCTCACCCAAACCACCACCATATCCACTTCGCGACATTATGATCACAATTGCCGCCACAAGACTGGTCTTAGAAAGCCACGAACCCATTTTCAGCCACCTAGTAAATCGGTAGAGAGGCCAAACTGCTGTTCCATTTTTCCAAAGGAACGCATTCCAGTTCGGAATGTACGTCTCCAGCCAAAAGAACGCTGCCTTCGCTGGCCAGGAAGCAGAATTCCGACCGTGATCGTTGATGTACCAGTTTGAGCAATCTCCCGCGAACACAGTGCCCTTGAGTTTCCTTTGGATGGAGATCGTATGCCTTTCCTCTGCCGACTGCTTCACTTCCACCAGCCTAGTTCTACGATCCAAAATCGGCTCGAAGAGGGCTTTGATAGCAAAGCACACCTGGGTCTCACAGGCGAACAAAGCAGAATTGTTCGCAGGGAAACTGTTCGGGCCAAAGCTGACTGGTTGTGAGCTGCGATGAATAAAAATTCACACATTCAGGAACTTACATAATGCCCAAATTTGGGAAATTGTGGACGAAGGTGCCGTAATACGCTTGCGCGCCCTTGGATTCATCCCACTGTTTGTTTAGGGAAACACCATGCCTCCCATATATCTCCATTGGTGCCAGGAACTGTGAGACCTGAAAGCCGGTCGCAAGGACGATAATGTCGAACGTTTCTTCAACACCGGAGGAGCCGATGATACCGGTCTCAGTGAACTGCTGAATCCCTTCACTGCGAAGCACGACGTTGGTTTGATGGAGACAATCTAAGTAACCCGGATCGAAGATCCGTCTTTTGCAGCCTGCGCAGGAAAATATTAGATCCAATCACTCTGTTTAACGGTCGTCTTCCCTACCTAACGGAAAATTAGGTACTATCGCCTCATGGTACTTCTGCGGAGTACGAGAGAGAATGTACTTTTTGGATTCTTCCTCTGCCGTAAGCCTAGCTTTGACACCATCTGGTGAAGAGAAATAGGTGTAGGATTCTAGCTCTGCTTGCAGAAAGATCCGCAGTCGGAGCCAGCGTTGCCAGAAAGGCAGCCATTGAAAAGCTCGCTTTTGAATCTGCGAAAACGATTTGTTTGGCTTCCACACCGATATGTTAGCATGGCATTATCAGGACAAAGATGCGAACAGATAACATACCCGAGGATGATACCATTGAGCACTGCGCGCGTATTGCTGCACTGCGGCTGCTTTTTCAGCGAGCGCAGGCACAACTTGGGCAGCACTACAGCCGTTTCCAATTACAGCCTAAGATACGTTAGCATTTACGGTCGAGTAGGTTGTTTCAGCATCAAGTAGTGAAGTCATACCACTCGCTTGCCAGTGTAATCGACAGAATGGTCCCATCGTGCAGTGTGGAACATCTCGCCCTTGAAGTCTTCCATTCCTTTGAACTTGACGTCCCGGGGGAAAGAAATGGCACCGACAGCGGAAACGAATATGGTAGCACGACGCTCAAACTCGAGCCCAGTCTGCAGATCACGAAACCGCACAGCCCACTCCGATTTGTCGTCAACCCAAGAAGCGCCTAGGCATTCCACAGAGGTGATGACATGTTGTCGTAGGTCAAATTTATCAACAGTATCTTCAATGTCTAGGGATGGCGTCTTGTCAGTAAAGTTTCTTTTGCCCGTATGGCTAGAAAGATGTCCAGGTAACCAACTAACATTGCAGAATTTCGGGTTGTTCACAGAGTTCTTTAGACCAATTTGGATTCAGATTGAAACTGAAAGAGTAAAGATGAGAGGGAAGATCACAGCCACTGCTACCGCGTCATTAATTGTCCTTCAAAATCGTTGTTTGTAAGGGGCTCACCATCCGGGATAAGTATTGGATCGCCATGTGCCACCCACGCCATCTAGCTTCTCGTATATCTGTTAGGTGTTAGTACATGACAGCACACACACGGACTATAAGCTGGTTGTTACAAGAAAGTCGTCGTAGCCCAATTCATGTTTGAGCCGGTACGCCATTGAGATACCACCAGGGCCAGCGCCAATAATGATGGCAGTGGGCGAGTAAGACGAAGCCATTTTGCAGAGTATGTAGCGGTACTAGTACAGGCAGCAGAAAGAGAGAAAGTGTCAACAACAATTCATAATCGAACTTCCATCTACTGCCCTTTGTCTAATAAATCAACCAATTTTCGGAAGAATAATCCCGGCGATTATGAGTACCGGAATTCAGATGAGAGATCCCGGAAATGTTACAGGGGCGATTCCTGGAAATCGGAACTCATTTCACGGCTAGGGTATATGTGGAGATGTTGGCCCTTTACCCGGATAGTCTCTAATATTGCTGTCACAACGAGTTGGACTAACTCAAACTGGATTAACAACAATGTCAATCTCACACATTTCCAATAAGGGCCAGTACCTTCATGGTCCTGGGCAACTTCGTCTTGAGGACCGACCATTGTCTTCGATCGGCCCGTCAGATGTGAGGATTCGGATCCGAGCAACAACTTTATGCGGCTCCGATGTGCACTATTTCAAGTATGGCAAGAACGGCTCAATTGAGGTGAAAGAGCCACTCTGTGGTGGGCATGAAGCAGCCGGTGAAGTTGTGGAGGTGGGTGCCGCTGCTCGAGTATTGGGAAAAGTCCAGGTCGGTGACAAAGTTGCGGTTGAAAGTGGTGTACCTTGCCAAGAATGTCCGAAGTGTGAGGACGGCCGATACAATATATGCTCGAAGCTTCGCTTCCGGAGCAGTGGCGCATCGTTTCCACATTTCCAAGGAACCCTCCAAGAATACATTGACCACCCTGCTGAATGGTGTCACCGGTAAGTATTGCACTGTACGAAGAAGACCCTAATTAATGAATTTGTCACCAGGTTACCCGACGCACTCTCATTTGACGATGGCGCTCTACTTGAGCCTCTGTCAGTGAGCATTCATGCCGTTAATAGGACTGCCATGAAGGAGAAATCACGGTGTTTAGTTTTCGGGGCTGGGGCAGTCGGGCTCCTCTGCGCTGCCGTTGCGAAAATTGAGCACAATAATTCTGTGGCAATTGCCGACATTGACCAAGGAAGGGTCCAATTTGCACTCGATCATGGTTTCGCAGATACAGGGTTTGTTGTAGTTCCACGACAAGGCAAGGACCTCAAAGAGCGTCTTTCAATCGCGAAGGAGCTTTCAGTGGAAATTGGGAAGCTGAAATGGCCCGGGGGGAAAAAGTGGGCCGGGTTGAGCACGTATTTGAATGTACGGGAATAGAGAGTTGCGTGCAGACATCTATCTATGTGAGCTCCCATGCTAACTCACGCGTAAGAACGAGGCAACTAATCTTAACATAGGCAACTGATAACGGTGGAAATATCGTGCTTGTGGGCATGGGTACTCCCGTTCAATCGTGGCCGATTGCAGAAATTACAGGCCGTGAGATCAATATTGTGTCTGTTTGGCGTTACGTTAACTGCTATCCTCGAGCAATCGAGATCGTGGAAGCTGTGAGAGGCGGTGTTCTCAAGCCGGATGTGACAAAGCTCATCACACATCGGTTTACTGGGATTCAGTCGGTTCCATTGGCTTACGCCACTGCCAGTAACACACGAGACAAGGAATCAAGATTGATTATCAAAACAGTAGTCAACTTTTGACCGACATCTTGTTGTGCAGTGATTCATGGCCAGTCTGGTATTATTTTTGAGAAAAAAAATCAGATCTCCTGTTTATATCAACAAATAAGCGAACAAAATGGGATTGCGAAAGAGCTGGAGCGGAAATGAGATTTTTCGTATGGATTTTCAACATCCGTTCCATCAGTAAATAGTTCAACGATCCCGACTATCTGCCTGCATGCGATTCCCCTAAAAGAAGTCGAATTTAAATTTTGTAAATTGCCAATTTCTGACAACGGATTCTATAAGCCGTCATAGATCCAGGTCGTTCGGCTTCTAAGGCAAGGAAGCGCCCTTTGATGTCTGGACATCCTGCGTGTGAAAGGAGTATTGTATGGAGCGCAAAGCAGGATATTCATATTCTCTGTATAGAATATGTGCTGAAATAAATTACCCTGGTGTTGAAGTCACCACTTGACCAGTCTTAAAACGAGTTGCGAAATATGATAGTCTTTTGTCCGCCTCTCAAAGGTTGATTGTGTAGTTCAGCCTGAGCTATGACATCCTAGGGTTCCATGTTTATCACATGACGAAGGTGCCTTTTGCCAGGCGTGCGTGGGATTTTCCGATTTGTCCTTGTCAGTCAGTCTCCCAAACTTTGATCAGTATTTGCACCGTGGTTAGGATTTTTACCAGCAAGATTGAAGCCAGGGAGGCGCTGCCAGGTATAGACTCACAATACAACTGAACGCGGTCTGAAATCTTCCGTGAAAGCCAAAAAAAAATAAAACTTGGACAGGAACTGACAGTATTGTATCCATTCACCAGTTATGCCCTCAAATACGCGCCAACGGCATGTGATATTGTCTGCTGGTTACGAAATATAAGGCCAGACTTAACCTAACACTTGAAAGTGTGGACAGCACAAAATTGTGGGATACCTTGACTAGAACATCAAAAGTTACTAATTTGGAACCCGGGCTCTTGCAACCATCGGTCACCTCAGGGAGCATGGCATCAGTTTCAAGCGGACTTGCAAGTTTACACCACGAGTACTTCTTCCCAGCAACCGTAGGATTTATGTTTTACATTTACAAAAATTATTTTCGGGAAATCGGAGTAGCGCAGCGAGGAAATCAATCTTGATCGTATTTGATTGGATATTTTTTGCTGAATATTGTTGGGTAATCACATCCATCTCGGAATGAAGAGAAGCATATTGATGTAGCCATCATTTTCATGCAAGTCGCAATTCCCACGGTGCCCAATATTTCTGGTAACCAGGTTTCGTCCCCTCGGAACAGTTCGTAGGTCGTAGGTCAGTGACCGGAAGTAATATTCCGCGGCATGGATGCCCCCGACGGAAGTATAAAACACGACCCAATAATCACTACCATCATGGAATCTCTATTTCTGATATCTCAATCTATTGTGCTCTCAAAAATTCGTTTTACAATGTTCACTGAATCCCCAGTCTCTCAAACAGCTCCGGAGCATGTTACAAACAGTATGATGAAAATCAAAGAGAGTCGCCTCTTTGCTGAAAATGAGGCGTTCATCGATGGAACTTGGATTAGAAAAGAGCATACATTCAACGTAAACGGTTTGTCTCTACATGCCAGCCCCTTGAAATCCATCTAATCATTTTTCAGAGCCGTCTACGGCTCAGGTCCTCGGGACCGTAGCTGACTGTGATTTGGATGACATGAAATCCGCAATCGAGAGTGCCCATGAGTTTCAAAAAAGTTACTTTCTTTCGACCACGGCTCCAGAGCGTGCTAACCTGCTCCGAAGGTGGCATGACTTGGTCATGGAGAACGTCGAGGACCGTAAGGACACACTCTTTTATACCAAGCGCCTGTCACTTTCTAACAGAACGCATGTTTAGTTGGAACTATCTTGTGCCTGGAAAATGGAAAAACAATAAACGAGGCTAAAGCCGAAATTACTTATGCTGCGAGCTTCCTCGCTTGGTTTGCCGAAGAAGCAAAGCGATCCTACGGTGACACTATCCCATCATCAACGCCCAATACCATGGTAATGACCGTGAAAGAGCCCATTGGCGTCTGCGGAATTATCACACCATGGAACTTCCCGGCCGCAATGATTACGCGGAAGGTAGCCCCTGCTCTGGCTGCTGGATGTGTCGTGGTTATTAAGCCTCCGAGTGAAACACCGTTTACGTGCCTTGCTCTCACAAAGTTGGCCATCGAAGCTGGCATACCGGCAAAGGCACTACAGATTTGCCCTACAAAGAATAGGGAGGTAGCCTCGGAGCTGGCGACGAACCCTCTCGTTCGCAAAATCAGCTTTACCGGCTCTACAAATGTCGGTAAAACTCTTGCTACGCTGGCCTCTCGCACGTTGAAGAAAGTGAGCTTAGAGCTGGGCGGAAACGCTCCATTCATTGTTTTTGATGATGCCGATATCGATATCGCCGTGGAGGGCGCAATGGCATCCAAGTTCAGATGCTCAGGTCAGACGTGTGTGTGGTGAGTACACTCCTTTATAATCACGTTGCATACTCTAACACTACGATAGTGCCAATCGGTTCTACGTTCAAAAGGGGGTTTTGGACGTTTTCACCCAGAAACTCGTGAAGAGAGTATCAGAACTTCAGTTGGGACCTGGGATGAACCACAGTTGTACACAAGGCCCGCTTATTAACGCATCCGCTGTTGAAAAGGTTAAGGAGCACATCGAGGATGCAGTTGGCAAAGGAGGCTGCATTGAAATCGGAGGTTTGGCCCCAAGCAGCCCTGGATTCTTCATGCAGCCTACTGTTCTCACCGGTGCAACGTCGGAAATGCTTGTTGCACGTGAAGAGACCTTTGGGCCATTTGCCCCAATATTCTCATTCGATACCGAAGAGGAAGTAATCCGTCTGGCGAATGATACGGAATTCGGCCTGGCGGGCTATCTCTTCTCACGTAACGTCGGGCGTGCAATGCGCGTGGCCCAGAGGCTTCAAATTGGAATGTGTGGGGTGAATACGGGCAAAGTCAGTGCAGCCGAGTCACCCTTTGGCGGCGTCAAGGAGAGTGGTTATGGGCTTGAGGGAAGTAAATATGGCATGGCGGAGTATCAAACTCTGAAAACAGTTACATTGGGGAACCTTGACTTGTAAAGCAGACTTCATACATCGTCTTTTAGCAATGATATTACTTTTCCTTCACTGACAGAACTTCTACTTGTCGCGTCAGTAGGGGCCTTTTTTAGACCTATTCAATCATACTGTCGACATGCCCAATCTCTGGCCCGGGTTATGTATTCCATGGAGTCAACCAGACGCCGGATAGGGGTAATTCCGCTCGCGCAATGCTAAATCCCTTGTAATTGAAACGATGCAGTAATCCCGGCGTCAGAAATCCGGGCTGTAAGGTGGTCCCCGAGCATATAATTGTTCTGCCCAGATTCCCCTAAATGCAACCCTAACCTTGGTACAACTGCTTCATACCATCCGTATCAACAGAACCACACGCACCCTTGATCAATTATATCAAATCCCTACTATTGGTTCAATATGGGAATTGAGCTCCAGGGAAGGCAGCTGGCTCTCGGCGTTGGCTTCACCACTTCCTGCGGTTTTCTTCTGTTTGGTTACGACCAAGGTGTCTTTGGTGGCATTATTGAAAATCCAAACTTTCGAGAAACCTTCAATCAACCGAGTCAACTAGCGATTGGACAGATAACTGCAACGTACGACCTCGGTTGCTTTTTTGGTGCTATATTTTGTATAGTCTATGGAGATCAACTCGGGCGTCGACTTTGTGTCGCGATGGGATGTGCCGTACTTACGATCGGGGCAATCATGCAAACCACGTCCTTCAGCATCGCGCAGATGATTGTCGGTCGATTCATTGCCGGACTCGGAAATGGTCTCAACACAACTACCATCCCGGTTTGGCACTCAGAGATGTCCAAGCCCCAGCATCGTGGGTACCTCGCTGTTCTCCAACTCGCTCTCAACCAACTTGGAAATGTGACGGCCCAGTGGCTCAATTTTGGTCTCGGATTCATTGGTCACCGTGCAGTCTCTTGGAGATTTCCCATCGCCTTCCAAATCTTCTACGCTCTTGTGACAATGATTATGCTTCCCTGGCTGCCCGATTCGCCACGTTGGCTCATTCAAAAAGGCCGCTTGGAACAAGCCCGGGCGGTAACGGCTCGACTGCATGCCCGAAGCATCAACGATCCTGAGACAGAGATTTTGCATGAAACATCTGTTCGAAACGTCCTTCACGAACTAGAGGTCTCCAAAGTTAGTTGGCGTGCCTTATGGCACAGTGACCGGTTGCAAACAAGAAGGAGGGTTCTCTTAGGAATAGGCGCTCAGCTCATGCAGCAATGGGGGTATCAACGCCATCAACTACTATTTGCCTGTTGTATTTGCCTCTCTGCAAATGTCCCGGCAAATGTCACTGATCCTGTCGGCGTGCAATGCGATCAACGTCATGGTCTTTACGTGTGTCTGTATCACTGTCATAGAGACCTTAGGCCGGAAAAAGCTCATGTTATTGGGCGCAATGGGCCAAGGAATCTGTTTCACCATGATCACTGCGGGTCTGGCTGCTGGTGGGAGCAAATGGGCAGCGGTCTCTATTGCCTTCATTTTCGCATTTTATACTATATTTGGTCTTTCGTGGATTGCCATTCCATGGATGTATGCGGCTGAAGTGAACACACAACCATGGCGGAATCGCGGAGCTGGACTCGCGACCGCAACCAACTGGATTTGCAATTATGCTGTTGTTCTGGTAACACCGATCGGCATCGCTAACATTGCCTGGAGGTACTATATCATATATGGCACCTTGAACTTTCTGTTTGTACCTATCATTTATATATGGTATGTTGAAACGGCTGGTCTGTCCTTGGAGGGTATCGACTCTCTTTTCGAAGGGAGGAAATCTGATGCTGATTCGGCTGCTAAAAAAATTGACTGTGACCCCGCACAACTCAAGGCACCAGGGGATGAGGGTCAGAGTGAGTGGGTTGAGATGGCCACCCAGGACTGAATGTTGCCTTCGTGAAGCAAGAGGCAAGAGCCGAAGGGGGTGGAGGGAGGCATCTCGCCGGGATTGATTATTCTCTGCCCCCGGGATTTGAATCCCATTGCCACTTTAAGACATCTTCGCCCATAAAAACTTCTTTGTCAACTATTACTAGCCTCCAATATACCTATACATAAGATACCAACACATGATGCCACCAAAATTGAAAAACGGAAACCCAGTGCGCAAGCATGTAACGACTGCTTGTACCCCGTGTCGAGACGCGAAAGCGAAAGTGCATAATTCCGGAATCCCTACGTGTACGTACTTGACTGACTGTTTAACTGTCTCAGTGCGACGGATCGAAGCCATCATGCAAGAATTGTGAATCCAAAAACAAAGTCTGTAGCTACCGGCAGCGCGACGACAAGCGAAAGTAGGTATTGATACAGCCGTGAATGTTATCTGTATCACTGTATTGATGTACCTAGCAGGATCCCTATACGTATTGCTGTTACGCTCCTAGCTGAAAGAGTTGCATTTCTATCGCAACTCATTCGGAATAATGGTCTTGAAGTCCCGGAAATGAATGAGGCAGATCAAGATACCTTAAGAAGCATTCTGCAGACATTGGGATTGAGATGTGAAGGTGTTCGTGTAGGAGACCAAGAATCCAGTAACTCGGGAGCTATTTTGCCGGAGAACGAAAGAGTTATCAGCGTGGCCAGCCAGGTTACCAATGGACAGACGAACATGACGAACACGCAACGGTCGGATTTAGGGGGGCGTGGTGATTATAACTACACTGGGAATGACCTTCATGCATTTTGCGAGGCACCCGATCCTCAGATACCAGTAGAAGATGTCTCCGAGGGAACACTGCTGATTGATTGTGACTCTGCCAATTCGACACACATTGGTCCTACGCAGAACGGCCAAATTCCTAATCCACTTCCTGGAATGTCTCGGATGCATGATCAGGATCCAACTCAGCCACGACCCAATGAAATTCCGATCAGTGGTCTTCCAGAAACCGACAGTGACGATGAAGTTGTGGAACAGCTTTCATATCGTCTGGGACGAGTGCAAGTGACTCACGACGGTCAACTACGATATTTTGGATCGACTTCCAACCTGACGTTACTTGATGCTCTGGTTAGTATTGGCAATCCTAATTCAACTTCGGTTCAGAAGGATATGCAAGACACTTTGGAGAACTTGAAACTTGATATGCAAGTCGAAGAAGCCTTTGAAAAGCACCTACTAGAGCTCTACTTTGCCTGGCAAGACCCGTGTCTCCATGTCGTGAACATTGAAGCCTTCTGGAAGGCAAGATTGCAAAACCGCTATGAAGATTCAAACTCACAGTATTACTCTCGCTCTTTGTGCGATGCAATGTTAATATTACTACTTTATTGGGAGAGACTCCAAGCTGACAGGCCCATAGGTGTGCAATGGGTGCAGCGTACGAGCCCAAATTTCACCCTGATCTTGTCACGTTTCCTCGGTCACTATCAGAATTCTTCAGTGACCGGGCGAAGACCTTGTTGGAAGCCGAGATTGAAAATCCTTCCCTAGCTACAGTGCAGACTCTAGTCATTCTCAGTAACTACGAAGCATCGAGTACCAGAGATTCTCGAGGCTGGTTGTACAGTGGTAAGCTCATTCCCAATATATCCAACCACTGAAACAAAAACTGAAAAACATAAGGGATGGCCATGCGACTCGCATTTGATCTTGGACTTCACTTGGACATGATACCATATGTGGAAAAGGGTATCATCTCGGCCGAGGAATGTGAGACCCGACGGACAGTCTTCTGGGGCGCTTATCTCAATGAACAGTATGTCTGGTTTTTTGACCCTGGAAATTGTTTCTAAATTGTCTTAGATTTTGGGGATACTACCTGGGGCGGTCTGCACGGAGCCCAATGGCCGGTGTTACTGTTCGAAAACCATACTGGAATGACTCCTATTCAACCATTCATACGGCAGCACGATGGAGAGCCTATGGATGTCCACAAGTCAGCATACAAAGTATCTCAAATCCGATCGACATGATCTGTGGCCAATGGGTTTCTCTGTATGATCTGATGTTACCAGCTACCGATGTACTGTGAGTTATCAGGGACCAACAGCCAAATAAATGAAGTTAATTTGCTGATTTGCCCACAAGATATGGATGCCTGGAAATCTCGAAGACGGCACTTCAGGAACTTACAGCCGATACTGTGGCCCGGCTGATAAATTGGAAAAACAACCTACCCGAAGGCCTTAATGTCGAAATAGCTAAAGGAACACCGCAGTATCTGCCGCATGTTCTAACTTTGCAGTAGGTTTGGGGTCCACAATCCTGAGCTCACAAACTTACCTATAAAGTATGCAATATTACCAGTTCATGATTCACTGCCATCGCCCATATATATCAAAACATTACATCCAGCCTCAACCGCCTCAAGGGCCTGGTTCTGCTCATGCTCGCGAAGTGTGTGTCGACTCGGCGGTTTCGATTGTCAAAATCCTCGGTATGTATGAGAGACAGTACGGGTTTCGAAAAGTGAACGTACAGATAGCCTCATTCGTTTTCTCAGCTGCGCTTATTCTCATATTTGCTACTGTCCCGGGCGGAACCAACAAACAAGACGATGAGCTTGTCAAATACTTGAGTACATGTTTTTGGGCACTAGACGAAATAGGCGGATATTTCGAGAACGCGAGACGAACAAGCATTTTTCTGAGCACACTCCAGCAGCAGTGGCATAAACGCAGACGAAATATGGCACAGCGAAGCTTAAAACGAGATTCACGAAGCGCTTTGGATGCCGGAAAGGCCCAGAAAAGAAGTCGAACCGCAACTGGTACAGAAGACTGGCCGGGGCTCCCTCATTCAAACTCGTCAGCGAATGCCACCAGAACCGTGGATATGGAATCACCCATTGCCTACGACAGCCATGGACTGTCCTTGATGGGAGATGATGCCTCTGAGATGGTGGATTTCATGTATCCAGAAATATGTAACATGCTGTTAAGTGAAGGTATTCCCCGACCACTATATTAGAAAGACTGGTGAATTCATACTTTATTTGAAAAACTACTACGGGATCACAGATTTGGTCTATTTTTTTAGCATCATACATGGGCTGTTTATTGTTTTGCTTCTCCACGCCTGTCTCTCCACAGACCATCCGAGAATGCGAGATATCACTTGATTTGCGAAGCAATTCGCCAGAGTCAATCTAGATCGCTCCGAGTTGCTACGGCTCGAGGCAGAGTATCTACTTCATTCCCACGCTGGCGCTAACTTAACTTGCCCGGGTGGCACGATTCGGCCGTCTATAGAGGAAAGCACTTGATTTTAAGCGCTAACTAATCTCAGGCTGTGGTCGGAAACGTATGTAGTGCCGCGAAAGTCGTGCCTGCGGTTGCTGAGAAGGCGATTTTGGTGCAGCAATATGCTCGCAGTGTAGCACTTACAAACGAAGGTCATAGTTGGATTCATTTAATAATTTGACGAACCTTATTAGAATGCACTCTAAAACAAATACGGCGCAATAGATGAGCCTATTATTGTTCGGTCGCAAGGTGCCGGAAAACTTGATAAATCCGGCTTCTGTATCGAGTACGCTCGGCAGAGTGGTGGAAGCTATGTGGACCCCGTCGTTCACGATAGTGATCTCTACTGATTCTGGCCAATAAATCAAGCCTAAAACACTATGGGCTGCTGGGATGGATAGTTTCAATGATTTCGACAACGCGGTGGGTGTGGTTGCGTACTTGGGTGGCCGGCTCGCCCACTATTGGAAACGGGCCGGAGATCGAGTTTGAGAGACTGGTGACCGGGTCTTTTCCGATGGCCGATAGAACATTTGGAATTACAATTCCGACCTCATTGTATAAGTGATTATTTGTTTAAATCCAGTGTCTCCCCACGACCGTTTCTGCAGGTCCCCGGCCCTGAGTGTGACACCCTTGTTTCTATGTGTTTCTGAAAGCCGTGAAGAGTTTCTTGTCTACCTCTTGTGTTTATTTGACTTCTCTTACCAATCACTCTCAAATGCATCATGACTCAAGATGCGTACCACATCATCGATTTCACGTTGTCGCTTCACGAGCATATTGAAAAATACCTAGCCAGTATCTCTGGGGATCCCGGCTATAACGGATTTGAAGCATCGTTGCTTAGAAATGTGCGACTCCTTGAATCCAGTCTTGACCAGGGAACAATCTTTTATCAATTTGACGTCCTCAAGGACATGTGTAATAAACTAGGCGTTTTACACGGCGGGGCAATATCTACACTATTCGACAATCTAAGTTCAACGGCCCTCTTCACCATATCACGGCCAGGTTTCTGGCATCATCTTGGAGTCAGCAGGTCCCTTGCCGTCTGGTTTCACTCACCACTGCCTGAGGGAGTGGAAGTTCATCTCATTTGCAAAGTGGTTTCTGCTGGTCGGAGAATGGCAACTGTCAGTGCCATCCTAAAAGATTCAAGCGGGAAAGTCTGTGCCAGCTGCGTACATGAAAAGTTTTTTGTTGGAGATGAAAAACTATAGAATGCGGGACACTGAAATGTCCCGCATTGGATCATCTCATCACATAGGTTTTCTGAGTGAACGATCAACATGCCTAAAAATTGATGTACCCAGATGAGAGCACTTTATATTAATCTAGTCAGAGGGGCATTTGTAGTTCCCAGAAGAGACTTGCATTCCTCCATCCACGACAAGATCCTGCCCAGTCACATATGAGGAGGCGTCACTCAGTAAATACAATGCAGCCATTTGAAGGTCTTCGGGCTTTCCAACGCGCCCAAGAGGGGGTGCCTCGTGAAAAATGCGAAATAGCCCCGGTCGATGGGCGGCGATTGACAGGTTCATATCAGTGGCAATGTACCTAAATTTTCGTTTAGTAACAAGCCGTTAGTGCGTTGGGGAGACCACTTGCCCTGGAGAGACTGTGTTCACGCGAATGCTGTCGGAAGCGAGCTCATGAGCCAGGCTTCTTGCTAGCGACCAAACAAAACCCTTGGTACCCGCGTAGCCAGTCAATAAATGGCCAGGACAAACATGGTGCGATGACTGTGAGCATATCATCAAAACACTTCCATGGGTGCCATGCTGCTTCATGTTTCTCACTACTTTCTGTACCGAAAAGAACGTCGCTATCTCCTGATTTAAATTTTAGCACTTGGTCATGGCATGGCTGGTTTTAATACGTGCGTTGACGGCCTGTAACCTCTGAATATCCTCCCATTCATGTTCAACAAAGGGTTTGTCAATACAGATACCAGCTGCGGTGATTCTTTTCAAAAGAGAAGAAACCATAAATAAGCGACGTCATTCTTCAACAAATGATCAATCGGTCTTACAGGCCATGTATAAGGGGCAGCTTGCCTAGGATATCGGCGAATGTGCGGTCGATTTCCTCTCTCTTGGTCATATCGCACCTTGAAGAACTCAGCAATGTGCCCCATTTTCTTCCCTTCCTTCAGAAATTGTCATTCACCGGTAGTATAGGAGCTTTTCTGGAGTGTGTTGCTGCCATTCGAGAAAAGTCGGATCGGGCTCCGGCAGAATATCCGTGACCACTACCGTAGCACCAGCATCCAAGCATGCCCTCGAGAGCGCCATCCCAATACCTCGGCCACCACCTAATGCAAAAACGAAAACAAAAGTCAGTCCACGATATTGCTTCAGTAGGGTTGAGAAGATATACCAGTTACTAGAATTACTCGACCGGTGAGGCTGAAACATGCTAAAGTAGAGGCAAGCTGTACTTCAGACGACATAGTTTCTGGGAAGAAAAATTGAACCTTTTTTCAAGAGTAAATTTTGAGAACCTAGATAGTCGAGGAAACTTGAGAAAGATGCAAACATGCTTCATTTTTATACATACCTCTGGCCTGTGTCGATGAATAACCCCCCACCCCCGGGACTCATATCCCGGCGGAACCCTTTTTTTTCTTTTTCCCCCTCGGGATTCTCGCGTACGACTTACATGCAACAGCTGTCAAACGTAGTCTAGTCACTCGTGACAGTATCCATCTGCTCATTGGAACGGGCAGTTGGAACGGGCAGACCGAACTTTATCAAGGAAATATTGTCGACCAAAGCCGAAATCAACGGGTGTGAACTGGGCATGGCGCATGTCCCCAGTTGTGACACTTAACAAGGCCCCTTTTCAAATGTGGTGGAGGGCACTTCTCTTGTTGTCTTGAAGTTTTTCGTACTTCAATGTTTTTGTTGGATCATTTTGGACCATCTCAAACCCACCACTGGTGAAACCCTCAATATGCTTTCCGCCAAGTTGAATAAGAGTTCAGACGAGGTGTGAAGCCGTCTAGTAGTCGGGTGGGCCATTCTGTGCTGAAACTATTGCTAAAATGGATGAAAGTGTATTTCGCGTCTGAAGCCTGGGCAAGCGCAGGCGAGCTTAGGCCTTTCTAAAATAGATCATTGAGTGTAGTAGCATAAGAGGTTCTATCTGATCATGTTAGAATTGACGGTGTTGATATAGATGTAGTGGCGAAGAAGCCGTAAGTGCCGCTATCCCCAACAATAGAGTATCAGTCGCATAGTTGCTCGCTTAGAACGATACGCGGCTTTGATCCTATTAAGCCCCTATAACAGAGTTGAAAGTGAGCTCACCTTAGCTATAGATCGCGCTTTAGAGGTTATTCCCCCTTCTTTGCCTCCGTGAGTTCACAAGTCTCAAGCATGTTCGGGTTCAGCTCGAGATGCTCCCGGACGGATGTTGCAATTCACAAACGGCGCCTTTCCACTGCGAGATACGCTTCCTGTAACAATACAAGACCTCAGGTTGTATGGATATGAGGGGTACGACGCTGTTTCTTAAACTTCCCGACCGAGGCATGAGTTACTATCCGGGGAGTTCCAGACACTGAAATCAGGCATACTAGTGGAGGTGGAAGCCGTCGTTTATGACGACGGAAATCAAAGGAGTCCTATCAAAGATTGAAAGAGGTTTGCGCTGAATTCTTCAGATCGAAAAACGTGACTGGTTACCGAATGGTGTAAATCGCAATGTTTCATAGACAGGAACGTAGTAGTGCATGCGGAATGACGGTTGTCAGCGAGCTTTGGCGGTTTCTGAGAAATTTCGAGACCATGAAGAGCTAGCTGCTCTTTCACTAAGCCGAATATGCACACCGCGGCAAAATGCGCCGTACTTCGTAGAAAAGAAGTCGTCCAACTATAGTTCTTAGTCCGAACCAGACGGCGGACTTTTTATCCCATTTCAATCAGAATAGTGTTTGCTTAGCCTCCCTTGTGATTTTCACATCATTGCTTTGATAGAGTTACTGACAGACTAAGCTTGTCGAGGATACAGGCTAGAACTGACTCGCCTATATGGTTCTCGATGAGCCCTCATAGCTCGGTGTTCTCCCCGACTTAGAAATGGAATAATTTATGGCTTTGACAGCAATTTCTGCGTGGGGTTAACATTATAGCCGGCATTTGTTCCCGGGGACTGGTTTCGGGGTCTGATCTCAACCGTTGATTGGCCAGTCCGGGACTATTCGAGCGGATCGGCATAAATGAAGAAAAACCCATTTTCCCGAATTTGAGATTCGTTGTTATTTTATATTCTGATTGCGAGATTGAATATGGATGTGCCTCCTGATGGAGGTTATGGTTGGGTGGTTGTTGGTGCGATCTTCTGGAACAATGCACACCATTGGGGTCTTGTCTCAGTAAGTTGTCCCAGCAATTAAGACTAGTTACTGAACTGATTTTATTCAGAGCTATGGAGTCTTCCTAGCCTACTTTCTTTCAAACTCACATTTCACAGAAGGTACTAGTCTTGACTATGCATTCATCGGTGGATTGTCCGCCTCACAGGCACTACTTATGGCACCGCTTGCGTCCGTTATCAATCGGCGGTATGGCCTGAAAGTCGCAATGAGCCTGGGTGTCATCCTTGAAACTGCGGCACTTCTAGGAGCATCGTGGAGCACAAAAGTTTGGCAACTATACCTGAGCCAAGGGATCTGCTTTGGTTGGGGACTAGGTCTCCAGTATGTGTCAACTATTCCACTTATCCCGCAATGGTTTGCAAGACACAGAAGCCTTGCTGCAGGTTTGGCTGCTGCTGGAAGCGGTACTGGGGGCTTGATATATTCCCTGGGATCTAATGCCATGCTCGAGCGGTTTGGTTATGGCTGGACATACCGCATCCTGGCCATTGTGCAGTTAGTTGTTAACTGTGTTTGTTTGCTTCTCATTCGAGATCGTAACAAAATGACTGGAACCAAGACTTCAAATCTCAAGATCTCTGACATTCTCAAGCGATATGAGCTATGGCTGTTTTGGGGCTGGAGCTTTTTGAGTATTATGGGCTTCATGATCATCTGGTACTCGCTAGGTGATTTCGCCAGAAGTCTCGGTCTCAGCTCCCACCAGGGATCTGTCGTCACAGCAGTTATGAACTTAGGCACCATTATCGGTCGGTCAGGTACAGGATGCGTCAGTGATCTTCTCGGGAGAATGAATACGGCGTCCTTTGCGACTTTCGTTACTGGTTTGTTGTGCCTTGTTCTTTGGACTTTGGCCCGGTCCTATGCTGCGACCTTGTGCTTCGCCTTCTTTGGAGGGTTAGTCTTTGGAACCTTCTGGATGGTGAGTGAACCCCTCGATATTCCAAACACAGGACCTGGATATTAATCTAAGATGTAGGCTGTGGCTCCGCTCGCAGCAGAGGTGGTCGGCCTGAGGTACCTGCCCTCGTGTCTAACACTCACATGGGTGGTTTGTGTGATTCCAGCAACTTGTAAGTCAGAAACATATTTTTAACATATCAATTGTTCTTTGGATGCTAATTTATGACAGTTGGAGAAGCGATTGGCCTCAAGCTCCGAGCTAGCGGAGATCGTGAATATCTTCATGTCCAACTATTTGCTGGGTTCATGTATATTGGGGCCTCGATATGTGTGTTCATGCTTCGAACCTGGAAGATGTCTACTCTTCCCGAGTCATCCAGCGAACCACACATTTCGGCAGATTCGAAAGAAACTGCGATAGTCTCTGTGGAAGCGAATGACCGCCAAAGCACGTTGAATCAGTGGTTGAAATTGAACAAAGTATAGGAACAGACATGGAACCCGAGTCTAGCCAGAGTCGCAAAGAGAAACGATCTCACACCCCACTGTTCGGCTTTTAGCTATATGCATGTAGTAATGAAAATGACAGGATTGAATACGATCTTTTTTGTTTTCTGCTCCTTCGCCGTTTGGCACATCCCCTACTGAAGCCCTTATTCTCTTATTTGCATAACACGAGTCTGACAGGAATCCCTACTTAACAACTGAGTTCCATGAATCCTTAAGCTGCCCTTTGTCACAAAAGAGAGCCGCTGTACAATCACATAGCTTCTCTCCGCTTTGTCCTGTATCTTGAATAAACAACACCGAGGTTCATATATGTCACACTAACCCAAAAAGGAAACTCTTGAGAGCGGACCCTGCATGCAAACCTCTTTGGTCTCTCCACAACGAAACTTGATGCGACGACCATGGCAGACTCATGCATCCAGTCTTTTTCAGGCTTTGGAACGCTTGATGTTGGTGGAATCTCCGAGGACTGTCTATATCTAAACGTGTATACCCCAGCCCTTCCTGCTGAAGTTATCAAGATGACTGTTTGATTCCACATTGCGGGTTGACTTCGGAGCTGCGATAGTCAAAACATAAATTATTGGCAATCAGACGCTTGCTTCCATCCTGCTGACCGTCTTTAGACAATGTCTGACATATTTTGTGGCTCAATACAAAGATTCAAAAGCGTGGTGCGTGTAGATACACAGCCTCGCAGTTGCGAACTACATGCTCCGACATGATATTCGTAAGTATTATCCAAAAAGAAGATTTCAACCAAACATGAACGCTAAAAGTCATAGCAAAAAGTAGGTCAGAGTAAATTGAGACGGGAACGCCAGAGATAAACAAGCCTGTCGAGAACAAGATAGATGCGTAGAGCTTTCGTGATAGAGATGAGATGTATGACGATAATGCAAGTGGAGAGTGAACGCTGGTAAAAAATGCTGAAGTATGGAAAGATAGTGCAAGCGAGGCAAGAGCATGTAAACATCTGCAGTACGTTAAATTCATCATTCGTAGATCGGCACTCTGCGCGAAGGGATATATCCTGGGTCTTCGTGCACAGTCTCGGGAGTGTACCGCTTCGCAGCAGCGCTCCTTGGGCTACCCCAGCCTGAGGCACGGTGGAAACCCGCACTGCTGTACGATCGTGGTCTTTCAGAACCGCTTCCTCCACTGCCGGGTCGGCTGCCGCCTGTGCTACCCCCGCTGTAGCTTCCTCGCCTCATTTCCTCTGCGGCGTAAGGATCTAAATGCCGCGGGAATCCTCGGGGTGGGGGTGGTGTAGGCGCTCTGTAAATTGGTGGGTCTGGGGCGGCTGGTGCTGGGACTGAATCACCAAATATGAATTCGCGGAATTTCACACCTGCACCTGCTGTTGAACGGGAGCGGTCTTTGGTGTGCATTCTAGTTGATGATTCAGGATGGGATCGGCTAGACCGGCTGGATCTTGAGGAGTGACTTTCGTGACTACGGCGCTGTTCCCGAGGTACCGGGGAGAGATCCCGCATCGGTCTGCGCGTGTAGGCCTCGTGGGAGTGTCGCCTGGCACTATTGCTGGAAGGGGGTGATAGATTACGTCGCTCGCGGTGGCGGTGTTTTGATGCACGCTCCTCAGCCTTGCGGCGGGACTCATCAGACGATAAATCTGAAACATCCGGCATCTCGCCAGACCCGGGGCTAAGTGGGTGGCTCTGGAAAGCGGCATGGTCTCGACCCCTTGAGCGGGGCGGGCGCTCAGGCCATGGGGGTGGAGATGAAACCCGGGGGTTGAATAGCCTGATCTAACACCTGGTCTGCGTCCCATAGATGCAGGGTACTCTGCACTGGGGCGTCGGTGATGACGATGTCCATGTCGTTCAGGTTCCATGTTGCTGTGACGTTTCGATCCACTGCGCCGTGGAGTGCGGAAATAATCATCCTCATCAGGCAAGGGGTCCTTCCCACTGAAATGGTAGTGATATGTTCCAAAGTCTGGGGGTGATGCGCGCTTTGAGTGTCTTTTCAAGTAATCGTGCTCTAGTCGCCGACTCACACCTTCATGCCACTGTAACATTTCGGGGTCTGGTTCAGAGGGGAACGCATCCCTAGGAATCGTTTTGGGAAGTATGTGACCATCTGCATCTGGAATATCCCACAGACTAACAGCGTTTTGCAAATACTGTGAATGTTCATCCGGATCCATCAACAGTTGTATTGTCTGCCACCGCACAAAGCCGTTGGGGAGTAAAGATGGGACCGAAGGTGGTTCGTAGGGATTTGAGGATGGCTGGAGACTGTGAAAGCATCCTAGCGACTGATATATAAAAGACAAGGCCTGCGACTTGGTCTCGAGGAATAAAGGGTCGTAGTTACCGCCGACTTTGCGATAGAAGCTCGCCAGTCGCTCGGGTGTAATATCGGTCGTCCCGTTGGTATCAAATGTAGGCTAAGATAGAATATCATGTCAGTGCCATTCTTCCGATCTCCACTTTCAGTCTTTAGACGCGAGAACTGACCATCAACTGCGCGATCCCCAGACACAGGTGCTCCAACAGCGGGGCTGGGCTTTTGTCGGGATTGATCAGCGTACCCCAGTGACTCTCTGCAGAAGACATGGCGAGAATGTAGGAGCATGCAAGGCGATTGCAGCATCTCCAAGTACAGACAAGTCCAAAATCTGAAGTCCAGAAGCCCAAGAGATAAAGAGAGCGGTCAGGCACGGGACCCACTGCGGGGGAACCAAGGGACGCGAAGTATATAAAGGTTTGTTTGTTTACTGAGAATGTACTTCGTATATATGAATGCAGTAGCTGAATACCCGAAGCTGAGAATGATACACTGGACTGCATGTGATCTTTCCCGTGACTCACATACAGTTGACACTGTTGCGTGATGTTTGAAGCCTAATGTGGCGCATTGTGACCCAATCAGCGGGTGGTTGACTCGATCGGGCTGAGTAGGAACACTTGGTGATTAATTAATTAATACGTTAGATTGCCTTCAGCTATGCCTAAATCTCACTTGCCAGGTACTTGGTGTTCGAGTACATCAACCACGTTACTTGTGTCACACCATGCAGCTTGTCGGAGTTTATTCCTATTCCTATAAGTTCCGACACCGGTCTATGGCTCGCCACATTATCTTCATGTCACAGATGAGGTCACACTGAGCCTCCTTATGCCGTCCATAAAGAGAGGTTCGGCCATGAGGACATAGCATCAGTCATGGACGGATCCAATAAGTCAAAGTCAACATCGGGCTGTGCCAAGAACTCCTCCATACTTTCGCCCAGGAAGGACATGTCGTTAATGAGGGTCCCTGGGGCGATAGTCTCAGGTACACTCCCCATAAGGCCCAGGTCACTGGGTCTCCTCCCTAAAAGAGGGGGGTTTATTGAAGGATGCGCGCCGCTTTGATCGGTTGCAAAGGATTGGTCGAACTGAAGGGAAGGCCTCGACTCAGATGCACCCTGTTTTTCCAAGCATTGCCGGACACACTCGAGATTATCATAAAACTCGGTCGCAGCTAGATTTCCATGGTTACTCATGGCCCGAAGAATTTCAACGGCTGCCTCGAACAAGGCAAAGTCACCCCCGTTCTCAGGATACACCTGACTTGAGATGACCATGATAAGCGCCGAAGAAAACAAATAATGGGCATAGAAATAGCCGAAAATGGGGAGCGATCCGTTCGTCCATTCTTCCAGGATAAGTGAGTGTGTGTGTCTTGCCGCATGGATGCAGGCGTCGCTGAGCGTTTTGAGGGTTTGACGAATGTTTGTATGAGCGGCATCTTCTTCAGGAGGCTCTGGGCATGTAGATTGGATCAGAGCGTACAGAAGGACCGGTCGACTGGTTAACATTATACACTGCACTTAATTAGACTGGATTATTCGATGCTTGACTCGATCGTGACTCACTTGGTTGAACTGAAGATGCAACGATATGACATTCTTCGGGATAGGATTCTCGCGATTGAGTCTGATATGAGGAGGAAGAGCGCAGGCCCACTGCTTCAAAGAAATGAGAAGCTTCTGTTCGCGCTGCAGAAAGGACTCGGGGTGTTTCTTTCGGCTATACACCCGGTCGATGACCTGTCCTGTGATCCTAGCCAATTGTATACTGGCTGTCAAGAACTCAGTGTCCGAGAACTGTTCGTTGTGGATGTCGCTCGGCACATTGGATGGCATCTCGACGTGGATATCGTCGTCGGCAATCTGAATTGGCCAACCCACTTTCGAGCCATACATTCGGTCAAACACGTAGATCCCCCACCATAATCTTGTTCGATGCTGGCGATCGACTGGATCAGGACATTTGCATTCTGGGATATCGTGGTTCAACCCCAAGGTTAAGCCCAAACGCATCGCACTGCCAACGAGCAAAAAGGCAGAGTGGCGTCTGTTCAGGAAGAATGAGTACAGCGACTAAATCTATTAGCGATGCTCATGCAAAACCAATACAATCTTGCTTACCAAAAGTAATAGAGTCTCGATATGCGTTAGGCTCGGACGTTCCGGTAGAATGGGTATTAACGTCATCGCATTGACATAATAAGCAGCACCGGGAACATTGCATTCAAGCGTCGAGTTCGACCGTGCTGAGTACACTTCCCCAAGGGCAAACAACGCAAATAATTTGCATGTCAAAACTGGATCATCGAAATTGCCATCGCGGTAGGCATCTTCCAGCTGATCGATCGTCGACTTGCGCAGCACTAAATGATATACCCGGCTAACCTGGCTGAATACAATTTGAATCAATAGCCGAGCTTGAGGAAGACTTGGCCATTGGATTGCGGGATCCCGGATTTTCATCAGTGTTGACTCGGGTGTGTACTGTGTGCGAGGCATATGAGTTGTCGTCTCGCTCTTTGTGAGAACCTTGCGAAGTCGGGTGGCGAATGCTGTACATGCTGCTTCTCCGATATGAATTGGTGGTGATGATGGGTCATAGGGCTGGAACCAGGCCCGTTCTCCCAGCATGGGGTTTTGGACATGTGTATCTGCGGCTGGTCCAATGATATCTAGAGAATATGAGCAAGGATATTCGGGAAGGATGCACAAGAACCGAATACCTTGATCAGGAACTGAATCTTCCCTCGGAGTAAGAAAACCCGATGACTGAGACAATTGGTCCCGCAATCGCTGGTTTTCCGCTGCGAGTTCGTCGATATAACTTGGACCGTTAGCTGTGCCACTGCAAAAGTGGCAGTGGTATGATACCTCTCGTGTACTTTAATTTGGCGATCTCGATTCACATAAAGGCAATCGGTAGAGCAACCGGCTTGCCGGCATTTAACACAGGGCTGGCCTCCACTGCACTTTATCTTGTGAGAGTGGCATCTTTGGCAGCTGTTGATGTAAGATTAGTGGGTGGGTTTCTTACTGAACCTGCCACACTTACGCGATAGATTTCTTTTTCTGTCTCCGAATAGCCGGATCAGACGTCTTGGACACTTTCATTACGGGGTTTCACTTCGGTATCGATGTAGATGGAAGAAATGCAAGGGAGGAATTTTCTCAAGCCGACGTTGACGGTCGGCAGAATCTTATGTTGCCGAGTGGCGAATCCCGCATTTGCCAACATAGGTAGACAAGTTGACGGAATTAGCAGAATTCAACAGTGATAGTTTTAGGGTTAACAGTTGGCAAAACGAGTTTATCTTCAGTAGATTTGTCGTTAATCTGTATCGATATAGGGATTGCTTATTTCTATGCGGCTCAGCTCTGTTCGGGAAAGACACTATTTGCCGACACATCAAATGTGTAGCCGAATCTATGTGTTTGCAACCTAGGAAGACTAGGTTGTGTTATAATCCACAATATATAATACGAATTATATCTCTTTGTCTTTCAGGCCCCATCATCTTCCGGATCAAATGCCAAGGTCACCCCGACTTCCCCGGTTGGCTGAATAGTCCGTCTTCGAGTGGCATGGGCTTGGCTTTTCTCCCCAAGTGCTGTGATCGGAACTACTTCAAATATGTGCAAAGGATATGACTATCGGAGCGGATGAGCCAGTCTGCCTCCTGGCTCTCAGAAAGTACTTCGGCCGAGTCCTCTATCTCCTCGGCAACAACCTGACACCATGGTTTCAAGGCTGTTCCCCAAAGTCACATCTCCTTCGAGGCCCTTTATGCCAATCCGATACAGCAAAAGGTGGTACAGGTACAAACATGCCGTGGCTATGTCTGCGGTTCCCTTGGATGGAAGCTGCTAGCATTGAATTTCTCATTTGTATTGCGGGTTTTATAGGTTTTATAGGTTTTATAGGTTTTATAGATTTGGTTTACATGTAATAGGCTGGTGCTTCCACTCTTTGAGAAGCAGTCTCACTTTTGTACTGGAGCATGATCAGGCGTATGGGACGCCAATTCTTGCTTCAACTGGAAAGAAGCGCCTGCATAGCCATTACGATACTAGTTAGGCTTCAACAGATTAATAGAACTTTGATTGACCTAAGTTGTAAGGACCAATCTAATATTTACAGGCTCTTTACCACTTGCTTGCACCTTCAAATCTAATTCTATATCATAATCCTTCTCCTTGCTGAGCATGGAATGAAGTTAAGAGTGCTGGGCACCCAATTGTATACATTCTAACTCGCACCGCGTGACGGTATAGTCTGGCTAAAACCTTCACCTCCAACCTCCAACACACGTCGTTTTGCGCCGACACCGATTTTGAAGAAGGACACTTGTTCGCCCATTATTCTCTGTGTATGGGTTTGGGCTGCAGTCCCAGGTCATCAGGTGCTCACCCTTGGTCCCTCCTTCGGCTTGATCAACGCCTATTGGGATCACCCTGAAGGGGACAGGAGGTGTGCACTTCGTCATCTGGTTGTGATCCGACATCGCACGCGACCAAAACACAACAATAACCGTCGCGAGATATGGTTGGAAAAATGTGAAAACAAGAGGGGTTCATTTGGTAGAAATCGAGCTGACACAACCTACCACCTAAGCCGCAAGCGTAAATCAATCAACTCTAGAGTCACACTCCGTTCAATCCACCAAATTTAAAGCTTAGTTTAATTCCAGAGCTTTACTTAAGATAGGGATTGAGCACGTCATGGCTATGTCTTCTTCTGTGGTGCTAACTGGTAAATCGGCGAGATAGATTTTTACCGACGTGCGCCCTGAGACCTACCATGTCCAGAATAGTATTTAAGCTATACATGCCGGACACGAATAGACATAGAGGGAAGTCAAAAGTACAATCATGAAGTCCTCAGATATACATTTCTTTGTCAATGCCTCGGAGTCTCCAGTCTTCAAGACTCACGACACAATCGATGGTGAGATTCTATTTACACCACATCAACAAACCGATATCGACGATATAAATATCTCGTTCCAGGGTATGCTAGCATGTTTCAAGTGACAACATAATAGATTAACAGAGTGAACAGGCAATGCAAGAACTGAAGTTGAAAACATGAATACACATGTCCCACTCCCATACAACGAACTCCGAAAAACATTCCTTCGCATGGACATAGCACCACTCGACTATTTACTAGATACAAACACTCTCAGTTCTGGCAAGACATATCGAATCCCCTTTAAATTTGTTGTCCCAGACCAACTCCCCATCCACGCCTGTCACCACCAATGCTCCAATCCCCAAATCCACCAAGAACATCTGCACCTCCCCGCAAGTCTCAGTTACCAAACACACAAACCCAATGGTCACGATATGTCACCAGAAATGGCAGAAATTATCTACAGCATCAACTTCGTGTTATGGCAACGAGGCGGCAAGGCAGGACGATCCAAGAAACTCCAAGAAGCGATATATCCAGTTCAAATCCAGCCCACGCGAGAAGAGCATGCTCCAATTTTTGTTCCAGCGAAGAATACATACTACAAGCTACAATCTCAAAAGACTGTCACAAAGGGCCTGTTACGACATACCATAGGCCAGCTGGAGGTATCCTCCGCCCAACCACCGGCGATCCAACTCCACAGTCCCCAGCCACATAACGATGTTTCGACGACGCTGAAAATTGATCTGCGGTTTCAGCCTACACGTACGAGTCAGGCACCGCCATCACTTCTGGCTGCGCAATTTCAGCTTCGAGCTATGACATTCTTTGGACTGGAGCCGTGGCGGGATTCTCCTGATTTGTCTGATATTTCCACATGGGGTCCTCGTCAAGCTTTTTGGTCTGAGCATGTGGCTCTTACCGCCGATCGTGATATTAATGTGGATTGGAAATCCCATTCGGAGAAAGGTCAGGCGGTTTTCACGGCTTCGATTCAGGTGCCTGTTTCACTACCGTGTCATCGACGCTATCCGACTACTTTCCATTCGTGTTTGGTATCTCGCGTCTATGCTGTGAAGGTGAATCTGTTCTATCGGGCGCATGAAAAGGCGAGAGGTACTTCTTCTATATCGTTGTCTGTTCCAGTGGAGATTTGTGCATGAGATGGTTTTACTTTTAATATGCAAAACTTCAAGACTGGAACTTGTTGATAATAAATAATATGAGAACACATAAACATCCATCAAAATACTTTCCATTCCTGACAAGGAAGTCCTGTTGCCGAGACGATAGACTTTGGAGGTTTCCCACGCGCATGAAGGTTCGCTATAGATCGATCATACCGTGCATCACCGGACTATAAAATCCCAATCGACGACTATTTGACAGCTAATATCCCACGTATACGCTTTAGCCAGATCACATATTAACCGTGCATTGCAAATTAGATTAGTTCGCATTCCTAACATCAAGTTTTGGAGTTTGGGACATTCCGTGATCGACATGCCATCCACAGGTGGCATTTGACCCAACCAATTGCCGTTGGTATGGCAAAGCCCCGGGTATTCCAGAGCATATAAACAGTGGCAGCCTGTGGATCATAACTGGAAGGATTTTCCAGCCATCGATAGCCTGCGCCGCTCGTTGAATTCCACAGGCATTGTTGTGGCCCCTCTTATCTGGACAATAAGTGCTGTAGATGCCCCTATCTAATATTGTCTTTTGCAACTGTGTCTATCTCCTCCTTCCATATCCAAGCTATCTAAATCTGGCCTCAATATCGTGAGTTTGCTACACCTACATCCGCGCTGGCTCCGTTTTACAGCCAGTCAAGCATCCCTTGACTCGTCGATCAACACAACACAAACAACTCTCGACCAGTCCATCCTATTTGACACACCTCTACATACACAATGGCCCTTGTGAGAGACCCATTCTTCTGGAAACGCTTCTCAACAGCAGTCCACATGGACGAAGAAGCCAAAGCTGTCGACCAAGGAACACAGACCACACCTGCCCCGTATGCCCCCCTTCCATCCCTCGCATCTAAACTCCAACTGACACCTTCCAGAACATCATGGCTATCACGGGAGCGACGGAAACGCAAGAGATCTATCATCTACGGCTTTATAATCTTCTTCGCCGTCGTTTTTGCCGTCGTAGCTAGTGTCATTGTCTGGTGGCTTGCCAAGAACAACTGGCTCCAGCCTGGACCTGATGAAACACCTTGATCATCAGGGACAGTGGCTTTATTTGCATTGAATTGGAAAGCGTTTGGTTTGGGTTGGCAAAAATATGTTATGGGATTTATGCATGGATGGAGATATACCCGCCACTTCCTCCAGTGGCTTTGCATTATAGATAGTCATATAGTTCGTCTCAATATACATACAACATACAATATCCCTATCCGACTGTATATCTCGCCTATCATCTTCTCCAAATCGCCTATCTACCGAGCGCATGCACCTGCCGAAACTGGACTAGTGAAGGCTGTTATCAACTCGACCAACTCCCATTCATATTCTTTCTCTCTCTTGGAATCATCCGGTTCATAGCCTCTCGCTTCGTACCTCTTACTTTCTACTATTTACCCCAGATTCAACTCTTCCAGTGCTGTCGTAAGGCAAACACCGGCTAACCTCGGCCCTTCGCATTCTCCACTCCCCCGCATAAATAACCCCAACTTCTCCCTTCTCCTCTTTACACCGTAACATACAACATGTTGCCTCCATTCGATTATTTCGCCTACAAGCGTCTACGGTGAGGTCCATATTCCTGTTCACAGCACAGTCAGTTAACTAACATATCCCAGAGACCAAAAACAAAGAGAGCGGGAACTCCGCTTCACAACCGGTCTCCCGCACTATTACCATCTCCGCATCGGAGCCGCAGATAAGAAGATCATCAACCAGCCCATTGAAAAGCTCGTTCATGATGTGCAGGACTCGACTGTCTCTGCTCTGGATGTGTTGCGCACCTATGGAAAGGTCGCCGTGAAAGCTCAGAAGGAGTCGAACTGTATTACTGAGCTGTTGCTCCCTGAGGCTGAATCTTGGCTGGAGACTGATGTAAACCTTAAGGGTCCTCTTGCTGGAGTTCCTGTTTCTTTGAAAGATTCTATTCACGTCAAGGGGTTCGATGCTACTGTTGGGTATGCTGCTATGGCTGGTAAGCCTATTCTTGAGGATGGGCCTATGGTTAGGTTGTTGAAGGATGCTGGTGAGTATCTTCGGAATAAAGCTATTCTGGCTTTGTTTCTGTTATTTGGATAGCTGCTGACTTTTTTAGGTGCTGTGCCCTATGCTAAGACTGCTCTGCCAATTACTCTTCTCTCTTTTGAGTCGACTAACGGACTCTGGGGCCAATGCCGGAACCCGCATTCCCCAGGCTATTCGCCCGGTGGTTCAACCGGCGGAGAGGCAGCTCTATTGGCCCACGGTGGCCGCATCGGTATTGGTTCTGATGTTGCTGGCTCTGTGCGCGTTCCTGCTGCCTGGAGTGGTATCTATTCGTTGCGCTGCAGTACCGGCCGCTGGCCTAAGGGCGGCGTGAGCACCAGTATGCCCGGCCAGGAAGGCATCCCCAGTGTCTTCAGTCCTATGGCTCGTACCCTGGACGATCTCACTTACTTCACTCGTTCCATTATTGGAATGCAGCCTTGGAAGTATGACTACACCGTTCACCCCATCGCCTGGCGCAACGAGCTCGAGTCTGAAGCTCAGAGCAAGCCTCTCCGTATTGGTCTGATGAGCTCTGATGGTACGTCCCACCCACACTCTATATTGAAATGCAAATCTAATCTGTCCAGGCGTCGTCCCCCCAACGCCAGCCATTGAGCGCGCCATCACCACCACTGTCGCAGCCCTCACTGAAGCAGGCCACACGGTATCAGAGATCACCACCCCACCAACCGCAGACCCCTTCACTGGCCTGAACCTCGCCTCGCAACTCCTCAATTCAGACGGCTGCCATCACTTCAACGCCCCCTAAAGAGCTTCGAGCCCTCGGACCCAGGCGCCACCCAACTCTCCCGCATCGCCCACCTGCCCCGCCCCCTCCGCTACCTTTACTACCTCTACGTCCGCTACATCCGTCGCGACGCAGTCTCCGCAGCTCTAATCCGCAACTTCGGTCCCAAATCCTCCGCCCAGCTCTGGACTCTAACCGCCCAGCGTGAAGCATTCCGCGCAACTTGGCATAAATGGTGGGACGCAGACGCCCAACAATTCGACTTCATCCTTTGCCCGGTTAACGCAACACCTGCCCTCCCACATAACGCCATGCACGACGCCGTCTCGTCGTGCGGGTACACTTTCCTCTGGAATCTGCTCGATTACTCCGCTGGTGTTCTCCCGGTTGGTCACGTAGACGCTACCCGCGATGCCCTAGTCACGCCCTATAAGGCCGCTCTTAAGCGTCTAGGCGCCGATCACGGTATTGCCCGCGGTGCGTGGAAACACTATGATTCTGTCAAGATGGCTGGTCTCCCCACTGCCGTGCAGGTCGTTGGTCGCCGCTGGCAGGAGGAGTCGGTGTTGGGATACATGGCTGTAGTGGAGAAAGCGCTGGACGCGTACCGCGACCCGCAGACTGGACTGAGCTGCAGATATAACCTGCTCGAGGTGGATTGAATATGGAAGGGGGAAATGATTTGAGGGATAGTCTTTTTTCCGTCCGTATAATGCATGCAACCTCAGTGATCTAGTCATCTTGCCTACATATTTTACCGCTCTTCAAGACAATGCCTTTCTCGCACTCCCACTCCCCTTCGTTTTCCCCTTGCCCCTCTCAATAACCCAACTACTAGTCTGTAAACCCTCCACTGGCGTAACTGATACCTCAATGTATGTACATGCAGTGTTACCCTCTGCACAAACTAAACCAAATGTGGCGCCGTGCCGCGCAATACGAACATTAGACGATCTAGTCGACACCAATGCAGATCTATAGCCCAAGACCCCCACCCCACGCCCTCATTATGGCTTATGATTTGCCATGTCACCTGCAAGACGCGGGCGCGGATATGGATGCTCCGCATTTCTGCACCATTTCTGCAGCGCTATCTCGCTTCGGATTGCGGGTTTTGTTGGTTCTTTTGTTGATTGGACTGGGACTCGTTTTTCTTCTAAGTTTGCCCTTGTAAGGGCTCTGTAATATTGAGTACGAGGGATCGACGGTTGACAGGTTCGGTTAATGGTGAATGGTGAATGCTATTGTTTCTGGTACAGGTGCATGTCCCATGTTTTTATGGTTGTCGGGGACTACTCTATGTATAAACACCGGGTCATATTGGGCAATTTTGAGTCTGCAACTGTAATTGTTGATTTCTCTTTGCCAAGCTCTGCACGGTCATTGGGGCGGTTTCGGGTTTCACAGACGCCTAATGTACGAAGTGTGTGAACTGTCTGCTGAATAGGGCATGTTTGGAATTATGTTCTATACCAGGCCTGCCTAATGTGTCTACTCTGAATAACTGAGGGGATATTCGGAGTCCGAGGTACTGGAACAATACGACAGAGATCAATAATACACTTAGCGCCGGGTGGGCTCCAGAGCTAATAGTTACTAGTCCAGAGTCTGTCCTTTTGCTCTTTTTCTCTGCCGATTTCCCCGTATCCCGTGGCTGATGATGGCCGAGGTCTGAGTGTGAACTCGTAGCTCGTTTACCTATTGCTTCCATTAGCTACACGTATACACAGTGTGTGAGTTCAACCTTGCCACAGGGCCCTAGCGGCGTTGGTCTCCATCGCGGAGATTAATTGGAGTCAGTGCGAACTAGTAGAGGTTGGTGCGTTAGTGGCTAACGGTGAAAGAAACATGACATATATGATTCAGGAGGCCGGGGAGATGTCCATGTAAGATATGTACTAACTATACAGTACTGAGGAAATAAAAACGAAGTATTAAGTTAATCTGGTCACGGGGCCCCCACTGCAGATCTACGGGCTTTTCTGACACTCCCCACTCTGCTTCTTCTTCACGATGCTCTTTTTCTCGCACAAATGGCATCGAGAAAGAAACAGCCGCGGAAAAGGGATGACATCCATTTTGTCAACGCCAGACCGGCTTCTGAGACCGAGAAATTGAAAGCCCAGCGTCTGGTACGCGCCCACGTCGGCCGCTGGATCTCCGACCAAACAAAAGACCGCTCTGAAGCTGCTGTGCGCCGTCACGTCCGCGACCCCATTTCCCACGTATCTGCCAATGATCCTGGTGTCGGTCCGTCCTCGTACGCCCTCGTATCGCGCTCCAGCAATCGCAACGTCCCTTTTTCGTTCGCGCAGCCTCCCCGCCAGTACTCGCCGTTTCCTCCGTCGCATCATAGTGATAGCAGTGATAGCTCCAGTGGTGAGGATACTGTGAGTTTGATCTCGACCGAGCAGCATGGCGTCGTGCGATGGCGCAAGCGCTCTTCTGTTGTCCGTGAGATCTCAGGCGTCTTCGACCCTTTCGGCACATATCCTGCGCCCGCGCACTTTGACCCGGAGGTAGTTGATCTGTCGGAGCGGTATATTACGACTGTCATCTGGCCGGGTCTTGCGCCGAGGCCGAACCACATTAAGACTGCGGGTGAATCATGGTTTCCCTTATCGATGGCGGACCCCGCGTTGTTCAGCGCGTTCATGTTCGGGTCCCTATGTCATCTGCGCGTGCAATGGCAGAATAATTGGGTGCCGGGGACAGTATTCGGTCCAAGGCAGCGGCAATTACTACAGTTGTGTGAAATGGAATCCATCAAGTTGATCAACAAGGCTATGCGGGACCCCACACGTGCAGTCAGTGATGCTGTTATACTGAGTGTTATCTGTATGGCACATCATCAAGCCGAAGAGAAGTTGGTTCAACGGCATCAGAAAACGGCTTTCAACCCGCCGTTCCCACGATTACAATGGCTTGATGTGTATGGGTGTTTACCACCGAACATGATCCATATCCAAGGCTTAATACAGCTCGTCACAATGCGAGGCGGACTGCGGAATATCACCACAGCCGGTCTGGCTGCGACAATTTGCTTGTATGGAACCTCTATCTATTTCTATGGCCCCCACTAACCTCCTCAGTTCCGCCATCCTTACCTGCAGTTCCCTCTGTGTAAACCCAGGCTTCGAATTCTGGCCTCTAGATGACACCCGCGAGGGTATGAACATCCATGAATTACTCGGTTTCACCCCATCAGATACAGACCACGGCTTCGCCCGCCTCCAAGCAATAGGCGCAACCCACGAAATGGCAGAAGCTTTCCAGGCAGTCCAGACATACATCGGGATTATCAAAGCCAGCCCGACATCTACACCGGACGTCTCTCTTCTCGCCGATCGCCGTAATATAACACAACATACTCTCATCTCTCTCAAGCCTGCTTCGGAGTTGCAGCATCTCTTCTCGCATCCTACTCATGCATCTACATATGAAGCGTGCCGTCTTGCCGCGCTGGTCTTTGGCGTAGGCGTTATCTTCCCCATCCCCGCTCAGAATACTCCTCTCCATACTCTCGCACGGAACATTCAGTCTGTGCTCCTCCAGCCTTCTTCTTCTGCGTTGTGGTCTTCTCCTTCCACCCGCTTTGCCCTCATTTGGATTTTGACATTGGCTGGTATTGCTGCTCACGAAGCACCAGAGCGGACTTGGTTTGTTTCTGCTTTGGCTGATATCACTCGTCGCACTGGCTTGTCTTCCTGGGGGGTCTCAAGTCAGTGCTGGGCTCGATGCTTTGGTATGATGCGGCTTGTGACCAGGCTGCTGAGGCTCTCTGGCTTGAGGCGCAACGTACCCATCAACATCAACGTGCATATGTGCTTGAGTGAACATCTGTATACCCGAGCCTGGGGTTACATGGTTACCGACTCCTCTTCTCGGGTTGTTTGATACCAGGCACAGTCTCGTTGAATGCCGATATCTCTACCTGTCTCCGCCTTTCAACATTTCCTACCAAAGCTCTCTTTCCCACTCTCCTCCTTTCATAACCACCCCCTTTCCTTGCAATGGAGATATGCAAAATTATCCCACATGGGACACATATGACGTACCATCCCCTCCTCACCCTCATCGGTCATGCGGAACATATTCATGATACCCAAAAAGTGACAGACCAGAGTCTTGTACAAACGTGCGGATCGCACTGGACACATTAACCTCTCCCTCTTTCCTCTCTCTCTCTCTCTCTCTCTCTCTCTCTCTCTCTATGTTTCCTGTTCCCTTTCTTATTCTCTTTGGTTGAGATTTGATGGCTTGAATAATAATGCGACAGAAACCCCCACCAAAACCCCCCAAAACCACTTTCCACCCTCAACAGTCGATATAATAGGGTGTCCGCTATGCTCTGAATATTTGAATTATATCGTGTATACTTGTTAAACTCTGTTCGGGTTGTTGACACTAGAGATATAATATATAAGGTTCTCAATGCTACATATGGGACATACTATCTTAAAGTAGTCCAGAGAGACACGGAATAGGAGGTTAAACAGAGAGCCATGTACATTCACATGCAGCCAGAGTAAGCCAACACATCCTGTTCTATACATATACGTATATACTTGTAGTAACCGAGCTTAGCGCATCAGCCTCTACTTGGAATACCCAAAACAGACGCCGACGTCCCCACGGGGAAGAGCACAGACTGAGACACGATCGTCGTTCCAATGAGTGCGACGGCCCGCACCGCAAGGTACTTTGTCGGGGGTATTTCGGCGTAAATCAGTGCCAATGCGTAGGGCTGATTTAGAGCTTATGTACACAAAATCTTATCATAGTTTATGGTATGAATACAGTATGCGATGGATGTCCTCTCCAGTCACGGTGAGAGGAACATGTGGGATAGGAACAGGGATAAGGATAAGGATTAGTTATACATTGATGTGGTCATATGGATGTGTCCATATGTGTACTAAGACTATCCTCGTCGCCAGTATCCGACGACCTTTTCTCGTACATGAGCTAACGGCCAGCCATTTTCCCTTTCTATGCGTTGGAGAAGGTCGAAGATCAGGTTTTGGGCGAGAGGGTCATCGATCCATGAGCCGCCTGGGTGATATCAGTTGGTGTTTGGATAACATTTTGGATCAGACTTACAAGCACGGAGGACGTGGGAAGCTGTGATTCGTAGGGGAGGATCATCGTCGGCAGAGAGGGCGATTCCGAAAATGAAATAGAGGTTTTCGATGATTTCATTCTGATGCTCGTCAGCAGTGTCCACGCCACACCCACACCAAAAGGAAGAACATACCTTCAACCTGACAGGCTGCTCCAAATGTCTCATGCTCGGTGCCCAACCCTCCAATTCGCGAATCGACATCAATGCCTTGGCAAGGCAGACATGCTGTATAGCAGAAGCTAAAACCAAATCAGCGCAAAACGCATAAACCCGCCACACGAAAAACATACCATGCCAAGAACTAGTAAACCAAGCAACAGGAAAAGGCTTCCCTGTAGCACGATCCGGCGGCGAAACATGCAAAGGCGCAAAAGAATCCGGCCTCCCAGCCTCCCACTCACGAATCCTCTGTCTCAGAGCCATCTCACCAACGGAGCCAAGTCGGCCCCCGTAATTTCGGCCCGAGACATTCCAGCAGAAATCCACAGTCTCGGCCAACAGCCAAATCGCGCGATTAGTCCAGTCTCCGTCGCTCAGGACGGGCTTGGCGACCCACCACCGGCGGAGAACGTCGTCGAACGGGGCGAAGGTGAGCCGAAGGCATTTCTGGTACGTAAGTGCGAACTGGATGTCTTGGATGACGAAGAGCCAGAAGGAGGCTGTTGCTAAGCCGCCAGATATTGCGCAGTCGACGTGAGAGCTTATATAGACTGAGCCCGCTAGGAGGTGGCGTTGGTGGTCGTTCGAGGGGTTGCATGCTGTCCTTTTGTTAGTTCGGTTGGTGGGGGATGGGGATGGGGATGGTATATACAGGAGACTTGCTCGAAGAAGCGGAGCATTACTGTTGATGAGATGAGGATGTCGATGCCGATTTCGGACTCCGATCTGTCAAGGACTGGGAGCATGATTGAGATGCAGCGTTCATGATACATGTCTTCGAGGTCTGCTGGGATGGTGTTTGTCGTTCGGGATAGGTGGCAGGCTGATACTGCTAGGCATGCGTATAAAAGTAGAGATGATGTGGTCGCGCGTTCGACTACATCGGTTGAAAAGTGTCGGCGAGGGTCGCATGCGTCGAGCTGCAATGTTAGTATAACGTGGGAATTGATCGGGGTGGAACTCACCCATGGTGCAAGGTGCTTCTGAAAATGGCGCAGTAGATACGCCTCGGTGATGTTGGTTAGTTTTGGCTGATTGTCAGGGGTAGGTGTCGATGAATGCGAGGTTGCTGAATTGGACCGCGAGCCAAGTTGCGAATAAGGGATGACCAGGTTTGGGGTCGCCATAGCTGAATCCACTGCAGACGAAGGCGTCGAACGACCCTCAGAGGATGATCTTGACGCTGATTGTTGCCTTGCTACAGGTACAACATAATATTCAGCCGCGGTCTGATCTGTTTCATCCTTGAAGTCGACTGTACGGTCAGCACGAAGTATGAACAAGAGATGCAGAGACGAATACCATACACTCGGAAGAAGTCTCAACCCAGACCTGATCGTCCGGAAAGGCAAGATCACTCTCGCCATATCTCGGAGGGCCCTTCCCTCGCAGCGATGGATTTTGGCCATGTCGAAACGACACTTCTTCTGACTTGCCAGGAGCCGGCACACATTCGCGGCCAGATCGTTGACAGCGGAGACATTTCGAACCGGATTTATCACCTTTTCGAGTCAGGAATGGAGATCCGACGGAATACGTTGAATATTGAAGACATACATTTCAGATGGCGTAGACGACACGTGAGGCTAGAAGACGTTAGCAAGATCCAAGCATCAACTTGGTATTTAATAGAACTGACCATCCCCTCATTACGCCAGAATCACAAACGGGGAAAGCTTCCAGAATCAATCAACGGCATGCGAGGCCCGAGGGCATCTAGATAAATAAGGACAGAGGGTGGGGGGTTGGTAGATCATCGGGTTGCGTATGTACGTTGGGGTATTAACCAGCAACTACGTTTTGTTGGAGATTAGCTCACGGAGCGGATCTCAGGATTGGAATATACTGAAACTCGAATTGGTTGACCTGGATAGAATCTCTGGATGATACCCCGAATAGGAAAACGTCCAGTGCAACACTCCCCACCACACAAATGTCTGGGCAAACTCCTGCTAGACGTGGTTGGACGAGGCTCCCCCACAGGGCAAAGTTTCTGCCTCTTCGATCGTTAACAACGATCCTTGCCCGAATAAGAAGGATCTCGGGCGTGTCATATTAGTCGGCCTGTGTCGGGATGTCGGTATAGGAAGAGTAAGAATTAGCGAGTCGCCTTGCCTAGTGAGTGTGCTGCAGAGCTCTCATGGCCGAGACCACTTTTCCATTGAAACGACTGACGGGGGTGTTAATGGGAGACAACATTGACAGCCAATAACACGTGGACGGGATGAATGCCGCAGGATTGGTATAAATCCGAGGTCAGGGCCAGAACCTAAACGGGCGCAACAAGCTTCAGCGGGTTAATATTAGCCCTCCTATCTCTTCCCTTGTCCCTTTTTCATTGGCCAGGAGTCTTCACCGAGTCTGGCTGAGACCCGCGCTGAGAAATTTGCTGCTCGAGCGCTGCCAGAGCCACATGGTGGCTCTGGAGGAAATTTTCAGGGACCGGACACGCCGGGATCGCTCGACAAATCCCGCAAGTGCCCCTGGTGGGTCTTCATTGTTAGGAAATACCGGCATTGTGGCATTGTGAGTATTGGTTAATTTCACTTGTGCCGTGGATGAAGCACTCCGGACCCGTCGAACCCTGTCGATCTTGGGGTGAGGTCTCCCCCGAGGCAGTTGAAGCCGAAGATATGATTCGATCAGTATGCTCGACCTGATGCAATGTGTAAACCTAAATTAGAGGGCCAGGGGAGTGTGGGGTGCCAGTATCCAGCTGCCTGTTCGGGCCTGCTCCGGGATGTGATCAATTCTAAAAGAAGATTCAATGCTGGCTCGAAATACTGAGCTGTTGCAATGTTGACCTTTTGAAGTTGGAAGTTGAAGTGTGCAAGTTAACCAAGTCATGTGATGGCAGCCTGGGAAACAAGGCCACCGTGCAGGGATGTTGATAACAGGTTTGTCATTTGTCGAGTCTTATCAACGCAGCTGCAACAGCTAGCAGCTAGTTAGTTCTGAATAAATCCTGTTCATTCTGTATCCGCTCAACCTCCCTCTTATCCCCATGCTATAACATGTCCCTCCCCCGTATCTCCTTCCTCGAAGGATGGGAGCGCAACCCCACAATTCCCCGGACCGAATCCGACGACGAGGACTACCAGGATCTGCCCGAGGGGTCTGTGTCATCCTCTTTCCCCTCCACCTACAGCAGACTGAACTTCAATCCGTATGCGGGTCCGGCATGGAATGAGAGACCGGACGATCACGATGACCAGTCCACCTTCCTGGGACTATCTCCGACTACTACACGCGAGGGACGTGCTTCGCCTGCACCTGCCCCTGGCCCTACAGAGACACCTGCAGAGAGACAGCCTACGGTACAAGTAGACGTACCTGCGCGTAAAGAACCTTGGGCGGATACCACGGGTGCTTATGAAGTGAGCGCTGCGCGGAGAATTGGTATGCAATGCTTCCCCGTGGGTGGGGTATGCTTCAATGCTAACTGGTGATAGCCCAGGTCTGTACTGCGGTTGTATACTGCTTTTTGGCAGCCGGTATTGTGTTTGGGTTTGCAGCTCTCAAACCAGTCCTTATTCGTGAAAATGTATATCGCAACCTTTGCACAAAGGCGGAGCTTGAAGAGGGGGTTGATGTATGCGATAGGCAGGAGATCAGGTAAGTAGCTCCATTCCGCTGGTATTCCCTTCTAACAATTGACAGGTTGAATCTGATGTTCACTATCGCGGCTGTTGTGACCAACGTCTCAGCTCTGCCTGTAGGAACAATCCTAGACGCTTATGGACCACGCGTGAGTGGGATCATTGGCGGATTCTGCCTCGCCATTGGAGCACTGCTCTTCGGGACAGCACACAAACTGCCATTCGATGGATACATTCCTGGATATTTGTTCCTTGCACTGGGCGGACCATTCGTGTTCATCACATCGTTCCATCTATCAAATACGTTCCCCGCACGATCAGGCTTGATACTGTCCATGCTAACAGGTGCATTCGATGCCTCGAGCGCTCTCTTCTTGCTCTTCCGGCTTCTGAACGAACATACCGATGGTTTTATATCAGTCACCAATTTCTTCGCAGTCTACCTCATCGTGCCAGTGTTCATCATCATAGCGCAAATCTTCATCATGCCAGCAAACTCCTACAAAACGGCAGGCCAGCTAGTTCAACATGCTGAAGCACAAGTTGCCGATGAAACAAACGACCACATAGATGACACAATCACCGACCGCGACGAAAGCGAGCGTCTCCGCAAAGATAGACGCCTCCGCCGCCAAAGCATCGTCAACCAAATCCAAAGCCTCCTAGACGACGGCACCGCCTCAATAGTCTCAGCCGCAACAATCGATGACACAGTCTTCCACATCGACACCCACCTCTCCCCACCCCCCAAACCCTCCCCACAACCCCAACCCCGACCCCCCTCGCAAGGCGGCGTCTGGGGCGTCCTCCACGGCCGCAGCGCCCTCAACCAACTCCGCACACCATGGTTTATCCTAATAACAGCCTTCACAGTGCTAATGATGCTACGGATAAACTACTTCGTCGCAACCCTCCGAAGCCAATACAGTTACCTGCTCACACCACGCACCGCAAAAACAATAAACACCTTCTTCGACATCGCCCTTCCAATCGGCGGTCTCATCTCTGTCCCCTTCATAGGAACATTCCTAGATACCTTCCAAACAAGAACCGTCCTCCTAATCCTCGTCTCAACCGCATCCACTATCGGAATTTTAGGCTGTATCCCAAATAGTCTACCAGCAGCCTATGGGAATATCATTCTTTTCGTGCTATACCGTCCCTTCTATTATACCGCTGTCTCCGATTACACGGCTAAGGTCTTCGGTTTCCAGACTTTCGGCAAGGTATATGGACTTGTGATTTGTCTAGCTGGGGTTGGGAATTTCGCCCAGGCGGGTCTGGATGCGCTTACGCTTATTGTTTTTGGTGGGGATCCCGTTCCTGTTAATGTTGGGCTTACGCTTCTGGTTGCTGTTGTTGGGGGTGGGCTTGTTGGGTTTGTTTGGGTTATGACTGGGGTTTTGGAGAGGGAGAGGAAGGATGTTGTTGTGCAGAGTGGGGAGAGGGAGCCTTTGCTTGGTGGGACGGAAGGGAGGAGTTATGGTGCGTAAGTTTATGTTGATGTTGATGTTCATATTTATGTTTCATGTTGATCTGTTTGCGAGGATTGTTTTTATACTCTGCTTTTAGTATATAGCTTGAAGCTCAACAGTGGCCAATGAGCAATGAGATATGTTATTTAGCTATGTACAGGAAACAAATCCATATATACGTACTTAGCTACTTTATCCATCTTCATAGCCTCGTGAAACTAGAAGATCAGTAGAGGTAAACAAATTCCTATGTACATAAATCCAAATGGCCAACCCAAGCCCTGACCCTCCCATCGGGTATAAGGTAAACAGCAAAAAGGGAGCACCTCAAACATAAACAAATTAAAACAATCCAAAATTCCCATCAAAAGAAAGCGGGAACGTGAATAATCCCTCATCCATCATATTATTCAATGTGAAAAATGGATCTCCAAATCCAGCGTCTACACCAACCTCGGCCATTCCCATCGGTGGTGCCAGTTGTATTCCTGCCACTGCTGACATATCGGGATACCCCTGAGTGACTGTAGTATTTGTCTGGATATCTGGGTATGATTGTGATTGATCTGTTTGTGGGTAAGGTTGATAGTATGATCTCGATTCGAGGGTTGGGTCTGTGGGTTGGTAGGATGAACCCGCGGGCCAGAGTGATTGGGGCATTGGTTTCTTCTGGTGGGTGAGAGATGGGTCGGCGTTGTAGGTGGACGATGTGGGTGTTTGTATCGTTTCTGGACTTTGGTCTGTTGGGTATACTTGGCGTTGGAGGTTGGGTTGGGTTGAGGGTCGGTTGGCTGGGTCGCCCATTGCTACTTCGCTTAGGAAGTGGAGGGGTGTCATGCCCGGTGCCATCTGTGTTGATTTGGATGATGTCGCATTGTGGATGTTTGGGCTTGGATGTACTTGTTGGCGTGGCTGCGAAGATTGATGCCCGGCCGAGAAGAGTTCCTTCAATTCTCGGCCTTGATCTCCCTGGTCTCGCTTTTTGACAAACCAGTTGCGGAGTAAGACCAAGATGTTTCCGAATTTGGCCAATACACGGCCTCCATCGCGCGCTGCGCCAGCACGATACTGTGCTATCACCTTGTCAAGATAGTAATCCAGTTTGAGGCTCTGCACATCGAGAATCCGGCCTATGCGGCTGTCTGGCGACATGTAAAGTGAGTATATCTTGATCAGGCCGACCACTGGATATGATGTCCGAGCTATAGACGAGGTAGGCAGAGAAAGGAGCCTGTCGATCTCCATTGAGGTAATTATATCGAGACTCTGGTGAATGGAGCGAATAATGGAAGTTAAAGCATCGATGACAGCAGCAACAGATGCACTTGGCAATTCATGCGGAGAGTCGTTTATGGCGTTGTAGTCCAAGCTCATTACAGATTCGTGTATGAAGATATTCAGAACACATTCGGTATGAACCATCGGCCCTGAGAAGTATTAGCAGAATTCCAACCCTTACTGGACTAGACCCACCAGTGTAGACGTCGCGTGGGACCTCAGCTCTCCACCGCGATAACCGATTCTCAAACGACTTGATTTCATGCCAGGCCCTACTATCTGCAAATGTGACAATCGAGCCAACGTCATCTGAAGAACGTACACCAGCATCTTCCATGATACTTCCGAGCCTTGCCCACCATTTCAAGTTCCGATCAGAAGGTAAAGCATCCGGGTGAGTATCTAGAATCTCAAGACATTCATCCATGTACGGTTGCCAAGTAACTAGATGCACACGTCTCAAAGCGGCGGCCATTCTGAGATAATTAGCATTCACACTGACACAAGTGTATCAAGTGACACTCACTGGACAGATAGGTAATAGCAACCAACCCAAGTCCTCCTCGCCTCCGGTCCTTCAGGATCAAAAGCCGGGCCCAGTGGCTTTTTGATAATCAAATCACGGATCATGTTGAACCCCTTTTTATTCACAGACATCCGACGATTCATACCAAGTTCCATTGCCAGTGTCACGGCCATATTCGTCATTGTATAAAACTTAATCTCGTCGAAATTGTCAGGTGGCATATACCAGATAGTACCAACCATAATGGCCTGGAGTAATTCCAAGGTCTTGTGGCCCTTGACAACAACCTCCTCAGCAATCGAACGGTAGTATTCATTGATCAGAGTAAGCTGTGCCTCGGGATTAAAGATCCCAACAGAAACACCCATGATAGCAAGAAACAGGAACGGTTTCGTACGCCTCACCTCAGCCATAGTTGTCCCAGGGGGAAAAACCACAAACGGAAACTCCGGAACCATCTGATAAATAAACCGCTCAAAAGCCGCAGTGGCAGTTTTCAAATCAATCACACCACGATCAATCATGTCAACAAACTCGCCCGCAGCCTCCTGCCTCTGCATTTCAGCAACAGGTCGACGCCACAGCTTCGAAGCCGGCTGACTAGAAATCTGCTCTGCAGATGGACTCCCAGGTCTCGAATACCGCGGCCCAAGAAGCCCAGCCCCAGCCGAATCCTTCGCCTCACCACCGTGCTGCCGCTTCTTTCCAGCCAAGCTCGAGCTCGACTCCCCAGAAAGCCACCGCCGACTAGTAGCAGGATGATCTTCAAGAGACGGCGGAGCCTGCGACCCAGACCCAGGACCAGCAAATAACGACCCAGTCGCATGCGACGTCTGCAACGTCGCAGTCAACGCATCAATCTTCCTCTCCAGCTCCGCAACCCGACTATCGGTCTTCTTCTGGCGCTTCCGCGTCGGCGCCGTGACGATACATGTTCGCCGGGCTTTCGCGCACCGTTTACATGATCCATCTGGGTGTTCTGGGTCTGGGTCACAGCGTACCTTTAGTTGGCGACAGGGCTCGCAGGCGCGAGAGCGTTTGGTATCGCCTGGGCCGTCATTTGGGTCTGGCGATTGGTTGGCGGAGGCATGCTCGGCGCCTAGACTGTATGATGGTGATGGGCCCGCTAGGTCCCGGTGTAGGTTTAGGGCTGGGTGCCTGTGAGAGGGTGGCTCCGGGTATTCCGCGGCTGTGGTTGTTGGCATGTATACTGGTCGTTGGGGATCCCCGTCGCGGGCGCGCTGTAATTGCGGGTCGATGTCCATATAGAGTGGATAGGGGGTAGATATAATTCAATGGGATATCTGTATATATTGCACGTATCAGCTTGGGGTCATTTTGGTATGTTCATCGCAATTTGATCTATAGCTGTATGGCTGCATACCACGCACGCAAATGCGGCCACTCGACCACGCGGAGGACGGTGATCGCAAACACCGACCACCGATGTGGATGATCAACGGTCCCAAAGAACTGTGGGGAGGCCGGTGTTCATACAAAACAAATAAAAAGGACTGCTTACCTCTCTCTTGAATCACCTGGGCACCCTTAGAGCTGTCTTGTCACTTGGTTCTCTAGTGTGCAAAGTTCTTTCGAGGTCGACCGATGATTTCACGGGGCTAGCACGTGACTGATGTCAACCTGGACAAAGAACTACATTTACTACTTAACAGCGTACTTCGGATTCAATTTCAGTATTGGTTCAATTCAGATCAACGCTCAGCTGGATATCAGAAATACATGCCCCAAGCGCCACAACGCAAACAAAGGAAACAGCAAAAGAAATAACCCAACAGCGGAAGAAATATTTCAGAAATTACTAACAGGCCAGATCCATGCGTATCTAGGATAGTTTATGCACAGGGCATTCCTCCTTCCGATCAAACCAGTCCACAATGCAGTGACTGTGGAACTTGCACAGGCACTCGAGGCGGGCCAACGCCTGCCCAACCTCATAGTCCTCCATGCAGATTGTGCACTCCGCTGGTTGACCATCCCCACCAAGACAGTCCTTCTCTGTGGCCACGAACTTGAGCATGCGGGCTTCAGGTGGGGGAGCGGGCAGTGGGGGACCCTGCTCGGGTGATGATCGGTTCACAGCAGCTGGTCGCAAGTAGCTCTCAATGCAGTCCCGGGTATGGGCTTGACGGGCCTCAATGGGATGCTCCGGGCTGAGAGGTGGGAATTGACGCCGGCATACCGGACAGAAGTCGGCCTCATCCGGGGCTGGGCGACGAGGCAGACCGGCATCACGGTTGGAAAATGAACGGAACTGTCGGGTCCCGGGGATAGAGGGCCGCCTAGTTTGGTTCAATTGGTCCAGATACTGTGGTCGGTCACTAGAGCCCACAGTGCGTCGTTCCTGGCGAGCGTCGTGGATGTGATTATCACGCTGTGTATCATGTTAGCAACTGATCAAGGCACGGCAGACATAGAACTAACCGATAGATTCTGGAATGTGCCGGGCATGGTAGAGGAAAGAGAGTGAGTAGAACGATGGCCGGTTCGTACATTGCCGAAGCCCAGAGGATTTGGATTAGGGTCTGGCACACAAGGATTGCAAAGACGTACTTCCTCGCCTCCCCCAAGAGCGGGGTTGATGGTCGATGAGGGTGTAGCAGGCTCATCATCGGTAAGATCAACAACTGGAGGATGTGATGGAACTGGTGAAGATTCGAGAGGGTCGGAATCAGGAGGGCGGACAATGAATTGCCTAGGGATAGTGATACGATGCGGGGAACAAGAAGCGCATACAACTCTTCCACATTTTCGACAATGATGCTTTCTGTACCAGAAGCTGAAGACAGTCCCACAGATCGGACATTCAGTCACATCCGAATCAGCCTGCCAGTTTGGGAGCGACATGTCGATAAAAGCCTGGCTCTGGCTATTCGGACTACTAGGCATGGGTTGGCCTGACCAAGTGTAAGGTTCGCGTGTATAACGCCTGGAAAGCTGCCCAGAAGCAAAGGAACGAGGCGTTTCGGGGGGAGAAGAGGAAAGATCAATGGCGGTGGCATATGAAGAGCCAGCCGTGGCAGAAATCGAACTCCGTGTTCGAGACGAAGGCATCACCATCGAAACAGACCTATACGGTAACGCAGTGCGGGAGCTTCCCCCGTTATCTCGGGCTGGTCCGGCCAACCCTCCGTGTGACCACTGCCTGGTATCCTCACCAGTACTCGTCAACCGCCTTTTACGATCAGATCCAGGGCAGATAGGGAACGCTCGTGGCCTAGAGCTCCCTTCATACCCGCTATAGCTGGCAGAGCCATGCGCCTCTGGTCTTTCGCTCATTCTGCCAGCCTGCACCCTCGGCGGCGTGCCTGACTCAGTCGGGCTGGATGATGCAGTGCTCGACCCAGGCATATTATATTGTATCGTCCTTGTTTTATCGAAAACGAGGGTATTTCCACCAGATATTATCTAACGCAGGCAACGAGATCAATCTCGGCCGTCAGGGCGACGGGTCTTCATGGACCAGGTGGCGATAAGGATGAACGATGGCTGAACGGCGGGAATTTCGACGGATTTCGATTAATCAAATCGATGTATAGACAGGACAGTCCTTTTGTGCAATCTCAGGCTCAGCCTCAATGACGTTGACGCCTTTTGCCGAAGATTGCATCCAAGAGTGAGAGGATAATGCTTATCATGGGGTCAAGATCGTGGTTGGGCAATGATGAGGTCTCGTGACTATATTCTCGGACACCAAGTTCGTGATGTTGCTGCCGGCAGCTGAAAACGAGGTTTCTCAAGTGAATCAAATAAAAATCCCTGAAGGAGAAGAGGAGAAAAGGAGATGATGATGCAGCGTGATGTTTGGCTCTGTTATCGTGGGGCCGGGCGGTGAGGGCGGTGGCGACAGGCAAATTCGGCCCGATCTGCCCGGCTATGGGGAGCCGCATACTCCGTTATACATCTATGGAGTGATTCTATTGCAGTCATAGTTTACTGGGCTATTTTTGGCGCTGTGGCTGTGAGTTAGCATGCCCTACTCAACTACTTGAAGCAGCGACGGTCTCCGGCGACTTATCTTTCGCTGGCAGTTCTTTCACGCATAGCCGCAGGCTCCTTGCATGACATTGGCACTAGGCAGAATGCCACGCAGGCCCTGGCGCAGCCTGGCGTCAACTATCATTCATGTTTGAACGAAACATTGAGCTATATCTGAACCATTAAGGGTAAATAATGTCTATCATGAACAGAGTATAGATCAAGAAACTGTGGTATGTATAGATTCGAGAAAGCTGGAATTATATAGAAAGAAACTGATCCTCACGTATTATTATCTCAAGATATGTCCTGAAGGATTCATACAAGAATAAAAAAATAGAAACAAAGATAAAGCAAAGCCTCCAAAGAAAAATGGTGGCATGAGTTCACCGACGGCCAAAAACCAGTCCCCGTTTGGTGTACCTCGGGATCACAATCGAAACGCCGTCGCAGCAATTTTAGATAGAGCAAGCAAAAGGTAGACACAGGAATGAAAGGAAATTCGTAGGCGTGTCATTATGGCGCCGGTTTTGGGAGTATGACAGTGATATTGAGGTTGATTGAGGCAGGTTGAGAGAGAGGGAGACAGAGAGAGGACGAGGGATATACGGGTCCAAAACACATCGTTTTGCATTTATTTCTAGCTTGCGTGGTGTGCAGCTTCATCCACGAGTTCTGCCGAGCTGCCAGCAAAGGACGGCTCATCCGGGCTGGCTTCGTGAATATGATCATGTGCGCGGTGTTGCGCCACGTAACCCATACTTGAAGGCCGTTCGCCTCGTCGGCCGCCCCGTCCCGTTCCATGGCTGGACGCTATTGACCTTGACCTGGAAGTGGAGGTCACGGATAGACCACGTTCCCGAGAAGGTGAGCTACTATCGCTGAACGGTAGTCGGCCGGTGGGGGATGATTGTAGGTGGCTCCCAGAATGAGCGGATCGTCTGTCCGGGCCGGGCTGTTGTTCTTGCGAGATAGTCTCGGTGACGACCGGAAGGGATGTCGAGGGTGCATCTCCTTCCTCGGCGGGTGCTTGGGAATGGCGAGATCCCGTTCGACTGGGTAGCTCGATACCGCCGCCCACTGATGTGTTGAGCTGCGGTAGAACCGGCGGGTGTGTCCCACTTAATCGTGTGGATTCATGCTCGCCATCTAAATCTTCATAGGGAACATTTCCAGTAGACACATTGCGAGAGTGACTACCACTAGGAGCATCCGGATCATCTTGATAATGCTCGTTATAGTCCCCACCGGGCGGGAACAAACCAGGTGGGGGTGCCCGAGCACTTCGAACGACCTCAAATCCCTTGGCGCTATCCTTGGTCTTTCCTTGGAATAATCCTCGGAACCAGCCTGTTGCAGACGAGACCGGACCTGTGGGGTCAGCTGGACCGGTTTTCAACTTCCGCGTGCCGGTATGTGAGAGCGGGGGACCGCGGACGCCGTAGTAGAAATCGACCTCACGAACAGCGTAGTCTTTTCGTGATTGCCGTTGGTCATCGAGCTCCAAATCATCCTTCGCTGTTGGTAGATATGCCGGCACAGGTGTTGCACGGCCGGACATCGGTACATCTCCGATTTCATCGTCAGTATGGACTGCTCGACGAAGCGACCTTGATAAGAAGCGTTTCGAGGGACTCTTGCTCGGGGCCTTGCCCTTCTCGAATGACACAGTACCTTGAGGACCTTTCCGTCCAGGGCGAGGCGGCCGGTAGTAGGGATCTCGAGGACTCATTCCCATCATCGTACTGCTGCTAGGTGAACTGGGGAAACCGGGTCCAGGGTAGGCTGTTGATGTAGGCGTGGGGAATCCTCCACTGGCAGCACGACTGTGCGAGCCTCCTTGTGAGCTGGCATAGTCAAAGTAAGCACTGGCTCGGCCGTCGCTGCCTGTGGCGCGGTTCAAAAGGAGAGCGGAACTGCCAGAGAGACTACGAGGACGCGATCCATCAAACTGGGCAGACAGACGGTCATCAGCGTGTCCGAGCATAGCAGCCTCTGAGCCCATGCTCTGTCGAGCGATATCGCGGCGTGGAGTACGTCTGGAAAGCTGACGCATACCGAACACCTTGGTGAGGCCACCACGAGTAGTTCCACCGGCACCTGCAAGTCGGGCCAGAACTTCAATCAATGTCTGCATGGCATTGAGGAAGAATCCGAAGATAAGAACCATGGCATGAAGCACGAGAATTAAGTATCCAATCCAGCCTCGAGCGGCCTCCGAAACTGATAGAGACGGAACAAACACCACACTGAGAATGACAGTCAAGAAGCGCACAATAGAGAAGAGACAGTGGTAGAGGTTCATGTGAGTAGGACCGGAGAAAGGTCGGAAGGCAAGTAGTGTGAGCACGGAGACGACTTCACAAATCGCGAGCATGACTACCTGAGCGATACCGGATGGCTGCAAAGCACCTACAGCGACACCCCGAGCAATATTCAAAACGATTGGAACTGCGGCAAAGGCGGCCGCATCATCGCAATAGGTGTTGTAGAGAGGGCCGTACAAAAGCACCGTAGGCAGGTCATCAAAAAGGTGGGATTTAGGTCGTGTGGAGACAATGACTCGGATGAACCAAAGGGAGAAGCAGACAAGGACGACAATCACCAGAGCTGCCAGGGCCACACTGTAAGCGGGGGATTGGCCAGCTATGACCAGCTGGAAGAAGGAAAGGGAGACAATAGGGAAGAGAAGATAATTGAAGACCATGCGGATAATGTTGCCCAGGGTAAACGGCAAATTTCTGGCGCGCAAATCCTGATCGATGTTATCTGCCAATTCACGACGAAGCCATCGGAGTCCAAATGCTATCTGCACCAGCAGCGTGACGCAGATCAAGATGACCAGAGTCCAGATTATCATGCCCGGCCAGATGTCCTGAGATGATTGCATCCCAACCAACTGATTCATTCGGTCCAGGCCGTACGTTCCATTGAGGGCATAGACTCCGTCGACAATCGGATCACGCCCACCGGGATTAACGAAACTTTGATTGAACATGAGAGTCGACCACGCGCCTTGACTAACCGCAGGCTGGTAGAAACCCGGGTAATCCAATGAAAGGGCACCTGTCAATACCACGTATTGGAGGTACTGCAGACAATCCGCAAAGCCGGGGGTGACCAGACGGAGAACATCCTCGTCGCGGCCATAGTTGCTTGTCCACCGAAACAGATCCGTCGTGCCCCAAGGACTATACATGGCAGCAGAGATAGTGGCGATTCCCACCAGCAGCAGTATGACCAGAGACACATACGCGATTGCATTTTTCAAAGGCTTGCTGAAGTCAGGCGTGACTTTCACCGTCAAGCAGGCAAGCTCGGCTGCGGAGGCGTCGCCAGATCGAATCGTGAACGAGGGGTTGATGGTTCCGAAGCGATAGGTAGAAAGCATATCATGTTGGACAGAGAATGCGTGTAAGGTTGACAAATCACTCCTGCAAATGGATGGTTAGAACCCATGTTGCTGGCTAGTCAATCATAACTTACATGTTGTAATTGAAGACTGGACCCATCGGTAGCGTGCCTTGCGTAAGCGAGTCGCGAAATCGTGAGGGATTGTTGAAAGGCGAAAAACTCAGTACGTTGAATGCCGTCAACAAAGTGGTGTACTTGTAGTTCGTGCTGCTCAGGTCCACGATCTTCCCGTCCGTCCAATTCGGATTTGTCCAGTCCGCAGAATCCATCGCCGGATAGTCCGCCGTTCGAGACACAGTCCCCGATACATTTCCGTAGACCGTCACGTTGAGCGGGTGTAGAGAATTGGTGAGGTTGAATACGACGGAGACGTTGGTGGGGACGAATTGTAGTTGTAGAGGGTCCGATTCGAGGATTGTTTTCGACAGACAGTTCTCAAAGTCCAATAGGACTGCGGCGGCGGGGGATACGAAGGAAATCAGACAGACGAGCGCAATCCACCACGGGCTCCATGTTCGTCGGCGTTTGGACGTGTCGCGCCATGGCCGACCTTGCGAAACGTGTAATGCTTGTCGCGGGCAGCCGTGTGTCCGTCGAGCGGAGACTGGAAATTCATCCATCTCAATCTCCGAGTGATACATGTCCGCTTCGGGCATCCGGGATGACCTCCTAGGGGAGGTCAACCCCCTGTGTAGATGATCGAATCCACGTTGTGTTGACAATGGGTCGGTGTCAGGGTTAGTCCGCATGCACCCCGGGGTCGAGTTCGAGGGGATCAAGAACAAGGATGGGCACGCTTCAAGAGCGAGACACCCGGACAGATAGGAATCACAACAGAACTAGTCAAGAGAAGGTGAGAAGGGAAAAAAGCGATGCTGCGCCTTGTTTGGTCTGGCCCGGTGGAGATGGCTGACTACTCGAGTTATCAGAGGTATGCGGTGCTAATAATAACTTATTTGCTTTATCTACACGGAGTATCCTCAGCTTATTATTGTATTATATTATATTATATGTAGATGCACTCAACTACTAAGTTATTAGGTCCCTCCTTATTCATATTCACTATTCCCACTCTTCCCCCCGGAAATAGTAACCAACCTTGCCTGATCGGCACTAGACTCTACATGCAGTTTACGTGTACTTCTCTCTATCTCCAGCAGTTTCTCTTAGGCCGCCTAATTCAAATTCCGGACTGTCATCTAATCTATTGTCCGTTGTACATAGGCGTTTTATGCGCATATTCTGTGTGGAAATTGGTCTCAGTCCCACGGTGGGTTGTCTCACTTTACTGTTGATCGGTGACCACACAAAAATACCAAGCAAAAAGGCCTCCATGTCGACCAAGATCGGATAAGACATGTCGGCGATGCCGTGAAACCAAGGTAACTATTGAAAGATTCTCCTGCGGCACTGGCGTTGTCTCGGATGACCGCGTCGAAGCCACAGAGACCCCAAATTGAAGGCAGCAAATTCCTTTTTGGCGAATGGGATCAGGGGATGGAGTAAATGCCTACAGCCACAATTCCAGGGTCCAATGCCCTGCGCCCTATGCACGGTATAGCGGGTTCTCGGCAATAGTCTGGGTTTTACGGTGAGACAAGCGCGGTGGCTTGGGGCTTGCTCGTATATAGACAGGAATGGTTTCTTGGCTCTTTGTGGCCTTGGAGATTAATCAAATGTAGAGGAGTGAGGATAGATATACTGAATTGCTGGATATTCAACAGGTGATGTGCTATTCCCTAGAGAAATAAACATTCGCGTCGAAAGCGGACATAGCGTGGCGTTCGTAGATCTCTGGACATGGTCATGTCTGAGTTGCCTAATGTGCTGTCCATTGAGACAAAATACCAAGTAGTAATATGGGTACTCATAATCTTCACTCTCGTTCTTCATTCTTCTCAACTCATACTCATTTCTTCGGTGATATTTCAAGAGACAATCATCATATCTTCTCTGTTGAACACAGCCGATATAGTCCGACCAACTCCATAAATCAGCTCCAGACGAGACCTATGATTGTACCTAAGCACAGAACATATCATCCTTCCCTCGAGAGCCGCCGATCTTGCCCCCTCTAGCATCTCGACCTTTCCCCTTCTCTTTCTCAACATATCACAACCTCTGAATCGAGCCAGATCAGACAGATCGCCCTCTCGCCGAGCCACCTTGACCAAGTCAGAATCATCCCAAACCCTTAGATGTTTGGCTTGGGATAGAACGACGGATTCGGATTGCTCGTCACGCAGACCCAGAATGAGACACCGATTGTCGAATTGGTTCAGCGATCTGTCAAGGTTGCAAACGGGTCTTTCTATCTTCAAGAGAAGGACAGGCATCATTGCACTGATTTTGTAATGCCTTTTCAGATGAAGATTATCTCCCAATTCACAGGATCAAGTCTTAATGATCAAGAACAACAAACTGCTGATCTGAATTCACAAGCAGAGACACAATGGTCTCCTCCTGTCTAAGTAATCCACTCTGTGCTTGACTGAGAACCTCCTCCCCTCCGCGGCCGAACCCCCATACATCACCCCCGACCAAAGCCCAACGACTCTAGCACCAGACCTATACCCAACGAGACCGATATCCGCCTCACGCAGCAGCGTGCGCCGAGGTTGAAAATACACTCCAAGGCTCTTGAGATACAATTCGAAATTCCCATTCCGATTTCGAGTTTTCTGTCGAGCATCCATTAGGGCTTTGCTTCTGGAATACAAACTCTTCCTTAAGTTCCAAATAATACCAGCGCTTGGTAAAGCCAGAAGGGGTACCTTGACCTTGGGCAATGATCCTTGTCATGTCTAAAGTTTTAGAATACTCAGAGACAACTTGCTCCTAGGGTCGGTTGTGGTGCTGGTAGGCCAAGGGACAACGGTTGGAGGTTTGGGGCGATACCGCTTACGGCTCGTGGTCATCTTCTAGGTCGAGGTATCGAGCCTTGTGCTTTACTTCAAGCTCCCGGTTCTAAGGTTATCTCTGCTGCCGATGAGTGCGGACATTGGGATTATGCTGTTCATGTCGGCTGTAACTTGTTGTCTGATGACTATGTATTACTGCTCAGAGGCTTGACATATGATATTCCCTTTAGATTAGCATTGGTGGCAGGGATTATGCAAGGGAATGATAGGCCTGGTTAGCCTGTTCAGAGCTTAATTGTAACACTCTTTCATCACCTATCGTCAGTGAGTTTGTTGTTACTATATATTTCATGACTACAGATAGATCTTCATTCTGAAAAAGCCGGATTTCCGCATATGGACTACCCGCAACGATCCAAGCTATTTCATTATGAACGCCCAGAGGCTAGTTTGCATATCCTGTCACCACCATGGCAGTAGCAATATATCTTTAAGTATCCAAGGAATGTGTGGCTAAAAATGGCAGCCTTGGCGGGGGTGGAGGATGGCGGGGAATGTGAAATAAGTCACTAATTGTAAAATGTAAAATGTAGCATTGAAGCTTCGAGAATGTGTCTCTTGGGAGGCGCCTGTAGGGATGAAGTTGACACATACTTCTGGAGCCAGGTGGGTAAGCATTGGCAGATGAAGGTCAAGTCTGACAGGTGATTAATCCATGCGGGGTGGTCCGAACCTACTATTCCTTCCTTTATATGTCAATTGACACTGGCAATGACAGTTATACCGATTCTACAGATGTGGTTTCAAGGATGATGTCGGTGTAGAATTGACTCAAGGGCGGAACATCATCTAGCGGTGTCGACCATTGCATAGTTACAGTATACTCGCAGCTTCAATGCATATTGCTTGCAGCGATCAAAGAGTGTACAGTCCATACATATCCAATACATCTACAATATACATGATAGATATTCGTGTGCAGCGAATGGGAGGCTTGCAGAGGACAGGGATCCGGCATGCATGCTGTTTTGTGAGTCCCTGGCAACGGCAAGACCGAAGGGGCAAGCCGCAGAAACGAGCATCTGATCAGATGCCAGATTGGGACCAGGGCTGGGATGTCTTAGCGCTTAGCCACGAGGGTGTTAGGGTTAGTATAGGGCGCCACTATGAGCTAGGAGATAAGAAAGGGACATATGTACGTGAGTACAGTACATGTAGATCGGGCATAAGTTAACGTTAATACATAATACATGTATAAGGGTACAGTAAGTTATAAGTTAAATGAGCTTGAACATGCTAAGAATGTAATTGAATGACTGGACGAATATCATAGGAAGATCACAAAGCTCAAAGCGAAGAGACCTCGTCAGCGACCCGCCGCCCCTCTTGTGGCAGCCCAATTAGGCTTAGTGCAGTTTCACTATGAGACGAGCGGGTTGTCTGTGCTGGAGATATTTAAGTATATTTAGAGGGAGTTATTATTAGAGGAGAGTAGAGTAGAGTAGGATAGAGTAGAATAGAGACTAGAGTGCAATATACTGATTTTAGGTTGTTACATGGTTATATGAGATACCCCCAGATACTTCCTCCAGTGTAGCTCCACAGCGGCAATCCTGGTACCTGCGGAGTACTTGTATCGCATCCCCCCTGATACTGACATTCTTGTTCTTAACGGCTGCTGGTCCAGCTTCATTGTCAACTTCCCTCTACAATCTCCGAGGTAAGTCCTAACACTGACCGTACACTACACATGTGCCCATTGTGCACTGTAGTGCCTCTACTCCGTACCCTGTTCCCCACATCTCTTGACTTTGGGCTAATTTTATTTTGTCTCAGTGTCTCTTGTCAGGGACTCACCCCTCCTTTCTCTGGATTTCTCCTTCTTAGGCTTCATCGCTTATCAAGCCCCTGTCGATCCCTTTCTCAGCTGGGGGAGGGGATCCTTTGACGAGGACTGGTCTCCTTGTCTGTGCGTGCCTTGGATCGTGCGATGTGGACTGGATCTACTCAGTACCTTGTTTCTCGATATGCCTCCCGATGACCCATTCTCGTTCCTGCCGGAGCAGCCTCAGCCCCAGCCCAAGCCCACAAAGTCTCTATGGAGAGAGAAGTTGTTCTCCAAGAGCAAGAACAAGGGCGCGTCGCATCAGGAGATCGCAGACTTCCTAGGCTCGTCCAGGGAAGCGCCAGCGCCAGAACCAGTACCAGTACCGCCGACGGTCGACCCGAGATACAACCCTCCGCAAAACGTTGCTCGCGCTCCTTTTTCTAACGATGTCTCTGTCCCTTCGAAACCAGCCCCGCCACCTCCCCGCGACAACTATGCCGCATTCGACTTCTCACAACAAACTACGCAACCTCCATCGACAAAGCCCCGAAAGGGCAAGGGATTACGGGTTGAATTTTCAAATCAAAACCCTGACGTGATTGGGGAAGGGGGTGACGAGTCGGACACACCCACAATTGAGATCTCGCGCGCCCGCCAGAGATCAATCAGCGGCAGCGCGTTGAGTGGAAATGCCCGCGACCACTCGTCAGACTCGCGATCGAATCTGCCCGCGCTAAGAGTCGACACATCGCTGGGCGATGGCGATGCGCGACCCCGGCGAGCTGCCACTAAGCGGGACCCCCGTGGGGAATCCGGTTGGAAACCGCCCCTCATGCATAACGTTCAGGATGCCGATTTCTTGGCGACATTGCCTTTGAGTGAAAGTGGCTCTCGGTTATCATTCCGGGGCGATTCCGAAGAGGCCTCGTTCGCAGAACGTGTTCGCGACAAGATGTCAGCGGAGGAAGGCCGTGCCTTGCACCGTGCGTATGAGGACGATACACCTTCTCCTGGAGGCGATTACGAAGATCTGCCCACTCCTCCCAGCCCTCCCAGCCCAGAACCGCCGTTGAAGGAGATCTCTGCATCGGAATCTGGCTATGAAACAGCCCCAATGTCAGTCACATCAACTGCGCCGTCGGTCGCTCTGTCTATGAAGTCGATTGTACACTCGATTCGCAATCCCCCAAGTCCTGTCACCTATCGCCAACCAGAAAGTCTCAGTCCCGTTGACACTCGCATGCCCCCGAGTCTCACACCAGGCAGCCCCGGCAAGGTCTCGCCAACACGCGCTAACCCACCACCCCCGGAATTGCATCCCCCAAATCTCATGTCACCTCCCAGTCGCGAAGGACAAGAGCCATCTCGCAGCCCTCAGCCACCCAAATATTCTTTACGCAACGTTGCAAATCAGGTCAATGAGACCGCATTTGATGAATTTAAGGAGTACAATGCGAGATATGAAAGTCTTATCCAACTGGCAGCGGAAAGTGTCAAGCCGCTAGTCGAAACGTCTCTAACAGAATGGGTACGATCTGCAATTTGGTGGTTCCTGCGAGGAAAGACACGATTGGAAGCATATGCCCGCTCCCGTTCAACGTCGCCGCCAAGCTTTGCTAGGCAGGCCGTAATTGATCTCGGAAAGGCGTTATGGATCAATGAGCACATCGTTCCCGGCCACAGCGAACTGACCAAGTACGGGGCTATGAGCGTTGACGCTCTACTTGCAGTTGCAAGCACCACCGGCGACAAAGTGCTGGTTGATCTTCTCAATTTGCATCAGGTTCTTTCTAACCACATTCGGTCGCTTTCCATGTCCATCAAGCGAAACAACATCCTCGCAGCGGTTATTTCAGACGATGGATCCCCTACTCAGTTGGACACCACCATCTGGCTGCGTTATCCTTTCTACGCCCCCGATGTTTCTGCGGTCTTGTCTGGCGCGGCAACTAGATCGATGTTGGCAGATACCGCTAGTAAGACACCAAATCTGGTTCATATGATGCCTTTGAGCGATACAAATCGCTACTTTAGCTATGGCAACATGTTTGTACAAGTATGCGTGAGCTCTAATGATGATGACGGGCAACAGCAATACGCCATGCCCTGTGTATTGACCATTGTCCGCGAACGCGCAGATTGGTATGTCTGTGCGGCGATCACCAGTCAAAGTCAGCTTGTCAACATCTTGATTCAATCCGACCGCAAGCAGGGACCGACCTGGGAAGATGTGGATTGGCAAGTCCGGTCGAACTCCATGCGAGTCAAACTCCCTCGGGGATTCGAGCTGGATGTTATGTTCAAGGAAGAAGATTTCAAGACCCTTTGGAACATTGTCAAGTACACCCAAAAGTCGGAAGCCAGTCTACATCCTGAAGCTGGCGAGACGGTTGTGTTTGAGAATACTGTTAAGATGTTCCAGTACATGGACCCGGGTACACCCAGGGCATTCCCTCCTGACCCCTCCGAAAGATGCCGGGTTCGTTTGTTTGAGCGGTCAGTGACTGTGACAGAAGGCACTGGAACTCGCAATGCGCACCGCGGCTTCCGACTTGTCGTTCTGACTAGTCCCAAGGTGAAGACTTTGAGCAGTATTCGTCATATCCTGGGCCATGGTTCACCAATCGTGTTCGGTCTTTTGCGCGGGGAGGATGGTGCACCTGCTCTTCTTCTCAAGGTCACTGAAGATGGCCGTCAGAGATCCATGTTGATGACTTTCCACAAGGTGGAGGAGCGTACCAGTATTCATTCTGTTCTTCTCGGCATGGTTCCGAAGGAAGGAGAGCTCAAATCACCGGACATTCCCATCAAGTCTTACTGCATTGAGCAACCCGCAGACCCAGTCAGTGGCCAACCTCCTGTCAAATATGTGCAGTTCCCCGCTGGAAGTGTTTCTGTGATTGACCAACAACATGCCTACGTTGAGCATGGTTATGGACCTACGATTCTATCAGAACATTTGAGGGCTTTTGTCGCCACCGAATGGGGCTCTGTTACAGACCGGATTAACTTAGGTCGGTGTTTTCTCTTTACACTTCTAAGATTGGTGCTGTTGCTAACTCTTCTAGGCCCTGGTGAATTGAAGATCGGCCTGGATGTTAATAGTCAGAACAGCATGAGTTTATTCCGCTCAGCGCAGCAGGATCTGACTCTCTCCCTTGCGGATAACCTTATTCGCCCTGAGATGCCAGATCAATTAACAGGCTTCCTGGAGAAGATCACAGTGAAGCCGATGGTTCGCCGGCTGGAGTTCCCCACGATGCAGGGTATGTTCTTTCCCCGAACTGTTGCATGCAATACTAATTTTGCAGATCTCCATGCATTCGAGCAAGCTGTCACTGGCTTCCAGGTGCTTTATGATGGGTACGTTTACTTGAATGTGGGGTTTGGTACTTGCTAACTTGACCAGTATGGCCACATCCTTCACCATTTCCCGCCGGCGGATGGTGGTACCAATCTACAAGAAGTGGGAAGCACCACTGGCTCGAATCCAGATTGTTCGACAGGAAAGAGTCGTTCAATTGCTTGTCTTCTTCGCCGATTTCCAACACGGCACATGTATGAACTTTGTTCTGAAGGGCACCGACCTCATGGAGCCATTCAGCCGGTCTGGCAAGTTCGGTATTCGCCTTGTAGATGCCAAGTTCGCTCTTCCTAAGAAGGACGAGGATCCTTCTTCCAACTTTGTCTGTCTGGACATGCCCGAGTATCCTATCGAACACGACGATCTTGCCATTTCGTTCGATACGGAAGCCGGTGAGTCTATCCAACACCATATGCAGATACATACTAACAATTTTAGCCCGCGCCACCTTCCGAGCCGCTCTGCCAGGATCCGTGCGAGAGCCATCCCGCATGGGCTCGATTCGTCGTTAATCCCGCACCCACGTGACTGATTACGTGATCCCCCTCATGTCTCCCGATGTCCCGCTTGTCTGGTATATCATAACCTTTCTCTGTGCATACAATTCAAGAACATAGCATTATGCATTCTAGCGAGACCCCTGGCGCTTCCACGCGTTCCTTACACGCCGACGATGCATTCAACATTGTCACAGATGTTGCTCCTCCAATGCACGTCTCCACCACATTCCGTTACTCAGATGATCCCTCCCACCTAGTCCCCTACGCTGATATCACCGTATGAACCACACACCTCACTAAGATAAATCAACTCCATCTAATACTCTAGTAGTCCCCCGGTGACCCAACCGTCCACGTCTACTCCCGCGCTTCCGCCCCAAACCCCTCCCGCTTCGAAGCAATCCTCTCCTCCCTCATCCACGGCCAATCCATCTCCTACTCCTCAGGCCTCTCAGCCCTCCATTCAGCCCTAACCCTCCTAAACCCGCGCCGCATCTCCGTCGGCGATGGCTACCACGGCTGCCACGGCGTCATCGCCCTCTTCACCCGCCTCACGGGCCTCCAGAAACTAGATCTAGATTGTCCAGCGGACGCCCTCGAAAAGGGTGATGTCATCCTCCTCGAAACGCCCGTTAACCCCTACGGCACGGCCTTCGATATAGCCCACTATGCCGAGAAAGCCCATTCCCGTGGTGCGTTCCTTATCGTCGATAGTACTTTTGCTCCGCCGGGTTTACAGGATCCTTTCCTGCATGGCGCTGATTTGGTTATGCATTCCGGGACGAAGTATTTCGGGGGTCATAGTGATATGCTCTGTGGTGTTCTTGCTACGAAGCGTGATGACTGGGCTGCGCAGCTTAAGTCCGATCGGCTGTTTATTGGTAATGTTATGGGTAATATGGAGAGTTGGCTTGGTGTGCGCAGTCTGCGCACACTTGAAGTCCGCGTCCAGCGTCAGAGTGATAGTGCTACGAGGCTTGTTGGGTGGTTGGATGGTTGTCTTCGTGTGAGAGATCCGGTGGCTGGGAGTGATGCGGCTGCTGTGCAGGCTGTTCTGAAGGAAATCTTTCATGCTAGTGTTCAGAAGGTTGAGGGGGATTGGCTGAAGAAGCAGATGCCTAATGGGTTCGGGCCTGTTTTTGCTATCTCTATGACTGAGGAGCGCTTTGCGAAGGAGTTGCCTAGTAAGTTGAGGCTGTTCCAGCATGCTACTAGTCTCGGGGGTGTTGAGACTTTGATTGAGTGGAGGACTATGTCGGATGCTTCGGTTGATCGTCGGTTGTTGAGGATTAGTATTGGGTTGGAGAATTGGGAGGATTTGAGGAATGATTTGGCTAGGGCTTTTAGAGAGTTGGTATAGGGTTAGAGATGTAGATAGCATATAGTGAGGTTTTCACTGAATACATAGTTGACTTAGTTCACTCAGGAAGTGTATGAGTTGGACTATGTTGATTACCCCGCATCGACCATCTTATTGGCCCAATTCTATTTATCTCCTTGACTTCATCTTCCTCTCTCTCCCACATTCGAGTCTATCAATTCACTCTACCTACTCCAATATCCAACCCAAACTGCCACTGCCACTGCTGCCATCAAGACAGAATGTCCACATTCACAATCCACTACTTCGCAACAGCATCCCAATATACAACAAAAAACACAGAATCCCTCTCGGCACCACTCCCCCTCTCAGATCTCTTCAATCAACTCGAAAAACACTATCCCGGGATTGTGGAGAAAGTCTTGTCCAGTTGTGGAGTGAGTCTCAATGGCGAATATGTTGATGTGAAGGAAGATGTGGACGTTGTTATTCTCCCTGGGGCCGAGGTTGCTATTATTCCGCCTGTTAGTTCGGGATAGATCTGTATAAGATGAGGGGTTATGTTTATTTTGACTGTATATATTGAATAACTATGTTTGGTCTACTACTCTAATGTCATGTCCTGTTTCGGAGTTAACTTTGTTTGGAATGATTGACTTCGTGTGTAAATGGTTATTAGGGCACACGCTACGAATATAAATCAGACAAAGGAAACGAAACAAATTTGACCATCCATACACCTCCACCTTGTCCCTCTATGCTCTCGTATATCATCCCAGTCAACTACTGATTCCAGCGCCAGTCCCATTTCAAATCCCAAGCATGCCCACGGATTCACAAGATCACTCAACAGCCTTCTCAGCGAGAGCCTTCTTCTTCTGCTGCCACAAACAAACAGAACAAATAGTCGAAAAGAAAAACAAAATACTAAACCACAGTCAGCATACTCCCATTATTGGACAAAAAGCCCAAAGGGAAACTTACCAAAGCGCAATACTCAACCCCCAAATCGCTTTCATCTCAAGACAAATCGCCTTACTAGCCCCAATCCAAGAAACGTAGTCGACCTTCCCACTAATATGAGCCAGATAACTCGATAACCGCGACGCAAAGGAGTAGGCTGTTGCGTCTTTCTCGCCTAGTTCGGCTAGTGTCGTGCATTTTAGGTATGAGAGTGGTTTGCCGATTATCACTGCCACGACGATCAATGCGATTAGGAGGAGGCAGTCTAGGGCTGCGCTTGGGAGGAAGGGGAGGATGTCGTCTCTGAAGAGGATTGTTGTTATTATGCAGTATATCGCAGCGATGCAGGTCTTAAGTTCACTTTGTTAGCTTTTTTCTTGTTTTGTTTCAAGTGCTTGTTAATTCAGACGTAGAGATGGATTATGCATACCACGCTGATTGTACCGATTACTATGTTTGGTGGTGTGGCGTTTGTCGAGACGATGACTGAGATGAAGTTTGCTGTCATGCCGATTATGGCGATTAGGGAGCAGGCTTGGAAGAGGCGGGATATATAGAATGTTGCGCCGAGGGCTCCGTAGCGGGACATTTTGATAGAATGAGGGACTCGAAGTTGAGGTTTGGAGTTGAAGTTGGAGTGGATATTAGGAATTGTTGGTCTGAACAAAAGAATGGGTCTAGGGATGAGAGTATTATAGTCAAAATGAAGGATTGAAGTCTTAAGAAATAAGAACAGAAACAAAGAGAGCGTATTCTGAAAGAAGGCGAAGCTGATGATCAAATTGAAATCCTGGCTGGGTCTGGTCGTGTCTTATATAGCAACAAAGGCACTCGAACAATGACCTCAACATCTTGCAATCCAGAATCTAGACTGGGATTAATTTAGCAGCAGTCAATTCTAGACCATCTGTTTGATCCAGCTCTGCCGCGCTCTCTTTGTGCGTTACAGGTTGTCCGGGGATCAAGCGCCCCCGGCTGGAAATGGCCAACCCGACTGGTCGCTTTGCTTGAGCTGTATGCTAGATCTAGCGATCAGCATGAATGGGAGCTAAAGCTGTTCATAGCTCTGGACTCTTAACAACTGGTTTTTGCAGAAATAGAAATGGCTATTGTAGGGTCCACCCCGGCGCTTGGGGGAAACCCTAACTTGTTCCCGGTGCTTCTCAGCCACTCGTTTGCTGGGCGTCTACTCATCTGAAGCAGGCGCTTACTTTCTACTTGGTGTATGCATTGTAGATCATGTTTCATCCTGGTCGCTTTCTACTTTAACCTGCATCCCGGTATTATTTTCCGATTCGGGTGTGTACAGGGATGAGTTTAATGTCACCAGTTGGCAAATATATCAAGGCGGATCGCCTGCGATCTATCTGTTTTTTTCACTGCGCCTCATTCTTGATGAAATCCATTATTAAATAATTACGGCTTCGTAAATACAATTATAGACGAGAAAGCGTCTCCAAAGATATTTACTCGTTCAATCTCCAGCCACCGCTGGTCCGCTTCTGGAAGAACCCATCGGGGTCGTAACGCTTTCTCGTCTGCAGGGCTTGCGCCTTGGAGGCGGGACTAATACGGCCCCAGTAATCCTGGCGGTAGTACGCGTCGTTCATAAACAGTGGTCGATACACGTCGGGGAGGAGGCCTTCTTTGATGTTCTTCTGGACTAGGTTGTCCATGCCTTGGTAGAGGTCGATGTTGGCTGCATCGATCTTGGCGTCGTCTAGCGATAGGGCGTAAGAGAAGTCCAGCTCGATGAATATGTACGGGGTGTCAGTAGGGACGTCGAGGAGATCCTGAGATTTGTTAATAATTGTCTCTTTGATTGGGATTGGATCCTTACTCCGCCACGGTCCTTGGCCTTCTGGGAGAAGGTCCTGGGCACGGGTTGGAAGGCAATTGAACCCAAAACACCGGTTACTTCCAGTACTGATTCGGTGACGTTGAACCAGTGGTCGTAGTACTCTTGGAGCACATCGGCGCCAACAGTCTTGTTGGGGAGAGGAGTGGTCTCGGTAGCGATGGTGTAGCGTTGTCCGCTGGTTGCTAGTCAGTATGTATTTTACCTATTTAGAGTATCATCACTCACTGGAGGATGAAGAAGTCGTTGTTCTTCAGCAGATCATAGTAGCTGTCCCAGGTCTTGGCGGTAGAGGTGTGCTCAATATCTGTGAACTCGTCAAAGACACCAGCAGGGGCCTCGGGGCCGTCGTAGAAGACGAACATGATCCAAAAGTCAATGACAGGGCCATGCTCGGAGGTCAAGATGATAGCTGCCTTGTCATCGGGGTACTCGTCGACAAAGTTGCGCAGAGCCTTCAGAAGCTGAGGAGTCTTGTCGGACGTGAAAATGAAATTTCCACCCCAGACTTTGTGGTCTTGAGGATGCGTCTGCATTGTGTATGCAGTCACCACGCCGAAGTTGTTACCACCCCCTTTCAAAGAGGCAAAGAGATCTGTGTTCTCCTTCTCGTTCGCATGAACAATTGTGCCATTAGCCAGGACGACTTCATAGTCCTTCACGTTGTTGGCTGCCCAGCCATATTGGGTGCTCAGGAAACTCATTCCACCTAGAAAGCGTTAAACTGGCATCCCTTGATGTCGGAAACATCTCTTCCATACCTCCAAGCATATATCCGCCAATTCCTACACCTCCAAGGCGACCTCCAACAATACAACGTCCGGTTCCGTCAAGGCCTTTCTGGGCTTCCTCCCAAGAAAGGCCAGGTCCAATAATTGCAGTGTGATCTTCATGGTTATAGTCGACTTGATCCAAGTTCTTAGTCGAGACCAACAATCCATCCTGGATACTGGCAAATCCATTATTGGGCATATGGCCACCAGATTTGACAGCAAAAAGAGTCTCCACGTCGTGCAGATTCTTGATGACCTGTGACATCTCCGCTGCACTAGAAGGTGCGGCGATACATGTAGGCTTGAGATCACCGCATGCTGCGGACCAATACTTGGTCAGGTCACTGTTGTAGGTAACTGAGAGCGGGTACTCGATGTCGATGCCTCCGTCTTTGAGTGTTGAGCAGATATCTGCCATTGCATGGGGAGCAATGGCTGCAATAGATAGCGCCACGGTGCGCCATGCGTTGCTTCCGAACATGTTTGAAAGAGTGTGGATGATATACTAAAGAAATATTAAGAAGATATGAAGAAAATGGAAGATTATATGAAAGAGAGAATTGTGGAGGGCCTCGGTGAAGCCCTAGCGGATACAGTCAAGGTCAATATCGATTGCAGGATCAGGAACGAGTATATATAATCACCCTGAGTACCTTCCACCGCAACTCGGAGTATATTCCTCGAGCCACCAGTGGATCCAGTGAGAATGGATCTCATCCACCGAAGAACAAACAAAACCACTTGAACAGCAGTCCATGGACTCCATTAGAATGCAACCGAGGGTCCACTGCGAATCCCAGTTGGATAAGGAGCCCGGCTGTAGATTCCGGGCCCCGACCTAAGGGCTATCATTTGTGACGAGTTCATGATAGACTTTGTACAAAGTAGGGTTCGGCACAGATGCAGAACAAGCACATGGGAGCAAGAAGTAGAAACCTCGGATGATCTGAATAACCAGTACAGTTTGTACGAGTCAGTTCGCGTTCGGATCGAGCATCTGCATAACCCAGATGAACTTTCTGCGCCGATCGAGGGCCGGATAGGTATAGCCAGGGAATTCCTACGGCAGATCAGGGATTGGGCAGGATGTCGTATGCTTTCGTAGATACGGATCGGGCAATATTCGTGTACATCGCTGTCATGGTCGTCAGGCACGGCCTCGGGTCTGTGATCGACACTATATTTCTCCCGCCCTTGCCTTTGACCAGGATCAAAATTGGCATGCAGCTAGAGTCAATGGTTTCCCGGATAATAAATCGGATATTGCTCTATTGGCATACGGCGAACTGATTTTGCTCCAAACTCCTATTTGCAAGTGGAGTGGAAGTGAGACATTGATCGACAGGCGCAACTAATCACCCAAATCCAGGAACTTGCGGGGGATTTCCCTAAATGGTTGTTAAGACGCCACGCTCGGGAGACCCAGCTCGCTTAGAGCGACGAGGAAATGATATTCGTACCTGTCAAGTTTGAGGTCTTGTAGATCGACATAGCATACTTTTTCAATTTGGCTCTCACATGAAGTTGCGCTTCTCTCCGAACCGGACTATACGTTAGCGAGCTTAAACGATAGCGAATACGCCGGAATTTCCGCTGATTCTTCGTAGTGATCGTCGACTGTCCTTTCGGTTGGAAAAGATGTACATGCAGAACCCGTTTTCCAAAAATGGGGAGTTGGATTTTCAGGGTGTTTTACTGTACTTGCGTGGTGTTGTCAAGCTATCAGTACAACGTGGAAATAATGACACATAAGCACAAAGTATAGCAGGGATTTCCTCGGCCATATTGCACAGAGAATGGACTCTGCCGATAGGCCAAACATCTTGACAACGCACGAGTCGCGCACGACACCCCTGTCTGCAAACTGCCGATCCGAAGGAGTTCGCTCGGCTCATGGCGCCTGGGGCTCCGGGATGATTGTTTCTTGGCGAGGCAAGTGAGATGCCTAGGGAAAGATTTGGTGTGTACTATTTGTGTGGAGTTTCGTTTCTGTCTTGTGTTGTGGATGTGAACCCATTTTAGAGTGTCGATCATGTTCTGAGAATAGAAACATTGAGCATTCGCAGTGATAACGTAAGAAAAACGCACGACGGCGCAAGTTTTTGAACTAACAGGCTTTGATACACCCATATGAAGGCCAGTTCAATTTTTTGTATTAGTCAAAATTTACGTATTGGGGGCTCCAGATTCTTTCGCCAATCTTCCCGCTATCACTTTATTGTGCTGCTCTGGTGTTACGTTTCCCCGTTGACCTCGTTTTAGTTCCAAACTAGGCTTCTCACTGTTATCCAAAGCATTTCTCTCCTTGTCAACAGGCCAGCTCAAAACCAAAGGCTTGGTTGATGAGTCAGGAGGCTTTGCTAGTCTCCATGAAAGAGATACAGCCTTTGCTCTGACTCGGGGACAGAGAAGTAAAGGATTAATTTATCGTATTATTTAATTCAATGGCATGCAAACACAGTCCTTTCAATAAGAATTGATCCTCAGCATGAGCATATACTTCACTGTAATGTGATTGGTTGGATTATCAAACATACCGCCTAGGGCGGTATGTGAACTGCTGGCAGAATAGCCAGTTTTCCAGCGACAGGAACCTTCATCTGGACAATGCGTTAGCTCTGGCCATGGCACTTACGAAGATAGGGGCTTTGCAGAAACTAGCAATTGCTCGAAGAGTCGGATTGCGGCCTACATGGCGACAGCGCGCAGGATGTCCCCTCACCGCGCCTGCCCGTCTCCCACTCATGCGCTGTTTGTCCACCACGAACTCGCTGAAATCGGCCGAAACCGTTGAAACAGAGAGTTCGGTATGTCGTATCAGTCTCTGATGTGTGATATTGAACTAACTCTTCTCCTAATACAGACACCCACAGAGACGGAAGAGTGGCAAGTGGCCTTCGAAGACAAGATACCCCCCAAGCTCGTATTCGAAGAATTTGGAGATATTCGCGAATACTTGAGCAAATGGCAGGTGCTCAATCCCCTGGACATGGATCCGGTGCGACAATCGACCTCCAATCGACAAGGGGAGTTGCCAACTCCAATCGTCGGCTCGATGCCCAACAACCGAGAGGCGCTGGATGTTTGGGGCGTTAGAGAGAGAAGGAATGAGAACGCGGATAATGATATGTTTGGCAGTGAGCATCTGGAGCCAGGTGATCTCATTGCCCGTTTGGATTCCTATGGATCGTTTAGTTACGGCATTTACGTGCGGTCTGTCCACAAACAGAAGCAGTTCTACATCACCAACGGGAATTGGCGCATTTGCTCTATGATAGAGCTCGACTATGTTATCAAAGGATTTGCCCCACCTGAACTCCTCGAGCCCTTGAAGGAATGGTTCCCAGATACCGAAGCCATTCCACAAGCAGATATCCAGGTGGCTCCCGAGGGAGGTCTCCCCAGGCCAGTGGGTGCTCCTCTCTTGGTAATGATGAGCAATTTCAAAACACATATTGTGGAGTTCTATCGGCAACACTCTCGAGCTTTGGACAATCTGCATGAATTGGTAGCAGATGATTCCGACGTTACCTGCTTGACCCTTGATCAATTGACAATGACTGCTCTTGGCATTGAGGAGTCGGAACTGAACAGTGTGAATCTGTTTGCTGTTCATCAAGCCGTCCGGCGCCATCCCTTCCTTATTGAAAGAGACAATGTCTCAGTCTTCAGCCAAAACTATCTTGTGCAGCCAAAAACAGTTGCAAAAATGGTCAAGCAGGTTGTTGACTGGACCCACGAACACCAGGATCATTTGGTTCGCTCTGTCATGGGTAAAGACGTGCCCGGGTCCAGGGAACACCCGATGCAGCAGTTTATTTCCAAAGCGCAGCGGTTGATCCGCCTCAGCAGAAAGGTCCGTTCTCCGACAATCATGTCCAGCGTGGGGCCATCTGCCCAGAAGTTCCAACGTGGTCAAGATGGGAAACCTTTGGTCTTTCGGGAAATGCCTACCGAGACTTTCAATGCAAATGACCAGAAGATTCTTGAATTTCTGCAACTATACGCGGTGCCTGCCACTGTTATGCCGTCTGGTACATTGAGATCAACAGCCACACACATCATGCGAGCGACGGGAATGTACAATACTCTTGGTCTTAGTGAGGCCTCAACCCGGCTTTTGTTGCAGGAACTGGGTGTCATTGCGCCGTGGGAAAATCTCTACCCCCTTGACCAACATTTGATGCTTCCTGGACACGGTGGATCGGTATTGAAGGAGTTGGAGCACGAGGAGATAGAAGAGTCTTGCGCCAACTTGACATCTGATCAGCTGCAGGATTCTATGCAAGACCTGAGAAAGGATTGGGGAGATCTCCCAGTCTACTGTGTGGACGATGCAACAGCAGAAGAGATCGATGACGGTGTGTCCTTGGAAAAGATCCCGGGCTCCGACGATACATTCTGGGTGCGCATTCATGTTGCCAACCCAACTGCCTTTTTGAAGCACGATGATCCTATCATGCGGAATGCAGCCTCTCGAATTACCGCTACCTACATCCCGGAACGCACTTACCCCATGCTTCCGAATACTCTCACTCAGGGCCACTTCAGCTTAGCACCTGGTCGGCCTGTACTTACAATCAGTGCTAAAATGAACCTACAAGGAGAGATTCTAGACACTGAGATCAAAAACGGGAGGATCCACAATGTCATCACCATCACGCATGGCACGCTCCGCAAATACTTCAACAAAACCTCAAAGCAATTCAAGGTGACTCGCACGGTAGGCGGCGAGTTTATCGAACCGCAATTATCCAAAAACAAGAATGTTCACGAGACTTTGCTTCCCGAAGACGAGGAAAGGTTCAACACATTGCGCCAACTAATGCTCGCATTCCGCCAACAAAGAATCAAAAACGGTGCTATTGACCTTGCACCATTGCATGCCCCAACGTCTGTATCAGTCCAGACAGGAGGACCAATGAAGCCATACGAGATTCAAGCCACCGTGGGACGGTACTATCTCGGAGACCCGATCATCAGTCTCGGTCTACACGACTTCGACCCATATGAGGTCCGCGACGCCTCTAAAGACAATCTGATCTCCCTGGTAATGAACATGGCTGGAAATGTCACTGGCCGATTCCTCGCCTCCCGCAACATTCCCGCCATCTTCGATGGCACATGGTATGACCCGGAATACCAGCGTGTCACCAACGAAAATGTGTCCGTATTTGGCGGCAAGAACTTCTACGCTCTCAGTCCGCCGTTGAGTTATGCGAAATCTAGTCCTATTCCTCACCATACGATGGGTTTTGACTCCTATGTCAAGAGCACCAGTCCGCTGCGCCGTTACAACGATATCATTGCACACTATCAAATTGAGGCAGCTCTACGTTTCGAGCACGAACATGGCCGTCAGTTTGATGCCCTTGTCGACTGTCCCGAAGCAACCGAGCCTGCCATTCCAGAAATTGAATCAGAATCTGCAAATATCGAAGCAGAATCCAACACATCCGACGAAATCACCCCTCCTATCTCGACCTCGACCTCCACTTCCATCCTCCCTTTCTCCAAAGCCGACCTAGACGCTCAACTCGAGTACCACGCCCCAGTTCTAGCCCGTCTCCACGACGTCGAGGACTTCTCAACCCAGCACTGGGTCTGCATGTTCCTCTTCCGCGCATTCTATTTCGCAGAATGTGACCTGCCAGAAACATTCCCCTGTTTGATCCGTATACCGCGTAATAGGCCTCGACATGAGGACCCTGGTTATTCGGCTTCAGTCACTAATCTCGGAATAGAGTGTACAGTCACTGTTCCGCCATCTTTCCCGGATAGTGATAAGCTTGATGTCTATTCGCTGGTCGAGGCCAAGATTATTTCTGTCGATATGGCTACTCTTCAGGTTACGCTGGAAGCGGTGAAATTCGTTAAGCCATTTGAAAGGACGGGTGAGTGGGCTTGATCTGATAGATCGGGCTGAATCGATGTTTGTACTATATTGTATTATATTATATCAAAGGCATCGCCAATCATGTATAATTGAAGATGATAGATTTCCACTAAATATCATATTATCATATTGAATAACTCGTGGTACCCGCTGTAACTGAGTTCATAGCTCAATGAATCACACCGGCAGTTTGCAGATTCTCCTGTAGCCTCTCCTCCGGAACTCTCTGCTCCATATGTTGCGAAGTATCTTCCTTCCGGTAGTAGAGATACAACACCTCAAACACAGCAGCCCCCATCGACATAAAGCTGTCACTCAATTAGCACAGTAAATGTACCCTTATATCCAGAACTACTCACAATGCAATGAAACTGAATGCCTCAGCAGCATACTTCCGACTACAGACTACCTCCCCGTTCCAGCGATGCACGCTGCAACTGACGTGGTTGAAATTCAGGGCGAGGAAGATGAATGACGTGAGCCAGCTGATCGGCAGACATTAGCACTGGGTCACAGTTTCATGTGTCTATCTATACTCACAGGTATGAGATTATTGCGTCGGACGTGAGTAAGGGAAGGACATGCCATCTACGACGATTGGCAATGCAGCTTGTGCTCAGTGTTATGGCGCAGAGGACAGGGGTTAATACAGACTATACAAAGTAAGTAGATTAATTTGCAAAAGATTAATCTGCATAAAACTTACAATAACCAAGGGAAAAATCACAGCCAACGTCTTGGTGTCCTGGACTGCCCAGGCTGTGATTCCGAGAACGATGATCGAACTGACACATTGGATTATATGGGCGATGGTCGAGACCGTGCCACAGGGATGTTCGTAGAAGCTCATCATTGTGAAGATGTGCCTGGAATCAAGAAGATCAATAATTATCCCCCAAGTTGTTTTTCCAGGGGTGGTGCTGGGCTTTTATGTCAAGGTCCGAAATGTATGATATCACCACATGTGGTGACCCAAAAGATGGTCAACTCCCTGTTATTTTGTAAACCGGGACTGAGTATGATTTGCTCGTCTGTTGTATTAGTTTGCCCCTTTGACTCATACTCGAATTGTTACAGTGCTATCCCGTTCTGTACGAAATAGCTCCTGTCATTCCCACAGTACACCAACCAACAATGAGCAGGCCCAAATAATGGAAATAGCATGACAAGAAGTAACTCGATCAAAGAATAGATGCCCTCTGATTAAAGCCAAAAATTCGCGCAAAGACACTATCATACGCCCAATCGAGATTGCACAATTCCAAACTCGAACCGAAAAAGCACTTTTGCCAGCCCATATGTCTGTGGGTGGTCCCAAGAAAACATTAGAGGTAATATTCCCAATGATCTGCTTTGAAAATTCATTTGGACCCATATAGCCAGTCTCTAGGCTATGCCACGTCTTGTTGAGTTTTGGGACGAGATATCTGTACCGGGAGTCTTATACACAAGATGAATTGCTGGATCCTCAACGTATACACTGCTACATTTGCTCACCTTCCTTGAGATCAAGGACCAACTGAGACATTCGAGTTTGAACGCCTCCTGCGTGCACAAGTATAACATTCACATCGGATGGGCGCAGCCCAACTCTGAGTTCCCGCCCATAGATATCCAGAGCAGCCTTTGTTGCACAGTAAAATGAATGGGTTGGCTAGGGCATAAGACCCAAGAGGCCGCTTGTAAAGACAATTGTCCCTATTGCTTGAATGAGCAGGCCTGCAAATACGCGATCCCGTTCAATCACGTTCGCGAAGTCGGTTGTCAGCATTTGAAGCGATTCGGTATAGCTAGCCTCAGTGGCCACGGCAGATCGATAGCCGGAATTGTGGAATATCATGTCGACTTTCCCATCGCACTTGGGCTTGACGGTGTCGTATACGGCGAGAATTAACTCGGGGAATATAATGTCGAGAGCGAGGGTCGTGATGTGGTCGGGGTTGGAGGTAAGATCTTCCATATTCAAGATCTTGTGAGCAGTTGCAAAGACATGATAGTCTTTGGATACGAACTCCTGTGCAAGGAAGTAACCGATGCTGTCAGAGGTGCAGCCGGTTATGAGTATTTACTTCGTCATTTTGTTGGAAACAATAGGTCACTAGGTGGAACGGGATTCATTTTTATATGAAGGAGTATGGCATCGAGAAATATACACTTATTTCCCAATAAAGCCATACTTGCGAAGAAATTATGCTTGCGAGAACCCGAGTCGGACAAGTTGTTGTATCTGAAGAGTTTAGCGCGATCGGATATTCAATTCATCCGTCAGCTTTGACGCGTGGATATCGCGTAGTGTACAATCCCATACAAAGCGCCAATCTGCTGCAAATGGAAGGCTCGATACCTATCAGCGCGCTTAATCTGATGCATCATGAATTACACGTGTTTTCTTGCGCCCAATTGGATTCCGACGCCAAGAAAAAGGGCGTTCACCAGTACGTCGGTTAAATATTTAGAATTAAATAAATTATATAAAATGATCTAAATGCCAGAGTCTATAAAATAACAAAGAGAGACCCGGAGCATTCCTCGGACAGCGATCCAAGCTCAAAAATCAATCGGTCCCCTTGGCCTCATTACAGTTTCCGGCTTCATATACTTCTCCCCCTGGGGAACGCGCTTCTTCGTCCGAACAGACGGCAACAGGTCAGGAACAATAGAGAACACAAAGAAGGCGAAGATGAGCGCAGCAACTGTCGACGTTAGCGTTTGATATCGTCTCAAGGCGTAAACATAACATACCCCATTCCAGAACAGCGCCTGCATTCTTCCTCTCTTGCGAGCTGGATTTCGCGCACACCCCGAATCCAATTGCGACGCCAAGCTCGCAGACAATGAATAGAAATTTGAGATAGAAACTGACGAGCAAGATTCGGGCTTGGGGGTGGTACCATCGACCCAGGTGGATGTATTCGAGACAGACTAGAATAGCGCAGACTACGTAGCTTGCACTGTGACTTGGTTAGCTTTCCTTGATCTTTTCATCCTTGGTGTACGAGTGGAATCGTCATACATGAACATGGCCAGAAATCCATAATGGAGATGTTGGTGGTGTTTCGTGTCGAAGATGGATAAAAGGATGACGCCCAATGCTCCCGTGAGCGCAAAGAAAATGGACCCAATGGCACACGACTTGTCGAAAAGATCTCTATTCCGTGCTAGTTGGCCGGCGTGTCGAAGCCATCGCTCAGATAGTAGCGACAGGGTCATGAATACGCCGGTGACTACGCAGCCGGCGACGAACAGCGGCTTGAGTCTCTCGGCACCGATGTGGGATATATATCTGACCAATCAGTTCTTATATTCGGAAATAATATGCAATTGGACTCACGGAATCGAGAGTTGATCGCTCATGGTGGTATAATGTGGCTTGCCGTCCGCCGCCCAGCTGGTAAGCATAGCCACCAGCATAGCTAAATTGTCAGTATAAATAAGAATAAGACATATTCAAGACTCAAGTCTCACCTAGCCACATGCATCCTGACACCACGGGGAAAAGCCAAAACGAGAGAATCCACATCGTGTGGTGAGAAGAGAATTTACTCTCCGAGGCGGAATCCCGCGGGTTTGTTTGTCCCTTTCTACACAAAGGAGTGAAATGAGTGAAAGGATTGGATGCAAGGGTTACCCCATGGAAATGACTGTGACAACTCCCTCTGTTCCTGTAGGAGGCATGCAAGGGGAAAATTATGTCTATCACGACACCCGACTTCTTGGCGGATCGGCGCGGTTTACGCCCCCACTCACTCGGGGCAATGCCTTGTTCGGGGTGTACAGTTACATGTAGATTGTCTATAGGTCCTTGCAAGTTGGTTGTATCCATTGAAGACTATGAGAAATCAGCATGAAATGGGTAGATAGACTCAATTATAGATTCTCCATAGCCCGTATCAAATCCTCCACGGTCTGATGGCTAACACTCCCAGCAGTCGGGACATTGGCCTTGCTAGAAACCCGTTGTACAACATAATCCGCCGAAAGAGAAGCCACATCGGTCGCGGACCACATATCGCTATTCAAATGCTTGAAAATAGATGTCACCTTGATAGGAACAAGGGATGGATCCGGATCATTGGATTTCAGGACCAACTCAATGGTCCGGAGGAAGGCTTTGCATAATCGACCCCAGCCGAGACTCATGTGCCATAGACCGACGACGCAGCTTTCTAGGACGAGGGCCCATTTGGGGTTGTGCCCGTCTAGTTGGGAGGTCGCATGCACGCCAGCTAGACAGAAGTAGTGTAACATAACGATAGGGATAGATTTCCAGCCGTGGCGGTGTTTGAAAATTAGGATAAGGGAGCCGATTGTTTCCATGGCTTCGAATTTGACGTGGTCGAAGTCGATTTTGTTTTGTTCGCCGGAGTCTGTGATTGGGCTTGCTTTTGTGGTGAACAGGGTACTCAGGGATATTAGGGTTGCTTGGTAGTAAAAGCTGATGGGTCAGTATCAAGTTTGAAATTGGAGGAAGATACTCACTGTAAGCAGAGAATATGCGGAGTGGTATTATTTTCAGGCAAGATAGCTGGAGGCAGGCTTGCTTTCCAGGTGACAATCCTGTTATATAATTTGTAGCAATATTCCTGGTCGTCCTTGGTCATAGTTCCGGTAAGTCTGAGTGAAAATGCCGCAACCTCATTCACGATGGCTGCCAGGGCACTTCTATATCGTAAGGTTGTATAATAGTGTGGACGAAAAACCGGCAAGTCGAAAGGATAGGGCTTCCATTCCATATCCTCATCAAGTCTGGCTGCCTGTTGGGCCGAGCAGCGTTGTGGCGGAGGTACCGGCCAATGAGACACCTTTCTGTAGACCTGCGAAGCGAGTCTATTCCTAGGTTAGTGGTTTCCATAAAGGATAAAGGGACTTCCCACGCTTGGATATCGAAAATCGCCCACGAGACCATCTCCTGGGACAGTTCTGCTGAAGAAAGTTCATTTTCTTCCTCGCCACTCTCACTACAGCGCTCAACCGTATCATATCCTGATTGGAGATAAAACTTTGCTCCATTCATGATAAACTGAGTGCCCAGTCTATCGACTCCGAAGGTACAGGAGAGCAATCCGAGTAGAATTCCGGATTGGATTGTAGGAAGATCCGGGGACCCTTTGTCATTTTCCCAGAGCAGCTGTATTTGGTCGTAAAGCTTCTGGCCCAGGCCTTTCTCCTCTCGTCGATCAGTAATCCGGTTGAGTCTGTATGAAAAGCTCTACGGGTTGTTAGAAGAGATCGTCAATCAAGTATAAGGATAGGCATACACAGCCGAAGAATAGCAGAATATGGACCAACAAGCGAGAACAATATCTTCCCGGGTAGTGGGTCTCCAGATCTTGGAGAAACATGTCCAGATCGATCAGATTCCAGGTTGGGTTCTCCCACGTGAAATAGAAAGACAACAGGTGGCTGGCGGTGTCATTTTCCACAATTGAAGTCCAAAACTTAATGGAATTCACTCGGACTGGAGGATCCTTGGTGATTGGCCGTTTCAACTTTGCATTGTGGGACATCGACTGATACATCTGGCCCAGCGAGACCTTCGAGTTGGGCACTTGGACATGGTGCTTCGTCAATGACTCTGAAGCTAGGATATCCGAGAATACCTCCGGAGATGCCGTGAAGTGTTTCTATCTGTTCAGTCACCGGTTCATATACAGCACGAGTTGATCTCGAACCTTGATGATATTGTTGACAGAGACCCTCTCATTGATGGTGGCCTGAGCGATAATCTCACCCAGCAATGCTTCGTAGACCTCGATTTTGCGCTGCAGAGAGTGAAGCTGAAGCTTCTGATTGTCCCGCTTTGATCCCGTATAGGTACAGACCCTATCTAGCTGGATACAGTTCAAGCATCTAGGACGTTGACCGTCACATTTCGCCTTTTTCTCTCGGCAGGCCGAGCAAGCGGAAGTTGTCCGGAAAGGATGGATTCCAGGGTGCTCATTTGGTAGGCGAGGGATAGCAACCTTGCCCTCGACACCATTTAGAGGGGTGAAAGTCGATTTTTGATTGTCAGAGGAAGTGCCACTCATTGAATCGGGGATAGCTCTGTGTTACTAGCCCACACGCGCACTGCAGTCCTCCAGTTGGTCGCACAAATTGTGGCGTAAAATCTCGGGATCCAATTCCTGTACTGTGTATGGCGGAACGCCAAGCCGGCAGATGCCATGGTCACGTGCCGCGTCCACGCCGACGTGTTGCAGTTTGTATACAATATCGGCATCAGATATCAATCAAGGGTCAAGGGTCAAGTGTCAAAGTCAAAAGGTCAGAGTTAAGAGAGCAAAGCAAGATGCATGTGCTATATCACGTGATGAACTTTGTATAGATCGCAATGACGTAACCCAAAATAACAACACCTCCCCCACCTCACATCTCACTGCATTGCGTGAATTGCATGAGATGCACCTTGTCCAAAGGAATCAAGATACAAATTCTTATCTTTGACAAACTGTCCGAAGGTAGAATCAGCTACAAGTGCTACAGGTGGCCAATCCAGCCTTATACGTCGATCATTACGTGCAGCCACGCAAGTTGGAGTCTGGACATGTAGATCTATACAAGCGATGATCTCATGTCTTATATTGCACTCTGGTTGGCCAAGAGTGACAAGATCAGAGAGAACAAGTTCGAATATACTCCAGGTACTTGGCAGAACAGGCCTACTTGAAACATGACGCCATTTCTGGACACAGTGCCACTGAACCTGAACCTGAACCTGAATTGGATGTCAACATCAACATGGATGTCGACCTGTTTGCTCATCATTTCCCCTTTTAGTATTTGTGACAGAACCCTGAGCAAGTGGCTGGAATTGCCTACGAACCTATGCCAATAATAGAGCTGAAGGCGTTTGGTCTCGTTGACATTGCTTGATACACAGCAGGCAGCAAACGTCACTCATTTGTTTCAGTATCACATAAATACCCTCACTTCTCCCCCGACTTCTTTCCTCCACCACCCTCCACTTCATCACCATCTTTCACAACTTTGATATCATTTACCTTCATCATGGATTTCGTTCGTAAGGCTGAAGGAGCCTTGACTGGCAAGAACAAGGAGTCCAAGGAGTCGACCCAGTCCTCCAACCATGGCCCTCACTCGTCTAACCTGGCCAACAAGCTTGATCCCCGTGTTGACAGTGACCGCGGTATGCACCCTCCCCTCACCCGCCAGCAAAATTGATACTAACTGATATTCTGCTATAGACAACCGCGCTGCCCACACTGGTGTCCACCACACCGGTGCTACTGGCACTACTGGCACTAGCACCACTGGCCACAAGTCCAGTATTGCCAACAAGCTAGACCCCCGTGTTGACGCTGATGCTGCCAACCGTGCCAATGCCACGTCCACTGGAACCACTGGCACTACTGCTACTCACGGTACTCATGGCACTACCGGTACTACTGGCCTGACTGGTACTGGTACCCACGGCACCCACGGCAGCACCAACGCTGGCCCCCACGACTCCAAGATCGCCAACAAGGTCGACCCCCGCGTCGACTCTGACCGTGACAACCGTGCTAAGCATGACACCTTTGGCACCACCACTGGTACTACCGGTACTTCTGGCTTGACTGGTACTCATGGTACTAGCACCACTCATGGCACCTCTGGCCTGACTGGCACCCATGGCAACACCAACGCTGGCCCCCACGACTCCAATATCGCCAACAAGGTTGACCCCCGCGTCGACTCTGACCGTGATAACCGTGCTAAGCACGATACCTTTGGCACCACTGGTGCTACTCACGGTACCACTGGCCTGACTGGCACCCACGGCACCACTGGAACTACCGGAACTACTGGTACCGCTGGCCTGGCTGGTACCCACGCCGCCACTGGCACCGCCCACACTGGCAGCACCAACGTCGGCCCTCACGACTCCAAGGTCGCCAACAAGCTCGATCCCCGTGTTGATTCTGACCGTGACAACCGTGCTAAGCATGATGCCTTCGGCACTACTGGTACTACTGGTTCCTCTGGTCTGACTGGTACTCACGGCACGGGCACTACTCACGGCACCACTGGCCTGACCGGCACTGGTACCCACGGTACTTACGGCAGCACCAATGCTGGTCCTCACGACTCGAAGATCGCCAACAAGGTCGACCCCCGCGTCGACTCTGACCTCGACAACCGTGCCCAGCACCACTCCCACACCACCGGCACCGGCACTGGCATTGGAAGCACCACCCACGGCACTCACGGCCTCGGCTCGGCTGCTTTCGATCCTCAAATTCACGGCGATACTACTACTGCCACGGGAACTGGTACTGGCTCTGGCATAACTGGCTCTGGTCTTGGTTCTCGTGCTCAGGGTGCGCCTGCTGGTAGTTCTTACACCAACCCTACCACTACCACCACTGGTGGTCTTGGTTCTACTGGTACTGCTGGTCCTCACGATTCCAAGATCGCGAACAAGCTCGATCCTCGTGTTGACTCTGATGCCAAGCGTGTTGAGCAGGATGGTTTGCAGCGCCAGTTCTAGATGCAGCGCCATTTCTCTTTTACGGCTGTTTACCACCCCGATTCAGTTTGTTTCGGACACTGGATCTTTGATATGATGTTACGACTTTGATCTTTCAGCAAGCAAACTCGTTTCTTTGGATAGGATAAGATACACAAATGTATTTCAGTTTTTATAAGATTGCAGTGGAAGTAGATTAGTGTACATTTTGAGTGGATAGCAACTGGGCCTCTAGCCCGCCAATGAATATATATGATAAAGTACAGTGTTGTTATTGTGTTTCATCAAACATCAAAAACCTCTTTAATAAGAGCCTTCTTATTCACTGCAAATAGTCAGCATCATCCATACACATACGACCCTTCCAACCACAGAAGAACTCACCCTTTCCCATGGCATTCCTTGGAATAGCATCCAAGACCTTCATCTCGGATGGAATCTTATAAGAAGCCAAACGTTCCTTCAATGCTCGTCTCATATCCATCGGACCCCAAGATTTCCCATTACGACTTGAAGTAGCAGCATCGGGATGGAGGACGACGACCGCAGCAACTTTCTGTCCCCATTGTTCAGAGGGGAGGCCGACGACGGCTGCTTCGGTGATTTGGGGACTATAAGATGTGATTAGCAAGTCACAAAACAAATAAGGGGAATGCAAAAGAAACGAAAAGAGAGAAAACATACAGCGAAAGCAACTCCCTCTCAACCTCCAACGCGCTCACCTTCTCCGCGCCCGTCTTGATAATATCAACACTCTTCCTCCCCTGAATGAAATACATCGGTCCCTTCGCCCATTCTCCACTCCCACCACGTCCAGCCCCGTCAACAACCCTCCTCGTCGCTACATCACCCGTACAGAACCATTTCCCTTTTCCATCCTCGCCACCCACGAACCCTTCGCGTGTGGCTTTCTCATTACCCCAATACTCACTGAAAATAGTCTCGCCCCGTAACTGGATCTCGCCTTCGCGTTCACGGCCTTGAGCGTCGACTTCGGCGCCGGGGGGATTACTTCGCCCGTTTCGGTGTCGACTAGACGTGCTTCCACGCCGGGGAGGGGCCAGCCGACGCTGCCGTCGACTCGGTCGGCAGGATCGAGGCCGCAGCTTATTGCCATGCCGACTTCTGTCATGCCGAAGCGTTCGAGAAGGATGTTGCCGTTGCTTAGGGTTGACCAGGATGTTTTTGTTGGTGTTGGGAGGGCGGCTGAGCCTGAGATGTTTAGGCGGAGGTTTTGAGGGGAGATTCCTTCTTTTGCAGCGGTTTGGGTTTCTGTTGGGAGGTTTGGGAAGGAGTTTAGGAGTCTGTTGTAGATTGTTGGGACGGCGGTTAGGAAGGTGATTTTGGATGGGGGAGTGGTGCTGGTGTTGGATTGGAAGGGTGCTGCTAGGCGTCTCCAGATTTGGTCTGTGTTGAAGGGGTACATGAATTCGATGGATGAGCCTGCTACTATTGGTGCCACGATTGCATTTACTACACCGTGGATGTGGTGCAGTGGTAGTAGGTGTAAGAGGCGGTCATCGGGGGAGTACTTCCATGCTTGTAAGAGGGATGAGGCTTGTGCTGCCAGTGCCGATTGTGGGATGAGTACGCCTTTCTATATACGGGTTAGATGGGTCTGTCTTTGGTGGGAACGGACATGAACGTACTGGTCGATTGGTCGTGCCAGATGTGTATAGCATCATTCCACCAGAAGGCTTCTTCAGCTCCTCCAAAGTGACACTCTCACGAGCAGCACCCTCCATGAGCTTCTTGCGAATATCAAACAAAGGCTCACGTTCCAACCCCTGACGCAGGATATCCATAGCCTTGTCGGCATATTTCTCAGTGGCAAGCAACACCTTTGCCTGCGAATTATCGAGAATATACTTCAGTTCAACTGTCGGAAAAGAAGGCGACAGCGGCAGCGCAATAGCATCACTCGCAAAGATCGCCAACAAGGTCACTGCAACAGTCAATCTTTGTCCATCAGACAGCAGATACAGAAGACAACAGTACCTACGTAGTCGTAGCTATTCTCCGCCAGAAACGCAACCCGCTCACCGGCCAATTGACCCTGCGCCTTGGCAGCTTTGCGCTCGAGATCATCCTTGGCCGCGACAACATCGGCAATTAAACTCCCGTATGTAAATGAGCGGGCGGACAAACTGTGAACAACAGCCAGACTGTCCGGGTCGTGGTCTCGGAGTGCGCGGAAGATGTGCGTATTCGGGAGAGTCGATAGCTGTCTGAGGGCGAAGGGCATGCGACTGACGCGCGCACGCGAACAGCGCGAGAGTAGCGAGATCATGGGCATGTTGGAGGTTGGTTCAACATCGATTGCCGCTGCAATTGCATCCTACTTGTAGGAGGGAAGTCGGCCAAGTTGATGTCGTGAGGGAAGTTCCGAAATCAAAAACATCCGATTGGCCTCGCTTTGCTCCTTCACCTCTCCATCCAAATGCTTCCTCGCTGTCTGCCGGGTCTGATTCCCCGTCGTCTGTTCTCTGTTTCGACTAGGATGGCTTCTATGACTCCGTTGGAGGATGCCATGCGCGACAAGGTGAGTCTACTGCCAGAGGGGTGTATGGCATGGTGCATGTGGGATGCTAACTGTTCTCTTCTCTTTCTAGATCGCCCATGCTTTCACACCCTCTACCCTGATTATCCGCAATGATTCCCACAAACATGCGCACCATGCTGCCATGGAGGGATCGACGTCGAAGGAGACGCATTTCCAGTTCGTCCCATGCCGGTGTCCATACCGTGTCCCCGCATACCTTGGAGTCGGACTGACACCTATTTCTATTCCCAGTGTGACTATCGTTTCGGATGCCTTCGAATCGAAAATGCAGCCTGCTAGGCATCGGATGGTCTACGCGTTATTCAAGGAGGAGATGGCTCGTGAGGGCGGACTTCATGCGCTGCAGCTGAAGACGAAGACACCGGCTGAGGAACAGCGCGAGAAGGAGAAGGAGAAGGCATAAACAGATACGGTTGGCGTTCGAGTGATCTATTACAGTCAGATACCCCTCGAATGCATTGCATTGGGCTTTGGTTCACGATACGCTTGCACTAGTTACACCTACACATGCACATGCACATACACAAAGAAATCAATTATTAGACGGTATTACATAGATTCTAGCGCCAAACAGGAGCCAACAGAGAAAACAATCTAGTATATACATCCATGCGCAGCGACCAAGAGGGGTGGGCGCGGGCAGCTGTACAACACGAACAGCTAAGCAAAGACAAAAGGAAAGCACGATTTGAAGGCATTGCTTTTACACAAGAGAGAAGAAAATGCGAGGGTGGTGGTATAACAACAAGGGGAAAGACAAAGGGAAGATGAGGCCGGTCGTACAGGGAATAGATCAGTTCTTCTTGTTGGACTCGACGACACCGACGGCGACACCGACAACAATGGCAATGATGATGACTGGGGAGGTTAGCGGGGCAGACGCATTCGGAGTAGGGATACTTACTAACGATGATCAACGCATACCACTTCCAACGCCGAGCGTTCTTTGCGCTCTGGATGGCGCTGTCCAACTTGGTGTTGGCTTGCTCGACGTTGCGGTGCGTCTCCTCGGCGCCCTGGTTGATTTGCGCAACGGCGGGCTCCTGCTGGTGTACCAGCTCGGCGACTTCGTTGTACAGCTCGCTGAGTGCGATGAGGTCTTGTTCGATCTTACGGATGGCGGCGGAACGCTGGAGAGTGGCCTGGCGGGCATCGTTGGCCTGGCGAGTACGGGTACCGGGAACCTGTTTGGCAATTAGAAGTGATCATAGAAACCCATCCAGCGGTACATACCACAAAGCTCTGCTCTTGACCCATCAGGACGTTTTGCACACCCTGCTCCAACTCCTCGGGGGTAGCCTCGGGGTTGGCGATCTCGTATCGGCGGCGCACTTGCTCCTCCAGACGCTTCTGGAAGTCGCTCTGTGTGCGCTGGTACTGCTCGATCTCACGGCGGAGGTTGCGGCTGACGTTCTCGACCTGGCCCGACACACGGCTGTCGCCCGATCCGGGGGTCTCCTTGATGCGCTTGAACTGATCGCGCAGGTAGCGCAGCGCAGTGTTGATCTCATCTTCAATGTAGTCGAGTGTCTGACGCGAAGCCTGGTCCTCCTTTCCGGTGCTCGAGTCCAGCAGGGCCTTTTGGGCGTGGGCCAGCTGGGTCTCGCGCTTTGTGGTCAACTCGGCGATACCTTCGTTGAGTTCCTTGCACTTGTTCAGAATTGCAGTCGGCCCGCCACCGGAGGGCTGGTTCATGTTGGACATTTCTGTTGGCGTCAGCGCGGATCACGACGCGGTCGAATTGAAACATACCGTAGCCACCGTTTCCAGTCTCCACAGCACCGGCCTGGCCGTAGCCACCACCATATCCATAGCCCTGCTGCTGGCTGCCATAGGGATTCTGCTGCTGGCTGCCGTATGGGTTGTACTGGCCGTAGCCCCCTTGGTTGTTATCCCCCAAGCTCTGGTACTGGGGAAAACCGGGTCAGTCCCATACATCCACACAATCAAGGTTTCACAGGTTCACTCACACTCATGATTGCAGAATGTGTTGTGTAGTAAGGTACAAAGGGGGAAGATGAAGGAGGGAAGGGTGAGACGGGAGATGTGGAGAGTGGCAGAAGCGCCAGCGGTAGACCAATAACAGAAAGATTAAAGATTAAGGAAATTAAGGAATAAAGAATAAAGAATAAACGTCAGAGTAATAAAAGGGATGTCCAAATCAATTGGGATCCCCCTATTTTATTGGATTTTCGTTCCTGCGTACTGGTACAGCCTCCTTACGTGGAGCGCAGAGATTGACCCTGGCGGTTACTATTTCTGACGGATCGGCCGTTGTACTGGGTACTTGGCTATTGGTAGTGTGGCCTACTCTGAGACATGTACCCAGTACCCACGTCAGGGTCTGGTCTTCACGTCATGATTATGATCTATCCAGAGATACATACCTATGTAATGTCTATTCCAATGTCATTGCAAGTGAGCTGTACTCTGTTCAATGGAATATTGCAACCTACTCAGGCGGAAATAGCACGCGCAGGCAACCGGATATGTGGAAGAAGACTCCGACTGTGTACGACTGGGCCAATCAGCTGAAGATGCCAATGCTAAGCCTCGTTAGTTCTCAGATCTCAGCTTGACCTTTCTTGGTGATTTTGATGTCTACTAAACAGGGACATGTAGAGCAATGGTCTAATCCTAACTGGCAGCATCATTTACGCTACAAGACTCCAGTAGATGTAAATGACACCGAAACTACAAGATGGTAAGTGGCATGTGGACTATATAAGCGCTCTATAGACGCCCAGCCTACAACAGTCGAACTCTTCTCCTCAAATCCACACGACTAGCGCCAGATTAATATAGTAGCCGCCTACAAATCTAAATATATGGGGAGGTGAATCAAGGCATCCAAATACCTCTAGGATCAAAAAGTGGGTGGCCTGGCAGCCAAAGTATATGCCTAGCAGTAAACTCATCTACCTAGGTATGCTCCAGGCAATTACAGCCGCCCACTTTAGATCAGTCACCTTACCGTTTATAAATCTGCTGGACTCTTAGACATGCTATAGCCTAAGACATGCCTTTCAACTAGTAAGCGTTTAACACACGAAATATGTCTTGCCCACTATCCTTGTCTCATTATCTATAAAACCCCCATGCAGTATAAGCAGGAGAACCTCAATATCCAACATAATGTATTCAAGAGTGGAATATTCCATATCTGTGATACCAAATTGCGGGGAACTGTCACATCGTATCACATGTCTTACTATATCTGATACTAGCTGTATCCATGTATACATAAAGGGTCTAGCTTAAAGCTGGGTTGAGGGTACATACATGTTCACTGCGCCAGATCAGGCCTAAATCAGCCCCAGATCCAGGTGTGCGTTCTGTCCACATCATCACTTATGCGACTTGCTCGTATTTGGTTTCTTGTTGTAATGGGGAATGCAGCATGATCTAACTTTCGCCTCTTTATTCACTCGCTTGCAGCTTGCTTTGTGGGTGTCCTTTATACATGCTTGTTTCCGTTGTAGCCATGGTCTTGAGTATTGAATGTGCATTACCAGTTTTATCATAGTGGGGATAATGCTCAAGCACTAAGATACTACAAAGTATCCCAGAGTGGACCATTATAATAAATGAGGTGAAGATAAACATGAGTAAACATAGACAGACGTAAATTAAAATCATCGATTTATTTATTTATATAATAAGTATATACTAGATTATGATCATATCACGTCTCCGGATTTGCAAAAGAGTAACCTGCTCCAGTGATGCAAGCAAAATACGACTCCAGCGTAAGTGTATGAAAGATGCGAAAAGCACCAATCACAAATGCAGGCGTGAAAAGAGTGGGAATATAGCCAAATGATAAATTACAAAGGACACAGACACTCAAGCTTAGATCTTGGGTGCGGACTCCCGACGGGATTCGCGGCGAGACTCGGCGATGGGGGCCTCGGGCATATCGTCGTCGGCGTCGAGAGCGTTCATGTCGTCTTCCTTTGCGTTGAGGTGGTGGAAGACCATGTAGAAGATCAGGCCGCAAACGAACGAGGCGCACGCCAGGCCGACGAACATCCACATGATGGCGGGATCGAAGGCGGCTGGGGTCAGGGCCTCGGCGATAGCGGAACCGAAGGCGTTGGTGAGGAGGTACATGGACTGCACGAAGGACTTCATGCTAGGGGGAGCTTTGGTGTAGGCATACTCGAGACCGGAGACGGAGGCGAAAATCTCGGACACACCGATGAATACGTAGGCCGGGGTCTGGATGGCGATGTGGACATTGTTACCGTAGGCGGTGCCGTCGATCTCGGAGGCAGCGCAGAGGGGCTGGCCGTAGCAGGGTCCGGCGGAGTAGATCAGGTGCTGGACGATGGCGGCGTACATCATGGCCAGGGCGGCAACGATGAAACCAAGGGAGATACGGGTGATGGGGCGGAAGGGAATCCTGAGACGGCGCATCAGGGGGTAGACGCAGGTCTCGAGCAGGGGAATGAAGACGATGATGGAGATGGGGTCGAAGTTCTGCATCAGATCATTGGGGATACCGTGACCCTCCATCTGACCGGCCTGGGTGACGAAGTTGCCAGAGAACTGGCCGTAGACGACCCAGTAGATGGGGTAGAAGGCGAACACACGGCAAGCAACAAGGGCACGCTTGAGCTCGTCGATGAAGTGGTCGTCCCAGGGCATGGAAGCCTGGATCCCGCGGTGCTCAGCTTGCCATGAAGGCTTGGGGGCGTCCATGTTGCGGTTGCGGATCATGATCCAGAGGGCGCGGAAGGCGTCGGTAATGATGGATCCCTGGGGAGGGCGGACGACATAGTACTTGCGGCCGAGGATGACCACCAGGGTACCGACCATGAACATGCACAGACAAAGCAGGTAGGCTGACCAGAAGCCAACATAGAGCTCCATGTAGGGAGTGGCGAGGAGAGATAGGGAACCGAGGTTGATACATCCGTAGAAGATCATGTAGATACGCTGGATAGTCAGGGCGGGGTCGATGATGACGCGCTCACCCTTCTTGGTGGTGGTAATGGCCATCTTCTTGCGCTTGTACTGGTCTGCAATCAAGGGTGCCACGTTACTCTTGATACCACCGGTACCCAAACCGATAATCAAGATCGACACAATGAAACCACCCAGACCGGAACCGTGCTCCAGGGCGCCAGGAATGGAGGTACAGACCAGGATGAGCAGACCGACCATGTAGACAATACAGAAAAGCACGATAGTCTTGTACTTGCCAAGATACTGATCGGCGATGATGGCACCAATGATGGGAGTCACATAGCACCAGAACTGGAAGAAGGTGGTGAGACCAGTGGCACCCTGGTGATCCATACCCAGAGCACCGCGTCCCTGACTGCCATCCAGCGGACGCTGGACGTAGTTCTGGAACAGACCCGACATTCCGTAGTAGGTGAAACGCTCGCACAGCTCGACCACGGCCACCAACCAGGCGGAGATGGGCAGGTTCTCGGCGATATGGCGCAGAGACGTCTTTTCTTGGAGAGTAGGTTCTCCGCCATCTGGAGTCACCTGGTTCTCCTTATCCAAATCGACATCCATGGTGGCCTTTTCGTTCACGACGATCTCCTCAATGGGGACATTGTTTCCTGATCTGAAACATAGGGTTAGCATGACTCGGAAAATTTCGAGTCAAGTAATTGACATACTGAGCAAGCTCAACCTCACGCTCGGTCGACATGACGGCTATTAGACCAGATGCGTTTTCTCCAGAAGAGCAGGAGAGAGGGCGATCAGAGGAATAAAGAGAAGAGAAAACGGGGCGACCGTGACCTTATACTATATATGCAATTTCCATTACCCAACGTGCGAGAGCCTCGGTGGGGAAAACCCGTTCTTATCGAACCGAAAAGTAAAAGAAAATAATAAAAAGGACTAAATCTCCTTCATCTCCGCCGCTAGAGCCATCTGAGAAGGTCGAAATTGGCCCATTGTTCGCAGGTCAACCGTGGACGGCGATCGGCAGTATCTATCGCACAACAGCGAGTGGCTCGGTCCACGGATGTAACCCCACGGCAAAAGCGGAAAGCGAACGAAAAGTCGCAGATGGCGACAAGCAATATGCCGAGCACGCGCAGAGTGGAACTCGCCGGGTTCAATCAGAGATTGCGCTTTGGTCTGGCATTTGGCATCTGGGGATTCTCGAAGGGCTAGTCCGTCCCCTCCCCTGTTTTCGTTGACGAATCAGGTTGGCATATCCAGTCGGAGATTGCCGGTGAAGCTGAAAATTTCCCAGATAAGTAGAGTACTTCCGGTGTCTTGCCACGAGATATTATTTTTGCCCGGAGTCCACTCCTTGCTCCGGTTTCAATCATCAATCGGAAGATATTCGGGATCTGAAATTTTGACCGATGCGGGTATCGCGTGATTGTGGGTGAATCATGGACTTGGGCCTCGATATGGTGTACATGTACATGTGAAGGTACAACTGTTTGCGGGCGGAAAGTAGTGGGTGTTACAGGCTCCCAAGGTTTGGACTTGTTGCTTGTTAATTGCTTGTCGGGATTCCCCTGGACCGCCACTTTGGCCGCATGCAACGTTGGGGCTGTTCCCCGCGTGCTTATCACCTCCCAACAACCAATGCGCATCGTAGTCTCTGTCCACTCTTGTTTGAGTTCCGGAAATGTCTCACTGGTGAGCTCCCAGTGCTACCTACCCCGGAGTTGTCATGCTCTCGCGGGGTGATGGGTTCCAACGATGGTTCCGAGAGTAGCCAGCCAGTAGCCAGCCAATGCGAGAAGCCAGGGGGAGTGGTCGCTGCTTGCGGTCAAGCAGTCGGTTCAAGCCGTGATATCCGGGGTAATTATTCTCTCGTAACGGCGTGTCCTAGTGTGTTCAGATGTGTGCAGTTGAGTCGGTGGATCAAGTGCGCCAAGGCCCAAGATAAGGATTGGTCATGATGAGTAGTCAGCTCTGGTGGTCAGTGATGATCAATGATGGTCAGTGATGGTCAGTGGCATCTGGAATATATCACGAGTGCTGTATAGCATATCATTATGTGCAAGAAGTTAAAAAGGACTCAAGTGATCAACGGGGACACCAGCCGATATATACCAGGCATGGCTACGCCCTTGGCCGCTTGGCTGGGACCTCCGACTTCGCTTGATAGGCACGTACCACCAACAGCAGCGCTCATCGTCTGCAATTCTCTCTTCCCCTCAGATGGCGTAAAGTCCAAGACCTTGGCTAGTCTGAACCACCAATG